TTAGAAATATGTAGCTGAAATAAGTAGCTATCTTTATCAATGATTGATATGAACTAAACAGTAAAAAAGAGTTTCTGTCAACATAGTTCTGGTAACGAGTTTTCATTGTGAAGATACATTTTTAAAACATCAAAAAGAAAAAGAGTTTTAATACGACAAGCAGTCAAATTGAATTTAGCTAGGCATCCTTTTATCAAGAACATGTGAAGAGTTGTTCGAGATCAACTTTTTCCGAAAATTGCTTCAATAGGTAACATGCATATGAAAAAATTTAGGTCAATTGTTACGAGAATGGATGAAAAAAATGATAAGATCTAAAACAGGAGTTTCACAAGAACTAAAAATCGAAGAATAATGTTCACCAAAGGACAATATTTGTACATAAGTTTAAACTTCTAGAGCCACAGGTTTTTTGTCTTAAATAAGAAATCTTCTAAAACTGTCTTTAACCTTAATTTTAACATCAATCTTTGCAAGCTTACTACCCGAATTATTAAAGTTTCACTGACAAGTAGCTACAATGGATAATTTATGTTATGTCTTTACCTAATTTACACATCTTAAAATTAAGTTTTATCTCGTTGTTGCACAACAAACCTGCTTATATTTTATCAAAACTATTTTATTATTAAGTTACCTGATCAACTACACCTACTATAAAGCAAACAAATTGGCGAAAATAAATGCAAATAACGAATTTGTTAATCGTGAAACGACTGAACATCCATTGCTTAATTTATCTCAAAAACTTCAATAAATTGCAAAATAAGCAAGCATCTACACAATGATGTAAAAGAAAGTCCATTATACTTTTTAAAATCTTTTACTTAATTCAACAATTTTTTTTAAATACACCTTAACTTAACGCATCAAGAAGAAAAATAACACGTAAAAGAATGTGTCTTAACCAACAATAAAGCTTTTAAATAGCAAGATAATAAAATAATGAATGTTGTATCTTGTGAGCAAAAGAACCACTAGGAAGATTGTCAATGAGAAGAGTGTACCAAAAACGTACATTTACTAATAAATAAAAGAGACGTTCTCAACTAGCGAAGAAAAGTTTTTTAAAAGGTCTCAACGAATCTGTATAATTATTTTACATTTCACGATTACTTCTTGGACAGCTCCCCTTCCTTTCAAGATCGAAAACACGACTCGGATGACAAATGTTTATTTTGGTACACCATGTCCGGCCTTTTCGTGAATAACATGAATTAAACACCAGTTTTGTGTTGTGGTAATCATTGTACTATACTATAGGATGGCAGGCTCAAATGGAAGTTTACAAAAGTCAACATGGATACCATACATGCAGAAGCAAACACAAAAATATGAACTGTCAGTGAAAAAAATGGCACACAGCGTCACAAGAATGGAACACATGCACATGTTTCAAGACACAGATGTTACCTTGCGGTAAATTGAAACAAAAGATAACAATAGTTACTAAATAAAGTGTCCACGTCATGTTTGGTTATCGAGATGTGATAAGATAGTAATCGTTTCATCAAAGAAAAAATCGTTTTACATTCACCACAATATGGGACAAAAAGCGGCTGCATGCATGATAGCGATAAGATCTGGATACTTAGCATTATTATTTGCCTCAACATCTTGGTTGATAGCCAACTGCTTTTGTATAAATAGGATGACGCAAGTTTGTTAAAAATCTAAACGCACGAGTGCAATTGACAGGAAAGAAATATACTGTTTCAAACATAAATGGTGCAATGAAACACTCCTGGAGTTTCCTCTTTCTTGCTGTGTTGGTATTTGAATGCAGGTTTGCTTATGCAAAGGCAACATGGCTGGACGATGTTGAGGATCTCGGAAAATCAAGGAGAGGGAAAGAAATAAACATGAAAGAGTGCTGGCCAGATTGCTTCAAATACAACGGTAAAGTGAGAAACGAAGTCAAAACATATAGAGAAAACTTCCAAGATTGGAAGAAAAGTTTCGACTCCAAGGATTTAAAAGAAAACGATTATCGACGAAAGAAAACAACACATTGCCGCCGCCATTTCTGTCCTGAGGACTACTCAAGAAAATAAACAAAATAAAGTAATAAGCAATAAGTGTTGCATGATATGATTTGTTGAAATATGTAGCTTTCTTCATCAAAGATCGATATGAAATAAACAATTAAGAAGAGTTTCTGTCAAAATAACTTTTATAGGTGCTGCATGTCAGAATTTAGTAAAATGCTTAACTTTCTTCATCAATAAATTTGAGTTTTTGCTAACACAAACTTCGTCACGAGTTTTCATTATCAAATGTCAGCAAACGTCAGGAGTTGTTCAAGATTAGTTTTTTCCAAAGAAATAGCTAATTATCTTAAATAAAAAAATGCTTGCAAAAGATAAGAAGAACGGTTGACATAAATAATTTCCAAATCTTATCATGAAAATGGATGGAAGGCAATGATAATATCTAAGGACTTTAACGTGAATAAGAAACCCAAGAACAATGTTAACCAAACTCCAAAAGACAATCTCTTTAACACTTGTGTGTTTTAACTTTCAAGCAACACCGAGTTCCCTTTATATTTTTTCTTCTCCTCTGAACGCTTCAATTAAAAAGAAAACAACATGAAAAGAAAGAAAGTGTCTTAAGGCACAATAGACCTTTCAATTATGGACCTTGTGAATAAAAATAATTTGATATTGAAAGAGTAAAAGACATAACTATACCTCCAGTTAACTACCTACATTTCTGCATTCCCATGCGAAACTATATAATAAAACAAACATCCGCGAACTAGAAAATATGTTTGTATTTGTTGTTCATATTTAAGTGCGATTGAACAACTTCGCAGGATATAAATGTATAAATTTTCAATTTTCAAATTTCAAGACATGGATTTTCTCCCCAAGCCGGTTGGCAACATATATGACACTAGACATAGATTGCTAACGCATACGTAGCGCGCATGGAACCTGCATGAATAATAACATGGCGAAACAAGAGAGCAAAGGATGTGAAGATTATCCTACAAAAGTCAAGTTTTTCGTAGTTTTTACACTCATGTATCGTTTCGAAATTCATCTGATCGAGTTTTAAAAGAACGAGAAACATACATGCAGCAATCATTTTGACAATTTTGGGCGAATTTGATGAAAAAGTAAAATGTTCATTGTTTAGTTTCACAGCATTTTAATGCCAGAAATACTATGCTATCATAACATTTGGCCTCTTCAATAGTTTCCTGTACTTGGAAAAACATATTGAGTGTAGCTGTAATGCTACAAAGGATCGCAGTAACTGCTTTGCTTAAAAACTTCATTTTTGAGGAATCATCAATTATGGAGCAGACATTTTAATGTGTATATTAACTGGTGTGTTTAGTGCTCATTGTATACATTCTTTACTTTGTAATAATTGAATAAACTTTGACAGTTAATTAAAGTATCGTGCCTTTTGAAGAGTCCGAGGGGTGTAAACTATAAGCAACTGGTGACGCCCGCCTGGTTTTGACTGTTTTCTCTCGATATTTCGAATTTTTTCTCCCGACATTAAAATCACGCGATGCACAGCATGCTTTGATGTGAGAAGGGTTACGACGGTTGACGAGAAAAGCAATGCATGCAAAACAAACACCGCTCAATGAAATGTTCGTTCTTCAACTAATGGAGAAGTTTTTCTTATTAAAGGCGAGTGTCAGCGCATCAATGAAAAGTTTGAGCTACTCAGCTGTGCTCTTTCATCCAAGTGATCCGAAGTAATGCATTTTGCTGTAAGATCAGCAAGATTTTTATGCAAGAACGTGTCTCCCATTTCCTAAATTACTAAGTCATTGAACTTCCACCATTTTGTTGGCGCAAATATAGTTAAAAAAAGCACTTAAGATGAAACAGTTTTTGGTTAAGTTTGCAAGCATCAGATTCTTGTTGCAGGTCTTTACTTCTTAAGTTATTTTACGTGCCCTTCAACAATCCTCGTTTGCTTCCTTACTTCGTGCACAATTTCTTTTCGCTTTTCATTCATTGACTTTTTTTGCCCGAGAGTTTAGATGTTGGGCCAATACCTTTCAAGTATTTTTAATTTATTTAAACGAGAATTAGCTGCAGCTTGATAAAGTGCACTTATGGACAAGACAAAGTACATTTATGGACGAGTCGAAGTACACTTACATACAAGATAAAGTACACTTACGGACTAGATAAAGTACACTTACGGACTAGATAAAGTACACTTATGGACAAGTTGAAGTAGCTACACTTATGGACCAATGGAATAACACTTATCGATAAGTTGAAGTACATTTATGGAGAAGTTTATATAAATGGTCGAATATACACCATACAAGACAATAGAAGATAAAAGGGAAATGACAGTAGTAGATGAAGGAAAAAATGACAGCTGTATCTTTTGGTTAACAAAAAGGAGCTTTGATATTTTGCCACAGTTAACAATATACAATTCTTTACGTGAACACCAATTGTCAGACGACAATGATGAGTCGGTTATTACGATCTTTTCATGTATTCCACTTTGCATAAAGATGCAATTAAGCAATGCTAAAATAGGTTACAAAAGCTACATGTGTAATGTCTGACTTAAGCGGAAATACATAAAGACAAAGCTATAACAATAGCACTCAATGCGAATATTAAATTATCGATAAAGGTCTTCTTAACCCTTAAATATTGTGCAAAGTTATAATGAAAAGGCATGGAAACTTTCTTATTTGCTTACGTCTTTTTACATTAAAAGAAGATAAATATTTTATGAATCTAATTTAAAAAGTAAAAGTAACATAAATTTATGAGCATTTGACAAAAACTGAATCTTTTGCAACTTTCTAGTCATGCAATATATGTCTTATTTCATATAAGAATCAACAAAGCAGCGTATTTTTTTACAGCAAAGCAGCGTATTTATATAAATCGCTTTTCTTGTGTCTATAAATATACGCACTAATACCTGGATTGTTCATGTATGGTAGACGCGAGAGAGTTTCGAGTTTGCAGTTTGTTAATGAAGAAAAGGTTTCTTAATAATTTTGAAATCATATTTAATTCAAACGGAAATAGAAGTATATAACGTTAACACAGGTTTTCATGAAGCTCATGCATATGTTAAAGTTACAGATGTTGCCTTACGGTATGTTAAGACAAAAGATAGCATTAATTAGATAATAAAGTGTCCTCGTCATATTTATTCACCAAGATGTGATAAGTTATAGTAAATGTTTTATCACAGTGTAAAAATCGTTTTACGTTTATCACAGTATGAGAAGACAGCGGCTGGATAATAACAAGATCGTGATATGTAGCATGAAGATTGTTGCCTTAACATCTTAGCCAGTTGCTTTTGTATAAATATGATGACGCAATCTTGAAAGTCATCTAAGCACGTGAGCGTTTCACACACACAAAAATATATTCTTGCAAACATATATTGCAATTAAATAATTCTGGTTTTTCTTCCTTCTTGCTGTGTTGGTTTTTGCAAGCACGTTTGCTCAAGCAAAGGTAAGTAATGGCTGAACGATCTTAAGGATCTTGCGAGATCAAGAGACGAGGAAATAAGCAAGGAAGAGTGCAGTTCAACAATCAAGACTGGCTACAAAACATGAGAAACAAAATCAAAACGAATAGAGATACCTTCCAAGACTCGATCAAAAGTCTCGACTCTAAAGATATTAAAAATTGACTATCGACGACAAAAAACGACACAATGCAGCTATTTCTGTCCTTAAGGCAGAGAATAAACGAAATAAAGAAACAAAAAATATGTGTTTCATATAATATGTGTTAAGATTTGTTAAAATATGTAGCTTTCTTTATCAATGATTGATGAAAATAAACCATTCAGAGGCCGCACAAGCTCGATAATTGGGGAGGGGCGAATATTCATATATTCGCTTGTTTTAATCTTTGTTAATCCATAACCCAATTGATTTCAATAGAAGCTACTGAGGTAGAAAATGCATATATGAATAATTCTTCCACCAATTAGCGAGCTTGCTTAGCCTCTGACAATAATGGGAATTTCCGTTAAAATGCTTTTGCTCGCGAGTTTTCATTGTCAAGATACATGCTCAAAACATTTTATAAAGCAAGAAAGCAATTCTTAACCAAACAAGCATTTAAGTTGAATGAGCAAGCCTATTTTTTCCAAGAACAAGTCAAGACATGTATAAAATCAACTTTTTCCAGATCCCTATAATCACCTTAAATAGGAAAGATGCATGTCAAAGATGTGAAGAGATTGATCTATTTTATTTCTAAAACATATCATAAAACGAAGAAAACGAAATGCACGGTAATATCTAAAACAGGACTTCCACTTGACAGCTGAAAATCCAAGAAAAACGTTAACAAAAACAACATGCAATAATTCTTATGTGTTTTATAACTTCAACTGCTTCCAATAATATGGAACTCCTCTTATATTATCTCTTCTTCTCTTAACTTTACGTGTCAATCCAAAAAAGAAAGTGTCTTAACGAACAACAAATAGCAATATTATAAACACTTTGAATTGCGGATTTTGTGACCAAAAACGAGCGTGAGGAAAATTGTCGACCAGAAGAGCGTTTCGACACAAAATGTAGATTTACTCAGGTAGGGTTGATGGTAATATGTGCACACCCCTAAAGCCTTGGCTAAAAGGGGACAATATTTTGAACATTACCCTGCGAATACTATTAAAACAATTAATAAAGCAAAAGTTATTGTTGTTTGTGTTTAATGGAGCCCACTTCCAAAAATCTCCCATCGTAATAAAATGTTGCAAAATTTACTAAAATTTCTGACATGCTACGGAAGCACAAGGCCACCGAAATCTAATCACTACCAGAGCGCAACTCCAACAAAAATCCTGTATCAGTCCCTAGATTTACTAAGAACTTGAAAAAAGTTCTGATTGGGAAAATTGCGATGTTTGAAGGAATGTCGACGTACAAGTAAAAGATATGTACCGATCTAGTACAATATTCATAATAGAGGTTAATTAAGCCTTTAAGTGTTAAATTCACGCAGTGTTTTTATAAGTATTTTATCCTACTTTAAAATTTTTATCTGCAAATTTTCGAATCTGCGTTTATTGCAAGCTATACTCTTTGAGAAGTCCCTTATATAAATATTTTAAAACGCTCGAAGGCCATTTGTTTGATAGTATCAAAACATATCTATGTTTTACAGAGCTAGGCAGTTCGTTGCACCCATGCAGTGCAAATCGCTGGGTACTAAAATCTAAATTTTGGTTTACTAACGCAGATTTGCTAGCAACTGAATAACTCAACCTCATTCACGATCATATTTGCATGCGTATGGCATTTCGAGTGTAAAAACTACATATCCAAGTTCTATGACGGGTTGCTTCTCTTGTAGCTAATTTGTTGAAAATAATTGTATTTCTTGGAATGAAAATGTCAGTTCCACGTTTGATTTTGATAGGAACAACAATCACAATCGTTTCTCACATAACAGTGTAATCGTTCATACAAGTTATTATTGAGACTAGGAATGAAAGAAAGTGATGACTGCATGTATATGATTTCAACAACATCCAGTTTTCCCTTTTGTGGCATGACATAGATAGAACGTATTTCGCTTTTCAGTAAATCCGTGTGCTGGAAGAAGGCTCAATAGACTTGGGCGGAACGGGTTTAAGGCAGTGTACTAATAAATACTATATATCATACCTAGGCATTGCGTCCCATTGAATCAAATTGAGCATCTCCGCAAAAAAAAAGGCAACATTTCGTCATGGCTCATTCTCGTTTCGCAATTAATCCAGATTTTAATTCCATCGTCCATGGCTATGAAATATTAAAATATGGATTAGCTTTTTTTTAGATCTAGATCAATATGTAACTTGATTTATTTTTCTCAATTAAAAATAACAATAAAATTATGGGCAGGTAGTCAAAATATGGGTAGGATAAGGAACACGTCGCTAAAAACACCACAAGATATCACTATTCATAAAACACTAAATGCATCACATAGCTTCTCGATTCGTGAGTAACTGCTAATGCAATTCAAATTTGTAAGTTTTTTAAAAGATAGAAAAATAGACATGGACTTGCCATGTAAATTTTCCTGTGTTTACTAAGTGAGAAAACAATACATATCTAACAAAATGAGCAATTATAACGTAATGAAATTGATCAAGAAGTACTAAAACGTGACGGCTAAGTACGCTCAGATCTTTGTAAAACATCTCCGTGATGAAATATATATATAGCTATATAAAAATTACGGATTTCAACAAAAAGACGATAAGAACACACGTCCTGTTCTTCATCTTTAGTTTCAGCAAAACGGTTAAACGGAATGGTAAAGTAAAACGAATTGATAAACATGAAACAATGAGAGCACTTGAAAAAAGAAAACAAGAAGAAACGTTCGAATGGTAGAAATCCAACAGAGAAAACATGTATAAAACTGAGCCAGAGGCCTGATTTATTGTTAACGGAAGCGTCGCTAGAACGTCAATTAAGATGGGTAATTTTATTCATGTGAGTTCAAATGTTCCCGACTGCTTTCTTTCGAAAGTGAATTGGCTTTCAAAAATAATCAGTCGGGCATACCTCAATATATTATTACTCGCCCTAGTCCCTACTCCAATTAACACTCACATTACATTAGTTTAACGAAAACTTTGATACAAACACCCACGAACTAAAAAAAGACTTAATTAATATTTTTAGAACTTTTGTGTTGCCAACTGATAGTGCAACTCCAGAGGATAAAGAAAAACTTTCCAATCATTTCGCAGAAAGTATCAAGGTGCGCTAAGTTTAATATAGCCCGCTATGACTAGAGTCGAACTGTAGCGATCTTCATAGATATGTGATGAAGCCAAATGAGCAAAAAATTTAGATGAAAATATTGATAGTCTGATAATAAAATAGTAAATATTTATGAATTAGTGCCCCACTCTCGAGAAGTACAATTGATAGTCTTAAAAACAAGATAGCGAATGGTTAAGTAAACAGGCATGTAACAAACTCAAAAGAAAAGCTATAAAATGAAAATACATAAAGATGCACTTTGCATGAACTGGCCTCCTCCAATAATAACTGCTGAAGTAACGCATTACTTATCACCAATTACTTTTCGGGTAGTTAAGTTTTCAACATGTATGTTTTGCACGAAAGGAATTCCTACAACATTAAATTAATTTGACAGGTAACACGTCCATTTAACAAAAGTAATTTCCGTTACTTTTGGCTACATGCTAAGCATATTTCTTTTTGAAAAACAAGAGCAAAATTGACAATACACGCCTCCATGCAAATTTCTCACATGGTTCATAAAAATTTCGAACAATGAAAACGTGTTTAAGTGGTGTCAATTCAACACTCAAAACGCAACCCGAAAATAGAGCCATTCAAGCAAGGTGTTATTTTAGCATCTTATAGAAAAGATGTTAAACAAATAAGTTTTAATTTGCATATTTAAAATCAACAAGCCATCAAACGGTGTTAAATTAACACCAACATTGGCGCTAAAATATCACTTTTATTATAAAGCAATTGTCAGGTGTGAAATCGACACAAAAAGTATTACATTAAAACCGTGATATTAAAAGTGCGCACCTTATTCCTGACAAGTAAATTTGCAAAATAACAAAGTAAATATGATTAATTTTGCATAATGTTGTGTTGCTTTGCTTGTTGAAAAGAACATGTATAGAAATGAAATAATTGAAGTTACTGTCCAATGGGAGGAATTCAAGCATGTGAATCGAATGATATATGAAAGAAAAGCGGTACTGGCAAGGGCTCTAATTTTGCCAATGCGTTTTTAGCGTTCGGTCTTTCAGAAGATGAAATTAATTGCTTTTAACAGCATCCTATAATTGATGAAGCCGACCTCCATCTTCCCAACATATGTGCTACACACAATTTAGCTTGATTACCACAAAGAACGCGTATCGTGCTGAGTTGAATTATGCGAAAAAAAACTTATTCGTTGCACATTTACAAAATGAGAGTTGTTCTTCATAACGCTTGCATTTATAGCATAGTCAAAAAGTAATCATATTTTATCTAATGAGAAGCTACGCAGAACTCTTCTACCGTCCCACACACGACATGTAACTGACAGAGCATGTTTGTTTTTTATATAACGATGAATCGACTTTACTAACTGACTCCTATTTTTTCAAAGTTATGGTTCTCCAAAGGGAAAATCGCTTGGCAGATTCCTTTTCTTTATTCAGTTATTTGCAAGTAAATTTCCTAAGTTTCTCCGTAACGTATTCCAAATTCCTATATCATAACGACATTTGAGTTTTATATTTAAACTTACTGCCGTCTATTTTGCTCTTACAAACATTGCCTTGCCCTTATCATAACAGAGCATGAAAATGTATGTTAATAGAAGTGTAGTTCTAAAAAAACCTAAAATGCACATTTCTAAAAATTACGTTTTTGAAAAATATGTTGAATTACTCAAACGTAAAATTGTCAAAACATTCAATATTAATCATGATGATCTTGTTTATCTGTAAAACTAACTCAACAAGTTAAAAGGCCTTAATGTTTGAATATAATTAAATGAAGTAAAATTTGTACTTCAGACGAAAATAAAATTTGAGTTTCATTTAGTCGTCTTTATTTTTTGATTCTTTTCAGTTTGAAACCATTTTTTCTAAATAGTGTTCTTAAAACCATGAAAATGCCTTTTTGAAGGACTAGAATTTCATAAATTTCCACAGCCTTAATTTAATTCCAGTGCAAACACTAATCATGGACCTCCCTGGACGGACGACGTCGGATTGGGAACGTGGACAGATACACAATTCATAGGATAGCTCCTGGTTGAGAAGTTGTTTCGTGCGACGTGAAACAACATCTTTTTCCTAATAATCTTTTATAATCATGCGCTTATTTCGTAAATATCTACATCCACATAACTATAGCTAAAATAGCATTAAAAGTTATCCCTGATTTTGTTACATAGCTAAATTACGATAATGTAAATGTCACATTTTGTTTAGATAGTTTTTGATATCATTGTCTCCAAAATAAACAATATGTCAATATACTATTGATAGTGGACGAAGACGTAATTATTAGCAGGGAGCCAGGGCTGCAAAAATCTTACTCCGAAAAAGCGCCCTGTATATATAACATATTTCTAGTTAAACATACGTTGTAAGCAATATGAGATCGCAACTCAAATCAGGATACTCTACAAAATTCTATTTATGAAAATACATGAATCGTGGCTTAATGAAGTCGTTTGAAAATTATCGCTTCATCTTTTCATGCATCACTCATAACTATGAACATATGTCATTCACCTGCTGGTAAAGTGCATGGGTGACAAATGATAAAGAAAACGTGGCGGTACTTTTTCTATATATGTCATCAACAGGTGCACGATTACTCACAACTCAACTCCGTTTCACATAGAGCCACGAGGAGAACTTGTTTGATTTCACTTTACAAGAGAAAAATTTATAGCTTCGTGAAAACAATGAGCAATAGAAACCACGTGTTAGTGATTTTCCTCATAAGTTTGTGGTGTGGTTTTCAAAGTTCGCAAGGATCAAGCAATTCTACAGTCATACAGCAAAACGGCACGAAAGAAAACAGCACTGTTAACCATTCGCAGACAACAGAAACCAAGGTTCGTCACCAGATTATGCATATTTGTATGAAGTAAATGGTTTGAGTCCGGAAGTATAGTTAGCTACATTTTGTAGATGTAGATCGTCAAGTTAGTTGAGTCCTGAGAAGGACTGTTGGTGTTGATGTAGACTGGCGTTTCGACAACCTTAGCGGTAGCCATCTTCAGAGTCAAGTGATTCGCGTGTGATGTTCTTTATGCGATTTTTCGAAAATATCAACAAACGTTAAAATCTTTCGTGTAGCCACCATCGAACGCGCAACCCAACAACCAGAAAAAAATTGTCAAAGTTTATCGTGATGATTTCAACAAGTTAAATATTTTTCAACATGTCGACACGATTTTATCCAATGATATATACCCAATCCTCTAGATATCTAATAGCGTTGTCACGGTGAGGCAAAATAATTCACGGGCGCCATCTTGAAAGGTGACAAAAAGGCGAGACTCTTAATAAAGTCTAAGTAAAATGTAAGTTTTAAATGAAGAATTCTGTCAAAAATTTGGAAGCAAACCTATCACCTCCGCACTTATGTATAAACATAGGAGAAGCATGTTTTTGACCTAAATCTCGTCAGTTTTAATGAAACATGGTAAATCGTGCACAACCTATAATGAATGTACAACCTGGTAAGAAATTGATCATTATAACTACAGAATTTTGTTAATAAGCTTTTAAAGAGGCACATTAGTATGCATAGGCCTAAGATGAGTGTAAAAATTACAGAACAAAAATTTAGCAGCTTACAGCTATGTTACAAATGCCATAAAGTGCATGCCTTTCTGATTAACCTACTTTAAGTGATGCAAGGGCAAAAATAAAGTTTTAAAAGTATTGCTACCACGCTATTAGACTCACTAAACACATAAAATTGCTTTGATTCAATGTTTTGACCACTCTTTCCACAAGGTCACTCTACACAGGATGAGACATACATATTGCTCTTTACTTTGGAAGAGTAAAATTCTGAAATTTCTCTGTTTAAATATAGAACGACAACATTTTTCTGGTCTTGTAGAAGCTGCACAAAGCATTAAAGTGTTTGCTTACTTTCTTCTAACAGAGGAGCTTGTCTACATTAAATAACAATGTCCCAAAATCATCTTGAGTTACTTTTTGCATGCATTGATTATATAAAGAATGACTTCAAAAATAAATCAGATATTCTTTATTTTAAATCAACATTATAAACTTTATCAAAGGACACAGAGTAAATTAGTAGTTTAGTATGTACAGATCACTGAGATCAGAATCATCACTGGATTTGTTGTAGAGAAATGTAAATACAGGATCACTTTTTCAATCAATGTGCCAGAACTCTTTCACTCTCCTTTTCATGGTTAGACAAAGACAACTTTTATCTATGAAAGTCCTTGCTAATAAAATTTACAACAAAGTTTCAACTCAAGCGAATAACCTCAGCTTTCTGGCTTATGAAATGGCTCACAGAAAAATATTCTTTCTTGAACTGTAAAACATGATCTTGAGCATAAAGCTTTAACTGAAGATTTACAATCATCATAACCTATGAAAGAGATTGTTGAAAAATACAAAAATTTACCACTTCTGACATATTGTAAACAATTCGTAGCTACGTATGTTCTAAGAATCATATAACGTCCGATAAAAAAATCGGCCAAAACTTATAGTATGGCTGAAAAACGTTAAAGCAAAGACAAAAATTACCAAAAGTCCGCGCAATTTTTGTTACTTTTTCTGCAAGTTCCAGGCATACCAAACATTCAATCCACCAAAATATTGTAGTTCCATGTTAAATACACAATCCTACCAAGTTTGTAAAATTGAGCAATTTGCCGTTTTACGAGCAAATGTGAAAATCATAAATGTGTCAAAATATACACTATGTGTCTGTCCATAAATATATATAAAGAGAGAAAAAAATGAACACATTGCATATAATGGGGCGATAAACTGGGTATGGTATAAAAAATTGTTAAAAACCATCGTCCACGATTCTTGCCGATTATGTTTCTCCTCGAAATATTTTGCTGAGGCATACGCTAATTATGGTAGATGCGATTTTAAGGCACAAAATGTGTCGAAAAAAGAAAACAAATAATTTTTACACTCTTTTCAACTGCCAAAAAGCCAAAACAAACGTCAGTCGCCAAGAAAACATGCTTTGTTTCGGGGGGAGTTTGGCTTTAACCGATCATGAGAAAAACTATTGGATTTATCGTTCCAGTTGTTATTACAGTTCACTGGTTTATACTAATAAACATTGCAAAAATGGTCGTTAAAATTTTTGTATATGTATATCCACCACCTCCGTTTGATTATTTTGAAAAATCTCGTCCTAGAAATCGCTCTTGTAGCCCAGGCGCAACACAATGTTCGACATTGTAAAAAAGCTTTTCCAAATATATTAATTCTTACTGAAGGCAGAAGATTATAGTTGGGACATTTGACATTACGATTTAAACGATACTGCTATATAAATATAACATGATGTCAGTGTAATTAAAGTAAAATATTTCAAAATAGCAAATACCATGGTGAATGGTGATAATAACAATGTAATAGTTCTTAAAAGAACTGTTTTAACCAAAATACTAACCAAACAATTCAAAGGAACCGTTATTTACAGTTAGAAAGAGACACTATGCATTTCGGCAGACTACTCATCAGGTGTCAACGTCTGCTAAATGAGAACCTCCAAACCATGCTATATTTATAACGTTAGAAAAGGTCAATGTCATCCCTATTTTTAGAGATGACACTTAAAACAGAGACAGATTAAACACGTAATCCTTTTGTCGGCAAAGGACAGGATTAGTCAATTTAATTAATACCGACTCCATGACGCGTAGCTGGAATAACGAGCGACATTTTTTAAATAATTCTAAAGTTTTCATCAGAATAAGCATTGGCACAGCGAGTGTTGCTCAAAAGATGTTTTCCAAATCGCTGAATCACATAGAATCGGATTTTCACTTTTACACCCACGTTTTGGTAGTTGTCGTAAAGGAACAGTTTTATTCCTGACAGAAGCTGGTACATGCTGTTTTATTCTTTCACTCAACCTTTGAGAAGTCCTACCTACATAGCGACCGGTTTTGCGAATATTTTGTTGGCTATCATGAATGCAAAATGCTTGCATCTTCAGATTGTCCGGATGTGCTGTGGTATAAGCGTTATGTGGATGACACCTTTTCTTTGTTTCATAACGATTGAAATCGTGAACTTTTTCTTAATAAACTTTGCTCTCTTCACCCTGCACTAAATTTCACCTCTGAACTAGAGTCAAACAATCAATTAGCCTTTTTAGATGTTCTTGTACACAAACGCAATGGTCAGTTCTTAACAAGCATTCATCGCAAAGCAACTTTCACTGGTTTGTACACACACTTTGACTCTTTCTCTTCGCATAGAGAAAAGATTTCTTTAGTGAAGTGTTTGATAAAGCGAACGTATAGATTGTCCTCAAAAGAGTTTATTGATAGTGATCTTATCTCACTGAAGAATATTTTTGTGTTAAATAGATATCCGGAGAAGTTGCTAGACAAACTTTTCTTATCCACTAACAATGAACGGAATGAACTTTTCGGGCCGGCCAAGTGCCCTGTTTTCCTTAAACTTCCCTGGATGGGTAAGGCCTCTAATGACATCGAGAGGGAAACTAAAAATCTCACCGAGAGTTTGTTTTTTGCATGCAATGTGGTCTTTATATTCTCAAAAAGAACTATTCTTCCACCCACTCCCAAAGAGTCTCTCCCTGCACAAATATCAAGCAATGTAGTCTACGAGTTTAAATGTGAGTGTGATGCTCGCTATGTAGGTAGGACTTCTCAAAGGTTGAGTGAAAGAATAAAACAGCATGTACCAGCTTCTGTCAGGAATAAAACTGTTCCTTTACGACAACTACCAAAACGTGGGTGTAAAAGTGAAAATCCGATTCTATGTGATTCAGCGATTTGGAAAACATCTTTTGAGCAACACTCGCTGTGCCAATGCTTATTCTGATGAAAACTTTAGAATTATTAAAAAATGTCGCTCGTTATTCCAGCTACGCGTCATGGAGTCGGTATTAATTAAATTGACTAATCCTGTCCTTTGCCGACAAAAGGATTACGTGTTTAATCTGTCTCTGTTTTAAGTGTCATCTCTAAAAATAGGGATGACATTGACCTTTTCTAACGTTATAAATATAGCATGGTTTGGAGGTTCTCATTTAGCAGACGTTGACACCTGATGAGTAGTCTGCCGAAATGCATAGTGTCTCTTTCTAACTGTAAATAACGGTTCCTTTGAATTGTTTGGTTAGTATTTTGGTTAAAACAGTTCTTTTAAGAACTATTACATTGTTATTATCACCATTCACCATGGTATTTGCTATTTTGAAATCTATCTTTAAGTTTGTCACCACGACAAAGTCTCTGTTTCATTATTTAAGTAAAACATTATTGGCACAAACTAGAAGATTAGGTGTTAGTTTGGCGTTAACAGCAAAACGCAAAAAGTCGCGTGATCATGGCTTTTTTGGTTTGCGGCGCAGTTCGCTGTTCAGGTTTTCACTGCAAGAGGCCCTTCTAGAGGTGGGTGAAGTACTGCATGCTTTTTAGTACTTTCAATACAACCAAGTAACTTTTATGGCTGAATGGTGTATTTTTTTGTGTGAGTATACTCAAAACTACTCTGCAATAAATAACTTTATTTGGCTTGGAAGTTGGGGACGAGTTTTAGAGCTTGCACATGACGTGATGTCAATTTGTTTGCATTCAAGCTTTATCTTTGTTTAATATCGTGTTTTTGCAGCTAACCTTATTGAATGTTACTGCAGCGCAATATCTGCGGTCTCATCGTGTTGGTTTGTTAGTTTCCATCTTCGTTATTAGCTATCTCTTGCAAAGTGTAAACAAATTGACGTCATAAACGCAAGATTGACCGCGCGGTAATTGAACCATGCTATTGACTGAGATTCGAGTTAAGAAAAAGCTATAATTTTTGCTTTTGGAAAATTTTATTGAACTTTTCATCTAAATTCGCTTAGGTTGACACAATTCAAAGTAAAAATATCCATAAGCAAATTGGCTTCATGTCACCTTTAAGCCAAAACAACACTGCAAAGAATAGAACTGAGCACGTCAAAAGGTGGCTACCTTAGAACTTAGTTACATTCAGTTGAATGTAGCAACGTAAAATATATAAACAAAAGATAAATTGTGTTTGTAAATTTTCTCGCATCTTCTTGAAGAACTGGTTCGTGTTGAGCGTTGAAAACACGACAAGAATATTCAATGCGACAGCAATCATAGCAATGGTCGGCTCGTTGCTCAACTTGGCGGTTGTTGTTGCTATTTTGGTGGATCCTTTAAAAATTCTTCGTAAAGGACCGTGGATGTCCATAGTGAATCTATCCATCGCCGACCTCATAACTTGCATTACCAGTGTTTTCTTGTTTGGTAATAGAATTCTAGAATTGACTCAAACAAGACTCGACCTTGTAATTATTGATTTTTGTTACATGTTCGGGCGTGCTGGCTCATTCTTCGCCCTGACATTGTTATCATATCAAGTATTCATTGTAACCAAATACCCGTTTGAAAGCCAACACCGCTGCAGACGATCCAAAATCATAGTATACATTACTGTCCTGTGGCTTGTAGCTTTTCCATTGGGAATGCTTAATACGCTTTGGTATTTTAAAAAATACGACAACAAAGATTTATTGAAAGTTTACATCGCTAACATAGCAGTCTTAGAAATCGTAGTTGCCATCCAAATTTTCCTTAACATCAGTGTTATCAAGGAAATTCTTCGTAGTGGACAAAATGTGACTGTCGCGAACGCAAGGCATAAACAAATGGCAAATATGATTGTGTACCTGACAACCATTCTGGTGCTAACTGCCTTTCCACCTTTCGTTCTCACTCAAATACAGCTTTTGGTAAGACTGAAGGTTATCGGAACAAGTAAGTGGGCTAAAATTACACATGCCGTAGGCGTTTACAGCCTGCCAATCGCAATGTTGAATTATGTAATAAACCCCATTGTTTATTCCCTGCGTTTATCTACCTATCGAAAACACTACTATTCTTTCTGTGCTTCCGTATGAGGACTGGGCTCAATCATTCATCATCGAGACAAACAACTTCAGTTTCACTGGAAAGTTGGAAAGCGACTGAAAATTCAAGAAAGACAACAACTAATCGTATTGGTCAAGATAACCTTGGCTTGAAAAAACAAGAAGAAACTGACTATACAGGGACGAAATAACGACATGCATGGACCTTACTTATTCATTATGTAAGAGAACACGTTTACCATACAAAATTTTCACGTATTTAAATACATTTAATGTAGCTAACACTAAACACTTAGCTTTCGGTAAAAAAGCTTGTATCAATACATTGTGACAAAACCGCTTCGGTCACACTTTTCCTTTTACTGATGTTTTACCATACATAGCTATAGGGCAGAGAATCGCAAAGGGCAGATGGATTTTTCGAAAAGTTTGTTGAAAAAACATCGTTGAGGTTAAGTTTTACGTTTTTATTGGGATGGTAGAGAACTGTCCCAATCACGCCCTTCCTTTTACTTATGTTTTACCTTTCGTGATTTTGAAGTTTCTTCAAAATCTGTCATCATTGTACGGTGCGTGTTTCAGTTTGAATCTTATTTCAAAATCATCTTGATTTCGAAAAACTTGTGTCAATTAACACACTCTTTGAAGGCTATAACGAGAGAGAATCAGAAATGGCAGATGGAGTTTTTATAGAAGTTTATTAAATAAACATAGGCTTAAGTATTAGTTATATTTGTAGTGAGGTAGCCGCATCAATTCTTCCTCTGTACCATTCATAGTCTTTGAATTTTTATTCAAATTCTCTCATCAATGCATGTGCAGGTGTTTCGTTTTGTCTCTTCTTATCATTCCAAAATTATATTGGTTTTACGAAACTCGCGTAGTCTTTCACAAAACAAAGAAGACAAAACTGGACACTAAGACTTAAACAGACTCTTTAAAGACTTTAAAGAAAGAGAATCACAAATTTTAAAGAAGTTTAAGAAACCAGACAGAGCTAAGAGCTAACTTTATGTTTGTAGAAAGCATGATAGAGAACTGCATCAATCACACTGTTCGCTTAAGTAATGTCTCACAATCCATGGTTATTGAATCTTGAATTTTGTTAAAACCTCTGATCATTGTAAGTGTGTAAGTCTGTTTAGTTCGTCCCTTAATTCTTCTATCATTCCAAAGTCATCATTATTGTTATCATTCCACAGAACCAGGAGAAGGAAACTTGACACAAAGACGTCCACATACTTTTTACAAACTTTAACAAAAAAGAATCTTGAATAAAAGTGGTCTTATTGTATTAGGACAGCTGATCTTAAGTTTACCAGATGATAAACTACAAAGAACACTTAGTTGTTCTATTTCGAACAAAACCATTCTAGCTGCAAATGAATACGACAGCTTTAATTTGGTATAATGAATCTAAGCTAATATTAAAATGCTGTAGCTACCTTCAAATACTTAAACTATACACTATGTATAGCTTTTTAGCATGAACAAGCAGCCCAAGTGCTTGCAAACGCTCTTCATCAATGAACTTTTCTTTTAAAAAATTCGATTGACTCTTGTAATTTAGCAATTGAACCAAACATCAAGGCGCGACTCGCACATGAATTTCGCGTATAAAGAAATCGTTCACTAATAAGTACTCACTCAAGGAAAAATTCTTAAAGATAAGTTAGTCTTATCAATTATGGGATCTTAAGTTATGCAAAAAAGACCAGATCTCTTCGACTAAAACACACGAACACAGACTAAATGAGATTTTGTGTTTAGATTATCCAGTTATCAGTAACATTGATATTTGTCGCATTTACTGTGAAAACGCATTTCTTTGCACATATATAACGAAGTAAACGCATTTCTAGAATTCCAAAAGACGTTTAGGGGGTGCAAACCGCTACTACCTCTTTCCTACAGTAATATAAAAACAGAGCGTGATGAAAACCCCATACAATTTGTATAAGTAATTTTGAGTGCAATTTGGGAAAAACATGCACAAAGGAGTTTTCAAAGACTACCAAAATTGCACGACTCAGAAGGACAAGTGCGATTTGAAGTCTTTGAAAAACTCACGAGTGCTTGTTTCCCAAATTGCACGAGAAACCATGCTATTACATTTTATTATTATATGGCAAGCGTCACTTGTCATGCGTCAGTTGTCGTTTATATTAAATGAGTATTGGCAATAGTGCTTTTACGAAATTATGGAGACGATACATTTGTCGTGGGCTGGAATAGTGCGAATGATATAATAAACCTTTTAATAACCTCGCTTTCTCGGTCTTTACTAAGAAATATTGGACCTCTGTCCTTTTGTACAAACCTCCCCCTACGGGCTCGGTCTGTACAAAAAGACCTCAGTCCGTTATTTCTCCGTAAAGACCTCACGCTCGGTTATTAAGGGCTTAATAATATACATGAAAAAATTTCTCAATTCTGTTGACTTTTCAATTCCGTCGGATATTACTTTTCACAACAGCATAACTTCCGCACACGCAGCTAGAACAAGGTATCTACTTTTAGCAGTGTTGTTATTTTCATCCAGAAACACTTTGCAAACGGTGAACTGTGAACTGCTTCGCTAAAGAAAATCTACTTAAAACTTACGCCAGCCGTTGTAATTGCTTTGTTTACGATAATTTAACTTCCCGCTTTTAAAATATTTTATTTTGATAGGCTCTTATATTACTTCTTTGTTTGACTAACCAATCACGAGCAGCTTTGAAGTGAAATCAGCACTGGTGTTTTGCATTTTTACACAGGTGTTTCGCTTTTTTGCACCGGCGTTTCGCACTTTTGCACTGATATTTAGGAAAAACTGCACTGTTCTTAAGCAATCAGAATCGAGAAACTTTTTCATGTATATTATTACTGTCTAAAGCATTGCGATGTTTACACTAAGTACGAAATGTAAATGCACGAGGCACAGCGCTGGATATTCGTAGAGGAGGCTGCTTCGTCCAAATGCTGCTTCAGTTGTAAACACAGCAGCAAACGAAGAGAGGTTTAATGGCTACGCACATTAGGAATACATCTCTTGATCTACAACTATAGGACTCCATTTGACAATGTAATCATCGGTGAAACGGTAAAATCGATTTTCAGCGAAATGACTTATTTCTTACTTAACGTAGCAGTCTGTAACCACCTGCTGCAAACATTGGCGACACATGATGACGTAAGCTTTTAAAAAGTTTTTATCTGGTAAATCGGGAATATCTACGAAAGATAAAAAATTTGTATAAGTATAGTAGCTAGACTCATCCGAAACCGATCATATTATGATATGCAAATATCATTGCACTAATTCTCAGTAAACGCTAGAAGAGCCGTACAAGAAATTGAAAAACCACAAATACAATACAAATACACAGCACATGCACGGCTGTTACTGTAAGGTTAGGTGACAAGAAAGATTCACTATAGTTAATGCTATCGACATATATTCACTTGTGAAGACATGATCGTAAGCCATAATTTACTCAGCTCAATGCATTTTTATTGTAAAAGATAAAAGAAACGCGGAACAGCATAAGAAGCCAAATTGAAAGCTGTTTCAATATTGACTATTTTCATTTAATGTCCATCACAATAATGCGATCATGGTAACAGACGACATACAAGCACAGAAATCACGCTATTACTAAAGGAAGAACACGAATGCACGACACGTAAAAAGAAACCCATCAGGCAACAAGGGAAATGCTTTCTGGTGATACACATTGCTTGATGCACCGCACGAACCTCTGAAGTTTTCACAGTCGACAAGTCGTAAAAGCATTGCCTATTATCTTAGCAGATGATTTTCGTACATCGTCCATTAACAGACACTACTCGAGTGCTCTTTCAAAACACTTTTCCAATATGAGCACATTATCCATAAAATTAACGTTCAACATAGTCTTCTCTACAATGGATGACAACAGGAAATTCTTTAACTATAGCACAAGGCGCCATCTCATAGGACTGAAGTTCAAAGGTAGAGATTTTTTTCGCGTGCTAACGTTCTCAATCACATTCAAGAAAAAACAGATTTCTGGAGAATCGTGAACAGAAAACTCTATTTGAACTTTCGTATTCATTGCAAACTGTTGTTATTACTTCATAAAAAGTGTCCTCTCACATCTGGACTGTTTATCGCACTCTGTATTTTCTCTCGTTAAATCCCAGTTTTGTTAAGCAAGAGAGTTTTTGGTCTCCACATACAGGGGCGTATAAACTGGGGGGAGGCAAGGGCAACACGCCTCTACTCCAATGTTGAACTTAGAGGGGTCTCCTCGTTAATTTAATTATAAACCATTTAAACTACGTCCCTCTATGAAGTGACGACTCCTAAAAAGGACATACTTTTAATTACTTTAATGTTAGCTAATAAATTATTGTAGATGCAACTACCAAACGAACATTTGAATACTTATCCGAATATTTCTTTCTTCAAATGAATATTCGAAACTTTTGTTCGAAAGCATGGTAAAATCGACGGTAACTTTGCAGAACACCACAAAATACTTTAAAATGAAAAATTTCCGAGAAAAATAAATTTGAAACAAAAATGAGATTAATGCTCGCATAAAAATACGTGTTAATGTTGATACAGAAAGCAATAATGTATCCTGTATAATTGTGAATTCCTATCACAATACATTTCATTACATGCATTAAATTTCATTTTTCTAAAGTCCCGTAAAAACGAAGACCTCAAAATTGAAATATGTAATTCTAAGCAAACATAAAAGTAGCTACATGTAGGTGGAAGATAAGATTCGTCTATCGACTTTTATCTCAAAATCTTTTATCTCAAATTTTTATCTCGAATATTTTAAAAATAAAATTTGATAGACAAATATCCTTTATGCGGGATCTCTTGGAAATCTAGGAAGAAAAATTTTTCGCAATAAACATATCGCTCATATAAAAATTTCTCTGAAATATTCAAGTTTTTAAGACTACGTATGCACGAGTTTTCATTTCAAGGCAAACAGGGAAATGAAATGAATAACGATTGCGTCACGTTGACTGAAAACAAAAAAGGAACAAAACAGGTCGTGAATTTGGGCACGACATTATGCCAAACTGTTTAACGTTTTAAATAGCTAAATGACAATACACTGTGGCTTCAATAACGTCAAATTAAACTTTAGGATGAGGTACGAAAACGGAAAACCAACTTGACACGAAAGAGACAGATGTTGGGAAGAACAAAAATAGTTTTGAATAAAAAGAGAACAATTCAACTAAGTATGCACGTCATCAGCATCTTATCAACAAAACAACAACTTTGAAAATTCTTGGCCAAACACACAACACATAATTTACGCGAAAGAATATGACACAGATTAACTGAATGCTATAAAAAAAAGCTGGTTGGAACATATTTAAGTTCGCATGACGTGGAAATTAAGACGATTTTTGACGACAAAACATAGCAATTAATGTCTAAGCACAGCGCCTCTTCCTTCTTCAAAAAGCAATCGTTAGAGAGAGGAGTAAGCACATGATATGGAGAACAACAGAAAACGATGACATAAACATAGTAGCAAATAGGAAAACAAAAAGAGCACGCTATCTCTTGTATGAAAAGGTAATATTCGGTGAGCTCATATCATGGAAGATAATATTGGATCATATCTTTAATCCATATCCTCACGTTCACAGGCTGAAGATAATTGCAGCGTGATCCAGGAAGACATCAAGCACAATGGCACAAGTGTTGAAAAACACTTTATATCAAATAAGATGTTTGGCGTCTAAAATAACATTTCTTTGTAATACAACAATCAGGAATGTGTGTGGACTGCATTTATTAGCAAAGCAAGTTATTATTTGCAAAAGTATTGATGTTAATTTCACTGCAAAAAAGCAGTAATGTTGATTACTAAGGAGTTAGGACAACGTCAGCAAAAGAAAGAGAGAGGGGCATCTTTTCAACATGGCTACACGAAAACAAAAGTTTACAAGCCAGGACTTTGCAATACAATGGCACATTATTACTTCAACTCTTTCCCTTTTGTAAACTAAGACTTTCCTTATAACAGCTCGTATACATATATAACTATGATTTATAGTTAACGAAAATTTCAGATAAACCATTTTTTAATATAGTAATGTGACACTTCGTATGACGCCTTTGATAATTACGTTCTAATAAAAGCAACAATGTTCTTCAAACAAACACGATAAAAACAAGCAAATGAAATCCGTCGCACTCTTTGTAACAAATTAATAAAGAAAAATTGAACACCTGCTGAGAGCAGCACTTCAATAGGAGGAACAAGGCGCCGTTTGACAATGTGGCAATATTATTAGAAATGAATGAAGTATAATAAATCATTTGCGAGGAAAGAGAGCATGTGTTTGGAGACGCCAAGGCAATCTTGTATTGTATTTGAACAGAAGGAAGAGTCTCGACTACTTTATTTCCTAGGACAATTAACATATTCATTTCCGACTCCTTCAATTACGCCAGCCCCATCTTAGGTGGGAAGATAATGCAATAAAATACTTCTGTCAGAGAAAGTCCGTTGATCATAATTCAAAGAACAAAAAACGACATAATTCAATTGATTTTGTGATAAAACTATGGGTTGTTCAATGTCTTCGAAACGTTTCAAAAAAGTCGATACGAATAGTGCAGTTGCTATGTTTGAAGGAAAGCTTAACTTATCATTTCAACAAAAGCAGCTCATTAAGGATTCCTGGACGTTCTTTGAGCCAAAGAAAACTGCGATTGGAAGAAAAATGTTTGTAAAGTAAGTTCATGTTTTAATAGATCAATTTGACGGTTTATTATATTCAGGCCGAAAAAACCTGAGAAAACAGAGAACTTAAATATCAAAGAGCACAAACACCATGAATTAGCTATAGGAAACAGAAAACAGAAACATATTAGGAAACAGAGAACATAGCTGGCTATATCCTGACAATAAAACCTAAAAAGAATGAGCGAGAATTATATATTACTCGACATTCAACGGACAAATATCTAGTCGCATCAAAGAAGATTTACAGAAGTTGAAACTTAATTGAGTAATGAGCCATTTTGTAAACGGCAATAGTTACAAAGGGAATATGGGGTAGACAGTTATAAGAGTTGAAACAACGTGAAGCCGAAAAAATCTCTCGTAATAACGTTGGCAAGTATAATCTCACCGATAATATCTAAGCAAGGTGTATAGACATAAATAAAGTTGAAAATACACAAATGCTTTGTTCTAAAAACAACAAAAAACGCCCAGTGCGGAAGCTGACGAGCCATGTTTAAAATTCATGAAGAGACGCAGCAAAGTTGAGATAAATAAGTAATTGGCGAAGAAGACATTCATAAATAAATGTATAGATGATTCTATTAATACAAACTTCACACTCACCTTGAAGTTTGTAAATAGCTAATATTTGCCCTGCATTAATGGAAGACAGTATGATAAAAAATTTTCAAAGGAAAAAAAGGCTTGCTCTAATGAAAACAATGATATCTGTTCGCAATAATCAGTCTCTATAATGTGAGTAGTATAAATGACTCGTATACGACTTCTACATTTTGACTCTTCCAGGGCGAATTTATCATATTATAGGTTCGCTATATTATCTTGTCAATTCATCACAAACCGAAAATTCTATAATATTGTCAACATTTGACAATCTTAAGATCTTTCACTGAAAGTTAAGTTGACAGGGAACTCGGTAATAATGCAAATTTCATTTATAGCCCAAAAAGATTCTTTGCAGCAACAAGATGACTCGCTCTGCTTATTTTGTGATAATTTTTCACTTTGTGAAGATGATTGAAATACGTGTTTTTTATATTCTTTCAGTCTTTTCAGATCATATCCGGAAATGCAAAACTTATTCCCCGAGTTTCGAGGTCAGGGAAACGTCGATGTGCTGGAAGAAACAAAATTTTTAAACGGCCATTCGAGACGCTTAATGACGGCGGTCGAGAACAGCGTAAACTCGCTAAATGATTTCCAGTCTTGTTCCACATATCTTCAAGAGCTGGGTCGAAGACACAAGTCGAGAAAACTGAAACCCCACTATTTAGAGGTAAAACGCTAATCCATAAAAATTTTGCCATTTTAATTCCTAGCATTGTTTGTGTTCGCTGTACAACATGCCGCTTGTCCATTTAAATGACACAAACGCCAATTTATCAATGTTCACTGCGATATAAATACGGAGGGGGGGTGGGTATTCATATATTCAGTTGTGCCAGATCCGATTTTTTTGAAAGCGATTCACGGAAGGAATTGAGCAATTCATTTTCAAAAGAAATCAGGAAATCAAGAAATCATAAACATGTGAATGAACACGCGCTCCGCTCTCCATTTTAACCTTCTAGACGGCTGTCCATCTGAAGGACTTTAACACCACTTTATCAATGCCCACTGTGCTAACCATTCACAAATATACTGTCTTATTAAGGTAAAATTTGTCAATATGCCTAAGTAAGTTTACTGTTAGGAATGACAATATCAAAAGGCAACACGCTGTTGTTTATCGTGCACAGTGAACCATAACCATATCAAAAAGATAACACACTCCATTTTTTATATGAATTATGACACGACAATATAGAATGATTACATACCTGGGTTCACGATTAACATTCTACCAATAACCAGTAAGACGTAAGCGTAAGCTTTGTACAAACCACAAGTTTGACAAACGTTTAACCTAGTTAGACAAACATAGAAAAGACGTTTATAAAGACATGCAAGAAGAAGGGTTATAAATTCATCAAACGTAGAAGGCACTCTAAAAAAACTTTGTCTTATCGCTCAAAGTGTCTATGTCATGTTTTTGAATCTAGGTTACTTACATAGTTTGGACGATTTGAAACACTTTTGCAATATATTATAGAATTAAAAAATAGGGTTTTGTCGGTTTTTTGCCCTCTAAGTTGCTGTTTTTAAGTTTTTTAACGTTTGACCGCCAGTATGAAAAAACTGGTAACTAATATTATTTGCGACGTCAAATCGGGAACTCGTTTGTGGAGGCTGCACTATATTTTATATAGGACTCGTAGAAAATGGTTTTTATAAACAGATCTTTTTTTCATATATTGTTTTATAATATATAACCAAATGAAAACAAAATACAATGTGAAATGAGACAATACAACTGTGCTTTTATAGTATTATCTAAACGCGTGTTCTCGATTTGACGTCAGATATGGACTCTCGTCCTAGTTTTTTTTGTCATAACGGCCAAGCAAAAATTTATCAACTTTGAGGGAGCATCAAATTTTCCACGTATAAACTATATTGCAAATATGTTCAAAATCATCTGAACTATCTAAAAAGGAACTATCTAGACATGACATAGGCACTTTAACTAAAACTCGATTTTACAGGAATAGATGTATTCTTGAATGCTATTAAGGGAGGGGGTGGTAGGGAGATGCAGGGTAATGCTGTGAATACCTCACAGTATACACCAGCCATCGCGCACGTCCCTTAGTAAAGACTTAGGGGAGTCCCCAGGGGGGCATCCCTGAGAATACAAGCGGTAACAAATAAATCCCTATCTATCCAGGATATACACATCAAAGACTACTTTCCATACTTTTATTGATTTATAGAGAATGGGAGCGGCGATGATGTTGGCATTTAAAGAATTTTTCCCGAATTTGTGGACAGAGGAGATGGACGAAGCATGGAATAAATTATACAGATATATTGCTGACATGATGATCGCAGGATTAGATGCAAGTTAGCAAACTACTTGACCACGCAAAAAACGAGATTAGTTTGAAAGCGAATTTAGTACGCTAAAAATCTCAATTACTTTGATTACCAAACAAATTTTGCCGTCCTTATATATAATCGCACACTACAGTAACATTTATACTTCAAGTTGTTTCCAGGACTTTTACTTTAGTCATTACTTCATGTAAGAAAATTTCAAATATTCCTTCCAGGAAGTGCATTTATAAACAAAATCATTTATTTTGAGAAGTGAAATTCTCAGCATTACAAAGGTTTGAAATAATGCACAAATATTCTTGAATGTCTTTCACCATTCATACGGCTGAAAAACATAAAACAACAGGCCTTGAAGCCTGCTTTAAAATGTGAAACTATTATGATTACAAAATAAATTGTTGATATGCAAAAGGAAGAATGCTGAAGATTACACAACTGAATTTCAAAAGAAAGATTACTAGTCTAGATCAATCACTATATTCATGCTAATTTATGCACTTAGTCCGAAGCTCATTGTAAATAGGAATAGTACATTCAATTACATAAAATGCATATGAATGATAAACATATAATATATTATTATAATTTATGTTAATGCTTTAGCCATAAAACACTTAATTACTATATATTTTTTGCATCTCACCCAATCTCATCCACCAAAATAAAATATATAAGTAGAAAAAATAGAACACACATCATTACATCAATGATTCAAATTGTAATCACACTTATATATGTTTATTGATACAAAAATTAGCTTGTACATGACTGTTGGTTGACATTTAAAATGAATGAACACAAGTCAATGATAATTCTACCAATACTTTAAATGCAATAAAGTGACCCTAGTGTACTAGGCGTGAAAATGTGGAGGAAAAGATGGTTCCCCTATGAGAAACTCACTAAAGACGGCCACAATAACTATATTGAACCATTATCATTAATCCTACTGATAATTTGACACTCCATAAAAGACAATACCATGCAGCAATGGTTGATTTTACTATAGATAGATGGGGTACTGTCAGCTTGTGCTTAAGTAAAAATGTCTTCTCATCTTAATGATTATTAAATAAACAATATTTATTTCCATTGCATATTCAATTGAGAGGCCACAAAAAACTTTAGCTATGTATTGTACATACTCACAATTACAATTATTGGCTTCTGTTATATTGGGCTTTTACATATTCTGTTATTCTGTACAACATGGTCCAGCAAACAACAATATTTACCTTTGTTCTTCTGACAATGGTTTCAAAAATGCCCTGTAGGCTCTTTTCTTTGTTCACAAAACTACTTTGATTCATTTATTAAAAAACAGTTTTCGCTCATCAACAAGCTTTAACTGGCTTCCTCTTGGAACTCTCTTTACGAGAATGTATTTTGTTTCTTCTTTTACACGTCTTTCCCGAAAAATATTTTCATTTCTTGATTCCTCGAAGTGTTTTTCTGGGAATCTGGACTCTCAGCTAAAAATTCCGCCATTGGCCGACTTTCAATTTAGAGATTTTCGAAATTCCGCTTCTGTTTAGCAATTGGTCAAAGTCACCTCATGTGATTCAAAATCGCCATTCTTATTGCACAATGGTAAGTGACATGCATCCAATCAAAATGAGGTAATGAAACAGTGTTAGATGGATAAAAAGTAATAGGATCGACCGTATAACAAAATATTAACACGTGCTGTTCGACAATGGTTCGAATCAATTAAAACAGATCTGGAACGATAACACAGAGTGAAGTAATAAACTATTTTTTCCTGACTCTTTAAGTGGTCAAGGTTCTTTTGAAACTAAATATAGTTAGAAAATATTTAATATTACCTAATAAGGTTAATTTTATATCTCATATATAAAATACACCTGAATTAAATGAGCCGAAAAGAAGTTTTTCTTTTTTATTTTTTGATGATTCTATTCATGGAATATACACCCTATCTAATGCACTTACCTTCTACGGCTCAATCGGAAAAAAAGGTCAGTAATGGATGAAGCGATACGTGAAAACCAAACCCCATGAAATTTAAAACCCGTATTCGTAGAGATGTTCAAAATGTTTTTCAACTGACTACAGAACATTGGACAAGGAGTTATCGTTCCAGATCGATTTATGTTCAGTGGTACGAACGCCTGTCAATCGTGAATTCGATCAGGTCCCCCATTCAATAGTTTTGACGTGCAAATGTTTTAATCATTCATACTTTACTTATAGTAGACAACAAAACAAAGTATATTGTCCGGAGTGGAGGAAACGAAAAATAAAATTTTTACGTATTTGCTTTTGTTTTACCCTTACGCTTATTAAAGCTGCTGAGCTTGTGCTTTTGTCGATAATTGTGCTAGAAGCTTCAATGCATTCTTTTATAATTTCTTTTGTCTTTGTTTTTGCTTATATCTGAAGCAGTGTGTTGAGATTTGTCGTCTCTTTTAGCACTCGGCTGATTAATGATACACTAAACACACTCTTTCAAAAAATGACGCACCTCACAAGTTAACTCGTGCAATGTTTTGAACTGCGCATGCGGGAAGAAAGTAAAATTGGCGAATCCGAAGTAACACTTATTTTTCAGTATATCAGAGAACAAATGGGCTTGCTTGAAACTAAGACCCTATTCACACGATACCGCTTTTGTATTGTACCGGATTCGCTGAGCAATTCCATACGTAAAATGTTCATACAATGTCGGATTCGTAAGACGCAACATTAGTTCTTAGTTCGCCCCAGTGTTTGTATGTGCAAGCAATAACGATGGTTGCTAATTCAAATATTTCGTAAGAAAATGATAAATTTTTTTGACAGATAACAAAGTACAGCTTTTTTTGAGTTTTTTAAGGTTTTTGCATCATTTTGTACGTATGGGCGCAAGGACTGGAAGAGTATAAAGTCCAAATACGACCGAATATATGTTGACATTACAGTAATACTAGAAAGAAGCTTTTCACACTACGATAATACATTGTCAAAAGCTTAAACATGCCTTGCTGAAGATATATTATATTTGCTGGCGGAATTATTCATTGAAAACATAGTTTGTATCGCTATGTTTGCTTTCATTTTTGAAAAATCGCTGAAACTTTTTAGTTACCAAAGTGGAACGTATCGGATTCGAGCGTTCACACGACAACGGAACGGATTTACTGAGCGGATCGGATCGGTTTTCATAACACTTCCACAGCGGAGTCAGATCGCTCCGGAAACGATAGAAAGCGTATCGGATTGCAGCGGAGCCGTATAACGCAAAGCCTATCCGGTACGAAAAGTACTCCGGTATCAAACCAATGGGGTATCGTGTGAACAGGGCTTAAAACAAGATTTTATCTTTACAAACTACTTATAAAACAATGATCCCCACCTCAACCATGGCAAAAGATGAACCGAAACTCGTTTGGCGGCCATAATAGGCACCAAACTTATAAATCCCGCAAATCAAGTCCTCCTATGAAAATTTTTCCTGTGCTTAATCACTGTAGAAACAATAGATTTCTTTTAAAATGAATAATGTTAATGCTCTGAAATTTGCATAGCACAACCACCAGGGCTGGCTACGCTACTGATAGTACCAAAATAAGATGAATGGGTTTTCCCATTAGGTTAATCAAGCAATGGCGATGAAGATTAATTTTTCGCTCGTTAGACTTATTGATTTGTAATGCGTAATGCACTTCATTGTACTTTCAACCAATAACAAGCCATGGTTGCATCGGTAGAAACTGAAACAACATATAACGGAGAAATTCAGTAGTTTCTAGAAGCGTCTCCGTAAATATTCCATACAAGCTACCCGTTATTTTTAAACGCATGCACATTACATACGCATGTATTGTAGTTTTTGTGCATGCTAAGATCACGGAAAATAACGAAGAAAGTAGAAAGTACGCCAATTTAAAACTAATATCTTAACTATAACAATACTACAAAATCAATCATTACAGTTCGCGTGTGCGGCAGATTTTAGCGACATAAAATACGTATTTTACAGTAGTCGAGCGTAAATTCAGTATTTTTTAAAAATCTTACTTGGAAATCCGAAGCAAGAATAGGCTTTAAAAGAAGACATGAAATCGCATCTATTTAAGGTTTTTCGATTTTAAACATTCTTTGAACCCAGAAATTTTTGCTTTATCTAAGCGCCCAACCATATTGGAAGCAAACATACTCTGGGTACGAGATTATTTCATCAAAACCTTTTATATGAACTCAGACTAATCCGTTCAACATTCAGCATCATAGCATCCCATTTTTCATGTTCAGAATTCGCCTGAATTCATACAGTATACGTAAAATTTCTCATCACCAGGCAATCAGAGTGATGATATAAACAGACATGAGCTTCGATTGAGACCGATATCAAACGGCGTTCTATGAGCGATATTTGAAAATCCATGCATTAAAGAAAAGCAAATTTTCAAATGTTTGGTAGAGGTTAATGACTACCTATATGTAGAGAGAAATCGAAAGATCTTCATGTCTTTAAGCGAGAACAACAACGACTCGTTCTGCCGCATCTAAACCTATTTGAAAGAAAAGAATTACCATGGATAGAAAAATTGATGTGTTGATGTGATAGTTACACAGATGAGGTACGTAGTAGCTTTGGTTGTGGGGTGGCAATGTGGAGGGGGAATCAAATGTTCAACCTGAGGAAAGATAAGTCCACTTAGTCAAAAACACTGTAATAAGTATGCTGCTAAGCAAATTTCATCACCTGCGTAAAGGTGAAAAAAGCTACTACAAAGGCAAGGCTAACTATATGATAATCTAACCCTCACAAGTGGCGGTTTGCTAGTTAGGGGAACTGAAAGCCAAGACTAAGTTTTGGGACTTTACGTGATAATTATTCTTCCCACTAAGTTCAGTCCTTGACGAAATTTGAGCTCCTGACGTTCCTTTGCTTTTAGAAAATCATTAACATTGTCGAGGAAATTGGGAAAACCCGCTACTTCATAATTTCTAAGCATCACGCATTAAAACAATTGATATTACGAAAGTAAAATCTCCTTTGAATATTCAATCGCTTTATACGGTTTTCGATCGCATAAATAGTCGAAAATAGGCACATTTACCTATTCCGAAATGGCAAAAAGTAAAAACTAATTATGTCTAGATACCACGGGCCTCTCGAAATCCTGAGCCTATAGACTTTAGCCAATTGAATAAACTCCTTCAATACTGAAAACGTTCTCGCGTTCCCCAATATAAGCACAGTCAAGTATTCTAAACACACCCTCAAGTTGTTTCACTGTGGAATTTCAGCATCAGGATTTGTAAGTAAACTCCAGTCAGTACCAATACAAAAGCCTATCTTTCGTCGATGTTCGAGGTGTTTGCGTTCTTCAATATCCACCCAACGTACCTACAGTGAAAAAAAGAGATCTCATATTATATAACACCAATGATTTAGAACCCAATCCTCTAGATGTCTAACTACCGAGTCAATGTGAGAAATGTACAACATCTTGAAAAGTGGCAAAAAGCGAAACTCAAAATAAAAATAATCTAGAAGAAAGTTTAAAACTCAATCACATCAAACATTTTGAAAATTAAACCTTGACTATCCATTTTGCAAATGTATATCAAATCAGGAAAAGAAAATATTAATCGTAAATATCGTCCGTTTTAGATAAGATATCAATCAAGACTTGTAAGATATCTAGTAGATTCCGTTCTAGGTCATTGTACAATTGCAATTGAGATCCCTTCCACAGAAACGGTACGAAAAACAAAAAAATAAGCGACTAACTCGTTTCTTTCCAAGTCGCATATCCTCCTCTCTTTCGTCATACGGGTCATCTTCGAAGTCCTCGGGCAACGTGGAATGATGGGATTTCCTCTTTGTACCACGTGATTTGATGCCGTCCAACTTGTCTAGTAGAAAAGTAGACCAGCATGAAGAAAGCAAGAACGAATTTGATAAAAAATTTACATGTTGAGATGAGGGAAACAAAATTCAAATACGATTTGGCAAGAGCTAGCTATGCCATAGATACAAAACTATATTTTCATACAAAAGAAGTGGTTTGCACCTTACCTAATGTTTTTTCAGTGACATCAGTCTCATTCCAGCGACTCTTGAATAACGAATCTTCATGCTACAATATTGAATCATTAGTCTGCACTTTTCAAGGATAAATACACCCTTCGAAAGCATTTCTAAAGCATTTTCACATAAACCTTTCGCGATTTGCTGATGGGAAACATTTCTACGATTTTACTGCGCGTTATAAAAACGGTCGATGAATAAAGCCATGTTTGCCAACGTTGCACGCTTTATAAAGATGCCGAGACTCGACAAGCGGAGATGCGTCTCAAACGACAATATCAATGCCTAAATAACTACTCCGGAGAGCGGCCTAACTAACGATTACAAACCTCTTCGTCCAAATCAAGCGAAGCATCTTCTTTACTCGTACCAGGCTCGTCTACAGCCTCCATCTCAACCTGATTTTAAAATATCACATAATTTCTATTGTTTGTGTCACAATCATTTTACAACAGACAACAACGGCAAACTCTAAATAAATATGGCATGATTTAGGTAAATTTGATTTTATTTTATCATTAATCGATTGTTAGGCCGGATCAATTGATGCGTTTTTTCGATTAAACGAATCCGTATGCCTTTGAATCAGCGTTAGTGTGGACGGGCCCTAAGATGAGTTCATGCTGCTGTTGAAATAGCAATCATGCCGCAGAAGTTTTGAAGTTATTGTTTTTTATTTCTTATCTCATAGATAACGGAAATCATGGAATAACTGTATTCCTAATTTCAATCATTACTTGAATGAAATTCTTGATATTATAGCAACTTCGTAAAAAAACGGAACAGAATGGAAAAGTAAATGGTTTGAACCCCGGAGTATCGTTACATGTTTGTAAATGTAGATCGTCCAGATTGGTATAGTCCTGAGAAGGCTGTTTTTGTTGTTGTTGACTGACGTTTCGACAACCTTAGCGGTAGTCATTTTCAGAGTCAAATGAGGAGTGGAAAAGTCGTTCTCCAGTCAATCATTTCGCCGGGTAAGCGTAAAGTGCGATCAAGTGGTACAAGAATGAAACAAAACCGCAGAGAAGTAAAAATATGGATGCAAATGGTGCGCCAACAAAAACGCAATCTTTCACAGCCGATTTTGGAAGTATGCTACCACAATCGAAACCCAAATTCATCGCCACCACTAACCCCCACCCTAACCACACCCCTAACCCCAACCCAAACCATACCAAAAACCCCACCCTCACAATATATCAACCGTTAACCGTAACTTCAGTCTCAGCCCCATCCCTTTCACACATTCAACAAAGTTAATAAAATAGATCCATACACATTTATCATGCAATACCTCGGTAATAGCAGCATCTTGTAGCAACGAGCGAACATCAACTTGAATATAATGGCCAGGTGTATCTTCCCAAGAATCCATGATCTACAGGCAGAAGGAAAAAATGTCGAGCGAAATTGAAAGTTTAGACGTTTAGTTTAGCGTTAAATGGGCTGCAGTGATGTTGGGTTGTGAATCGAATAAATGGTCAGTTGGTGTAATGCTGACCATCTTGGTGTAAAAAAGTCGAACGCTGTTAGGGAAGACTTGACATTAGCCCAAACTACCTGCGTGAAGTCGGTAGATTTTGCTGATAGTGCAAGCCTCGAAATTGAAAAAAATATGATATTTTATTTAAATTTTTAGCTGCTGGTCAAGTGAGCTTTGCCCGCCAACTTTATTGAGCTTGCCAATCGCCAAAATTTATAACTTGCTACCTGGTATATTTGTTTCAACTACAATCGCTGCTCGAAAAATTAAAATTGAGTTATTACAAGCAAACAAAAGAAAGCAAATTTTTAGAATTTCGCCTTCTGTTTTTTCCACCAGGCAGTTCAATCTTTTTTTGCGCCTGCCATGACTAAATATGGCGTGCTTTTAGCCAATGGCACCCCGCTATTTCGAGCCCTGTAATAGGGTGAAGAATGAGTGGATGTGTGGTTAAAATTTGCTTTAAGTACCTACATCAGGGTCAGGGAAATGAATTTTGTAGCATTTGCAATATATTTGATAGGTCGAAAACTTTATCTTTATGGACATTTCGGGTCTAGAATAGGTGACTCGGAAATTTTATCTTTATGTGACTCGATGTCGGAAGTGACGTAAAAAGAACACGATAATTTCAAATTTACAGAAGAATGCACGATCATAAAGAATTCAGTGTGAGATAGCGTTCGAAAAGTTTTCTTTGATTATTCACTCAATCGATGTCGTCAAACAATACATGCATGCGCCATCTTAATTTAAATTGCGTTTTTTTAAGAAGATTTGCTAGAGCAGCATTTTTGATAACTATAAACCTATATGATGAAGCTATATCTTAATGCATGTGTGCTTCTTTTTACGTCGCATTCCGGCACAGAGTCACCGACCTCTAGGCCCGAAAACCCCATTAAGACAAACTTTTCATCCTTTAAATCTATTGCACTAGTTGTTGACATTGGTATAACAATGTTACTTCCGCGACCTTAATAAGGACACTTTAAAATACACATAGTTGTTGAAGACAAAAGTAAACTCACATTGTACATTGTGCATAACGGATGAAAGAAAATGATCACTTACTTTCTTGATATCATCAATTGAACGATTGTGAGTATTCTTTTTCGCACAGTCGTTTATATCAGCGGTTATTTCCGCGACATACACCTCGAAACCTTTCTGTTTAGCGGCGCTCCAAAAATGATCGAAATGTTTTATTTTGTTGTTGACACAATCAAGAATGACCATGGGGAAAAATCCATCGTCCAATGTTTTGTTAAAGGATTTGAACAAGCTTTTACGATAACTTTCTTCCAGTTCGGGCTCGTACTCGTACTCGGTTCTCTAAAAGGGTTGACATCAATGGCAGTTAAACATGCTGCAAAACACAACACTCTCGAATATTAAGGAAATTATTGCGTTATTACTAAATAGGAATGTAAGGGAAGTGTCAAACTGCTATGTAGAAAATGTCAAAAACATAATAGCTAGTACAGGATGGGAGTATCAATGTGTCAGTAGAGTGGATGGGAGTATCAATGTGTCAGTAGAGTGGATGGGAGTATCAATGTGTCAGTAGAGTGGATGGGAGTATCAATGTGTCAGTAGAGTGGATGGGAGTATCAATGTGTCAGTATAGTGGATGGGAGTATCAACGTGTCAGTATAGTGGATGGGAGTATCAATGTGTAAGTAGAGTTGATGGGAGTATCAATGTGCAAGTAGAGTTGATGGGAGTATCAATGTGCAAGTAGAGTTGATGGGAGTATCATTGTATATGTTTAATGAATAAGGCTATCAGTGCAGAAAGAAAATGGAAGGAGGTATCGCCGTGCATATAGAATTGATGTGGGTATCATTGTGCAACTACAAAGAATAAAGAAAAAATAAAATGTGGGAGTCACTCTGCAAAAAGCATAAGAATGTTTGGTAGTTGTTGAAAAATAAGAAATAGCAAGTATTAAGGAGTGACCTTAACACTGTGTTGACCATCTGTAATTTTGTGTCTAACCTTTACTTTAACTTTTTTTCCAGTTTCAGGATCTTTTTCCTCCTTAGTGATTTCTTGTAAGAAATAGTCATCTAGATTCAAAATGCGGGGAGCAGCCGCTCCACAAGCAACCTCTTTATCCTAGAACAAATATGACTTTCTAAGAAAAACAGATGACAACTTTTTTCAAGTGAACAAGCGAAATTACCTTGATAAGCCGAGCGATATGAGTTTTTCCACTACCCGGAAGACCACGGAATATAAACACAATCTAAATACGAATGTTTTTGTTTAGTGTATCTTGGAAGAAAGAATGCGTTTCGTTCCAGTCTATAAAAACGTATATTTCATTTTCATTCGTTGCAGAAATTCCAATACTACGTGTCGAAGCATGAGACATGAGTTTGTTCGCTGAAGGAGAGGGATTTGGAGGTCTGGGGTTGAGGGGATGGTTGGAGTTGTGTGTTGGAGGGGATAGTTAGAAATGGGGGTGAAAAACTCTCAGTTGCATTAAAGACCTACTAAGACAAACGCAAACCCTGTAAAGTGTTGACTGAGGCACTACAGAAATATTAGGTTATAAAAGGCTAACTTTCCTTAAAGACGGAGCAAGAACATCTATTTTTTCGTAACTTAATCATTTTGCGTGATTAAGAGCGAAAATTTTGACAATATGACAAATTTATGGTTTGCCAACTTTTTATACTTTTCATTCACATAAGCTACAGCATATATGAGAAAATAAAATGCTACACGTATTTGCGTTGGCTACATAGATTTGTCAAATGATTTTTGATAGCAATCTGAATTTGTATGGAGTAATACAAATCTTGTGAACAGACAGAATTTTATACACAATCACTGCAACAGAAAAATTTAGAAATCCAATAATATGCTTACCCTTTCGGGTCTGGTATCCCTCCCAGGTGATTCCAAGAGATCACCAATGGCAACCACCTCTAACGTAGGTTTCGATAGTCTTTTCGGGGGGAGATCGCGCTCATCATAAATTTCAGGATGATTCCGTCTCCTTTCTTCCTCTCGCCAGCCATGTTTGTAATCAATTGCCGTCGATTGATACAGTCCTTCACGTTCAGTTAACATAGCAACTTCCGAATCACGGATAAGACCATGCCTATAGTCACGTGGCCTTCCTTCGGGAAGTAATTCATCGTAACGACCTCTGCCGACCTCTCGATGATGATCGAATTCCTCGCGGCCTTCGAAAGCTCGATGTCTATCGTAGATAGGGTCTTCCCGATAGAGCAGTTCGTCATAGGGATCACCAGGCCTGAATTCCCCGCGATCCCTGATATCCCTCTCCAACAAGAAGCGATCGGCATCACGACGGTCGAAATCACGGTCCCATAACTCACACGGTCTATGTGGAAAATCATGTTCGAGAGGGCGATAAAATCTTTCTCTCTCGTAGTAAGGATCTTCGTAATCGTGCCTGATGGGTCGTCTGTCTTCGTCCGGGTGCCGAAAATCAATTGGATATCTAAATGAAAACTTTAGGAGTTCAATCATTAAAGAATAGACGTATTGACTTATTAAAGAATAGACGTGTTGACGCATGCGAGAAATTGTTCAATGTCATTATTACAACATCAATTATTTTCCAAATTGCGATCTTAGACACCGACGGTACTTTGTGGTCCCTCAGACAAAATCGAACAAATTTAAAAACAGCTCAGAAACATCTCACTGTCTACGACTGATGTTCCAGCAAAGACAATCGAATACATACAATCACAATATTTTTATTACAAGTAATTGTTAAAGAGGCCGCAGTTTATCGGTGACAGTATCTTGTAGCAACACGGCGTATGTAATTGCCCCAATGATTTAGAACCCAATCCTCTAGATGTCTAACTACCGTGTCAAGGTGAGGCAATGACGCCATCTTGAAAGGTGGCAAAGAGCGAGACTCTCGGGCAAAAATAAGTTAAGAGAAAGTTTAAAAAAATGAAAAGCAAAATCTAAACAATCAACTCTGCAGCTGTATATCTAGACAGAAGAAGCATATATTAGTCGTAAATATCGTCAGTTTTTGCCATCTTTCAAGACGGCGGCTAGCTTCACTCGGAACTATAGAATTTAGGTAAAGTCAGGTATCTAGTAGACTGGGAGTAGATTGGGTTCTAGATCATTGAATCGCAGCCTTAAATTATCGGTATGTCTGTCGCGAAATTTAAGTCACGCCAAATTAAAAATAATTAAAATACTTTCAAGTAAAGTACCTCTCTCTATCGAGAAATCTATCGCCACCAGGAGGTAGTCTCTCGTCAATAGGAAATCGCTCGGGATAATGTTCCACTTCAGTAGGATACCTTTCGTAGTCACGTGGAGGTGGGTACCAGTCCTCTATATAATCACGATCGTTGTAAGGACGGTCGTATGGATGCGGCGGATGAAGGTCTCGTTCGTCTGGTGGATGTCGAAACCGATAAGCCTAGAAAAGATACGATTGTTGACAAAATAAGTCTAGAGATTTTAGCCACGATTATTCCTTGTAACATTTCTGAAAGCTTTGGTAGTAGGAAAAACCATTTACATCAACACAAGAGCAACAAATTTCTATGTATTGTTGCAACAAATTTCTATGAATATTCACCTTCGCAGATGCACATTTTACATATGTTCTACAAGTACTTCAACTGCTAAATAATATTATTATCACATACTAATTTTCAAAGTTCATTTTTCTATTGCTTAATTGGTCGAAATTGTGTCACGTGAGAATGAACAAACTGAACTGTTTTCTCGCCGGAGCCTCGAGAGTAAAAATTATATGTTATTTACCAGTCGATGATAAAAAACGTGTGAACCAAAAAACACTGTTTCCCTCGGTCTCAGTCAATAAGTGACATTCTTCATATTTTTCTCGATTGTGATTGGTTGATTTTAGTGCAGTTTATCTCCAATTGCACTGTGAAAATGTGTGATTGCCCTTGTAAATACTGTAACCTGATTGGTTGAAAGCAGTGAAAGCCAAACAATTTTCTGTTGAATTTTAAAAAAAACAACAAGGCGGCAGTAAGTAAATAAACGTTTCTCCACAATTGCAATCGTTTGAAATTCAAGAATTACAAAAAAAAAAAAATGCAAATAGAAACAAAACAGCAAGTACACTGTTTTTGTGGTGAATGTTAGAAAAGTTGGGCCGCACAACGAGGCTTTTCTGAAGCGATAGATAGTTACCGAAGCGAAGCACAAGTAGACGCCACAAAAATTGTCAACGAACCTCGTTCCATTCCTCATCATGATATCGTCGCTCCTCATAATAAACATCCTCCTCGATACCATCTCCGTATCTCCAACGATCAAAATCATGAGGAGGATACTACAAGACATTAAAACCTGGATATTTTCTCTACGCATTATGAAAAATTCATTAAACATTAAATATCTTAACAGCAATATAGCAAAGAAGCTGACACACATTGAGTCCATTCAAAGTATTTTTTCCTTATCTGTAATGAGTTAAAGTAATAAAAAGCAAAAGTGTAATTTTGTAATAAAACAATATATGTAACGTATGCAAATGAAGCTATATCCGGTTTCAATTTTAGTAGTGTATACGTAATATAGATACGTGATCCACAGTGGCGGGGGCAGAATTTCATTTTGAAGGGGGATGAAAACACCCTCAAAATGTCACTTACATTCACTGTGCATTTTCAAGTAATCCTTATGAAGACTATAGTATGGAAGATATTAGTGGAGCAGTAACTAAACCCCCCCCCCTTGCTAACACCACTGGTCATCCGTCCGTGATAACTGGACAAAGATTTCATTCCTTACGTCGTTCCTTACCAAATGATCATCGTACAATCTTGGATCTTCTTCGTACATGAGGCGTTCTCTCTCCTCTTCGGCTTTTTTCTTTTCATTTGCTGCCGTCTTTCCTGTAACAATTTTGCAACTCCGTGATTTCTCGCAAAACGTTTAACGCGTGTGTTCTAAAAGCTCACTCAAAACTCGCTGAGCACGGCTTCAAATTCACCTCATAACTGTTGCAAGACGGTATTTCTACTCCATTGGTTAGTAAGATTAGGATTTCTGAAATACACTCAGCAATTGTAAGTGCGAGTGAACTTTTAGAATACGGGCGTGGATTTTCATGCTACTCTTAAATTCAGTCTGAATCAGTGAATTTTATCATTCCTGACTTATCCATGAAAGTGAAACAAGGGAAATAATTATAGAATTGCATTGTTAAAAGACGAAAAATATAATATACAATATCAAAGGTATTTAGCTACTGTTAAACATCTTCTTATTTCTTTTTTGCACATTCGATGTAGAACAGGTGATTCTAAACTCGTCAAGGACGCTTGCATCTCCTTTATAATCTGATCCGCAATTTCATGGAGCTCAACCTATTTGTTTTAACCTTTATGATCTGATCAACAATTCCATGGAACTCAACATATTTGTTGTAACCTTTAAGATCTGATCCACAATTCCATGGAACTCAAGCTATTTGTTGTAACTTTTTCAATTCTTGGGCATTTCGTGTGAACAAACACGAATCAAATAGTTGCACTAAAGTCCTCGATCCTAACAGCTCTATGAGCCGTAAGCAGAGTCAATTTAAACTTACCACAATCGCGTTCCTCCAATGGAACAGTGTGGGTAAACGGACAAGTTAATCGATTGCACCTGAAGAGAAAACAGAACAATGAACAATGTATCATAATTTCGAAATAAATTGCAATACCGTTCAAATTGTTACGGTTCTCGGAGTGGGGGTTAATAGATGCGGAGCTTTTAATAGAGAGAGGGGTGTTTGTATCATTTCATTACCTTGTACGAGCAAAATTAAGACTAATGGAAACGGGACGTTTATTAGAGACAAGCGTCTGATACCAACCCAGGTTTCAAACGAGGGTGTTTATTGGATGCTAGAAGTTTGTTTGATGTTGGGGAAGGGTGGGTGAGTCATTACATTATTTATTGTAATTCGACAGCTTACTTGGAGTCGTATTTACACTCTGGATGGAATCTACCACACTTTTCCGAAGGCCCACATCTTGGGAACTTTTTACAAAGGAATGGATGAGTTTGCAAACCTGGTGCTTTGACATCACTTGAAACATCTGTTGTAAATTGCATCATGTGGTTAGTTTGGTAATGTCACAGTATGTAGAACGTTAATTGGAGGAGGGGGAGGGTGCGTTTGCAAAACTTGTGCTTTGACATCACTTGAAACATCTGTTTTAAATTGCATCATGTGGTTAGTTTGGTTATGTCTTAGTCTGTAGAGCTTTTGGGGGGGGGGGTCATTCATACATTCAGTTGAGCGCGACTGGTTTGTTTTGAAAAGTGAATTGCTTTCCTAAAGAAATCATTTGGGCATACCTTAATATATCAATAACCCCCACCACCCCCAAACTAATGTTCTACGGAAGGACTTTATTACACCGAGGTGCTTAAAAATTAAAAAGAACGATATCTAAGTTCATATTGAATAATTCCAGGAATTTAAAGTGGCTGGATCCTTTTCTCTAATCAATTAATCAAAAAATTACAAAATTTTAGCTCTACCAATAGCATAACTTTGAAATAATTCTACAGTGTTGGACCCTAAATGATATCCTAGGCTTTTCAAATAACAAAGCATTTATTACATTTGGGTAATTGCTGCATGAGATATGACGTTTGCGCTGATAAGTAATTATTGTGCAATTAGCGTATCCTAATTTGGATAATTAGTGAAATGAGTGACACACTGATTCTTTTGCATATGTCATTTTAGTACACTTTAACCTTTCTCAAAATGATATTTCTATTTTAATAGCTTTAGAAATGAAAAAGACTCGACAGGAGACGACCATGGATTTCTAATGAACTAACTAATATACATAATGAAGAGTTTTAGTGTCGGGTTTACGGCACACGGCAAACCACAACTACCTACCAGTTTGCCGTTGAGGTTTGCCGTTTTGAAAAAAAATTCAATTTAGTTTGGCGTTTCGCATTTCTATTTACAATTCGCATTGTCATAAGCTAAATTTCATGTTGTGTTAAAAGTTTGTCAATGAAAAAGGCTTATTTATGATGTATACTCACATAAAATAAATACATTGAGCCACAAGCGTCACTAGATTGTATTAAAAATTCTAAAAAGCTTGCCGTACATCACCTACCGCAAGAATGGCCTCTTGGCGTTAGAACCTGAATCGCAAACCACAACGTAAACCGCAAAGCCACGAACACGTGACTTTTTGCGGTTTGCCGTTAACGCCAAACTAAAATTCTCTAATTAGTCAGTGGAGGCGGCAAACTAAAGTCGTCTGTTTAAGGTCAAAATATTTAATATTTAAACAACAAAAAAAATGAACTCAGATTCTCAGGATATACTTTACCTTTTGCTTCCTCTTCCTTAGAAACATCTGAAGCTTTTTTCGCCTTCTGTTGCTGCTGTATCTTTCCAAGCTTTTCCAAGCTTTTCAACTGCTCCTGTTGTCTCATTAACATTTCAATTTCGATTTTCTTTTTATCATTCGCGATGTAATTATCGCTTGCAACAGAACCGGGCTTATTTTCTTCCGTAGTCACGTGATCTGGACCATCGTCTTTTTTAGAACTAAAAAAAAAAACAAGTGAATCGTGTAAAAATGTCTGAAAAGCAACGTTTAAGGATGGCAAAATTATTTAATTTCAGTCATACTTATACTCATCGTTGGACGTTGTATTTCCCCCATCTTTCTGATCAACGACAGACTTCTCTTCAGCCACTGAATCATTTTCTTCAACATCATTGTTTCCATTATTTAATTCTGATGCAACGGACGGTGTATCAGCAATTTCTGATGACGCTACTGTTGAGTCAGCATGATGAACCGGTTCTTGAGGCTTCCCCTCTAAACTTTCATTTGATTTAAAGGAAGGCGTGTTTTCCTGTGTGTTTGTTGACTTAACCATGGGTGATAGACTATCTTGGCTTGACATAACAGGTTTTACATTTTCTTTGGGATGAGTTGTCTGAGCTGGCTCAGTTTGAGATGATGGAAGTGGAGGTCTGGGTAGCCGTAGAGGCGAAGGTGCTTGTGGACGAGGAACTTGTTGACGTGGGACATTACCCGCTACTGGTGAAGTTAGCCTCGGTCGATTTTCTTGTCTAACTTCGGATGTTGGTGTAGAATTACTTGCATGAGTAATTGGTATTGTTGGCCCGCTTCCTCTTAATAATGGCGGAGCAGCTCTTACTGCACCAGGAGCTCTTGTTCTAATGTCTAGTTGTGGCCCACTATTGGAAGGCTGGACTGCTGCTTTATGACCGAGTAGTCCTCTTGGTTGATCCATTCTTTGACCTGAGGGTCCTCGTGGTTGATCCATTCTTTGACCAGGGGGTCCTCTTGGTAGACCCATTCTTTGACCAAGGGGTCCACTTGGTTGAACCATTCTTTGGCCAGAGGGTCCTCTTGGTTGAACCATTCTTTGGCCAGGGGTTTCTCCTGCATGATTTATTCTTTGACCAGGGGTCCTCTTGGTTGATCCATTCTTGGTTGATCCATTCTTGGTTGATCCATTCTTGGTTGATCCATTCTTGGTTGATCCATTCTTGGTTGATCCATTCTTGGTTGATCCATTCTTTGACCAGAGGGTCCTCTTGGTTGATCCATTCTTTGACCAGAGGGTCCTCTTGGTTGATCCATTCTTTGATTAGAGGGTCCTCTTGGTTGAACCATTCTTTGGCCAGAGGTTTCTCCTGCATGATTCATTCTTTGAACAGGGGGTCCTCTTGGTTGATCCATTCTTGGTTGATCCATTCTTTGAACAGAGGGTCCTCTTGGTTGATCCATTCTTTGACCAGAGGGTCCTCTTGGTTGATCCATTCTTTGACCAGAGGGTCCTCTTGGTTGATCCATTCTTCGATCAGAGGGTCCTCTTGGTTGATCCATTCTTTGACCAGAGGGTCCTCTTGGTTGATCCATTCTTTGACCGGAGGGTCCTCTTGGTTGATCCATTCTTTGACCAGAGGGTCCTCTTGGTTGAACCATTCTTTGGCCAGGGGTTTCTTCTGCTTGATTCATTCTTTGTGCAGGTGGCCCTCTTGGTTGATCCATTCTTTCACCAGAGGGTCCTCTTGGTTGAACCATTCTTTGGCCAAAGGTTTCTCCTGCGTGATTCATTCTTTGACCAGGGGGTCCTCTTGGTTGATCCATTCTTGGTTGATCCATTCTTTGACTAGAGGGTCCCCTAGGCTGATCCATTCTTTGGCCAGGGGAACCTCTTGGCTGATTCAATTTTTGTGCAGGAGGTCCTCTTGGCTGATCCATTCTTTGTCCAGGCGGTCCTCTTGGTTGATCTAATCTTGGTCCTTGGGGTCCCCTTGGTTGATCTACTCTTAGTCCTTGAGGTCCCCTTGGTTGAGAAAATCTTTGTCCAGGGGTCCTCTTGGTTGATCCATTCTTTGTAGAAAGGGTCCTCTGGTCTGATTCAACCTTGGTGCAAGCATTCTTTGTGGTTGAACCATTCTTTGTGCAGGTGATCCTCGTGGTTGATCCATTCTTTGGCTAGAGGGTCCTCTAGGTTGATTCATTCTGTGGCCAGGGGAGCTCCTCAGTTGATGCAATCTTGGTGCTGGGGGTCCACTAGGTGAATCCATTCTTTGTCCAGAAGGTCCCATTGCTTGATGCAATCTTTGCACTAAGGGTCCTCTAGGTTGATCCATTCTTTGTGCAGGGGGGCCTCTAGGCTGATCAGTTTTTGGTCCTGGGGTTCCTCTTGGCTGATCTATTTCAGATCTTTGGAGTCCTATTGGTTGATCCATTCTTTGGCCAGGTGGTCCTCTAGCACTATCAATTCTTTGCAAGACAGCACTTCTTGGTTGATCCATTCTTTGGCCAGCTAGTCCTTGAGGTTGCCCTGCTCTAGGACCAGGCAGCCTCATGTTCCCTCCTTGCAACATGTGAGGTTCTCTTATTCCAGTTGCTTTATTTGGCTGGGAAATTTGTTGCCCTTGTCCAAGTGGTTCCCTTAACTGGGCCATCCTTTCAATATGTGGACTGGTTGCACCTCTTGGTGCTCCTAAGCTTTGCCCCTGGTGGCTAGAAAATCCCTTTTGTTGTCCCATTTCCTGTCCTTGCTGTGGTTGGGGAACTCGAGGCCAGAGCATCCTGTGCTCTTGAAAAGCAGGTGGGGTGACTTTAGCTACAGGATATCTATACTGTCCATGCTTTGCAGGTTGAGGTGATGGAGTTCGAAATTGTTGAATGTGTCCTTGTGGAGTCAATTGCTGTTGTTGCTCTCTTGGATATTGGTGATTAAAGTCACTTCTAGGACCATAAGAACTGAGGTGACCTCTTGGTCTTGGCTCACCTTCATTACTCGGAACATGTGGTATAGTTGAATGTTCACTGAAATGTGAAATGTTTTCCTTCTCAGTATTCGCTTCCTGATTCATTGGCCTTGGATCTTGTCGCTCATTTGATACATTTCCTGGTTGTATAGACTGCCTGGACTGTTGAGCTTGCTCATTGAAGTGTGTAGATTGCTTATGTTGGGAACTTGGTACACCAAGCCTTGTTCTATCCAAATGCACTTGAGGTGTTCTAGGATTAAGACTCATCAACGATTGATGACCTTGCTTATTTGGTTGCCTAACAGATGACGGTAATTGCATTCTTGGTCCTGAATTCTGAGCTGGTAGCGGCATTCGATTTAAGGTTTGTTGATTACCTGCCCTGACATTGTTGTATTGCCCTTGAGGTCTACTTCCACTGAATCTTGATCCTTGGAACTGGTCTGGAAATGGAGGATGACCTCTTGGCTCATTGTTTACCCTGACAACATCAAGAGCATAACCTGCAGGCCTGCTTGATGCAAGCCCTCCAGGAATACTTGATGATGGTCCTCTTAGTGAAGGAGGTCTAACTTGGGGCGAAGGGCCTCGTTGCCAAGAATTCAAATTCTGTGGTGGTTCACCTACATGAGGGCTTTTTGCATGGAAGCCTGACGTTGTGGCCTGAAATGATGAAGCCTGCCTAGGCATAAGGGATGGTGACTGTTCATAAGCCTGATGTTGGGAATTGGAAGCCTGCGATGAAAAGCTAGTTGCTGGCGGTTGTGATGGTGGCCCAGAATTGGGTTGGTTTTGACCATATGGTAGCTTGTTACTTTGTTGCCATGATACATTGCTAGGATTTTCTGAAAAGCTTTGTGCATTGGATGTAGTGTTATATTGTGAGGATTGATGACTTGGTAATGGTGGATGACTTGGAACAAATTTATTTTGATTACTAGATGATTGCTGTACATTTGTTACAGTATTTTGCATTCCCTGTTGTGGTTGGACTTGATTTTGATTCTGAGTTTGCATCTGAAAACCTTGTTGACCATACAGTTGGCCGGTAGAGCCAAGATAATTTGACTGTGTGTGATAAGATGATGCGGTCATATTAACAGGTGGTGTGGGATTGACCGTAGGAGCAGCAGCTGACCAAGAGTTGATACTTGCCACTGAGGCAACCGGAGGAGCTGAGTTGACACTTTGAGGTGAAAACATTGTTTGGCTAGATGGTACATTTGAGGTTCGCTGTGGAAACATTTGTGCCATTTGCTGTTCCCATTGTTGCATTTGTTGCTGCCATTGCTGAACCTGTTGCTGATCTGGATGGTTTTTTGTCTGCTCTAACCATAGGTCATATTGCTTCTTCCATTCTTCATATTGTTTGGCAAAGTCTTGTTGACCAGGCAAAATCTATTATGAAGGAGAATATTGTTGTTCTCATTGAATAAAAACTGGGAAGAATATAACAAGCATTGAATAAGAGGCTTTTGTCCAAAAGTTAATCAATGGTACCACACACAAAATCTTGTATTTGCTAGTCAACTTAACCAATGCCTTAAGTTCTTACAATAAACACACCAAACATATAGGTAGTAGCAAGAAAAATGAGAATCGTTGTGGTGATTATGAATTTTCATTAACTAAAGAGGATATAAGTAACTTGAAGATAGGAGTAAAGTAAAACCATGCAATCACTCCCTTATCACTAAAATGTGTTGTCAATATAGGTTTGTGAATGATGTCATGAGCTATTAAGCTTGAAATGTTTTTACCATATGCACATGAAATACAAAGTCAAACTTGAATAAACTTGTATAGATAATTTATATTCCTGCAAAAAAAATCCACCATTTTTAGATCAAATGCTTTTTATCACAAACACTAGGATTATAATCATAAAATGCATGATATATCTTAAAGACAAAAAAAATATCACTTTGGATTCTGGACAAGTGCGAAGATCATATCTTCATTTAATTTCAAAACACCGCACTGCATAAAAACATTCTTTCATATGACATTACTTTGGATTCTTTTGATTTTGTATGCTTGTCAAATTTTACATGTTTCATTGCATTTTCAATATTTAGAAAAATATCAGCAGTTCCAATTATTGCTCGAGAACTGAAATACATGAAAAATTTCTAATCTGCTTGAAGCCATGGGTAGACATGTTTTTGTGCTTGATTAACAAGACAACAAACTCACATGTGCAATCCTGAAACACATCATAATTGCAAATATTTTGATGCAGTGTTGATTATGTTCAGTGCTTCTATTGAGGCACATGAACTGCAATAAAATACAAGTTAATATGTCAAAAGTGGGCACTTGTTACAAGTGAAATTTAATGTTTGAAAATAAAATACTGCCCTTGGTTGCATTAGTCTCATTAGGTACATGTAATTTACAAGTAGATCTTATTCATCCCAGAAAAGCAGTCATTAAAGGCAGGTGGTTGCAAAGCTCAGGTTTTAATATGCATTGAAAACATCCATCTATCATTACTGTACTTAATCTCATTTCCATAAGTTATCAAAATAAACTCCCAAAGAGGCTCAAATCTTGATGACAATTCAAATATTCTACAACATGTCAAAATGGTAAAGGCAAGAGTGGATAGGTGGTATTACAATGTTTTGCTACAAATTGAGAGAATACCTAAATACCATTATGGTTCACTGTATTTCTTTAGAAAAATTTGCAATAAAAAAGTATATGCAAATGGAGTAAATCCAGTTTTGACTTTCCAGTCTGACTTCATTCGTGTATGTGGAGCTATCCCAGAGAAACATGACTATTTCGTGAGAACCGTAATCACAGAAGTTCAGTCTTTAGTGGTTCATTAAAACATTCCCAATTCATTCAATGATAACTGATTGTAAATTTTGATGACGAAACATAAGTTGAGTTAATATTTACCTGACTATTTGGTGCTGGGATAGCAGGCATGGGTGGTACTTGAGAGGGTATTGCTGTCATTCCATAATATGGATAACTTGCATATCCTGAGTAGCCAGGATAACCAGATGCCGCATAATAATTATTTTGTGCCGCAGTCGCCATGTAACCTGCATAGTGTTGGGCGTACTGCGTAGGATTTTGGCCCGTTTGTCCTTGGTTTGGATTCATGGCACCTTCAGAAATATTCAGGCATAAACAAGATGCCTAAAAAGAATTTTCAGCATTGGAATGGTTTAGAAAAGTGAACCATATGTTTGAGCAGTTTCAAGATGGCCGCTGTTTACGCGTAATGACGACATCACAATGATCTAGATCTTTTCCTTCCTCACCCCCTCATCCCCGTATGAAGGCGTTTTGTTTACAGCAAAATTTACGGAAAATAAACTGACGACACACAAAAAACGATGTAATGATACCTAATTGTAAAATAACGCAGTTTTCTTAACGCACGTGACAAAGGATAATCTTAAAACTTAGTGTTTTAATTAAGTTATAAGTTTTTACAACTGTCAATAAAATATAATCATATTATTGAGTAATAAAAAAACGAAAATTTCCTTTCAATGTGGAAGCATCTGTTAAACAAAATGGCAGACGAAATGAAAGAACGTTTGGAAAAAAGAAGAGACGAAAGACTGTTGGAGATAGAGAAAAAGAGAAAAGAAAAAGCCGATCAATTGAGGGAAGAGGAAGACCCGAAATTTATTCTTTTGAAATTTACTCGAGAAAAAAGAAGATCAAAGAAATATTACAAAACTGTAATGGACTTCGACAATGTACTTTGCAAGAGAGATTAGACGAAGCGACAAAACAAACTCAAAAGCTTCAGCTGCTCTTTACCGATTCCTTTGCGTTTTTGCCACCTTATGATACTAAAAATATGCAAGCAGAAATAAAGGATTTACAGCGAGACTTGCACGATAAAAAGACTAGCTTAGTTCCAAAGAAAAAGTTTGCTTTTAGCAAGAAACATGAAGTCGTAAATAAAAGTATAACAACTGATAATAGACAGGTAGAAATACACCTGATTTTATACATAAAGATCGAAGAATGGTCTGAGGAGTCTACTGTCGCGTGACTCGCGTCTCTAAGTGGGGGCCTGGGCTGGGGGCGCGTGCTAGCCTCATGTTATTATTTTGAGCTATTTCTTTCATGCAATTGACATGTGACATGTTGCGTATGTTATGCAAGACATTCATATTAATGATGTGATTGACGTTTCGAAAACTTCACACTGATGAGGCGATCTTTTACTGCAAGTTTGTGGTCCACCAAAGTAGCGCAAATTTTTGTCCTCCCCGTAAAATTTGTCTTTTATCTTGTGCCCCTTGTCCCTTTTGTAAATTCTGTTGACGCCATAGGGTGTCTCTTCTTGTTTTCAGGATTCAAGAAAAGGCAAAGTTGTAAAGAGTGAAGAAGGAAACGAAGTGTTAAAAGAGCAAAGTATCATAAAATTTGAGGAAGAGTTGACGGAGAAAGATATTCGCTTTTCTCATATGCAAAATTGTGTTTTGAAACTTTATGGTTCGCCATCAGCACTGCATCTTGAGAAATTAGAATCCTGCAAAGTATTCTGTGGGCCAGTTAGTGGCTCGGTATTCATCAATGATTGTAAAGATAGCGTATTTGTGTTTCCATGCCAACAGTTGCGAATACATAACACAATTTCTTGCCATTTCTATGTTCACGTGACCAGTAGGTCAATAATTGAAGATTCTGCCGATCTTGGTTTTGCAGAGTTCAACTGGTGCTATGAGAACTTGTCCTGCCATTTTCAGCGCAGCAGGCTGGATCCATCCAAAAATAACTGGCAATCCGTGGACGATTTTAATTGGTTAAGAACTGGAGAAAGTTCTCCCAACTGGTTTATTTTAAGCAAAGAAACTAAGGTTTCCTCGTGGGATTAACTCTGTAAAACGAAATTTTTCATGTAGCTACTCATGAAAATGCTGTTCTGCAAAAGATGGCAATGTCATATAGTCGAAATACGTGAAATAATAATGTTTTTAAGCAAGAGATCGCGGTCATCATATATGGTGATGGCATTGTTTTGTAGTTATTCTTCACGGTTGATGGACGACGAAGCGTGCTTATAGTTCGAGTGCAAGTGACAAAATCGTTTCATTTGACGTTTCATCTGGCTCAATTTCTCATTCTGTAAAATATAACGTAATATCAAATGACATGATATACATATTAAAGGACAGCAGAACAAAAATTTTGTTTACTTGTATTATATTTTCTTTAAGGAGTCTTAAAATGACGCTAGACTTTCAGAAGCAGTTTATTCATATATTTTTTCATTCTGAAGTTCATGAACTTTTGTAATGTCCGATTAACACAACCTGTGACGTCATATTGCATTAGGAGAAATTGAATGATCAGGATGTTTGCTGATCTGTTTGTTCGAGCAGACTGAGTTCTTGTCATTTTAAAGTGCTAATTGTATAACATACTTCGTGAGTATTTCATCCTAAAGTTATCGTGAAATTAGAGGACATATATAAATTTGCAGCAACTCATTATGCAATATGACGTCACTAGTGTGAATCCGGACATTACAAAACTTCAATGTCTTGAGAGTGAAAACGGATTAATAAACTGTTTTGCAAAGTCCTCTGTCATTTTACAAGTTCTCTGCAATGAAAATCAAATTTAAATAACAAAATTTCCCCCATGCCTTCGGTCCAGTAATCATTCCAAGAAGCTCAGATAACAGAGAGTTTCAGATTTGGCTACGAGTACGACTACATAACTGGACCGTGAGAGATCTGGGTTCTATAAGCAAGTTGTACTCGTTGTCAAATCTGAAACTCTCTATTATCTTTTTTAAGATTGTTAAAAATATCGTTGCATTTATGTGAAATTTATTCCAAAGCCATCATCAGAGTATATACATAATATATTAATCCTAACACGTTTTTTAATTAAAAACCATGTTAGGATTAATATATTATGTATATTCTCTGATGATGGCTTTGGAATAAAGTCGAAACACGGTACCATCCAGTAAACTGTTATAGTGGCGAGAATATCTCGTCCATACGCAGTTTAAAAGAGATTTTACTCGTCTCCATTCCCTGTGGGCATGGTAGCTCATCAGGTTGAGCGGCGGACTAGAATCCCGAAGGTGCGAGCTCAAATCTCGTCCAAGTCACATATTTTTTCATGTGCATATTAAAAACCGTGTTAGGATTAATATATTATGTTTATGTGAAATAAGTAGCTACAACTCGACATTTTTTGACAGGCGTTTCCATTGTTTTTGTTGCCGTCTTACTGTATTGAAATGTCATTTGTATGTCACGTGTACGTTTTTCTATTGTGCATTCTCTTGATCCATAAAAATTTTCGAAGGATTTCATTTATATTGTTGTTTACCTGAATATTAATGAAAGAGGCCAAAGTGTCGTTTTTAAAATGATGAAATTGTCTCACACCGAGGACAGAGTATCCTAAAGAAAGTTCAGTTTGTAGTGTAAGTGTTTTGAAAACAATAGCCTATAATGTAATGCTATAACCACTCGCCAAGTGATCCCTATAAAAGAAAACAACGTGGACAGCCTATCAAACGAGGCTCCTTTTTCCTCCTACAATAACAGAATTTTTCGCTAAGTAGAGTTGCTTCAAATTTTAAATTATGGTTTATTTAAAGTGAACACATTCACGGCGTTTCCTTTTTTTTATTAAGCAGACTGGAATTGTAATAATAGCGCAAAGTCTTGTGATATTTGCCTATGCGAAATGAAATCTGTGTGAGTTTGGGTGATAAAACGACGATTAGCTGAAGCACAAAAGATCCACACGAGTTGGAACCTTTGATGTACGTGTCCCCCCCACTTTGCTGAAGCAAATTCTAGGCGGACACGCCTTCCAGCGAAATACTTCAGCAAGATCGCAATAGAACATATACATGTTTTTACAAATACATCGTTTTGCACCACAAAAGCTTGGTACCTTATTTTCTTCCCAAGATGATAACTCTTGGTAAAAATTTCGGCAAACTTTTGCTTTAAACGTAAATTACTAGTAAAATAACATTTTCGTGCAATACTGTCCATATTTATTTCCTGAAAGTATCTTGCTGCGAAGTCACGCATGCGTAGTGAAAAAATACGCCTCGATTTTTGCCGAGTGGGTCTTCTGTTACATGTCTAGTCTGTGGCTGAAGGTTGAATATGTAAGATGATACTTCACGTAAACAGGATCTTGACGATTATTTTAAAACCTGGGCACAACATCTGAACCAAAATATTGAATTTTTTTTTAAAAAATGTAAAAAGTGAATGCCATGGTACACTGTAGCTTTTTACTGTTATATCTTAGATATTAAAGTAATAAGGTTTTGCAAAAGATCCGTTAGTTTTGCCACAGTATAGGAATATACAGTAGGGCCACTTCGCTGTGCAACTAGCTGCTGTGTATTGAATTAGTTTACGGGCTGCCGTTTGCCATATCGTCAATCCTATTGGTCACCAAATGCAATTTACTGGCTGCCAATATGGTAATCACATGCGTAATAACATATGCGTGGCACGAAAAAATTCAATGGAGTGGCCCTACTATATGTTCTCTATGCTGTGGTTTTGCTGCCATTCCGTGGACATTTTTTATAAACATCGACGACGTAGATTTCAGTGAATGTACTTGTAAATTGTGAGTGTTTGAAAGTTCGGCTAAGTAAGTAGTTACTTTTTGAAAAGTTTTAAAAATTTGTTAACATTTTCTTCAAAAAATTTTGCTTTCTTTCAATTTCATTGATGGTCGAATTCAAACCATAGTTTTTTGTGTGTTTTTTTCCACTAAAAAGTTTCAAAAACCAACGAAACATAACTATCCTTTATGAAGCAAGATTCAGGCTTCATGCATGTATTGGTCCTAGATAAAAGTATTACCGAGTCTAGCTGTAATGCATTCCTCGTACAGCAAAATGGCAACGACGGCATCATCTTCTGTAACCTTCAAGACATAAATCAGCTGCTACTCGAATTTCAGTGAATTTATAAAGATAATGTAGAAAAGATCTGAAGTTCAGGCAATATATTAAACTTACTTCGCTACGCAAAGACAGCTTGGCATGAGCTTCAGCAATTGATGTCCTACACACGACAAGCGATAAATAAATTATTGACGTCTCTGTATGTAGGAAGTTAAGATGATAGACGAAGTTTAGATGATAAAGGTTTTTTGGCATCAAACAAAGTCAAATCTTACATGGATTTCAAAGCAGGAAGAGGAAAGTTCATTCCATTTGTTAAACCAGAACTTCGCGATCGCCGGCTTGCAACATAAAATCCTTGAATCAAATTTGACGCTTCTCTGCTGAACGACGGTTTTATCTTTGCAGCATATTGAAGGAACTCATAAAAAAAGCATAAAGCTATTTATATAATAAACTGTTCCACATTAATCAAGATTTCAAAGCAACAGGTCCATTTCCTTAGCAGGCTATACAAATAGAATTGTCGACTCAGCATGACTTAAAATTATATGCAATTGTACAAAATATCTTTCAATCTCTTCTACATTTTACTATTTTTTGCTTTAAAACATTAGTTTCATCGATTTTAGAATGTCATAAGAACACAAGGCATTATAAATTGGGAAGTGTTTGCGGGCTCAGATAACTTCAATACCCCCTTTCCCATGGCATTAAAATAAGAAATATTTACAGGGACTCATTTTAGCCCCTTGATTTTTTTCTGATGAGTTTCTGTTTGCTTCCTCATTGTTACACTTTTGTCACACTAGTCTCACACCAGTAACGCGGGAAGCTCATTGGCAGTTGTTCTTCCTAATTCCTCTATATTCAAGTATAAGATGATTTTTGATATTGTAAATCCCAGGTTCCTAGGAGACGCTACATTGGAAGAAATTCAAGCAAAAGTTTAAGTTTGCAAAAGGCCATCACTGCCATTATGTGACAAAATAGAATGTATTATAATTCTTTCTAAACGAAACGTTTGTTCATTTACAAGGACGCATTTCTTATTTACAAGGACACAAAGTGTATACAAACATACCGAGCTCCCCACTGCATTTGCCAATGATGACAACATGCTCATTAAACAATAGTCGATACCTGTTTTGAGTCAAGACACGGTTTTACGTACCTGATAAAATTCTTCATCTGAAACGCAGCTTATAAGTGATCCATCTTCAGCCATTGCAGTACATTTCCGTAAAGTGTTTTGAACAAGAAGATCCTCGGCAAACTGTTCGTCAAATGAATCTTCAGTCATAATGTATACGAGACTGAAGTTGCTGGAAGTAAAATAACTGAGAATAAGGAAAAAGGAGTACACACATATAGAACTTACAAAAAAAAGGGTATATAGCTTATTGATCAACTTTCGTTACGTACTCGACGAAATTCTTGGATAGATGACCGCTTTCCTAGAAAATGCGACAAATTCTAGAGCACGACAACAATTGTGTTTATCAATTACATCGAAGATGAGAGCATATACCGTTGTATTAGGATTGCACTTTGGTCGCTGTTTATCTGCCGTTGGTTCATAACAGGCCCACAGCTTGCAGCTCACTGGAACAGATATCTGATTTTTGTTGTGATTGATAAGTTTCTTAGGGATATCTATTGTAACACATTCCGTTTGAAGTGCTGATGACAAAGAAATTGAAAAAATTATAAATTCACATTTAACGAACGAAAGACATTAGAAAGTATGCACGTATGTGTGCATGTGATTCTTGGTTCTCCCTGAGATATTTCACTGAGATTATTAGTGAAAACGTACGTTTTATTTAAAATAAGTCCTCAATAAATAATAATTCCAAGTTTAATTATGTATGTAGCATTACGACCATAGTTTTAACTCAAAAGATAAAGAGTTTAAATTATAGAGAGTTCGCCGACACAGTTATTTGAAAAAGTAAATTGTCGTGTACGAATCAGAACTTAGATTATCTTGAAATGAAAAACAACTTGAGAATTATTTCTGTCTTCTGTGTTCATTATAAAAAGTTTTGCAATTTAAAAAGTTTGGCAAAAAAAATTACCAAACGAAGTTTTTCTAAGATTTATTTGGTCGTAATTTTTTGCCTCTTGGGATTATATTTACTTTGCCTTATTGTAGTATATTAATAAGGCCATCAGGCTTAAAGATAGATTTTAGTGAGTTCCAACCGTTTTCAAGTTGCGTCATTTCTTTACTCTTCAATTGCTTCAAATTATTGACAAGACAAACTCCATCACTGGCTAACAACAGGCACCCACCTGAAAGAAATAATAACGTCACGTAGCACTCAGCGCTTACTTCAGTCAAAAGAAGTTATGAAGTAAAGAATGACGTAACCTTATTCAGAGGGGAATACACAAGTATAGTTTTGTGGACGTTTGGACCAAAACATACCGTGAATAATACACGTGTTATTGTTCCTCTGATCCGCAGATATGGAAAAACACAGATCATTGCAAGTGGAGTATGAAAGGGAATGACCTGCAAATGATTTTGAGTAAAAGAACAATCTTTGTAGAGGAAGGATATCTTTGGATATGGTTAGAATATGTAGATTTCCTCCCGAAACCTGCTGCTTGCTATTTGAAGAATGCTGGCTCACAAGACTTAACAGAAGAGCCAGCTTTAATCGAATAAAAGTACCACGAGGCGTAACCGAATCTGGAGTGAAAACGATTTGAGTAAATAACGAATCCTTTTTATCAAAGTAAACATTTTATCAAAGAATCCTACCACAAAAGATATAAGCGAGACGTGTAGCAAACGTCCATGGGTATTCACCACATTCTACAAAAAAGAAGAAAATTTTGACTTACAAGGTAAAAATCACTGCTTTGCTAAAGTCATTTCCGATCACTTCAAAATGTTTCTTTGTGCCTACATTCAATGACTTGTTTTTTTGGCAGGTATAGTTCTTACAACAAAAATTTAAGTGCAAATTAGCAACCTGGGGCCGGTTGCACGAAGCTTGGATAGCGTTATCCATTGGATAGCAATTTTTTTAAACTTTTATAAAACCTTTTAAAAAGCAAGAAATATATGATTCGAATTGAGCAATCACTGAAATGAAATATTGTTTCGAAGTTTACAAAATTTCTTTGTCGTAAGAAAAATAAAACACCTTTTTTAAAAGTTTGAAAATATTTGCTATCCAATGGATAACACTATCTGGGCATCGTGCAACCGGCACCTTACGGTTGGCTCCAAATGTTTATAAATAATACTTTTGCCTTTCAGAGCAATTGACCCTGTAGCATTTTTATGTGGTTCAAACCTTGATAGAGAGTTCGTATTGTTGATATCCTCTTCAAGTTAAATGAGACATTCAGCATAGAATAGTTGACCTGAAACAAATGTAGCAACACGCAAATGTCCACGAACCTTACTGAGAAAGAGAAAATTCAATGATTTGATGTGTGAATTTGTCAAGATATTTGTCAAAATCTAGGAGTCTTTGACTACATAGAATGTGATTATATGAAATCATTTAAGATACGTAAGTACATTTAATCAAAACATAAAACTCAGCTCGATTTCTTGTAGCCAGTAGTCAATGAATCCGGGGGAAGAGAGCATCTAATGTCGTTGGTGTACGTGAAAAGTGTTGGTGAAAACAAAATTCATTTGTTGCGTACCTTTGTTAGATTGTTAACCTGGAAAAAGTACAATTTTCCTTGAACATGAATCACTTTATATCAAATTCGGAGATTACGGAAAACATGTCGAGAGATACTCACTTCAAATATTATATCAACGTGAGTGGAAGGCGATGTGAAACTTTTTCGATGAGGAATCAAAGAAAATGAATAGATCGAGCCAAGTTGAACATCATCGAGAAGCTCATCTATAATGAAGATGAAAGAGAGTTAAAGGTAAAAGATGATATTTTGATAAAGAGGAATACTCATATACCTCTTACACAAACCAAAATCGAACGATTCAAATAACACGTTGAACTATAGCTCTTTAATTGATCACAACTCACAATACGAAGCTTGCAGTGTTCTATTGAAATAATGAAATAAAAATTTACATAGTAGTAATATGATACAGTGATTGTTTATACAATTCTGAGTATATCATAAATATTACAATGAAATGATGTGTGTATTTACACACTGAATATAGTGTTAAAAATTTGAACGTTGGAATAAGGGTTAGTGTTGTTCATTAACATATAACTGACACTAATCTCAACATTCAAGTTTTTGGTTTTAACACTATATTCAGTTTGTAAATACACTCATCATTAATTCTAACAAATATTTCATAGTATTTTTTATATATAATCTACTCAGAATTGTATAAACAATCACTGTAAAAAATAATGCCTTAAAAACGCAATTGCCTCATGTTGTAAATGGTTAAAAAGTTTTAGAGTTCCCAAGAGTACTAAAAACAAAGTATAGATACTCAAAAGTTCTGAAACCCATAAAACCCAAGACCATGAAAAATCAAGAGAAAACCAAGATTGTTTTAGAATCAAACCAAAAAGTTCTGAAATAAACTGTCATAGAAGTTTGAAACACATTACGCATAGTTTTTACTCGAGTTTTCTTTCCTAGACGTAGAAATTTTTAAACTTTTTCATTCCATACATATTTTGCTTCTGGCATACTTATGCTATCGTCAATCTCTTTTGTTTGTTCTGTTATGTATCACATGTGACCATAAATTAATCTGCATGTAAATGCATGATGTATATCATTTACTCTGTACTGAAAATGGCGTACGTCTGCCGAAACCACTGAACTGAAATCAACTGGAAGGTAACCTTTTGAAGCATTACAAAATTTACAAAATTTGAAGCAGACAATTAACTAGTCCCAGTCTTTTCATGCACGGTCAAAACAACGATTTTGGCTAATCCAGAATTCGACTCTCAGACACGCGTGTCTATGGGTAAAATTTTGATTCATACAAGTAAAGGCGTGTTTATCTTAGGGTAGTCTTCCAGTTATAGATTTAGTTTAATGTCCCAAACAGATGTACAATAAAAAAGGTTTAAACTAATTCGTCGTTAATTGTAAACACTAAATTCTCGTAACATTTTATAAATTGACGTAATTGACGTAACATTTTATAAATGAAAAAAACGCACAAAGAGCAAGAGGACACACAAGTTGAAATGATATGTTGGATAACTTACCACCAAGAATTCTACAGGAAATGTCTTCATCCAAAGGCAAACCACATTCAGTGCAAATCATATCACTGAAATAAAGATATAAAGCTTTAATTCCATTCATTGTTGGATCTTTCATTTGAGAATGTGACTGACAACGATTTCGGAAATCTTGAGGTGTCCGAATATGATCGCACCTCTGAAATTCGTTCGAGAATTTATCAAATCCAGTTCCAAATTCAAAGCTGCATAAACTGTTTTTACATTCAAAGCAACTGGTCTTTCTGCAAAAAAATTGAGCATAATGTCGTTTTTCACAATCAATGGGAAAAATTGGTCACTGCCGCAAGGATTCTCAAGTCAACACTTAAAATTATCATCAAATTTTCTATTTCTTTAACAAGGAATATATGAATCATGTGATCATTGTGACAATGTGCACACATTTCACAAGTTGAAAATAAACGAAAAGGACGAGGATTACTAAACTGATGGAAGATTTCATTCAATTTCTTTTTCGTAACCTCGAACCTAATTCCCTAAAAACTTCCATAAACCCTCGTCTTCGAACCAAACTCCCTAACATCCCCAATAAAGCCTCGTCTCAAATCTTTCTATCTACTAACATGTAAGATTCTGGAGTCGTCATGTCGATGACCAGACCAATGGTGGAAAATAACGGCATTTCTCCACTGTTGGTTTCCATGATTTCTTTTAACGAGGACAATGAAGAACAACTAAATTAAAAGCAAATGCAATGAACGTTGTATTTGTTCAAGGTAATAAAGTGCCAACGCAGACCGCTGGATTCTTGCCTGATGTATCGCGGTAAACATGTATATCGAATTTGAGGATTTATTTGAGATATTGACGTGACATGACGGTTCCAGTTGAGCGTTCGAATACAAACAAAACAGGCCTGAATGTAAATAAAAAAGATCTTGTACAACTTGTTTTCGATGAATTAATATCATAACTAAATTTACTTGAGTAAATATATATCACCTCTTGGAATAATTGTTTCGCCTTTTGTGGATGGTTACATACTATATTGCCAAGATGAGCTGAATGATGAGAGAAAGTTAGGTTGACAACGAAAGAAAAAAGTTGCTTTGTTAAAACTACGGACTTGTCTATTAAAATGAAGACACCGCGAAAATCAATATCAGAAAATAAAATCACAACAAATTCAAAAATTATTCGTAAATGTGACATTTCACATCATCAGCTAAACACCAGGGACCGAGGAAGATCGATCACGGATAATTCAAGGAGCAAGGGAGGGTGTATTTATATCATCATATGTTATGACTGTCATAAAAATTTAATTCAATGGAAACTAATTAAGTAGAACAAGCATATAAGAATATTTCCCCCATAAAACTTGTGTCTGAGTCGACCACGATAACTTATTCAACAAGTTATAGAATCATGCAAATTCCTGTCGCTCCTTGTGCTAGACTCAGTTTATAGTCTGATAGCTCAGTTTCCCGATCGTTAAAAGCAGGATTACTGTAACTGATCGTACCTAATAAATTCAAGCTCATAAAAATAACATGCATTGCGGCCTAGATCACCTACATAGCAAGCGAGATTTTTTCTTGAAAGACAGAACGAGCAGTTTGTCCCTTTTCCCCTGCTTAAGACCACGCAAAAAAAGAGATAGCGAGATTTAAGTGATTTTTAACAGGCGCTACATACAAGTTAAAACATAAGTAGTATTCTCAATATGAATGATTGATTAAGAAATGAGGTTATGAGGAAGAGTTATAACCATCTGCACTAACAGTATTATAGTAACGTCTCAATTCTAATTGGTTTAGAAAAGTGCAATTTCAAGAAATTCCAGTAATTCAGACTTCGACTAAAAGTGTGGAACATTTACGCTTGTTGAGTCTTTACGTGGAAACAGTTCTATTTTCGCAAGTTTGGAAAAAAGAAATGCAAATGTGCTCGGATTTTGTCAAGTAAATAGATTGTTTCTCATATAATTTTATGAAATAAAAGCAAAAAAGCGCGTGCGATGAGTGGTCTTTTGCTGTTTTTGGTATTGGTCTGTGCATATCGATCTTAAGAGAATATTACAAAACAATCACGAATACATGTTAGAAGAAAAATTAAAACGTTTGTTTTGATCTCTCCTGTTTCGCATTATTGTCATTTTATAACAATAGATGTTTTTCGTGTTTGCACTGGCTTATGTAAATCTTGGAGAAGTTTGTGAGAATCTTCGAGCAGGCTCAACCTAAACCTACGGTCTCGGGCTTGCAGAGATCTGCTTTTGAGTTCTCCAAAAGGTCTCCTCGGTTTGCATAAGTTTGCGCAAAAAAGCCAACATCTTTATTTGTACGTGTTTCTTAATTTGTGTGTATTACTAAGCCCTTAATAACCGAGCTCGAGGCCTTTACGGAGAAATATCGGACAGAACTTTTTCTGTATAGACCGAGCCTGTAGGGCGAGGATTGTACAAAAAGACAGAGGTCAGATATTTCTCAGTAAAGACCGAGAAAGCGAGGTTATTAAAAGGTTTATTATATGGCATTATTTGACCTGAAACGAGGCTTGCTTGCTTTCTCGTCCTTGCTGTTTTTTACCGGTTGGCTTTCACTCTTCTAGTTTTCGTACAAAAAAAATAAATCGTTTCAAGTTGTATCGTCTGGATAGTTTAACTGTTTTTTTCTTTTGTTTATTTTGCGTTTTGCAGTTTGCATTACGAAGTTTGTTTACATTTGACTGTAAAATTACGCATTTTGGACCGTGGTCGATTACGGGAAAACAATGGACCGACAAAAATGTTTATGAGCCAATCAAACCGCGCCATTTGGCCGGAAGTGACGCTTGCCATATAATAATAATGAGCAATAGCGTGGCTCCTCAAGTAATTTGGAAAAACATGCACTTCAACATGTTTTTTATCCAAATTGCAATCGAAATCTCGCTATTACATATACAAACACCTCGCACTTGCATCTCAAGAAAGTTCGTTAATTACGTAGAGGCATTCAACCACAGAACTATAACAAAAATATCTACTAAATTCAGTGGGTGATTTGACATCTTTGGCATTCATGACGCGTATTTAAAGTTTGAGGTAGCTGGGAATCTATTGCCGAGTCATTTGAATAACACACTTAACGGAAAAAAAACAGCTTCATAGTCTCAGTCTCGTCAAAGGTCTCGTAACATATCCAATATTTTTCTTAATGAATAACACTGTCTGGAGTTATACAAAAAAAAAAGATAAACAATGCAGTTTCATCTCATTTGCCAACAAAATCGAAACCACTTTAAACCAGAAATAATTGAAATGCTAACCGTCATATTCCAATAGATATCCGACATCCACATTTAATACAAGTGTAAAAATTTTTCTTTCCTATTGAATAAACACAAATTCACGCTTTTTAGCTGGATACATTGACCAGTTGTTGTGAAATTCAAATTCTTACCATTTTGCAGTCGGACGTTTCTGTATCGTAAAAATTACACTGTTCGCGTAAGCTTTCCAGAGCACCAGATATCAACAACCAGTTAAAGGCAGCTTCCTCCGGACAAACTTCATCTTTGTTTATAGCATCGTCCATTACTGATCACAGAACGCAATAAAAATAACGTTGTTGATGCAAAAACAAGCCTAATAAATATCATACATCAGTAAAAACAATTCACAAAGTAGTTTGTGAATGAAAACATGAACTCCTCGACAATTATTTCACACTGAAAGGCCCACAATAGTTTTCAAAGCAAGAAAACGATAAAACTTTGTTTTTCTATTAAACAATGAACTTGACTGAGATAAATTTCCCGCCACAATTTCTTGCCTTGAAAATTGAATTCCATCGCTCAAACGTCGTTTTTAAATAACCAAACACCAGTGGGAAATCAGTTTTGGAGGGGAAGGGGATTTCGAAAACACAACACACCAAACAATTGAAGAAATAGGTTCTTCTCAAATCTCTAGAACATTTCTAATCCAAATAATACAATTCAGTAGATACTTGATTTTCAACAAAATTATATGATCGATCCACTGAAAACTGCGATCGCTGAAGGCTGTCTAGCTTGTCTTAAGGTTTTATATAATAAAACAAGCCCGAAACGAGAAAACAGCTGAAGGTTATCATGTTTACCCATGATCTACCAAGTGGAATTGTCTAAAGATACGACATTTTTCAGAATTTCAGTATATTCAAATAAATAAATTTTTTTCACTACTTTCTCGCCATTTTCATGAAAGGTAAAGGGGGCAGCTCTCCCACCAAGATTTACGCCACTATTTGCCACAATTCAAGGCTTGATTCAAAAGCTTTGCATAAATCATTCCCAACACTTGCCATAAATCATGTCTTGCATTTTGTCTCGTTTGTCAGTGAGATAAACGTTATGAATAAATCCGTCTTGATACCAACAAAAGCCCCGTCACTAACATGATAAACGAATAAAATAGAAAGTCATTCGCTTTGACTAATTAATTTAAAAGTAGAGTGAGTGATAAACAATGCGTTGATAACGTAATAGAGAAGCTGCTCTGTTCTTTTATTTTCATTGTTGAGAGATGGACGTGGTTATTAAAAATCACAATCGATGTCTCGTAAGCTTGCACTCGAACGAACAAAACTTGAACGTACTACGTTAACTCTGGTAAACACCGCATTAGTAAAATACAGAAATTCTCAAAAGTTTCAAAAGTAAGTCAGAATAACATTAAAAAACTCGTTTGACTTAATTAATTTGAAGATGAGATGATTTGGACAAATACGTTTTTATCTTTTCCACATTCAATAAATAGCGTTATTTTTGTAAAAAAAAATGAACAAGAGGCATCGCATATTTACTTTATACATTAACAATGAGATTTATTCAACTTTTTACCGCAAACACAACTGAACAAATTCATCGCTACTGACATATTTGCAAATTTGAATTAACAGATTGCATATTGCCGTGTTTTAATTGAAGCAGTTGCTATGGTGACATGTACACTGGCGATTAATTACCCGTTTTTGACGTTTGTGGGCCGGGCATCGCGTAATGAGAAGCTGTGAAAGGCAAAGTTAAGCATACTGCATAGATAAAAACATCACAATGCTGTAAAACGAGTCCCGAATAAACTGAGGCAGTGAATCACAGAATAAGGAATGGGTTGTCAGTCCTCGCGAGAAGCACCGAAAGGTAATACTTGTAAGGAGCGCTCGGCGATCTCTTGCAGTAACAAAAAGATAGTTCAAGACACATGGAAAAGTCTATTTCCCGATCGCGAAAAAATCGGCATTGCAATCTTCATGAGGTGAGGGCGAAATCTTTTAAATTGAGCAGTCTACTGCGTGCAGGTCATGTTTCTCGTCTGGTCTCACTTTCATTTCGGTGCATAAATTGAAGCACATTATGTTCTCAAACTTTAAGTGAATAACGGCGTTAATTAACAACATTTAAGAATAGACAATCCTTACATGGGAAAATAGAAATGTACATTTGCTATATTTGATGAAAAAATAGATGACGAAGAACGAATGGTAAATCTTATTGACTAAATACAATCAACAACGGTTGATATCTTTACTACCATCTTAGCAATGTATATATGTGCTTATTGTGATTATAAAGCGATGGCCAATAGGCGAATAATCGTATAATGTTCAGATGCAGCATTTATCAAATCGTTCTAAGATAAAATGCTTCCACCTTATCCTCAAACTTTTCATTCATAAGAGATGTGCTCTGGATATGAAAACAATCTTAAAAAAAACGTAAACAGTTTAAAATCCGGTCTGACGACTTTTAAATTACCAGCGCATTTTTTTAATACTCCGGCGTAGGCGAGAGAGATGAGAAATGGACACCTTAATTGCTGTGATGCAGTCAGCCAGAGGTTTTAGTCCCTGGTACATGTAAATTTCACGTTATCGTTCATTTTATTTAGACATCTATTGTTTTCAGTGAGCGAAAAATTAAAAAATTAAATAGTTGTTTGATCAAAATACGCCAGAGGTTTTATTGATGGTCGTATTTTTTGTCGCAAGTGTAACAATGGTAAAATTTGATTTGACCATAAGAATTATCTTCCATCCATTGGAGCGGAATTCATTTAGGTTAGAAATTTTTTCACCAATAGCAAGCAAAGGTTATGAGTAAAAAAACAATTTCTCTATGCATTGGAGTACGCAAAGCGTGGTGTGTCAAATGTACCTTGACACAAGTAGACATTTCGTTTGAATAACATTTATGATTAATTATCGGACACCGGAGGTAGCGCCTGAGCAGGCATCTGGTTAAGTTATTGTCGATAGAAATTCACAGATTACATGACAAAATTCCACTTCTGTGTTAATTATTATACACCAAAAGCCAGCAGTTTCCCTCTTTCTGAGTAAATATAAACAGTATAAAAATAATAAATTGTTTTTATGTGACATCTGCATCGAAGAGAATACCGATTTTTGCACGTCACTACAAAAAACGTGTTTCTGTAATCAAAAGATTGCCTTCAAGCTCTTAATTGAAAAGTTAACATAAGAATTGTATTTCAACTCTTCAAGTAATGGATTTCGGGTAATTAAAGAAGTCTTAATGTTTTATTAACGCATAAATATATGATTGGATTCCACATGACGCACATTCGTCTCTCACATAAGATTCTAACTCGCTATGTTTCCACCCGTTAAGGTTATTCGAAGAAGTTCCCGAAGCTAAAGGATTATTCTACAATTTCAAGGATCTGTACAACAAAGACGAAGTATTTCAGGGCCTTCATGAATTAGATCACGTTGCTACAGTGATGAACGAGTTGGGGACTTGTATCGAGTTATTGGACGACATAAACAGGTTTAAGAACTCCGCTCAAGGACTGGGGAGCACACATAAACTCGTGGGGGTTAAGTCTGAGCATGTAGTGGTAAGTAAGTTAGTCTGAGCATGTAGTGGTAGCCATATTTAAACAACGTGAGAAGATTTCTATATGAAATTTAGCAAACACGAGTTTTTGCCCAAAACCGTTCTAAGGCAGTCTTGTCATCCTAATAATTTTTAGTCCGAAGAGTAAAATGTATCATCCAAAATAAATGCGAGAATAGCAGTTTGTTATATAAAACCTATATAAAAACTGAAAAAGTGGATAGTCCAATATGGCCGCCACCAGGCTTCAAGTCAAGCACTAAGTTGTGTTATCCAGTTTTATACATATCAGTGATAGTACTGTGGTGCTCAATAAGTTTGACGGTGAAATTTTTCATCTGTTCTAGATGTTCGGAAAAATAATCGTCGAGCTTTTCGCAGAACACTTCAAATCTTCATGGACAATTGAAAACGAAAACGCTTGGAAAGAATTTTTTGCTTTGTTATCAGACAACTTCGCAATTGGCCTAAACGTTGACAACAACAACGACAACGGCAAATGAGACAAAGACAACAGAAAATCCGTAGTTCTAAATGCATAATTGATGAACATAATGCGCGTTGATAACGTGCAAAATATGCCCGGTGCATAATTAGACACTTTCAACTACTGACATTCGCAAAAATTATTTCACGTTCTATTCAAAACAAAGTTAGTGCCTTGTTTGTTGCCAAAAACATGGCGATCGTAAAACCAGTTGTGCTTCTAATCAAAAAGTTAGTGCCCTGTTTGTTGCCAAAAACATGGCGATCGTAAAACCAGTTGTGTACAGCAAATTTTCTTGACAATGTAGGAACGTAAAATCTTTATTAGAAAACTCTTTTGAACGCAATACAATGACACAACTGTTTTCAAAATTTAGAAACCATTTAAACGCGCGTTTTTCAAAGAAAAAATCCGCAATGTTTTTTAGAACCCCACCCCCCTGCCCAGGGACCCTTCCACAGAAGCGTAATCAGCACGCAAGTTTTGGGGAGCAAACTCGTTTCACCCAACATAAATCCCCTTAGAACCAACCGCGTTGAAAAAGTAAGTGCTGTTTTTTGAAGTATGCAGTTTACTTATGTACAATAGATGTTGTTATTGCAGCATCTGGGTGATTCACATTTTCCATTGAACGTGTCTTAAAAGGAAAGAATCTTAATCACGTGGGTTACTTCATGTACAACCTAAGACAGATATAAATCTTCACCAACCAATCTGCAGTATATAAGGTAGTGGTCGGCCCTATGTGTTCGTTCATTTTTCCATGTTATAACTAACTCGACAACACGTAAAGATTCGATGGAGCTTTCAAGTCTTCGACAGGTTTATTCTCAACGACCACGTGACTTGAAAACGGAGAAAACAATAAATAATAGAACATTACGAAGAATAAAACGTCGTCGCTTATACTCTCAAAGTCCAACCTTAATGTAGCATATATTATGTAGCATATATCCTACATTATCGATGTTTGCTTTCAATGCAACATATATCCTACATTATCATTGCTTGCTTACAATGTACCATATATCCTACATTATCAATGTTTGCTTTCAATGTACCATATATCCCACACTAACATTGCTTGCTTTCAATGCAACAGTTATCCTATATTATCATTGCATACATTCAATGTTTCATACATCGCACATTACATAAATTATTGCTTTGCGAGTTGCTTTAAATGATAAATAAATCCTATACTATCATTGCTTGCTTTTCACCCATACTATCATTGCTTGCTACTATTGAAACGTACCTGTCCGAACAGAGCAGTTTAAAAATTCTATTTGCTTCGGTAACATTTGCCGTCAACTACAAAATCGACAAAATAAAAGAATGCAAACGAGCACTGTGAAGTTCCTAAGATATACAACAAAGAACACATAGCAAATGTACAAAAAATTACCTGTCCTGTATACAGATCCCTTCCTTCCATTCCGTGGGAATGAAAACCTAAGACACTTCCTTGAAGGCACACTTAAAAACAAAACACAAATTGGGATAGTAAATCATTCATGCAGTTGAAAAACAATCGTAAAAATACTCCATAAAAACAAAGTTCACACAGTCACACAGATATAAGTAATAAATTATACTAACTATAGTGGAGAAGTGTTTGATGTTTGTTGGCCTGTGGCGTGTGTGTGTGTGTGTGTGTGTCCGATTTATTGTTGTTTAAAGTAAAGAGTTTTTATGGTCGTTTTCGGTATTAGATGTTTTAGTGTACACTTTGCAGTTAGTACAATTTTTCTAATGAATGACAGTTCTGCTGGCGAAATATAGTGGGGAAGAGTTGCGTAACAGATTAAATGTGATGTTCCTTGAGTTTAGTTAAAAATCATTGTCGGTGTAGTTAATTTTACATGCTCTGTCTATGAGTGTGCGTATTCAGCCAGTTTTGTATAAAAGTGGTGTGAAACTGAAGTAGTTCATCAGAAGTCTTGCGTAAGTTGACAGTGAACAACCTATAAAAACTATTTATTTCAAACTAGCGTACATCTAACATCATCCGACAAATTTTCATATTATAACAACTATAATAATTATAATAATTTCGTAAAACAAAAAACAAGCGGGTTAAAATCGTTCAATATAAATTGCTTACCGACAAAATCCGGTTTCTCTTTGAAATGTATTGTGGGTAAATATTTTCGACTGTTTTTCACATTCCCCTCTATGCCGACAAATTGCGCGACATCTATAATATAAAATAGCCAAAACTTTATACTCCGCGTTTACGTTATACAATTGCACGTTCACATTCAGATTTCTACAATCATATTCAACTCAAGAACCTACTGTCATATGCAATTAAAATGCAATCCTTTTCCAACTGAGCAAAGGTTTTCAAATCTAACGCTTGTCCGGTGACTGAAGCAAAAATTGCAGGAAAATTTGTTGAGTGAGTTTTGTAACTTATATTCGTGGTTTAGCTGTGACTGGTAATGATGGTATTGATAATTATTAAATGGACATTATGATGAAGGTAGCGATGACCATTGTTGAACACGTCACTGAAGCACATAGAGGTAACGGAGAATGACGTTGATGAAAACAACACTGACGTCACTAATCATAGTAATGGAATGCTTTTTGGTATATCATTTCACAACATTGGACTAAAATGACACAACACGAGCGCAAAAAGCTTTTTTCAAAGGGCGATAGAGCGCAAGGAAAATTTTCATAGTAAAATCTTCAAAATGTTATTAAAATCGAAACAAATAAATGTTTTCTAATTATTCGAGAGCAAATGGTGTATTTGCATAAACAATTTAAAATTGGTAGGTTACTTCAAAGTTTTGACATCGACCATTCAACACAAGAGTTGCTTTTCGTGCAATAAAAGTTTAAGATACAATTGCAAATGCATTTTTGAAGAGAAAGCAGTGCAATGACACGTTTGCAAAAATTCGATCAAAAAATTTCGAATTCAAGCACTTTCAAGCGCATTTTAATAAATTCACGTACTTTAAGTTCAAGGACATTCATAAACATGGAAGTTTTGAACTAACCGCGTAGATATGACAATATGAACGAAAGTTATTAAAATTTGTCAGAACTTACCATCGGCTTTATCGAACCAGTTCGTTGTCGAATTCAAATTGACGGAGTCGAAATGTATCTGGCCGTTTTCGCTCTTTTTCGCTCCAATACAAATTAAAGGATACTCCATGTCACGCCGGATGATGGGTTCAAAAATTGTGAGATTACTAGGCAGGTCACATGACACATTCTAAAGACAGTAAAATCAAATAAAGTCAGACATACAAAGGACAATATCGGCGATCACAACTGAAGAAATAAAAACCATTTCCTATGTTTAAAGTACATTGTTTGTACTCGTGGACGAATTTTCATATTATTTTACAAGGGTGGTGGTAAAATTTGAGGGGGGGGGGAGCTGTTAAGTAAGTGGCGTAAGACAAAATGGTGTGAAATTTTAATGGCGGTCTGGTCAGCGTGACCATATATGAATAATTTATCATCAAAAACGCGTTGATCCGTGCAGAATGCTTTCCCATGTTCCAAATGTTGCAATTATTTAAAAGCAGGTGGGACTGTCTAAGTTCACCAGAGCGAATCTGATGATAAAAAGTACAAGTCTGGTCGCACTGGGTTTGGTAGCGCAGTACCACTAGTTTGTTTTGCTAAAAATTGGGGCGGGGGGAGTCAAAAGTTTATTAGAGGAGTTAACAATGTACTTGGGGGATGAAATAGGATGTTTGGGGGTAGGCACTCCCCCCAGAGAAAATCCGACAATATTTGTGCTCAATTACATTCAGCCATTGCCTGATTAAGCTAAGGGGATGATTTTACACGAATGACGTCACTGAAGTAAGTCTATCACGACGTCACAAGAATGATACACAAATAAACGACAAAACTAATACCATTGCCGTGAAAAGTTTTGGTGTGCAGTATACGTAGAAAAGATTTTCCACGTTGCAGTTTGGCGGCGCCATTTTGACTAACAAAAAGCAAACATAACGGGTCCATCGTCCTTACCTGAACTTTCATAAATTTCTCCAAAGGTCCATACCACTGCATCAGTAAAATGGTCTTCGGTATGGCGATGCAGAGATATACCTGCTCATCGTATGGATTGTGCACTAGAAATGTTAGTGACAAAAGCATACACTTCAACAGTCCGGTTTATTTCCGGCGAACTAAATTATTTAAAAAGTAATATTTTTGTTTAACTTTTCGATTTCAAGTTAAAAGCAAAGCATATCTTACCTATCCTCAACACATCTTACTAATCATAAACACATCTTACCCACAGCACATCTTCCTTACCCACATCATATCTTATTTACCCACATCCCATCTTACTCATCCACATCCCATCTTAATAATTAGAAACACATCTTACTCACCTACAACTTACCTTACACACATCCTACATTACTTACCTACATCAAACCTTACCCACATCACATCTTACTTTACAATAACAAGTCCATCTTACTTACCAAGAGCACATTTGTTACAACTTCGTGTGTCAGAAATCCGCGTAGTGTACGTGTCTCTGGATGAAAGCATTATACAACTTGAGTGAAACTGAACAATTAAATGTCGAGTTGAAAGTGCTGATTTGTACGACACAAAATAAATTTGAATGGCGTTGTTTGTACCTGGTTAGAGATTTGAGTGGGAAAAATACAGGCTGTCGAGAATGTAAAGCCAATAGATTATGCATATAAAGAAAAGACGGACGACCTGTGAAAAAATTGACGTGAAATAAATGTACAACCACACTTCTCCATTGCTATTTACAGGATAGCATATACTTCTCTGTGACTGACTACAAGATAGCATACACTTCTCCATGACTGACTACAGGATAGCATACATTTCTCTATAACTGACTACAGGATAGCATACATTTCTCTATAATTGACTACAGGATAGGATACACTTCTCTATGACTCACTACAGGATAGGATAACTTCTCTATGGCTGACTACAGTATAGCATACACTTCTCTATGGCAGACTACAGGATAACATACACTTCTCTATGGCAGACTACAGGATAGCATACACTTATCTATGGCTGACTACAGGATAGCATACACTTCTCTATGGCTGACTACAGGATAGCATACACTTCTCTATGGCAGACTACAGGATAGGATACACTTCTCTATGACTGACTACAGTATAGCATACATTTCTCTATGACTGACTACAGGATAGCATACACTTCTCTATAACTGACTACAGGAAAACAAACACTTCTCTATGACTGACTACAGAATAGCTTACACTTCTCTATGACTGACTACAGGATAGCATACATTTCTCTATGGCTGACTACAGGATAGCTTACACTTCTCTATGACTGACTACAGGATAGCATACATTTCTCCATGACTGACTACAGGATAGCATACACTTCTCTATGACTGACTACAGGAAAACAAACACTTCTCTATGACTGACTAAAGAATCGCTTACACTTCTCTATGACTGACTACAGGATAGCATACATTTCTCTATGACTGACTACAGCATAGCATACACTTCTCTATGACTGACTACAGGAAAACAAACACTTATCTATGACTGACTACAGAATAGCTTACACTTCTCTATGACTGACTACAGGATAACATACATTTCTCTATGACTGACTACAGGATAGCATACATTTCTCTATGACTGACTACAGGGTAGCATACACTTCTCTGTGACTGACTACAGGAAAAAAACACTTCTCTATGACTGACTACAGAATAGCTTACACTTCTCTATGACTGACTACAGGATAACATACATTTCTCTATGACTGACTACAGCATAGCATACACTTCTCTATGACTGACTACAGGAAAACAAACACTTCTCTATGACTGACTAAAGAATCGCTTACACTTCTCTATGACTGACTACAGGATAACATACATTTCTCTATGACTGACTACAGCATAGCATAAACTTCTCTATGACTGACTACAGGAAAACAAACACTTCTCTATGACTGACTACAGAATAGCTTACACTTCTCTATGACTGACTACAGGATAGCATACACTTCTCTATGGCTGACTACAGGATAGCATACACTTCTCTATGGCAGACTACAGGATAGGATACACTTCTCTATGACTGACTACAGTATAGCATACATTTCTCTATGACTGACTACAGCATAGCATACACTTCTCTATGACTGACTACAGGAAAACAAACACTTCTCTATGACTGACTACAGAATAGCTTACACTTCTCTATGACTGACTACAGGATAACATACATTTCTCTATGACTGACTACAGGAAAACAAACACTTCTCTATGACTGACTACAGGAAAACAAACACTTCTCTATGACTGACTACAGAATAGCTTACACTTCTCTATGACTGACTACAGGATAGCATACACTTCTCTGTGACTGACTACAAAACAACATACACTTCAAAAGTATTTTCCCCCTGGATTTATTAAATACACTACCTGCTATGGACAACAAAAAGTTCTTGAAAACATAAAGCCATGTACACCGCTTTGAAAATACCTGAAAAATTAATGGAACCTCTTTCACAAAGCGAGTAAAAAGCAATGAAAGAAATGATTAAGCAAAGCTCATACATACTTGTTCCATCTCTTTATCATTTTGGCTGATGTTCAAAGTGTATATTCCTTCGTCTGAACCAATTAATACGTGACGATCTAATGAAATAAATTCCGAAAACAACAACCTTTTTTTCTCTGAAGTTATCGAGGCGTTAGCTTTAGCGATGAAAATTTTCTATTACACAAACTATATTATTATTGTGAAGTTATTAATATCAGTTGCTTCATGGTTGGAAAAACTTGTAACTACAGTAAAAATTGGCCTCTATATGTTTGTTGATGTAGTTCATCCAGATTAATGCACTCCTGGGAAGTGCATTTATGTAGAAGTAGATTAATTTACGTTTTGGTCTAAATTCTTGTTTTATCTTGAATATCAAGAAAACGAGAGATGTCTATACTTGGAATCAGTTTCATTTCATACTATCTAAAGTTGTCGGCTTGTCCTGGTTATGACAGTGGCGATGGATTTTCCAGACGGGAATCTTAATCTTATCATGAACATTAGAGCCCAGCTTATTGCAATAATATGAGTTGCCATTGTAAAAATAAGAAAATAACGAAAGAATCTTATTGACGTTTTTTCGTGGTTATTAAACATCAATTGTGGACACCTAAATATTTACATAGCACGACCAAACATGCGGGCTGGCTAAGACACGACCAAACATGCAGGCTGGCTAAGACACGACCAAACATGCAGGATGACTAAGGCACAACCAAACATGCATGCTGGCTAAGACACGACCAAACATGCAGGATGGCTAAGGCACAACCAAACATGCATGCTGGCTAAGACACGACCAAACATGCAGGATGGCTAAGGCACAACCAAACATGCATGCTGGCTAAGACACGACCAAACATGCAAGCTGGCTAAGACACGACCAAACATGCAGGCTGGCTAAGGCACGACCAAACATGCAGGCTGGCTAAGACACGATCAAACATGCAGGCTGGCTAAGACACGACTAAACATGCGGGCTAAGACACTGCTCTTAGTATAACCTTACCTCCAGTCGTGGGATTCGTCCACGCAGACGCACAGTTAACGCGTAATGGACATTCATTGAAGATCTTCGAAAAACATTTAACCTGAACGTTAAAAAATTAAAAAAAATTGCCGTTTTATCTAGAAACCACGATATTAAGCATTTATACTTCAACATCAACGAAATGAAACCATAAATTTCCTAATTGACTCGATAGAAAAAATCAGGCATTAGCTACATACGTACTATTGTTGAATTGTCATTGAATTTTAGCTTCCTCTTAAACATAAAAACCTGCTTCTACTTAGAATTCCGGAGCCGGTTGGACGAAGCCTTGATAGAGTTATCAATTGGATGGTAATTTTTTCAAACTTGTGAAAAAGTGGTTATATTTACTTTACGACAGTGAAACCTTGGAATTTTAGTATCAATATTGTAATTCGTTGATTCTCCAGATTTTTTCCTTTTAAGAGATCTTAGAAGCGTTGAAAAATATCACTATGCATTGCATAGCAATATTCAGCCTTCGTGCAACCTGCCCCTGTATATTGCGTTCAACCATTGGCGGATCCAAAGGCAGGCAAGTTAAATTACAGCAGCCAATACACCGGTAAGATTTGATGATTTAGTAGATATTGCGTTCAACCAGTGGCGGATCCAAAGAAAGGCAAGTTAAATTACAGCAACCAATAGACCGGTAATATTTGATGATTTAGTAGATATTGCGTTCAACCAGTGGCGGATCCAAAGGCAGGCAAGTTAAATTACAGCAGCCAATACACCGGTAAGATTTGATGATTTAGTAGATATTGCGTTCAACCAGTGGCGGATCCAAAGAAAGGCAAGTTAAATTACAGCAGCCAATAGACCGGTAAGATTTGATGATTTAGTAGATATTGCGTTCAACCAGTGGCGGATCCAAAGGCAGGCAAGTTAAATTACAGCAACCAATAGACCGATAAGATTTGATGATTTAGTAGATATTGCGTTCAACCATTGGCGGATCCAAAGAAAGGCAAGTTAAATTACAGCAGCCAATAGACCGGTAAGATTTGATGATTTCGAAGTTAAACGCAAATGGCATTGTTATCTGTATTGTATTGTAAATTGTTTTATAAAATAAAAGCAAAAAAACGCGTGCACTGATTGGTCTATATTGGTCTGCATAGCCGTGTTTCCATTAGCTGTACAAACCATTCTAAGCTCAACCAATTAAATCAATCAATCAATCAATTAATAAATCAATCAATCAATCAATCAATCAATCAGTAAATGAGAATTTTCAAATAAATCATGAATAAACTCAATGTGGTATATGCTAAGATGAATCGTATAAATACTACTTGCTATAACAAACGAATTGAAAAAACGTTGACTCTTTATAAATGGAAGTGTTATGATTGTCACGAAAATATATTTCATGATTGAAATTAACGGTTATACATCATTTTGCCCAATCCTGGATACGCTCTTCGGTTCAACAACATTAAAAAATAATTACTTACAGGTGAATTTGAATGCCGTCTGTTTCCATGTCTTGGAGGAGGGCGCTGAAAATATCCATTGGACCAAAATGAACATTAAATGATTAAGTGGAGCACTGCATGTATAAGAAAGTATTCCTTCTTACCGGAGGAGGGACATTTGGGGGTGTTGAAGAACAACCACCATCAGTATATGAACGCGGGGGTAGTTTGGGTGGTTCACTAGAAGACGAGTTAGGGCCACCAGGTGACGTAGGTTCAAGAATCATCGATAGTCTAGCCGGTTTCGGTGGCAACCTCGGTGGAGCATTTTCATACGGTGATGGTACCTAATGTGGTTTAAAATGACATGATATAATATCATATACACTAAGTATTTGTGATGTTATATGAAAACGCACCTCGGGCAGCGGTCGAGATCTCTGTTGATTCTCATCACTTCGTTTAAGTGTGCTATCGTCGTCATTATTTGCCTCGTCAGGGTGTAGTACAATTTTGCTCAGTTTGGGGACGCCGTTTCTTTACAAGATGAAAAATCAAATAAGTATATTTGTACTCCAGATTGCAATAAGGCGATACAATCTCACTTTTCATCCCCCAAGTCAAAATCGCTTAAAAGTTTCTTGAGGCGAACTTCATCAGTCTGTAAGCATAGTAATAATCAAAATAAATACACAAAAGGAGGTTTTTCTCCAAAAGGACCAACTGTGGGAAATTTAGTGAATGAACTACTCAGATAGTTGTTTTTTTATGGATGAGAGAAGAAACAATGTCGTTACGTTGCTTATAAGTGTATTTCTTTTGTTATAAAAAATAAACCGAAAATATTAATCTGTGAATGTGAGTAAATTAGAAAACTTCGAAGAAACATTTCCCTGTTTCCGAAACTACAATACCACCATATCAATATTTTTCTAACACGTGTCTATTGTGAGAATAAGCACCGAAACACACTAGGTCTACAGTACTTATACCCTCCCCCCCCCTGGTGACCCAATGAGCATCATACCTCGGGACAAACTGGTTTATCGTCAGGTTGAGTTTCTCTTTTCATCAATGCACCTAAGTCCAGTTCTCCTACTGTAAAACAGAATAAATTTCAACCACTTCATTCAGTCGCGGAGAATTGGCGGGGAGACGAGGGGGATGGCCTCGAGCGCTAAAAATCTTTCGACAAATCCGTCAAATCACACCTACATAACATAACTGTGATGTCGAATAATGACTATTCTACAGACTTCTGTACTGTGCAAGTAGCAGTAGACGTATTAAATTTTTTTGTGGGTGTACGATTATGTGTAGGAATACAAAATTGAAAGAAGAGATTTCATAAGTATACCTATTAGCAAGCCCCTGGATGTCCCTAGAAATCTCATACCTTGAGGACGAATCCCCTCCCAAAGTGTCCGCCACTGACGCCATCGTAAGCACAGAAACAGGGGATTGATTAGCATGAATGTACAACAACGAATCATATACATGAACGAAATTCGTAAAAAGGATCATCTCAGACAATAATTAGCCAAATGACCGTCCTCGGCTTTCGCTATGAGTCTATAAATGATCTATATCAACCTTGCTTAAGTTGTATCTTTAATCAGTAGCGTAGCCAACCCGCACCTGCTGAGTAAATTTCAGAATATAGTAATCATTATTCAATTCTTAAGAAATCTATTGTTCTTGAAGTGAGTGGATATACAGAGAAATTTGCACGGTACGACTAAGCTAACAGGCTGACTACGCCACTCATTTCACTCAAAATGCTTAAATTCATACAGTTTATGTCGGAGTTCGCACGCGACGTTCGTTTGGACGTATTTTTCTTCGATTTGATGCGCGTCAGTACATTGATTTCCTAGCAAAAAGTAGAACAATCAAACGCAAAACTTTTAAGTCAAGAACTTTGCTCAGAAGTGCACGGTAATGCATCAAAAAAGAAATGAAACCTGTTGATCGTCTTCATTGTCATCTTCCTCATCGGTTTTTCGATAAAGAGTTTTATCTTCTTTTCTCGCTGCATACACATCCAACAAGGCTTGCCCCTGTCTTCGTGTCAAGTTTTGACAGCAGTATGGATGCTGGATAAAGACGTAAACGCAATGATGAGAACATTTTCATCATTTTCTATCCGTTTATCCTCGAATGTATATCTTTAAAATTTACTTATTCGATATTTAAATATCATCTTTGTCGAAGTATCAAATACCACCCAGAATACTGGCTTATAGAAAATCATCCTCATAGATTTGACAATCAGCCATTGAAGAGATCAGAGACAATTGCTCCCCTGATACATTGATGTTGCAAGGCTTCAGGGGCTACTTCAGTTTAGCGGACACCTCCAGCGCTGTCTAACAAATACAGCGGGCACGAGCGATAATTAGCGGGAAATTGCGCCTTCTAAAAAAGACATGCATTCATACCTGACCCAAACCCTAACCCCGTTTCGAAGACTAAATTTATGTTTTAAACTTTCTAATGCTCTTCGGACAATAAACACGAGCATGAATTTTTGGCCAAAATTACAATACGAGCCGCGCTCAGCATGTAAGCGTCTCTGGTGTCCGCTAAACTTTTACTTTTACAGTGATTGCTCTGCTTCAATTGTATAACTTTCCCTTTCATGAAGTTTTTACTAGTTTGAAAAAATCTAATATCCAGTGAATGACGCTGTTCGGCCTTCGTGTAGCCGGCTCCTGCTTTTTAATTTTTCATCATTGCTTGAAACGCAGTGATGCTTTTTCTAACCATTTACTTTCAAAACCAAATGTCCCAGGCAATTTTCCGTGGACAAGCAATTTATCGGATGAAACTCAGTGTCTTGCAATATATTATACAAAGTTGTCATACTGTTCTTCCTCCTCCCCTATAAAAAAAGGCTCCGCGGTCACAGAACTGACTTCAATGAATTTCAGAACGAAAATCATTCATATAATATACTTTCCACAATCTCAAATCAACAAAACTGTGAATGAAATAGAAAAGGTCACAGCGAAAGTCAAACCTGAAATCATAATACTAACAGAAAGAAGTTTGTCGGCCGGAGGTCTTTTTTTAGGGTTCTTTTGGAGAGACATTTTGATGAAATGATGCATTTCGTCCGTCCTTTGTTAAACGAAAAGAAGTAGACTTGTTTCAGATAAAATTCGTGAACAGCTTATGTGAATAATTGACTTTTACCATTTTGATTTGACCTTAAGTGTCGGCGAAGTGTAATTCTTCTTTGAGATAAGATGTAGAGCCCTTGAAGAAGAAAATACAGAATCCATATAAAAACGAATAAACGTACTCAAATTATCAATTCCAGTTGCTTAATGACTCACAGTTCATAATAAATGTCGAAGATTACTTAGAGAAAAAAGTGAGCTCGTGTGCACCATTTTAAATAATCGAACGATCGTCTCTAGTTTCGATTTAAAGAAACATGTACATCACACAAACACACACCAGTTGTATGTGAAAACACTTCATAAAAGTAATGCAAAAACGACAATTTCGAACATCTATTTGGTAAAATTTGATGCATTGAACCATAGCTCCTGCTGAATTATTAAGGATTGAGAGAAATTCTACAGCATATTTAATTGGCTATTAAATTCATGAAGTTTTTTACTAGAATTGGTTTGATGAACTTTGACTCTCCGATATGCTTTACATAGTTACAAAATTCATAACAGGGGGGAGTGTTTAATCCGACCAAATCTGGTAAAAAAATTTGCATTCGTAAATGATAACAGTATGTCGTCACAGTAATAATCATGTGATTTAAACAAACCTCATAGGATGAAGTTCGAACAAGGGTGGCTGCAACTCAGCAAGTTCAATCGCAGTAATACCAACGGCCCAAATGTCACACTAAACCAGAAGATGCAGCTTGTAACATGTATAATCGATATCAGGGTCGGGGAAATCAATTCTTTAGATAGTTGAATCGATTTTATGTGGATTTGCAAAATATTTTATAAGATAAAAATTTCATCTTCATGGGTCTTTCGGGTGTAGAAATAGATAACTCCGTACCGGATACAACGTAAAAAGGAGATAACTTGCATTAAAGACGTAGCTTCATTATACAAATTTGTGGCAAACAATAAAGCTGTTATGGCAAATTTTCAAGAACCGCAATACAAATTTATGATGCCGCACAGAGTGTATAGTTTGATTGCGTCCTTTGAATCATTCGGAAATTATTTCCCAGTAAAATTCAATGATATGGTACGGTGTTTATACTTTACGAAACAATCATTTTCTCGTTTTTACGTCACTTCCGGTCCGGAGTCACCTAAATCAATTTAACTACCAATCCCAAGGAGTTATTTCCTGATCTTTACATACGTAGGCACTTTAAGGTTGTAATGAGTTCGTACCTTTTGATCATAACCTCCAGTTCTTTCAACAGCAGCCACTTCAGGAGCCATCCTATGTGCAAAATATCATATTTACAACATGAAAATAGTCCATTTCTCTTTTCTATTGTCAGTCTCCACGAAGAACCAAGATTTTATTTTGAACTACGGTCAAACGTCCATTTGCGGACACCTCTTGTTCACAGACATTGCTTCTGGGTCCTTGGCAATACGTCACTACCTACGTTACTACCTAAGTCACTACGTCACTATCTCTCACTACTTCTCATAAACGGACACACACACATTTTGAAGCCCCAAGAATATCTGCTTACGGAAAGTTCGATTGCAGTTGTGTAAATGGAAAGCATACATTAGGAAAAGTGAAAGTCATTAAGTGCCAATGAAATGAAATCGATGAAGCCACGCAATGGCCCAATTTTATTTGCTTCAATTTAAAAAAACGTTTTCATTTATTTCACGTAACACATAGAGTATTGTTAGAAAAACATTAAGTTTCCTAACCTTTATAAAGTAACAACGCGTGCGCTGATTGGTCTATAGCTGTGTTTGCATTAGCTGATTGGTCTATAGCTATGTTTGCATTAGCTGATTGGTCTATAGCTGTGTTTGCATTAGCTGATTGGTCTATAGCTATGTTTGCATTAGCTTGTGCAAACCAGATTTGAGCTCAACAAATTAAATCAACCAAAGGGAATTTGCAAATCGATCAGGAATACATGTTAGAGGAAAAATTAAAATGTTTCCTTGATCTGTTGCGCACCATTTTATAAAAGAACTAAAAGATGGTTTTCGTGTTTGCACTAGCTTATGCAAACATCAAAGACGTTTGTGAGAACTCTCGAGCATGTGCAATCGTCAACCTTCGGTCTCGGGCTTGCACTGATCTGCTCTCGAGTTCTCCCAAAGGTCTCTTCGGTTTTCTGAAGACATTCGACTTTCACTTTTGCGGTCCACTCAAAACATAACTCGTAATAATACAACATGCAAAAAAGGTATGACAATGCACAACAGAAACATGAACAAACAATAAATATCACACACGCTGGTGTAAATACCAACCACACTGGTGTAAACACGCCACATGCTGGTAGAAATATTGACCTCTACCCAGCAATAAAAAGCGTACATAAAAATTTCATTGACTTTTTACATAAATTAAGGCTGCCATCTGCAAGCGCATATTTTCACCTACCAATAGGGAGTTCCAATAAAAGATTTTCGTTTTGCAATACTTGCTGTTATTTGAGCAGATATTCCAAAATCTCCTGCAAGTTTCATAGAAAAGAAGGATTAACTACAATAATATTCACTACCATTAAGAAAGCCTAATTATCCAGTTAATCATTTCACACAATTAAAGCCAGTTAATCATTCCACATGATTAAAGCCCCACGACATTTGCAATGATTAAAACCCCCAAAGAATTTGCCACGATTAAAACCCCATAAAATATTCGAAATAGTTTTCAAAATGAGCTGTCAACAATATTTCATGCTTATTGCTCCAGGATCCTTTTAAAGAAGTTCATTCATGCGCAATTTGTGCTATTTAGATTATATTTTCATTCAAAATAACTTCCTAAATGACAGTGTAATTTCGAAAACAGTTTATGCATATTTCTCTTCATTCTTAAGGCATTGTAGCTTTGTAATGTCTGAATTACAAAACTTGTAACATCATTTAGTAGAACGAGTTGCATCAAAATTTCCAACATCCTCTAGTTTCCTGTCAACCTTTGGTTGAACTGATCAGGCAATTTTTATACCATTGACTCTTCAAATAGCAGGTATATTTGCTGATACATTACTTCAACCACAAAAACTCTTTTAGGTTGACGTAACACATCAGCAAATATACCTGCCATTTCATGAGGTTGTGCAAGGTGTACATTACGTAAATTTCAATATCTTGAAAATGAAAAGTGATGTACTGTTTTAGAAAGTACACAGTCATTTTAAAGGTTATGTTCAATGAAAACATAATTTAACAAGCACAATTTTCGTGTTGTATGCCATTTAAGAATGCATCTTCAATGACTAAGTAAAATATTCATCAGTGTTTTTCTCACCTAGTTTAACATCTCCCATGTGAGTTAGCAAAATATTTGCTCCCTGATTACAAAAAAAAGAGCATAAAACAATGAAAAAGTTCATACGTAAGAATGATCCATTTCAAATCAAAATGTTTTTCTATATTATCAATTCAGATACCTTAATATCCCTGTGTATCAATCTCTTTTGGTGGATGTAATTAAGACCCTGTTGGAAGAACGGATGTTTTCGTCAGTCATGGCTTTTATCTAAATTATAAACTATTATCACAAAACTACCTTCAACGTTTCACAACACATGTATGCAATTTGCTTCTCTTCTAATGGTCCAGTAACTGAAAACATAGTATATTTAAAGCATCTTCAATTTTACATGCATGGGAAGATCAAAAGTTGCAAGGCACATATTCATATTTGAGTATCGCTTACAGTAAAAAATAATGGATTTTAATTAAGAAATAAAAGATGTTTACAGTGCTTGCACAAGCTTATGTAAGCCAATGGGATCTTTGAGAGCAGATCATTGCAAAACAAAAAGTTGAGAGTTCTCATTACAGACTCTGAGGTTTGCATAAGCCAGCAAAACATGAAAAATATCTCTTGCTTCCATAGGGAATTTCAAGTAACTGTTTTAGTTTTTACTCTAACATCTATTAATGATTGATTTGCAAATTGTCGTCCGTTGATTTAATTGTTCAGCTAATGCAAACTCTGCAATAGACCAATTAAAGCAAACATTGTATTGCTGTTAATGAATAATGGAGCTTAATGCATCATACAATGCATAAAATTATCAATCTTCATACAGCCCTTTCATGCAAAAAAAAAATTTCCCTTCATAAAATTTATAAAATAGCAATTATAATTCATAAAATAGCACTTTTGAAAAAAATTATAATTTATTGCAAGTAACATTTCGTCTTTACAGAAAACCTCATCAGACTAGTGATTAAATAGTCAAGGTGTGGGTTTATATAACATATACATATTATATATAAATGCACACCTTGACCTTTTTAATTATTATTCTCATGATATCTTATGTAAAGATGAAACATTACTTTAATTCAGTGTGCGAATTACTTCAGAAAAAACGATGTGCACTTTTTTTGCAAAAAGTGTTTCTTTAGAGGCATAATCAAATCAATATTACGTTAATTATTATATAGCGCTAATTGCTAAATTAATATTTTTAAAGTGAACAAATTCATATGATTTAAGACAGTGTTTTATGTTAAAACTGCTTATTTTTGCACATCGTTTGAAAAAGTGATGTGCAATTGTTTTCATTTTAGCTAAAACGATGTGCAAATTGCTTACTGTTAATTCGCACACTGCTTTCAATAAGTTATAATTTCTTACAAAATGGTTATGTAACTATTGTTTGGTTTCCATAATTGTACAATTAGAATTTTACATAGGGAAATTGTTTTCATAACACGAATCTGTTTCTTGCTGGTCAAGTATCTCACTATTATTCATACATCAGCCCAGTTTAATTTAATAAAAATTTGATGATAAGCACATGCATTTTCTTTACCGTGATAGATGTCTTGTAATGAGCCCCCACTGCAAAAATCCATTGCAATCCATAGCTTCTGTTTTCTTTTGTGAAAAGAAAAATTTATTCATGGATGAATTAATGATCAAACTGTCTTTAATAGACCACCTTACCGTAGGTAGCTACCAAGACATCTCACAATATTATGATGCTGACAACCTTGCATTAAAGCAATCTCTTGCTGAATTAAATCAAAATCGTCACCTAAAGATTGGTGGAGACAAACACTGACAAATCACTTCATAACCAAGCAGTCACATAGACTACCATATCATTACACGTGTACTGAACAAAAAACAAGCTTTTCAGGTAGCAACATGTATGTACATCTGTTTACAGCCTTACACATTCATCTTCAAAATTCAAATAAACTGAAAGTTAATTCATGTATATCAAGTTGACAACCATAACTAAATCATCAGACCGTATAAACGTCACTTAATCTTCGCTTATTTGTTGCCTAAACCATTCATGAAAAATAAATCACAAAGACTCCTAAAATTACAATTTCATGGAAAGAGGTTAGAGGGGCAATACTGAGAATGATAGTGCAATAACGTGCAATGGCACGGGAAATATTTGCGCCTCACAAATTATTATATAATATTCAAACAAAGAAACAAAAGACGGGAACGCAATGGAGGAGAAGATTGATTTCTTACCCGGTTCAATTCTAACGATTTTGACAGCCGAAAGTTCGCCCGTCGCGACAACTCTTGCCTACAGTAAGAACGAACAATAAATGAAAAATTATAGAATTTATAGTATTTAAAAATCCTAGAAAATATGGTTGACGATAGTTTAAAAATGGCTTGCAAAACCATTATTGGGAAGAAGCATTGGGCAATGACATTGAGCAATTTTAAACAAATGATGTACAATACGACATTTTGATACCATTTTCGATACAGCTGTTACTTAAACTAGTTTCTTCCATGAAATCGTGCCGATTATGTAATTTCGAGTACTATTAAAAAGTTACGCTAACACTGGTGTCAAGTAAAGCATGTTTACGTACAAGAACGGGAAATTTTGAATTCTTGATAAGCTGATAATTTGAAGACAGTGCATACCTTATAAACATCGCCATATGTGCCTGACCCGATCTTTTGAATCAAATCGAAGATTTTCGTAGGGTTTTCGCGCGATATGTCAGCACGCTGCATCTTTGAATCAGCGGTGAAAAATTCAGTTTCTGAGATGCATTTCAACCCATCCTCACGTCAAATGGGAAATGGTTAAAGAATGCATATAAGCAAGAAGACATCGATACATCATTGAAACATTTCCCCGTACGGTGAACTGGACCTCCAGACTCAGAGAGACATTTCCCCGTAGGGTGAATGGGACTTTGAGGGGGGTTTGTTTGGGGCTTTTAGGACGTTACGAAAATGGTGTCCAATCATTTCAGCAGAGCAGATCGTTTCTATCGAAAATTTGTGAGAAATACGTTCTTCTCAAAAGGATGGGGTAGTCTCGAAGCTTATAGAGGGCTACAGAAACTGAAGAAAGATATTTTCAACGTCGAGAAATTTCAAGAAATTGTTCGCTGCGAGAGCGTGAAACTCGATAGCGTCACGAATAGCACGAATGTCAATGATCCATTTTCTGTCATAAATGGGCATTTTGTCTCTCCTTTGACACGATATTACCCTGGGTTGTTACCAAAAGAAAGCGAGATAGCTTATTTCCAAGCCATAATTCCGACCAAAAGACGAAAAGATGGCAAAATTCCCATGTGCATACATTTGGCCGGAACAGGAGATCATCAGTTCTGGCGAAGAAGAAATCTTATTGCAAAACCTTTGATTAAGGATCACTCAATCGGATCCATTATCCTTATTAATCCATTTTATGGACCTCGTAAACCTCATAGTCAAACCAGGTCCAGTCTTAATCATGTCGTCGATTTGCTGTTAATGGGTTGTGCATTGATAGTTGAGACGTCCTTGATGCTAAACTGGTGTGGGAAACAGGGATATGGTCCTCTGGCGATCACAGGTGTATCCATGGGTGGTCACATGGCTTCCCTTGCCGGGACATTTGTTCCTACACCAATCACTATCATTCCCTGTTTGGCTTGTACTACTGCATCACCTGTTTTTACCAAGGCAAGTTTCCTTAATTTATTACTTTTAATAATAATTTGTTACTCTTGTTTCAAAATTGTCATACAGGAGTGTACATCCTCCAAATGAAACTGGGTAGTTCCACATTGTTCGCTTCACTTCGGAGCCGTAGCCAAACCTAAATTGTTACCTAGGCAAAGATTATCAAACTTGTTCTTGACTAAGGGGGGTGGGGTGGTTCGGAGGTCATATCTCCTCCCTCAAAAAAATTCTAAATTATTGTTGTTGGAAATGCGGTTTTCAAGACTTTTCAGATCTGTTTGGTTTTGAAAAATTGAGCATACATGCTGTGAATTTAAAAGGATTGAAAAAATAATTGTTTTTAAATGTGAAAATCATTTTCATTAGTTGACTTAGTAGTTTTCTGTTTTGATGAACATATAAAACATTTATGTAACATAATTGCTAAGTAAATACCTATTATATTTTTCACACATATCAGTCAAAACTTAATAAAAGCAAACATAAGCTAATTAATCATGATAAAGTTTTCAACTAAGAAAAAGTCACAACAATTCTACAATGACAACTGGCATTGCATTTCTTAAGAACTTCCTTTAGGTCTACGTCAATGCTTTTGTGGATGAACAATAAAGAAGTATCATTTTGTTTTTCTTCAGTCATAGCTGATCTGCATCATGTTTTACATACATATGTCCTCTTAAACTGCTGAAACTTTTTTCGCAATATAAAATATTGATAATAATTATTGAAATATGTTTAAAATATTCACCTTCTTAAATTTCAATACCCTACTCAAGAAAATTGACAAATTTTCTACTGAGGCAGTTGAGGCAGGTATCTTGCTTGCCTCATTGTAGCTATGATGGCACTGTCACTTTGGAGTATCTTTATTTCATAGAACAGCCAAGGTATTTTAGCCAGAGCGAGTTTTAAGATATCCAACAGTTTATGCTCAGACCATTTATGCATGTATCATAAAATACTTTGCTATCTGTAAAAAAACTTTGTTAATGTACAGACAATACATAATTCAAAACCAGCTTTCAATTGCCAGCTCAATTAAAAAGTATAGTTTAGATGGTGAGTTTGAACTGTTATATTTAATAACCACTTTCTTTTCCAACCTCTCTATAACATGGACAACTTTGTACTTAATTGTTATATTGCTGGGTTTATTGACTGGAAGTTTCATAAAGTGGCTCTTTTTACAATCAGGTGCTCCATTCTATTTGTGTTCTATACATAATAAATGTTCCCTTACCTACAGTGGCATAACTGCTATGAGCTCTGGGTGGATAGATCCACTGGCACCCAAGCAGCCAGCCTGCAAGGGGCCACCCTGAACGATGTTAGTAATAAAAATAAAGATAAAATAGTAGGCTTATATTTGGGCAAGTCTAAGTACTGGATATTTCTCATTTGAGATTATTCGTGAATTTCGATTCCTGGTAGTAAATGGAAAGTTCTAATTGGTATTTTTCTGTATATAAATTAAAAACCAAATACAAAATATTGTGTTCTATTAAGGATTTTTAAGAAAATATTTATGTTGTATAATTTTGGTATTGTATATAAGGGGCGGGGCTTCTAACTAACGCCACTTATGCAATTTCTAACGGGTCAATCAAGAAAGATTTTGATTGGTTTGAGCAACTCGTTTCAATAACGCGTGATTTATGTGATCTCTTATATTTCCTTAAATTTCTTTGTTACCTGCGTATAGCTTTCGTCACATGCGTTATTACAAACTTTGCTTATAGAAATGTGTAGCTACAACAATGTTCATTGCGTCCTTGATTCAAGATCACCATTAGCAATCATTTTTGTACGCGTGGTTTTAAAATTCACGTTCACATTCGATGGTAATAGCGTTCTTCTTTGATACTTTCTAACACGAATGTTTTGTTGAATTTTTCATGTTAGGGTGTCTTAAGCGACGCGGTTGCTTGGTCAGTCTTAGAAAGCCAAATTGAAAATGTTTCCTTCTTTGAAGATCTATGTTCCATCTGCAGGATGATTGAGGCGGATGGCTTAAATGCTACGAATCCTACAATGGACACTATTAGTTTATCCGCTTTTTCTCACGAGCTAACGAACGTAATGAGGAATTCAGTTAATTATTTGTCAATTACTGACAGGAGCAAAGAGTTGCTGCACGGAACTGATGAAAAATACCGCCGACCTCGCGACGAGTGCGAATCGATATCGTTTGAAATGCTTCTGAGATCGTTGAAAACACAGATAAAAGATAACATTAAAAACTCTTTTCCCAATGAGGTTTTCAGCTCGTATTTTTCGAATGTGAAACAACCGAAGCGATACGATAAAGCGCGAAGCTTCATCACGTATCTATTGGATATTACCACGCATCTTGCGTACTACAGGAAACCCGTAGATCCACAGAAAGCTGTGTTTGTTCAAGCTCAATTCGACGGCTACATTCCCTACTTGCATTGCCCCTCACCGTTGGAACTGTGGCCAGGGTCTCGGGTCGAATACATCAACTGCGGTCATATTTTGGAGCCGTGTACAAACAGGACATTTTTAGAAAGATTATATCAGATATGCTAAGTGATTGTCGAGATGTAGGTTCTTAGATTTATTTATGAAAATTGAATATTTATTTCGCATTAAGATTAATGCACAAAAACATTTGATCTATTTGATATACACTTCATACGAAGTGTCGTTAGCAACCGTTGTGAGGTATATAGAAGGATTTCGGGGCTAATACCTTTGTGTTTATCTTGGAATCATTTAGGGGGCAAAAGAAATAATCTTAATTAAACATTAAATGCATAGTAACATATTGGACGGAAGAAAATAACGGCAGGCCCCGTACTTGAAAGCTAACTTCGAATAACCTAACAGCAACATAATTAGATGAATCTCAACGATCAAAGTTGTGCCAAAGAACGAACCCCTACGGACTTCAGAAATTATTCAATTTTTAACACTGAGCAAATTGAGAATGCCATTTGTCATGAATCGAAGCTTAAAAAATGTGAGTCGATTTTTCGTGATAAAATGAACGAGTTTCATTGTGAAAGACGCAATGGAAGAGAGTCATTAAAGAATATGAATCATCAACCATCTCGACAAGTGATGAAAACTTGTTTCGACAATGATGCTGTTCGTCCATTAAAGGCATTCCCTCGTTCAAGAGGCACACCGAAGCTGGTATTTCCCTTCACGAAGGACCCGAAGACTCCACTGGCAGGTTGTCCCAAAGGTTTGCTTATAACAACTGAACGTCCAAGATCCGGGGAGACTTACAGACACAGGATTAATGTTGATGTAATGCGAACCTTTGATGCGGGTATTTCCAAGGAGAAACTTGGAAATAATGAAAGCTCTTTACACAAGAGAAATATTGAACGTAATCAGGTAATATATTGTGAAAAATGCAATGAATTCCTAAGCCTTATTGCCCAAGCCGAATCACATTCTTATCTACATCACATGACTAATAACACCTTATTGTTCTTACATGTCAATTACTACCATCACTGAATAACATTCTTATCTACATCACGTAACTTATAATACCTTATTCTTGAAAATCAAATACTACCACCCCTGGAATCACGTTCTTATTTACATCACGTGACTTATAATACCTTATTCTTGAAAATCAAATACTACCACCCCTGGAATCACGTTCTTATCTACATCACGTGACTTATAATACCTTATTCTTGAAAATCAAATACTACCACCACTGAATCACGTTCTTATCTACATCACGTCCTTATCGTTTCTTTACATAAATTAAAAACCCCACGTGACTAGGAAAGAGATGTGCTACTGGTTGAGTTAGAAAACATGAAAAGAGAACGGGAAGAACTAGTAGGGGAGAACGAGAGGCTACTGGAAGAATTAGAAAATCGCAACAAAGTCATTGATCATCTTGTGGACTTCATGGTGAGAAAGTCTTTGGTAGAATTAGTTATCGAAGTACTCTAACAGTTAATTTTTTATTTTCCAGAGGTCTCATCTGCCAAATAACAGCGAGCAATGGAGAACCAATCATTCGGTGCGCGAACCTGAGGAATTTGACAAATTTTAGTGTACTCTAAGTATCGTTGAAAAATTCGTAGATGTTCCTCTCTGTTAGTAGATTCATCAATATTGCCACAAAACCGTCGATTAACACATATAACATCACTGTAAGTTACATTCGAATTTCCCCTGTTACCAATGTCACGTATTCCAAGTGTTACCAAGTGTATTCCAAGTGTTACAAATGTCACTTATTCCAAGTGTTACAATTCCATGTTCATTTCTTCGTCTTCCCTCCTCATCCAACCATCTCTTCTTCCTCTTTTTCCTTCTTCATCATTTCCTCTTCCTCGTCTTTCTTCCTTCTTTCTTTCCCTCTTCTTCTACCTCTTCGCCTTCCTCCATTTCTTCATCCTGTCCTCTTCCTCTCCCTTCTTCCACTTCCTCTTTTTCCTATTCCTATTCCTTCTCCTCTTCAACCTCCTCTTCTTCCTTCTTCTTTCCCTTCGCCTCTTCATCCTCCGTCTCTTCGCTTCATCTCTTTTTTTCTTGTTTTGTTTATGTCCATTTTTCTAGGTCACATTTCCTCATTCTTTTTAGTACCTAACAACCATATTTTCCTCTTGTTTCGGGCTCCTCAACTTGTCAATTATGATTTTGGCTACTAATCTTTTAATAAGTCCGTCCACCACTGCAAAAGCCCTTGCTTTCTTAATCGTCAAGTGTTGGCTGAGCTTAGTTCTCATGGCAGATCAACATTATAGCAAGACCATCTGAAGAAATGAAAACCCGATATATAATGGATGTTATTTTTGGATGTGGAATCATTGAAGTATACCTTGTTTTTAGTTTCAAATTTTTTTCGAAGCTATAGCTCTCATTCTCATACTTGAACATAATCACATACCTAGAAGACCAAGGACTTCGGTGAGAAAGAAATTATCCGACAAAATATACTTCTGTAAACACCAGTGAACGGACATCCATTCGTGCGTTCTTATTGTTCAAAAACACAACGTTTGCACAGCAGCTGGAGTTCTTTGTGTAATTTTATATACTAATTTACAGATTTACTGTTCAACAATGCTCTCAAGTGTCAACGTGGTCTCAACTAGCTTTACATAAATCTTCATACGTAGGTGGAACTATCGTCGATATTTTTATTGTCATTGCTGTTTATTTAGGCATTTTTCAATAATATATTGTTAATGAAATCTTGTGAGATTCTGCAAATATAAATGCGAGGTTAATTTCAAGTGATTGCTCATGAAACTGGAGTGTACCATTACTATTATCGTGTGATTGCCTAGCAATAATGTTTACAAAGAGCTTTATATTGATAAATGTGTTCTGCATTGTGTCTACGAACCATTTAACAAAGGAAATAGTCCGAAATTGGGCGTCAACGATAGAAGAATACCTGATCGAGTTAGCCGAACAAGGATTAAGAACGAAAAATTGCAAACGTTGTACGACGAATCTACGTACGTAGAGGAACAAAGAAGTGGCTTGGCAACTGTAGAGGCTGTCAAGGAGAAACTGGGAGATTATTTCTCGAAAAAAGAACAAGCGGCTAAAGTAAGTGATCATCTCCATAAGTACTGACCACACGTGGTGTGTCGTGAGGCTTAGGTCCATCGTTGCTTCAATTAAAATTTAAGACTCTGGATTCTGGTTGGATCTTCTTTTCTACTTTGAAACTACTTGTCAAACTTTTCAACCTATTCGGGCTTCTTGCTTCTTGTTATTGAACAAAACTGTTGATTTTAACAAGCTAAAAACAATGTCAGTTTGTATTATTCAGAAAGGGGGTTTAAAACCTTTTTGTTTTATCACATGAAAAATTGTTTCAGAAGGTGTTTTATCACATGAAAGAATGGTTGCAAAGGTGTATTGTGACCAATGCCATTGTTTATTTTTTTTAACCTTTTATGAAGACATAAGAATTGCAGAGTTGCAGACAGGGTTTAATAAACACCAAGCAAGCATTTGTTGGTTATCGAAAGTCAAAGAAAATTTGTATAACATTGGAGAATATTGACTATTGAATAACTGTTATCAATAAATGTCAACTAACTTACAGATAATGTTGATTGATTCATCAACTGATTGATTCATTCATCCAGACCATTGACTCAAAATAGGAATTTAAAAGAATAATTGTGTTGTTATCATATTTTTAAAAGCTGTTTTTTGCATTTATTTTATAGACATTAGCATCAGAAACAGCAAGGCTTCTTAGTTCATTCAACCACACAACCTACGAAAATGCAACATCAGTTCAAGATTTGCCATCAGATATTTACTCTGATTCCGACCTGCAACAGTTCAACCCTGTTATTTCACCGAAAATATAACTTGTGAGTTGCTTTGACTTGATTACCATCCTTGTCATTGATGATTGATAATTTGATATGTTTTCTAAGATGTTTCTGTATATTCTTAGATTATTTAAGCAATCCATCAGTCTCCAACAGAGTGCAGTGAAGATCTCTGATCAGGCACCAAGAGATAATAAAGAAATTATTAACACCATTGCTTGGAGTGCCGGTCTTGATGATATATTTATTAAGAATTTGGGCAACGACTTAGATCTCAGGTTTAGAATATTTGCAATGAACTATCTCTTCTCCCACTTCCTCCTTCCTACTTCAACTTCTCCTTCCTTTCTGGTCTCACTTGTCCTAGCACTTTCACCCTCCTTCTCCCTTCTTTTCCCTCCTTTTCCTTTCTTCCTTCTTCTTTTCCATCCACTCATTTTATTCCATCCTTCTCCTCCATCCTCTCCCTTTTATCTCCCCCTACTTTTATTTTCACCTTAAGGTCTACTGCAACCTCTTCCTCTCACTCCCATTCCACTTACCTCCACGCACCTTCTTCTTGCTTCCACCTTTCCACCACCACCAGGGCGTCATTACACTGGGATAGTTAACTTTGGAAAATATCGGAAAATGGAAAAATAGAGTGATGCGATGTTTGAAATTTTGTAAATGATGATCGTCCAGGTTAATAAAGTCCTGAGAAGGACTGTTTTTGTTGTTGTTGACTGACGTTTCGACAACCTTAGCGGTAGTCACCTTCAGAGTCAAATGACCTTATTAACCTGAACGATCATCATTTACAAACATGTAACGGTACTCCCGGGTTCAAACCGTTTACTTTGTTTTAAATTTTCTTGAAAATAAAGAGCGCCACCAGTTTTCTTGGTAGAAAATTTGCCAAAGTATTAAAGAAAGTCGTTTTCCATGCGTGAAAGAAATTCTAACCTATTACCAAAACATTTCAAATTTTGATGACTGCATCTTTCACAAATGTCGATAACTTGCAACAAAACTTTGCTTTCCACTGCAGACATTGTTACTTGAAAAATTACAAACGATAACATTACTTGTTGATATTCTAGATGGCAATATTTTGGCTCCAACAATGGTTTGTATCGTATGTATCCGGGACGAGAATGGCAAACGAACTTCGTGGGTTTTTACGAGGATTACGATCCGCGGGTCAGACCGTGGTACATTGCGGCAACATCCGGGCAAAAAGATGTCATTATAGTCATCGACTGCAGTAGGTCGATGGCGGGAAAAAAGTTCTCGATGGCGAAGTCTATCGCAATCACAGTTTTGAATACCGTAACGAAACAAGACTATGTGAACGTGATCTGTGGCCAAGAACCGTATTATGATGCTGTTGGCAAGTGTGTGTTTATATATTCTTTTCCATGAAATGCTTCAAACTGTTTTCATTTACTGACGTTTCTGAAACGTCAAAACATCCAAAAACGTAGACTAGAGTCTGCTTTTGCATGTGGGATTGATAAGCTTTAACCGACCTTATCCATACTGCAGCTTTTTACTTGATGACATTTAGATTGATTGAACCGTACAGATTATAATTAAAACGACTTTTCCCTAAGCTAATGGCTTCATGTTTGATTAGATGAAATACCGCCCCTTGCCATTAACACAAAAATTTTAAACATTGAAGTTAAAGCAAAAGAGGAAACGTGATGTTTTTTTGAGACCTTCTTTGCATTGTTTCTTCGAAATACACGTGCCCTCTACCCAGTCCCCTTTTCCAGCATCAAAATGTCCGTTGCCTTGTCAAAATGACGTGCAATGTCAAAATGACGGTCTGATGTTTGGAACTCTGCTCGTGTTAAAAGAGTGGTTAAAAATACCCTAGCCTATGTGTCATAGTCCCCCAGCTAGGTGTGTGGTAAACGACGTTTATTGATAAGTAATTTGAAGTAATTTGTATTTGGCAGTCAATTTATCTAGAACAAAGTTATGTTTCACTTTCGATCTTTTTCAACTGTGGCGCGTTTTAAGTCTAATTATTGGTGATATTGGATTACATTTTCAAAATTCAAATACTCAAACGCAATTCATCATGTACCAACACTGTGTGATCCTAAATGTACCAACACTAAGTGATCCTAAATGTACCAACACTAAGTGATCCAACATGTACCATCACTAAGTGATTCAACATGTACCAACACTGAGTGATCCATCATGTACCAACACTAAGTGATCCAAGATGTACCAACACTAAGTGATCCTAAATGTACCAACACTAAGTGATCCAACATGTACCATCACTAAGTGATTCAACATGTACCAACACTGAGTGATCCATCATGTACCAACACTAAGTGATCCAACATGTACCATCACTAAGTGATTCATCATGTACCAACACTGAGTGATCCATCATGTACCAACACTAAGTGATCCAAGATGTACCAACACTAAGTGATCCATCATGTACCGATACTAAGTGATCCAACATGTACCAACACTAAGTGATCCAACATCTACCAACACTAAAAGATCCAACATGTACCAACAATCAGAGATCTAACTTGTACCAACATAAAATGATCCAACATGTACCAACGCTGAGTGATCCATCATGTACCAACACTAAGTGATCCAACATGTACCAACACTAAGAGATCCAACATGTACCAACACTCAGAGATCTAACTTGTACCAACATAGAATGATCCAACATGTACCAACACTCAGAGATCTAACTTGTACCAACATAGAATGATCCAAACATGTACCAAAACTTAACTTAATCCCATCAACTGTTTTGACTCAAGTACTATGTGTAAGACAATTTGACATCATAATTACACAAACAGTTTTATCAACGAAACTCGTGTTAATATACTGTTTATTTATCTCAGTTACATTAGCGATATAAGAACAAGAGCTTTGAGTTGTCAGCAAAATCGTCTTGTACCAGCCTCCACTTCACATCGTAAGGATCTCATTGCAAAAATTAAGGATTTACAGGCAAGAGGATCAACCAAACTGAGGTGGGCACTCAACTTTTATAGTGAAGGCATTCTAAATTGATAGGAGCTCGACTTAAAGTTTGGTTATTCAGTTCACGTCACTTTAAATTATCACCGCTAGAGTGGTTAAATTTTTAAGTGAACAAGCTTCCTACCTTTAGTTCAGTTCACGTCACTTTAAATTATCTCCACTAGAGTAGTTAAATTTTATAGTGAACAAGCTTCCTACCTTCAATTCAGTTCACGTCACTTTAAATTATTTCCACTAGAGTGTTTAAATTTTATAGTGAACAAGCTTCCTACCTTTAATTCAGTTCACTTCACTTTAAATTATTTCCACTAGAGTCGTTAAATTTTATAGTGAACAAGCTTCCTACCTTTAATTCAGTTCACGTCACTTTAAATTATCTCCACTAGAGTGGTTAAATTTTATAGTAAACAAGCTTGCTAACTTTAATCAAGTTCACGTGACTTTAAATTATCGCCACTAGAGTGGTTAAATTTTATAATGAACAAGCTTCCTAACTTTAATCAAGTTCACGTCACTTTAAATTGCCTCTGCTATAGTGGTTAAAGTGTATGGTGAACACAAGCTTACTAACTTTCTTAGAAACGAACTTCCTAACTTACTGAAATAAACTGGATTCTTATCATTCCAGCAACGCGTTCGAGAAGTCCTTCAAACTTCTTCATGGTAATACGGGTAGTGGTTGTCAGTCTTTAATCATTTTCATTACGGATGGCCAGGACACAGATGGCGATGAAGTTCGTTGTGATAAAGGACATTATGCAAAAAGTGACTACGTCCCTGGGAAGAAATGTCAATATGATTGGAACATCGTCTGGAATAAGGTCAAAACATGGAATAAAGAAGGGGTATGATGTTGTAAATAAAGTTCCTCATCAGTGAGAAGTTTTAGGCATGCTCTGTTATATTTCACTATATATTTTCTATAATGTAATGTGCGCACTGCTATTTTTTTCATTGTAGTTTGATTGTTATATTGTACTGTGGTTGTTATATTGTACTGTGACTGTTATATTGTACTGTGATTGTTATATTGTACTCTGGTTGTTATATTGTACTGTGATTGTTATATTGTACTGTGATTGTTATATTGTACTGTGACTGTTAAATTGTACTGTGATTGTTATATTGTACTGTGATTGTTATATTGTACTGTGATTGTTAAATTGTACTGTGATTGTTAAATTGTACTTTGATTGTTATATTGTACTTTGATTGTTATATTGTACTTTGATTGTTATATTGTACTGTGATTGTTAAATTGTACTATTACTGTTATATTGTACTGTGATTGTTATATTGTACTGTGATTGTTAAATTGTACTGTGACTGTTATATTGTACTTTGATTGTTATATTGTACTGTGATTGTTAAATTGTACTGTGACTGTTGTATTGTACTTTGATTGTTATATAGTACTGTGACTGTTATAAAATTTTTATGTTATTTCCATCACAACAGGACGTCAAAAGGACTCGTATATTTTCATATCTTGTTGTGGACGACGGTGAAGAATTTCCTGGCAAGCTTGCATGTGACAACCGCGGGTTCATGAAGAAGATTGTTGAAAGTACCAATCTCATTAGCCAGATGCAGGATTATTACGAATTTTTGTCAGCTAATACTCTGTCTTCCACACACATCACATGGAGTCCTCCCTATTTGGACGCACTAGGACTGGGACTAATGGTGACTGCTGCTATCCCCATAGTGACGAACAGGTGATATAAATTATATATAAGTATCTTGAGGTTAGCGTGAAGCTTTTGTCATGTGTAGTTAGAAGCATAGTATAGAGAATATACAGTAGGTCCACTTCGTGTGCAACTGGCTGCTGTATATTTAATTACATTGCTGGCTGCAGTTAGCCATTTCATTATTCCTACTAGTTAAAAAAACAATTGACTCGCTGCCACCATAGTAATCACATGCGTAATAAGATATGCAAGGTACAAAAAGTTCAATGGTGCGGCTCTACTGTATATTCACTAAACTGTGGTTATAATGCTTATCAAATTTTGTGGTACCTAACGTATAAGATCCCAAATTTAAGAACCGTGGGGTAAAATATCCGTTTCGTACATTCGGTATATAAGAAACTGTATCTAAGTAGGGGAGGGGAGTCGCGGAAGTTCGTGGGAAGTCTTGGAGAGGTCGTTGACGTAAGTGAGGGGGGGAGGCTGTTCGTGGAAGTTGGAGTCTTAGGTTCTATAAATGGTAATATTGTTTGTAAATATGTCTCAGTATCACGATATATAGATTGAAACTTCAGGTACGGTATCTACATCTGTGTCGATGATCGAAAGATTTAATATTATCCGAGGCATCTCTAAGATTATTATTGTCTTTCTGCATGTGGTGTTTCGTTCAACTTCATTTCAGGACAATCGGAGTGATAGGGATTGATGTGACACTTGATGAAATAGGGAACATTCTAACTGGTTACACATGGGGATCTGCTTACGCATTTCTCATTAATAATGATGGTGAAGCTATTTTCCATCCGTTACTACGAGCTACCACGCAGGTGGGTTATATGAATAGCGATGAAAGACTATCGAATTTATAACGTTTTAACACAATAAGTCTTTAATATCAAGTTTATGTGTGTAAAGACAAGCAGGGTCCTAGCTAGAACATTAATTGGGAGAAGGTGTTTATTCATATATTCAGTTGTGCCCGACTGACTTCTTTTTTATAGTGGTTTGTACAATATAAAAGTTACTAAGCCCTTAATAACCGAGCGGGAGGTCTTTACGGAGAAATATCGAACCGAAATTTTTTAGTACAAACCGAGCCCGTAGGGCGAGGATTGTACTGAAAGACAGAGGTCTGATATTTCTCAGTAAAGACCGAGAAAGCGAGGCTATTAAAAGGTTTATTATATGGCATTATTTGACCTGAAACGAAGCTTGCTTGCTTTCTTGTCCTTGCTGTTTTTTACCGGTTGGCTTTCACTCTTCTAGTTTTCGTCCATAAAAAATAAATCGTTTCAAATTGTATCGTCTGGATGGTTAAACTGCTTTCCGAGTTTTTTTCCTTCGACTCACATTCGTAAATAGTTTTTTCTTTTGTTTATTTTGCGTTTTGCTGTTTACCTTACGAGGTTTCTTTACATTTGACTGTAAAATTACGCGTTTTGGACCGTGGTCGAATACGGGAAATAATGGACCGACAAAAATGTTTCTGAGCCAATCACAACGCATCATTTTGCTGGAAGTGACGATTGCCATATAATAAAGTACAATTAACATATGGATGTAATAGGCAGGACATCTAGGTAAAAACATTGAGAGTTAGTGACAAATATTTTGAAGTTTTTCTTTTTTGAAAATACAAAGTCTTGATCATTCTGAACTTGAACCTTTTTGAACACACTCGAACTTAATCAGCTTTTAAACCTAATGGTTGTTAGTTGATAATGCGTTCTTGTCATTGTATGAAGTTAAAAATCAATGGACATTCTTGTTTACCAGCAATGCTTTTATCAAGGATTGCATAAACATATCTGGCTTGTGCATCTTTTAGTGGCGCCCAAAGTCTTCAAACGGCTTGTCTTTTATTGCTAGTCTTTACTTGAATGTTTTGTGAAAAATTTTTTACTTTCGAATTTTCTGCGACAATTTTGTTTGAGGTGTACTTAAGCTCAAACTTGACCAGTTTTCCTTCAACAGTTTCCTTCTCCCCTTGAGGCGTAACAAACTTGCTAATTGAGGGGGGGCAGAAATTCATGTATATATCTCCGTAGAAAATTTCGAAGGAACTTTATCCGGCAGAACTTGACTATATGAATATTGTTTCCCAACCCTCCATTTGTTGAGTTTGTTACGCATAAAAGCTAGTTGAGCCCGATGCTCAACCAAAAAATTTGTCGTGTGAAGCTTCAACCAAAAGCCAGTAAAGTATATATTTTTAACCTTTTCACTTCGTAAAAGTCGTCATTGAATATACTGTCAAATTAATTTAACAACACTAGCAAACACAACTGGGTCCATGCAAACTAGTCACCTCTCCATTCGAGAAGATAAACTTGCCAAGAAACGTGTGAAGAAAATATTGCTTGTTTATACAACTTTTTTTTAAATTTTACTTACATTGACTTATTTTTTATGCAGCTTGTTGATGATCCTATACTTGTGAACATCGGTGAACTCGAGCAGAAAGCTGGTACCCAGGAAGCAGAAGCCTTTCGCGAGATAACTGAAGAGATGAAGAAGGGTAATACTGGATCGCGAAGGATCGAACAAGCTGTGAGAGCAGTGCCCAAGGGAGATTTTCAAGATGGTCTTCAGTACATCAAGACACCCGTGACGTATTTTTATTCGGGAATACCAGACTCCAGTTATTCCTTTGCGTTCAGTTTTACGGACTCGGACCTCAAGTATAGACGCCCTGAACGTCCAAAGAGGTCACAAGCAGGCACTACAAGGAGCTTTTATGGATATATGCGGTCATATAATGATACATACGTACGGAAGGTGAGTTCATGTGGCGGGAATTTGCAACAATATCCTAGGATTAATATATTATATATATTCTCTGATGATGGCTTTGGAATGAAGTCGAAACACGGTGCCATCCAGTAAACTGTTATAGTGGCGAGAATCTCTCGTCCATACGCAGTTTTAAGAGATTTGACTCGTCTCCAATCCCTGTGGGCTTGGTAGCTCAACAGGTAGAGCGGCGGACTAGTATCCCGAAGGTGCGAGTTCAAATCTCGTCCAAGTCACATGTTTTTCGTGTGCATGTTAAAAAACCGTGTTAGGATTAATATATTATGTGTTTGGTTATATTTGCGTATTATAATAGTTCCCAACTATCAACGAAATGCGCGGCAATGCTATCTCACATGAGACAGTATATCATGTATAGAAATCATATTTTATTATACATGTCATTGGTGAAACCCACATGTGAAACAATCCAGTACTTTTGATTGATTTGATTTTGAAAGATTTTGATTGGTATAAAGATTTCGTGTTAGGCACGCGTGAATTTTGAAATCTCGCGACAGTATTGGAAAATCCGAATTTTAATGTTGCCAGTTTAGTAAAATCATAATGACAAGTCAATATAGGAAGCACTCGTAGAATAACGATGACTGTGATTTTATTGAGTACAATTCGAGGCAAGATAACAACAAAACAGTGATAACTAGAGAGTTATTGATGATACCATTGTTGGGCTACAGCTTTCTCGATATGATCACATACACACATATTAATCACATCTTGACTGCAAGTGATTGACAATAGTTTAACTATGGCGCTTAGTAATGAGATGAGTTTAAAACACCTACGACTCAAGTAAAATAAGGATGATTTTATCATCGCTCAACAGCCCTCCTCCGTCTTGTGTTTTGATGAGTATTGTGGCCAAGAACACGTACAGTCCTTTTTTTATTTACATTTAAAATTATTTTTACTTTATTTTACTTTATTTTTACTTTTGAATTCTTGTACTTCATTTTTAATTTTTTTCAAAACTAAAAATGAAAACCAAAATAAAATTAAAATGCAATGGCCCGGAACGCCAAGACCACAATGATTAGCGACTTTCAACCGTTGGCGTATTATTGATTACTATTCAACATGGCACATATATGGCAGATAACATTGACCTCGTTCTGAATAATTCTTGATATCATGCTCAACCTCATCCAACAATTGCTGATTATTTTTTAGCAACTCGGTCCACTGTTTGATATTTTGAACTTGGAATACGACGTCGAAGATTATCCCGAACTATACATCTCACGTAATCATTCGTCCGTGTTTATCGCAGCCAGAGCTTATTGTGATCCTAACAAGTACCTTTTTGACGACAATTCACCCCAACTTACCGTTGATATCCATAAACTTATCAATGATCTGGCGAACCTCGGTGAATGCAATACTGGCAGTACATTGATACCCGGAAGTGTAAGGTAGTTAGACCTAAGTTTAGACTGTTTTCATTTGTTTTCACTAAAAAGTGAATGTCAACCGTCATGCATTGCGAGCTTAGTTTATTTTCATATCAGAGTCTAAAGGCCCGTTCACACGATCCGATTTTGTCGGGTCCTAAAAAACAGATCGTGTGAACACATATAAAGTGAGCCTCCGACAGTCGGATCTGTCAGTCTAAAAATCGGATGGAAATAGAACTTGCTCTATTTTCATCCGACCAGATCAAAGGAAGCCGACTTATCAAATTAGATTGATTTGAAAAGACTTAGAAACAAGAATAAAAATGCAAACAATATATCGATAAATGTATTGGATAACACAAATGTCTGTTTCACGACTATAGTTATCCAAACGAATATAAATATCAACAAAATTATGGACAGTCTGAAAGAGCAACCAAAAGTCGGAAACGAAGCAATCGGGTACGACCAATTGGATCGTGTGAACGGTCCTTTCGTGTATCTTTGTGATTTGAAGAAGTTAGGGAAATTGTTTTCATAGCATTTTTGCTATCAAAAAAGCACGTGACTTCCTTTGCTACACAAGCAAAGTTATGGTAACGAAACAAATGTCCTGCAAGTAATCCCACTTCGAAACGTAATGGAGAGTTTCCCTTCAGAATTAATTTCGAAATATGATTATTTCTGAATTGCGGCTGGGAGGATATAATGTTTAGGAAATACAGCCATTAGAAATATTTTTCAAAAATTGTAATTGTGTCCGTATATTTGACGTTAGTACAGTACTGTAGCCAGCTCAATAGTTACGGGGGGGGGCTAATATTGCATGCATGTACATTCTGTAAAAAACAACTGATTTCAAAGGAACTGAAAAGGCAAAAAATTCACGTGTGAATATCCCCCCCCCAAATTATTGAGTTGGCCACGGCACTGTTTCAAAGCAAGTGGCAGTTTATTCATGGTTACTGCAATAAAAACTGTCCATTGTGAGGTGAGGATTTGAGAAATGCTAACACAGCTATAGACCAATCACCGCACGTGTTTTATCGTATTTATTTCATAAAGCTTAATGATAGGTGGAGGTTGAAATTAATATTCCATTGTCGATACTGTATTTTTCAGAGCTGATGTAGTCATAACGGCTCCTATTGAATCAGCATGGAAGGCAAGGAATGAGACGTTTTTAAAGGACGTCCGCTGGACATACGTAGCGACTACTCGTGGTGCTTTTCGCAGCTATCCCGGACATAGGACGCCTAAGAATTTTGATCCAAGAAGGTACATTTTGTTTGAAGTGGCTTAGCCAGCTCTCATGTTTTTGTCCTGCCGTGTAAATTTCATATCATTATCTTTATTAAGTTTTTTTAAAATCTATTGTTTTTGCATTGAGTGAACACAGCAAATATTACCCAACAGGACCAAATTTGCTTGTTGGCTACGCCAGTGTCTGTTTGCAATATGTTGAAACAGAGAAATGAACTTTTACGTTAGCTAACTGTACTAGGGTACCACTCAAACGAATACAAATCGTGATTTTCTACCAAAACAATTAAATCAGGAGTTCGATACTTCCATGAAATGATAGTTGATGAGGGCGACGAATCATAATGGTAGTCATAAAGAAAAAAATCGTTATTGTTTTACACAGTTTTATTATGCATTTGTTATTGTTGACATTGTTTATATTGAAAACGGAGCATGTTTACTTATTTATTTGAATTTTGCTTTTTTCATCTTTAGATGTCTTTACGTTGTATTTACTGGCAACTTTAGTCTTCTCTAAAATTACTTTCTGAAAAAAAAATCAAGTCTATTGTCAGAAACTCGAGTAAAACGCGAGACGGCATGCATGGTCGGGAGCCATGTTTTTTTATTCTTTGCAGCCTTCGCTATACTCGCTATCTTTAGCAAATCAGATAGCGAATAGCGTAGCCAATCAAATGTAATCAGGTTTATCAACTTAAACGACATGTAACATGTTTGTACATGTAGTTTGTCAAGGTTAGTGGAGTCCTCAGAAGGACTGTTGGTGTTGATGTTGACTGACGTTTCGACAACCTTAGCGGTAGTCATCTTCAGAGTGGTCGGCTCCTGTTTATCGCCAAGGCTATCTTGACGTCAGTGAATATCACTACAAACAGTGTTTCTCGTGACTTCACGAACATGCACGATCTACATCTACAAACATGCGAAAAAACTGCGTATTGTTATTATCTAACAGATTGACATTATAATAAAAATTAGTGAATTAGGAAATCTGTGATTTAGTACCCCGGTCTTTTGGGGTTGGAAGTGGGAGTTTGTTCTTGTAAACTGAGTCTTGCCAAACAGTTTGCTTTGTCGGGGATATTTTAAATAATTGACGTGAAAACGATCAAACAAGATGATGCGCGTTTACAACATGTAACGATACTCTGGCTCAAACCTAAAATTGGGTGGTATTTTTATCAATTTTGCTGTCATGTCAACCACGGGAAGTTCAACTACATATTTCGTTTCCACCAATGGTTTTTGCAATGTTGAGCAGTGATTGACTTGACATTGCTTTCAAATTGTGAATTTTTTTTTTACGCCCTGTACACAGAATAATGATTATACAGAAGCGTCACTCTGGTGTTCAACCCGTCCTCGCGTCGGCCATTATTCCAGCCAGTTGATCAGAGTTTGTCACTGGTTTCCAACCATAAAAATTACATGACGTCAATACTTAATAATGAATTCGAGAATATTTTGACTTAAGAAATGACTTCGGATCATTTTAAAGGTTGGGAACAAGTCAAAAACCCAAATCAACTGGCTGGAATAATGACGGCCACCATGCGCAGCGCGACATGCGCGAGGACAAAATCAACTAAGGTTCCGACACGAGTGAACCTTCTGTATATTCTTATTCTGTGCCCTGTATATGACAAGAAATTTACTACTGCTAAGAATGGTTTCTAGTTTCTGTGCTGTTTATTATGGCTCAGAGTAAAAATAAAATCATTTAAATGATTTGTATGTGCCAGTAGCGGATACAGCGTTCGTCAAAAATAAATTATACAGCTCATCGAATTTAAATTCAAAGTAGCTACTTTCAAAAAAACACTATTGGTTTTGAATTTCAAAAGAATATAATGTTACCAATACACTTGCCTCTAAGGTGCTTAGAAATGTAAATACATGCCATAATGTGCTACAGTAATTTATTTTGACGTAATATCTCAGACCCGCCAACGGTATGTACAAATTTCAAGCCATCCAATGCTTGATGAGAAGTTTAGAACGCGTGTTGTATGAAATGCTAGTAAAGAAAAGATAGTACTTCAAATTTTCTTCGTTTAAGACGTCCTTGGTACCATCGAACTATCGTGAACCCGTCGAAAATCTCCGTCTCGAATGCCTACATGGATTTAAATGGCATTGGAAAAGTGATTACAATGTCACAAGCAGTCTTTGAAAGCATCGACCCTCATTCGGACTGCACAGGAGTGATTAAACATGGCGGATGTCATTGTAACAGGTGAGCAGTTTACCTCTTCGCATCTTCAAAGAAAAGAAGCGCACATGACCAAGCGTTATGTGCAAGAAACCCTTGCCCGAAAACTGTGAAAACGAAGTATTTGTTGAATTCATGGCGAGTAATTATATGGGGGACTGGTTAGATAGTTATTACGAATGTTGAAAAATATTTGTACTGAATTCAAAAATCTTTTGCACGTCCCTCTGTTTAACCTGACAGTTTGAAGATTTGATAAAAACGGACGCTTAGCTTTGCTAGTCAAAAAACCAAAAAATTTATATTTTCAGCTAACTTTGTTTGAATCATGAAAGAGTTAGGAAAACTTTGCCTTCTGTTTTGATCGTATCTATATTTAGTCACATATTTTACTTGATATACAGTGGGCGAATAGTGCTATACGCTGGATGACAATATTTTTTAACACTTTGAAAATCTCGGAAAATATATAACATCCAAAAAGGGAGAAAATCAATAATTTGAACTGGACAATCAACGAAATGTAGTATTTGTTTTAGAATAACGAAATTTCGCTATTTTGAAGAAAATATACCACTTTTTCCACAAGTTTAAAAAAATACTCAACAAATAGATAACATTTAACCGTTGTCTATACAGTTATAGATACACAGATATGACGTCAATTGTGATAAAAACTTAAAAAGTGGCCACGAGCCACAGGGGCGATATAAAATCAAAAAAATTCCCAATTTAAACCGTCAAACAGTTTGTTTTCTTTGTCTCCCAACAGTTGGAACATTGAAAAGTCTTGATTTTACAAATATCATGCTTACGTGATCTATTGGATTGAAGAAATATTATTGGCTAGCTTAATCACGTGATAAAATGTGATTGGCTAACAAAATAAACAAGCAATGGCTGATCAATTTTGTTGAAGTTTTGTTATCGAAGACGAAGTACAAATTAATTTTTGAAAACCGGGTTTTTTCTTTTCTTTTTGCTCAAATACGTTAACTGCCTCAACTAGGTCTTTGTGAATATCTTTATTTTCTCATTCAGGAGGTATTGCGATAAATTTTGAAATAAATCCGCTATTTGTTTCTTTTTATAAACATGAAATTTTCTGTGACGTCAATTCCGTGTGTATGTCCTCTTATAGATCATAGCTCTCAACCAATGAAATTGCCCAAATTCGTCTGGTTATTATATAATATGCAATAGATAACGCTATCCAGGCTTCGTGTGACCTGCCCCAGCTGTACAAATTTTAGATCAATACCATAATCATTTCTTTAGTAATTTTGTTGTTTTCACAATGTGTGAACTCATAATATCCTTGAATGTTCTTTAATATCCTTGAATGTCCTTGAATTTAAATTGAAAAGTTCAATGCCTTGCGAATACTTAAATTCGTTAAGATGTGCTTGAAAGTGCTTGAATTCAATTTTTTGATAGAATATTTTTTAACATGCCGTTGCACTATGTTTGTTTTAAAAGTGCAGTTGAAACTGTATGTTGCACAAAAAAATAACTTGTTTGCTAAAGGGTTGATGACAAAACTTTGAAGTAACCTAGCTAAAAATATGGCGGCTTTCGATTGATGCTCTTTTGTTTTTGTTTTGATGTTTTTTAACGATTTCCTACTTTAGTTATGCTTTGTGTGCAATTCAAGGTCTTTCTTGCATTTAAATTTTTTAAAAATATGTCTTGGAAAGTACTTGAAAAGTGCTTGAATTTAATTATTTTGGCAATATACGAGCCCAGAAATAATCGGGCTGTCTTTTTGCCGCCTGCATGAAGGTTGTGTTTTCCATTGTATATTTGTCTGTTATTTATTTATGATCAGTCACCGTGATTGCTTGTCCCGATATTGTCTGAAGAAACGATGTACTGGAGACAGAGTCGAAGCTGTTGTTGCACTTGATATTAAGTATCCAGACTTTCATCAAAGTATTTATGAGCGGTTAAAAGCCACCGGGGACAAGAAGACGTGCGGGAATAAGTACCCCTGTCCTGACGGCATTCATACGTGTGAAACAAGGTAAAATCGCTTACATCAGTAGTGTAATGTATAACACCCCCTTTTATTAGAAAACAAAGAATAAGAATTTTATGAGAGGGTGTTTTCCATTTTGGTTGAGAAGCGGGAGATTTCGTTAATAAGTAAGAATGTGGCATGCCAGACTGCGTAAATAACTATTAGCCTGTTGAACGAGTGGTGGAATGTTGTTTAAATAACTCTTTGATAGTTATTCATAAAAAAACAATAAAATGCATTCACGTATTGGTCTATAGCTGAGTTTACATTTCCTGTGCAAACCAGGCTGAGCTAAACTAATTAAATCAATGAATTAATCAAAGAGAAATTAAGAATTATCATGAATACATTTTAAAAAATGAAAACATTTGTTTTAAAATAGTCTGTTACACACTATTGTTATTTCATAAAAGAAATAAAAGATGTTTTTCGTGTTTGCACCGGCTTTTGCAAACCTTGGAGACGCGTATGATGAGAAATGGTTGAAACTCTCTAAGGTTTCCTCGGTTTGCATAAGCCTGTGCAAACACAGTAAACGTTTTTTATTTCTTAATTTGTAACTGTTTGGTAGCTTGTTGATAAATATTTAACCGCATGTTGAGTGGTTCTTGATGACTGTTTTATTACTTTCATAGTGGGTTGATGACTGTTTTAAATAAAACAAAATAAAACCATTGATTGTTCTGATGTCTTTGGAATAAAGACAAAATATTGCCTACTCTGTGTCTAAACTCTAGCATTATCTTGAATATCAAGAAAACAAGATATCTGTATTTGGAATTCATTACTCGTTCTCTGGAGGGGCACGATCAGAGGTTTCGGCTTGTGGTGTCGAGAAATCGACTTTGTTGACCCAGAATGCATTGCCCTTTTACAATGTGGCGACTGCAAGGAGTGACAAATATAATTCTTCGAAAATACATAGATTGAAGCAATCCTTTAACAAGCAAAACAAAGGATGACGCTTATATACGCACAAAAGACAAAGCTACGCTACAACATATGGCATACTTTTAAATTCCTTTATAAAAGCAAGAAATATCATCGATATTTTGACTTTGTTGTTTACAAAATGCTATAGCTTCCTTTACTTGAGAGATTATAGTACTGCAATCACCGGTGCACGATTGTGCGCCTGAGCAGACGTCTTGTTTTATTTAAAATTGTCTGCATGACTGTTTTATAGATGGCTCATAGCAATTTGAAGACTGGCGAATGATTGGTTGATAACTTTTGTTTTCTTCGCTTTAGATGTTATCTTGTCGATAACGCTGCGAACCTCGTCACAGATCCCGACTTTCTTCACGCGAACATCACGGATGAACGAGAATACGAGAGAGTTTCCCTGGGAAGGAAAGAAGGCGACATCATGAAACAACTGATCCACGATCACAAAGTCTTTAAAAGAACACGACGTTCGGATTATCAAGGCATCTGCAGTGTGTCGCCGTATTTTCCAAAGGTATTCTCTCATGCCTCCCCCCTCTAACATGCTGGTTATACCCTACTTTTTGTACTAGCACAGGGGGTCAATTGTTCATTACAGTGCACAAGCAGTCAAAAAGAACTGTACACCGGCATGCAAATAGTTCAATGGCCATATAATGCCAAAATGTTCGAAAACAATCGCGCAAAAATGACAATAGTATATTTAATAACTGATGGGTTTTTCTCTTTTTTGAATTACTATGATTGTATATATTATAGTTTACTGCTGTAAGTAGGAATCTATGGGATTGGGTTCTGAACCATTGGAATTATTGTTGATTTGATGACCGTTGTTCTCAGTTTTTCCTCCCTATATCATAAAACACGTTTTTCCCTTCTTTTTCTACGGCATTCGTCTAGGTGACGTTAAAAGGTATCATTCAGACCCCGGAGGAAGAGGACGAGTACTATCGGAACAAAGGTCCCATCCCACCGTTTCAAAATGAGTACGGCTGCATACAGGACGTTGTTGGCTACAACGCGCTTCCATTTGAAGGTAGGAATTTTTGATTTCATACATGTATTCTGAGTTCCCATAGATGCAAGAAGAGGCGTAGCCAGCCCGCAAATTTCATGTCAATGGCATTATTTATTTTAATAGCAATGTGTTGTTCTTATAATGAGCGAATCCAAAATATTAACATGACATGGCTAAATTAACGTGCTGGCTAAGCCACTGTATTCAAGTATTTAATGTAGGAAAGAACTGGGTAATATTTCAATTTTAGGTATCTTTTCATTAAAGAAATAGAGAAATAGAGCTATTGAAACACGCAGGGAAATTTGGAAGAAACGAGAAATTGCGTGGTAAGCGAGTGCACGAAGTGCGAGTGTTTCCAAGCAAGTTCGAGTTTCTCCCAAACTTTCACAACTATTTTTATAACTCAATTAAAACACGTAAATATGTTTTTATTTCGTTTATAAAATAGCCTTTTAAAAACAATATTTAATAGATAAATTTATTGATTTGAATGACATATTATTTGTATTTTTACGTTTTAAATCTCCCGCACAAACCATGCAATCTGCAAGACATTTGCGAGACTAAAATTTACCGTGTTTCGTTAAAGTTGTGCCGAGCGTTCAACCAATCCTGTGTTTTTAAACATTGGCCTTCGCTCGTAATTCGTGGGATTACTTCGAAAATTTTGACAAGAAACATAAAACAATATTCCTCGTTTTTAGATGGGAAAGTTTTTGCGGGCAGTTCTTTTGGGCCTTGCACAACTGGCAATTACTTCTTCACAGCTTTGCCAAAGACCAATCTTTATCTTCTTGTGATTGAAGATTGGACCCGCTTTCGACAATCTTACTTCTACAACTTCAATTGCCGCATCAGTAATCGCGTATTTGATGCCGGCGCTTATCGTATTGTCAACGGCACATGCAAGCACATCGAAGTTAGGTCTCCAAAGGATGGATTGTGTCCTACATTGCGTAATATTCACCTCAAATGCTCTTACAATCAAAGTAAAACGCTTTCTCCAGTGACATTTTTGATCTTGTTAACAGTCCTTTTACTAATATGGCGATAATTTAGCGTCATTAAAAAGATGGCTCCGAGCAATGCATTGTGTTTCATTCTGCAAAATTCTTCCCGCCGCCATCGTAAACTCGCTTTGACTTCTTCATATGGATTTCTCCCGATGATTTAGAACCCAATCCCTTAGATCTTGAAAGGTGGCAAAAAGCAAAAGTCAAAATGAAAAATAAGTTAAAAGGAAGTTTAAAAACCAATCCTATCGAAAATTTTATCAATCAATCCTGGACTATCAACTTTGCAACTGTATATCAACTCGAGAAAAACAGGTTTTAGTCGTAAATATGGTCATTTTTGTCACCAGTCAAGATGGCGGCTTGCCTCACTTGTAAATATAGAATTTCGGAGTCGGAACGCACTTTTTCGTTACGAAATTCATCAATGCATTTCATAACATTACGTATATGTACAACAATTTTAATCATTTATTTTTAGCTATCAGGAATTATGGGATTGCTCATAAATTTATTTTCAAATACGATCCAATACTTTGTATGTGATCAAGACTTCGTATGTGATCATTGGATTTTCCTAATTCTCTCGTTAAGCGTTGTAAAATCTAATATGTATTGTTTATATGGAAAAGTATTTTCGTATTTTGACAACCGTGCATACCTTCCTAAAACACAAAATTTTTCCCTTCATGAACACTTTAATAACTTATAGTTATAGTTTAAGAATGTGAATTCAAGGTATTGAAGTTTTTGCTATGTTGATTCGATTTACGAAACAAGTGACGTTCTATTGCGCAATGAGTCGTCGTAAAGTTTCATGTTTTGTTGAAATAATTATGCAGCATTTTCTATGTTAAACATCGTGGAAAGCTTTGGAAGAACTCGAGAGCAGATCACCGTGTAAGGCCGAGGCCCAGGGTCAAGGACCTGTTTACACCTGCTCCCGGATCTCACAAACGCCTCCGGGTTTGGCAAAGGCATCAAACGAAAAAAATTTCGCTTTGTTTCGCAGACACTTCATTTAACTTTTTTGTTCTTGTCAAACTTTAACAACAAGCATATGCGCTTTTAGCACTTTACCAAATTATTAAGCCGTGACATTAAGATATTTTATAATGTATGTTCTCGCACGGCATCACAACTGCAAAGATATGTGTTCTGTCTTTTTATGGCTGATCCTTTTACCAGAAACGTGCATCTCTTCTCATAAACATAAGGATCAGCGGACTGGCGAGGCAATTTCCGTACAATAAACACGATGTAAAAAAATACAACGCGTAGTTGTACTTGAAATTCATCAGTACGCCTGTTTCGACCAGCAAGGCGAACAATGGAAACGGTAGAACACACAAAACGTAGACCAAGATGAGAACAGCTATCAAATTAGACAACGCAAGAGCTTGTTCGGATAATAAATCGTTCCTTATTTCATCTGCACTTTCGTCTTGGATTTTTCTCTGAAATTGTTTACGCATCGTGGCCAGATTTCGTCTGATACGGCAGTATACGATAATCCCAGTCATTGCGGATGCTCCGATCAACACGATCATGTAGCACAGAAAGAAATGTGCGACGTTTTTATTTGGCCAAATGACGTCACACATGACCATTTCATCATCCGAAATCAGTTGTTTATAAATAGCCATCGGCAAACCCATTGTCAAACATGATGTCGTCCAAATTACTGCTAGTACCTGAAAAATATTGGAAATTTATACAAAGCAAAGTGATTTCATTGACAACATTCTCAAACCCTGGAAACTATGTATATTGTGAAGCTTGACTTGAAGTCACTGGCTCAAATCCTATTTTAATCATGCTCTCCGGTAAATAGTGAACAGTACACAGTCTTTTTGTGGTGACAAATATGGATATTGCCTTGAGAAGCTTGTTCACTATGGTGAATAACGACTGTAAACAGATAGATATAGCAGCTAGGGACGTGGAAGATTGATAATTGGGGTATTCACATGTGCATGTTATGCCTTCCGTTTTTTAAGAATAATAACAGGAATATATTAATATCCCCTCCCCTCCCAAAAAAATGTTTATCTTCCTACGTCCGTCGTTAGTTTATTAAAAAAATTAGTTGAATGCAGCAATTGGCTGAATTAAGTTAAATTTAACGACATTAACTATTATTGGATGAGGTTGAGCATGATATCAAGAATTATTCAGTTTGAGGTGAATGTTGTCTGCAGAAGCGAAGCTGAGGGGGATAGACAAGTCTGAATAATTCTGGATATCATGCTCATTTTCAAAATTATTTCTATACGGTGGGTGTTTCTTCGCCCCTGGGACGATGAATATTTCGGCTTCCTTCCCTAATCAAACATTGAGTAAAAGAATAGTTAGTAGTTGTACATTTCATTGGCTTTGAAAGCTGTAGAATATCATGAAGTAACTTTGTTTACTATTTTGAAACCAAGGTTTTTGCATGCAACTATGGACTGGATAATTGGAAATCATCAAGTTAATGGAGGTGATTTTCTTCGAGTTTATTGATTTTGTTCTTTGCCGATTGAGGCATATTGTTTCTAAGTTAACGCTATTTTCATGTTTGTCCACAACAGGTAAATTAATATTAAATATATGTGGAGACACTTGCACAATTAGCAAACGTAAACACCAGATTAGATGTCTTCCAAAATACGTTATTTAATTTCGTTTAATTTATATTTGAGTTGTGGCAGTTCTTTACAAACCATTAAGGCGATAGTTTTCATTTCATGCAATTTGTGGTTTGAATTATTTTCCCGGCGTCTGTTTTATGTATAATACTGAGTGGAAAATAAATATTTTATTTGTAGTGTCTTTGATTAATGTTATTCGCCATAACTAAATATGCGCTTTTCAGACTGAAAAAGACCACATTGCCTTTGAACGTACAACATATGACGAACAATGGCTGTTTACATAATCCATTTAAGAGAAATTCCTATAATTGCCTTACTATTATCGCGTGCCTCTCATTGTGCGCTTTTCCTTTTGAGACGAAATAACGCTCCAGAGCGATGGCACTGAAGGTCAAGGCAGATGCTGTCAGGCATACGTCTTGAAGTGGAGACACAAACTTGCAGGCAAATAAGCCATACGGCCAGGAAATATGCTCGGGAACTATATCCGTTGGAATGCTAATCAACAATATCATCAAATCTGCCATGGTTAGGTTCATAACGAGAGCATGCAGACATTCGCTTTTAATACCGCCATGATTCATTCTTCGACGGTAGCGTCGAGCTATCCAGAGATTTCGTAGAACTATACTGTTGAATATTATTCCAAAGGTAAAAATGATTGCCTGAACTCCAAGTTCTGCAAATCGTAACAAGACCATTGTTTTTTGCGGCCAATGTAAAGATGTATTCGTTCAGGAGGTGTCAGCGTCTATATGAAAACGAATGAACAAAAAACTACTAAATGCTGCATGCTTTTTCTATAGTGATTTAGTTTTTATACTCTAAACTTCAGCTATAGTATTTTTTTAATAAATATCATAATATTGTTTCAAAATTAGTCTTCCGTGTACAAACATTTGTAAATGTGTTGCTTGCATACAAAATATTTCATCGCATGTCTTCTATTTATAGTTTCCACAATGCAGCACTCTTTCATTCATTCATTTCCACGCCTCCTTGTATTTTTTTAAGAAATATCAAACTAAGTCTTCGCGTTCCTTTTTTGCGTCACTTACAGCGCGTTGTAATTTTCTGTGCATCTACGAACACAACTTTCTTGAAAGCACCTGTTGTTTTTCGTTGTCATCATCATGGTCGTGCAGTATTTATGAGCGGCTAAATGCCACTGGTAGCGAGAGGAAGTGTGAGAACAAGTACTTTTATTGAGTAAAATTGTGTGCATTAATACTTATACACTTTTGTTACAGGTCCTGTTTATATGGAGCCAAGTTACCTATAGCTATGCGTCAAACTTGCTCAACCGGGTAACTCGGCCCTTATACCAACTGAATACATTAGTTGGTGTACCATTTTTGACACATCCGACAGTAAATATCCTTGCCGGCAACTCGGTTTGTGTTAGCGAGGAATTCAAGAAAGATATTTATAGTTGCTAGCCGAGTTACCTTAGCCATAAAAATAGATCGCTTGTTTTACATGGCTGAGCGAGATACTCAACTAGCCGGGTCACTCGGCTCCTTATAAACCGCTCTTGAAAGTGCAGCGTGTCATGTTTTTCGTTGATACGTCAAAAATATAGCATATCATGCTACGTGTTGTAAGTGGTTATTGTAACTTTTTGATAGCTTGTTGAATGATACGTGGTTAACTGTTTGATAACTGTTTGATATCGGGTGAATGACAGTTAGATGAATGGTTGATAACAGGGACAGCGGAAGATCGATAACTGATAAACTCATATCCTTACATTTACATGTTTCAATCGCTAATCGCAATTGGTAACTATAGAAACTTATAAAGTAGAACATTCGTATTTGAGCACGACCCCCACCCCCCTATCCACAATTATCGACCTTTTGCGGTCTCTGAATAAACGTTAGATGGCTAATATATCATACACCTAGCGTATGCTCCCTCGAGAAATAGTGAGTTTTGTTTTCCGAGAGTCTCGTTGTTTCCCGTGATGAAAAAATAAACTCACTATTTCCACAAAACAAAACTCACTATTTCCACAAAACAAATCTCACAAAAATGAGAAAAAACAAAACTTGCTCTTTCCTGAGGAAGCGTATACATTCCAATCAACGTCTTTCAGGGAAATTTAGTCAGCGAAATTTTATTGCAACATGCCATAAAAATGAGTATTATCTGTGTCTTTGTTTCTATTAATAGTCATGAATTTCGTGGCTTAATAAGCCGGAAAAATGTTTTTTAGTTTTCGGGTGTAAAGTCGCTTTATTTGTTATAAAATAAACGTGCAACAATTTTTTATTTGTTTCCCTGTGAAGAACTATTGCGTATTTTTCAAAGGCATGTGACTCTAAATTAACCAATCACATTTGACATATACTACACTTACGTAACAAAACAAACTGATATGTGGTTTATAACTCTGTGGTGACTGGTGGATTAGTACTGGTCGATGACATCATAATTATATGCAACTCATTTCACACCATCAGAAGAGTCGGATTCATCTTAATTATGTAGAATATGTTGTTACATTGCTTCTCTAGAAGGCTTACCTTAACCACGTGATGATTATTTATCAACGTAACTGGTGACGTGTCATATATGGCGACACAAAATTGCAGGCTCACCGCATGCCACGTGCCAAATTAGGCTTTCCCATGAAAGTCTTATGAATGTGGTTGCGTACAGGATGTTATCAGTTACAACTCAGAACAAGATATATACAGAAAGCCTTTTGGAGTCGGCCCGGAACTTTTGATATTTTTTCTTCGCGCATGTTGGGCTGCGCATATTGGCCGCCATTATTCAGGAATTTTGATTAGGGTTTTTCGCTTGTTTTAAACCACTATAATGCAGACCTGAAGTCATATCTTCATTCTAAATATTCTAGAATTCACTACTTGGAAATGACATCATTGGAAACAAACGACAAACCCTAAAAAGAGTTTACTATTTGTAATACGCGATGCTTCCATTTCATGTTAAAAGATTTCTGTTTCCCAATTTTAAAGGCAAACAATATTTCAATCGCTGCAACCAAGTATCTGTCGATTTCAACGTCAAAATAAGAACAAGGGGTCAAGGATTTCGTCCAGAGAGGATTGCATATGTTTAGAAATATCATGCAACATTAACGAACTCCGACTGTGCACCCCTCCTGTAATCCCCTTTGCATCCGTCACTAATGAACACGAGTTCTCTATTTATTCTGTATTCTCTAATAGATATTCTCTATTTCTCTCCGTAATTTCTACGAACAAATGAATATATGGTTTATGTAACAGAGTATTTTCGTATTTCGACATTCGTTTATCCCTCTGAGTAAGTAAGTTACTGAAATTATTGTTTTTATAAAGTTCTATGTATTACCGCGCACTCTTAGCGCTTTTCTTTAAATGGTTAAGCGGCATCAAGAAAATCTAATGTTATGCTTCTAAAACGCATCGTTGGCTAAATTCCGTTGAAGAATCTCCAAAGATACGTGTTCCGTTTTTCTTTTTGTTGGCGATTCTTTGACGAGGAACGTCAATCTTGCATCTCTACTCATGAACATAAGGATCAGCGGATTGGCGAGGCAATTTCCGTACAATAAACACGATGTAAACAGATAAATCGTGTAGATGTACTTATAATCAATCAATACACCCGTTTCGACGAGCAAGACGAACACTGGAAATGGTAAAGCGCACAACACGTAGACCGAGATGAGAATAGCCATCAAATTAGACAAAGCAAGAGCTTGCTCAGCCACTGAGTCGTTGCTTATTTCCTCTGCATTTTCATCTTGGATTTTTTTCTGAAGTTGTCTATGCACCATTGACAGATTCCGTCTGATACGGCAGTATACGACTGCCCCAATCAATGCGCATCCTCCGATCAACACGATCATGTAACCGAGAAAGAAATTTGCGACGTTTTTATTTGGCCAAATGACGTCACACATGACCATTTCATCATCCGAAATCAGCTGTTTATAAAAAGCCATCGGCAAACCCATTGTCAAACATGATGACGTCCAAATTACTGCTATCGCCTGAAGAAATATTGGAAATTAAATCAAGGAATGTTTGTTTTAGGAAACTATTTAAGTGACAAATTTCTCGAACCCAGTCAACTTTATACATTGTGCACCTTGGCTTAAGTCACTCGCTCAAATTATGCACACTGATGAAATTTCAACACATGATTAATTGCTACCGATGTCTGTGGGCATGTGTCTCTTTAGTAGGCAGCAGTATTTTGCGTCATATTTGTGAATGAAATTTGTCAGTTTTCCCTACCAGAATCGCGCTCCGCCTCTCATTGTGCGCTTTTCCTTTTGAGACGAAGTAACGCTCCAGAGCGATGGCACTGAAGGTCAAGGCAGATGCTGTAAGGCATACGTCTTGAAGTGGAGACACAAACTTGCAGGCAAATAAGCCATACGGCCAGGAAATATGCTCAGGAACTATATCCATTGGAATGCTAATCAACAATATCATCAAATCTGCCATGGTTAGGTTCATAACGAGAGCGTGCAGACATTCGCTTTTAATACCGCCATGATTCATTCTTCGACGGTAGCGTCGAGCTATCCAGAGGTTTCGTAGAACTATACTGTTGAATATTATTCCAAAGACAAAAATGATTGCCTGAGTTGCTAGCTCTACGACTCGTAGCAACACCATTTCTGTTTACAATCAGTAACAAAGACTAAAGATCTTCGTGCGAATGCTCTCTGTAGATGCGTTCGTGTCTATGAAAAGCGATTTGCAAATAGCAATTAACTCTTTTGGGGGTATTTGTGCAATAGTTTACCTGTATGAGTTTCATATTAGAGTTTTAGAGTTGTTATGAAACAAATTATAAAACTGTTAAGAAAGTTAGCCCTGTGTATGGTTAATTTTTTTGCATTTTTTTTACTTATCTCATTTACCCCCTCCTTACCCTCCGTTCCCCCTTCCCCAACATTTTGTTGCGTATGTCTTTCATTTATAGTTTTTATAATGTGGCGTTCTTTCTTAATTCATTTCCACACTTATTTATTATGCTTATCTCATTTACCCTCCTTACCCTCCGTTCCCTTCCCCAATATTTTGTTGCGTATGTCTTTCATTTATAGTTTTTATAATGTGGCGTTCTTTCTTAATTCATTTCCACACTTCCTTATCTTTTTAAGAAAAAATGGAATAGCAAAGTCTTTAGCCATAAATCTTTTTTACTTTACTTACAGCGCGCTTAATTTCTTACGCCTATAAGAATATCTCTTTCGTCAAAACACCTGTTGTTTTTCCTTCATCAGTTTTTACAATCGTTATCATTGCTTGCCGTACTTAATAACTTTAACATATTTAAATTCCAGCGGTCTGGCTGTTCTTACCGATATTCTGCGAGTCGAATCAATGCAGATCTCCAAGGGCCTTGTGACAAATGCTGTCTTGTTTGCAAAACTTTACGTTTAAGTTACTTCTTAAAGTACACTTCTTGCGTTCACGTCGACGTTTCTTCTTCGGATCTATTTACACATGCAGCGAATATATGCGTTTTTGTTGAGTTGTCCCAACATGAAAGATGCACATGGGTTTCAAAAAAGCCTGTGATTTTGGGATATGTCAATCTCAACACGGGCGATTAATAAGTTATGTAACAAAGCCCCGTAACAATAATGCTCTATGAAAAATACTATTGTGCATTAATAAAATACAAAGTATGCTGCTGTTTTAGTCACTAGATTAAGAATTTCCAACAGAGAATTACAACTGTCGGTATTAACGTTGTATAAATGAAATTTTGTCATTTTCTAGATTTTAAGGCACCCCGCAGTTGCTCCTTTCGTTTGAAATAATAAGACCCGATGTTAAGCTAATTTTTAATTAATTTGTTTAATACAAATTCAATTTATCAATTTGCTAAGAGGAGAGGAGCAGATAAAAAATGCTCGAGCATACCTCCCGACAAATGATTGTTAACGTGACAACTTCATTAAAGTCTCATGAACACTCAATTTAGATTCTATCTCAACGATATTTACGACAACAACACCGATGGAAATCATGCAATAATTTCATGTTTCTGTTAAGTTGCAAATAGAACTCGGACTGCGTTGGAATCATCTGGATTGTTTACATTCTCAGCACGACCGTGAACGAATTCATGTGTCTCTCATTTATTTGCTGATGAATTAAAAAAAAATTCACCACGAATGCCTCTGGGCTGTCAGATTAGATTGATTTATTTTCCCGTGTGTTGAACTCGACAAACTAGAATCGTTCTACTTTTTGACGCTAATTTCAGTTTTTAATGCTAATTTTTGCCAATATTTCCTGATTCTTTAAATGAATGAACTGATGTAATGCGTCACACGCGTTCCTATTTAATGCAGAAATGGCGAAAATCGGGGCAAAAGTCCATTAAGCATTACATAACAAGCGGCAGATCATTTTTATTAATCATGTTCTATGTATATGTGCAGACATGCTCTGACGACATATCTCAAAATTCTGTGAAATTTGCAAAATACGTATAGAGTCTAATTTTACCTTCAGCGAGAAACGACTTTTGCATGTATGTCTTAGTGTCTTTTACAGCAAAGAACTTGTGCTGTTGTTAGTTGTCTTCTTAAAAGGTCGCGCGGTCGCACAATGGAATGGCCTTCGTCAGCTTATGCTCGAGCTTTCTTATTTCCTTCGTATCATTTAATCTTAATTGAAATATTTTACCGTGTCAACAGCTATGTCTATAACAGCAATTTTTATTTATCTTAAGAGTGAAAAATCTTTTCCCGATAGTAAAAACAAAAGAGGCCCCTCTTGCACGTGAGTGTTAAGTGTGATCTTCGTCCATGAGTAATGTTCAAATCAAGCGATAATTTGTTGTCATTGGCCTACAACAAAGTTTTTCAAGATGGGCAACAAATCAGAGGAGTGGTCAGGGGGGGAGGTTGGCATTACCTCCCAAACATTTACAGTGACCGTCGGGAAATATTTGAGTATTTGTCTACAGATACTGCGTCGTATGTAATTATCAAACTACTATATGTGTGTTGTGTGCATTTACGTTTCACGACGATCACGTGTTAATCGGTATATCTTCACCCATTCCCCTTCCACCCTTGTCAAAAAGGTCAAACTACCCCCACTGCTCGTCGGATGTTTTTCAACAATATGCAAACTCCACATGAAACGGCGTTTTCTATGCATGAAATTTGCCACCGCTTCCCGTTACGTTGCGCGTTGTGTAATCGTGACGATTTTGACCTCTCATGCATGAAGTATTGGGTCGCGCTCTGAACGTTCTCCGTCTTGATTTTCCATTTGATAAGATTTCGACAGCTGTGGCCGTTCTACTGTTCCCCGGATTTCGCTATAGTTGCAAATTTTGTTGATTTACAACTGATTGATTTCATTCGAAAAATCAACGATTCAGATAGCGTGGAATATTCTGGTTCGTTAAACATTCCATATCTTGCAAACGCTATCATCTAGAACTCAGACTTGCAAGTGTTATCTGGCGTTCTTAATTTAATTGTTAATTTCGAAGAATTGAAGCTATTTGGGGCGTCGTTGATTTGCGGCAAAGTTGCAGCAGATTTACGATTGCCTCTTGCAGTATAAATACGTTCATGTTGATTTTAACTTGATAAAGGAAGGGCTGGAATGTGAAATTTATAAACTGTGAAATCATCAACGAAGCTTAATGATTGCATAATCGTTCACATGGAAGAAAATATTATGTACCATTCCTGTCTCTTGCCGAAGTGTTAAAAAGCAGTTTCAAAAACATTTCGGCATCTATATATATATATATATATTTATAATATTATCCCTGAAGAGTGAGAAATCACGAAAAAGGCTTGTCGGGATGAAATTGTAGTTTTTGTGTATTTTCTTCTTATTATCAATATATATAAACACAATCCACATAATGATGAAAATCGCATTCAGCTAAAACTGGTAGCAATAGACACTGCGTAGGGGTGTCCGAAATTAATTAAGGGGTGTTGTTCATATATTCGGTTGTGCTTGTTGGTTATATCCCTAAATTCAATTGCTTTCAAAAGAGATCAGTGCGGCTACTAACGTTTTATGGACTTCCATTATGACCCTGGCAATTGGACGAACGATATATGAGGAACTATGTATATATTGTATTATATATTTGACTGTAAAACAAAAGATATATAAAAAGGTAAATGTTATTGATCTAAAATTTACGTAGCAAAACCATGCAGGCTGGCCATGACACTGGAGCGATTCGTCGTTTCTAAAGAGGATGATTTTAACCAAGAGTATCATTAAGCCACATATGTTTGTAGATGTAGTTTGTCCAGGCTAGTGCATTCCTGAGAAGGACTGTTTGTGATGTTGTTTTGAAAGTTGAATCGACATCTTTAGCGGTAGAGATCATCAGAGTCAAGACTAACCTGGACGATCTACTTCCACAAACATGTAACCATATTCTTGACTTCAAACCGTTCACTTTATTAAGATCTTTTCTGAAGAAGGAACGCACTTTTTCGTTACGAAATTCATCAATGCATTTCATAACATTACGTATATGTACAACAATTTTAATCATTTATTTTTAGCTATCAGGAATTATGGGATTGCTCATAAATTTATTTTCAAATACGATCCAATACTTTGTATGTGATCAAGACTTCGTATGTGATCATTGGATTTGCCTAATTCTCTCGTTAAGCGTTGTAAAATCAAATATGTATTGTTTATATGGAAAAGTATTTTCGTATTTTGACAACCGTGCATACCTTCTTAAAACACAAAATTTTTCCTTTCATAAACACTTTAATAACTTATAGTTATAGTTTAAGAATGTGAATTCAAGGTATTGAAGTTTTTGCTATGTTGATTCGATTTACGAAACAAGTGACGTTCTGTTGCGCAATGATTCGTCGTAAAGTTTCATGTTTGGTTGAAATAATTATGCAGCATTTTATATGTTCAACATCGTGGAAAGCTTTAGGAGAACTCTAGAGCAGATCACCGTGTAAAGCCGAGGCTTAAGGTCAAGGACCTGTTTACACCTGCTCCCGGCTCTCACAAACGCCTCCGGGTTTTGCAAAGGCATCAAACGAAAAAAATTTCGCTTTGTTTCGCAGACACTTCATTTAACTTTTTTAATCTTGTCAAACTTTAACAAAAAGCATATGCGCTTTTAGCACTTTACCAAATTATTAAGCCGTGACAAGATATTTTATAATGTATGTTCGCGCACGGCATCACAACTGCAAAGATATGTGTTCTGTCTTTTTATGGCTGATCCTTTTACCAGAAACGTGCATCTCTTCTCATAAACATAAGGATCAGCGGATTGGCGAGGCAATTTCCGTACAATAAACACGATGTAAAAAAATACAACGCGTAGTTGTACTTGAAATTCATCAGTACGCCTGTTTCGACCAGCAAGGCGAACAATGGAAACGGTAGAACACACAAAACGTAGACCAAGATGAGAACAGCTATCAAATTAGACAACGCAAGAGCTTGTTCGGATAATAAATCGTTCGTTATTTCATCTGCATTTTCATCTTGGATTTTTCTCTGAAATTGTTTATATATCGTGGACAGATTTCATCTGATACGGCAGTATACGATAATCCCAGTCATTGCGGATGCTCCGATCAACACGATCATGTAGCACAGAAAGAAATTTGCGACGTTTTTATTTGGCCAAATAACGTCACACATGACCATTTCATCATCCGAAATCAACTGTTTATGAATAGCCATCGGCAAACCCATTGTCAAACATGATGTCGTCCAAATTACTGCTAGTACCTGGAAAATATTGGAAATTTAATCAAAGCAAAGTAATTTCATTGACAACATTCTCAAACCCTGGAAAATATGTATATTGTGAAGCTTGACTTGAAGTCACTGGCTTAAATCCTATTTTAATCATGCTCTCCGGTAAATAGTGAACAGTACACAGTGTTTTTGGGGTGACAAATATGGATATTCCCTTGAGAAGCTTGTTCACTATGGTGAATAACGACTGTAAACAGATAGATATAGCAGCTAGGGACGTGGAAGATTGATAATTGGGGTATTCACATGTGCATGTTATGCCTTCCGTTTTTTAAGAATAATAACAGGAATATATTAATATCCCCTCCCCTCCCAAAAAAAAATGTTGATCTTCCTACGTCCGTCGTTAGTTTATTAAAAAATAAGTTGAATGCAGCTATTGGCTGAATTAAGTTAAATTTAACGGCATTAACTTTTATTGGATGAGGTTGAGCATGATATCAAGAATTATTCAGTTTGAGGTGAATGTTGTCTGCAGAAGCGAAGCTGAGGGGGATAGAAAATTCTGAATAATTCTGGATATCATGCTCATTTTTAAGCAAAATTAGTTCTATACGGTGGGTGTTTCTTCACCCTTGGGACGATGAATATTTCGGCTTCCTTCCCTAATCAAACATTGAGTAAAAGAATAGTAGTTGTACATTTCATTGGCTTCGAAAGCTGTAGAATATTATGAAGTAACTTTGTTTACTATTTTGAAACCAAGGTTTTTGCATGCAGCTATGGACTGGATAATTGGAAATCATCAAGTTTATGGAGGTGATTTTCTTCGAGTTTATTGATTTTGCTCTTTGCTGATTGAGGCATATTGTTTCTAAGTTAACGCTATTTTCATGTTTGTCCACAACAGGTACATTAATATTAAATATATGTCGAGACACTTGCACAATTAGCAAACGTTAACACCAGATTAGATGTCTTCCAAAATACGTTATTTAATTTCGTTTAATTTATATTTGAGTTGTGGCAGTTCTTTACAAACCATTAAGGCGATAGTTTTCATTTCATGCAATTTGTGGTTTGAGTTATTTTTCCGGCGTCTGTTTTATGTATAATACTGAGTGGAAAATAAATATTTTATTTGTAGTGTCTTTGATTAATGTTATTCGCCATAACTAAATATGCGCTTTTCAGACTGAAAAAGACCACATTGCCTGTGAACGTACAACATATGACGAACAATGGCTGTTTACATAATCCATTTAAGAGAAATTCCTATAATTGCCTTACTATTATCGCGTGGCTCTCATTGTGCGCTTTTCCTTTTGAGACGTAATAACGCTCCAGAGCGATGGCACTGAAGGTCAAGGCAGATGCTGTAAGGCATACGTCTTGAAGTGGAGACACAAACTTGCAGGCACATAAGCCATACGGCCAGGAAATATGCTCGGGAACTATATCCGTTGGAATGCTAATCAACAATATCATCAAATCTGCCATGGTTAGGTTCATAACGAGAGCATGCAGACATTCGCTTTTAATACCGCCATGATTCATTCTTCGACGGTAGCGTCGAGCTATCCAGAGATTTCGTAGAACTATACTGTTGAATATTATTCCAAAGGTAAAAATGATTGCCTGAACTCCAAGTTCTGCAAATCGTAACAAGACCATTGTTTTTTGCGGCCAATGTAAAGATGTATTCGTTCAGGAGGTGTCAGCGTCTATATGAAAACGAATGAACAAAAAACTACTAAATGCTGCATGCTTTTTCTATAAAGATTTAGTTTTATACTCTAAACTTCAGCTATAGTATTTTTTTAATAAATATCATAATATTGTTTCAAAATTAGTCTTCCGTGTACAAACATTTGTAAATGTGTTGGTTGCATACAAAATATTTCATCGCATGTCTTCTATTTATAGTTTCCACAATGCAGCGCTCTTTTTCATTCATTCATTTCCACGCCTCCTTGTATTTTTTTAAGAGAAAATCAAACGAAGTCTTCGCGTTCCTTTTTTGCGTCACTTACAGCGCGTTGTAATTTTCTGTGCATCTACGAACACAACTTTCTTGAAAGCACCTGTTGTTTTTCGTTGTCATCATCATGGTCGTGCAGTATTTATGAGCGGCTAAATGCCACTGGTAGCGAGAGGAAGTGTGAGAACAAGTACTTTTATTGAGTAAAATTGTGTGCATTAATACTTATACACTTTTGTTACAGGTCCTGTTTATATGGAGTCAAGTTACCTATAGCTATGCGTCAAACTTGCTCAACCGGGTAACTCGGCCCTTATACCAACTGAATACATTAGTTGGTGTACCATTTTTGACACATCCGACAGTAAATATCCTTGCTGGCAACTCGGTTTGTGTTAGCGAGGAATTCAAGAAAGATATTTATAGTTGCTAGCCGAGTTACCTTAGCCATAAAAATAGATCGCTTGTTTTACATGGCTGAGCGAGATACTCAACTAGCCGGTCACTCGGCTCCTTATAAACCGCTCTTAAACGTGCAGCCGGGTCATGTTTTTCGTTGATACGTCAAAAATATAGCATATCATGCTACGTGCTGTAAGTGGTTATTGTAACTTTTTGATAGCTTGTTGAATGATACGTGGTTAACTGTATGATAACTGTTCGATATCGGGTGAATGACAGTTAGATGAATGGTTGATAACAGGGACAGCGGAAGATCGATAACTGATAAACTCATATCCTTACATTTACATGTTTCAATCGCTAATCGCAATTGGTAACTATAGAAACTTATAAAGTAGAACATTCGTATTTGAACACGACCCCCACCCCCCTATCCACAATTATCGACCTTTTGCGGTCTCTGAATAAACGTTGGATGGCTAATATATCATACACCTAGCGTATGCTCCCTCGAGAAATAGTCTCGTTGTTTCCGAGAAAATAGACTCTTCCGAGAGTCTCGTTGTTTCCCGAGATGAAGTCAGGGAAAACAAAACTCACTATTTTCTGAGGAAGCGTATTCATTCCAATCAACGTCTTTCAGGGAGATTTGGTCAGTGAAATTTTATTGCAACATGCCATAAGAATGACCACAGCATTTTTGGTCGACTTCTAAGTATTTTCTGTATCTTTTTTTCTATTAATAGTCATGAATTTCGTGGCTTAATAAGCCGGAAAATGTTTTTAGTTTTCGTGTGTATAGTCGCTTTATTTGTTATAAAGTAAACATGCAACAACTTTTTATTTGTTTCCCTGTGAAGAACCATTGTGTTTATTTCAAAGGCATGTGACTCTAAATTAACCAATCACATTTGGCATATACTACACTTACGTAGCAAAACAAACTGATATGTGGTTTATAACTCTGTGGTGACTGGTGGATTAGTACTTGTCGATCACATCATAATTATATGCAACTCATTTCACACCATCAGAAGAGTCGGATTCATCTTAATTATGTAGAATATGTTGTTACATTGCTTCTCTAGAAGGCTTACCTTAACCACGTGATGATTATTTATCAACGTAACTGGTGACGTGTCACATAATGGGACACAAAACTGCAGGCTCACCGCATGCCATGTGCCAAATTAGGCTTTCCCATGAAAGTCTTATGAATGTGGTTGCATACAGGATGTTATCAGTTACAACTCAGAACAAGATATATACAGAAAGCACTTTGGAGTCGGCCCGGAACTTTTGATATTTTTTCTTCGCGCATGTTGGGCTGCGCATATTGGCCGCCATTATTCAGGAATTTTGATTAGGGTTTTTCGTTTGTTTTAAACCACTATAATGCAGACCTGAAGTCATATCTTCATTCTAAATATTCTAGAATTCACTACTTGGAAATGACATCATTGGAAACAAACGACAAACCCTAAAAAGAGTTTACTATTTGTAATACGCGATGCTTCCATTTCATGTTAAAAGATTTCTGTTTCCCAATTTTAAAGGCAAACAATATTTCAATCGCTGCGACCAAGTATCTGTCGATTTCAACGTCAAAATAAGAACAAGGGGTCAAGGATTTCGTCCAGAGAGGATTGCATATGTTTAGAAATATCATTCAACATTAACGAACTCGGACTGTGCACCCCTCCTGTAATCCCCTTTGCATCCGTCACTAATGAACACGAGCTCTCTATTTATTCTGTTTTCTCTAATAGATATTCTCTATTTCTCTCCGTAATTTCTACGAACAAATGAATATATGGTTTATGTAACAGAGTATTTTCGTATTTCGACATTCGTTTATCCCTCTGAGTAAGTAAGTTACTGAAATTGTTGTTTTTATAAAGTTCTATGTATTACCGCGCACTCTTAGCGCTTTTCTTTAAATGGTTAAGCGGCATCAATAAAATCTGATGTTATTCTTCTAAAACGCATCGTTGGCTAAATTCCGTTGAAGAATCTCCAAAGATACGTGTTCCGTTTTTCTTTTTGTTGGCGATTCTTTGACGAGGAACGTCAATCTTGCATCTCTACTCATGAACATAAGGATCAGCGGATTGGCGAGGCAATTTCCGTACAATAAACACGATGTAAACAGATAAATCGTGTAGATGTACTTATAATCAATCAATACACCCGTTTCGACGAGCAAGACGAACACTGGAAATGGTAAAGCGCACAACACGTAGACCGAGATGAGAATAGCCATCAAATTAGACAAAGCAAGAGCTTGCTCAGCCACTGAGTCGTTGCTTATTTCCTCTGCATTTTCATCTTGGATTTTTTTCTGAAGTTGTCTATGCACCATTGACAGATTCCGTCTGATACGGCAGTATACGACTGCCCCAATCAATGCGCATCCTCCGATCAACACGATCATGTAACCGAGAAAGAAATTTGCGACGTTTTTATTTGGCCAAATGACGTCACACATGACCATTTCATCATCCGAAATCAGCTGTTTATAAAAAGCCATCGGCAAACCCATTGTCAAACATGATGTCGTCCAAATTACTGCTATCGCCTGAAGAAATATTGGAAATTAAATCAAGGAATGTTTGTTTTAGGAAACTATTTAAGTGACAAATTTCTCAAACCCAGTCAACTTTATACATTGTGCACTTTGGCTTAAAATCACTCGCTCAAATTATGCACACTGATGAAATTTCAACACATGATTAATTGCTACCGATGTCTGTGAGCATGTGTCTCTTTAGTAGGCAGCAGTATTTTGCGTCATATTTGTGAATGAAATTTGTCAATTTTCCCTACCAGAATCGCGCTCCGCCTCTCATTGTGCGCTTTTCCTTTTGAGACGAAGTAACGCTCCAGAGCGATGGCACTGAAGGTCAAGGCAGATGCTGTAAGGCATACGTCTTGAAGTGGAGACAAAAACTTGCAGGCAAATAAGCCATACGGCCAGGAAATATGCTCAGGAACTATATCCATTGGAATGCTAATCAACAATATCATCAAATCTGCCATGGTTAGGTTCATAACGAGAGCGTGCAGACATTCGCTTTAATACCGCCATGATTCATTCTTCGACGGTAGCGTCGAGCTATCCAGAGGTTTCGTAGAACTATACTGTTGAATATTATTCCAAAGACAAAATGATTGCCTGAGTTGCTAGCTCTACGACTCGTAGCAACACCATTTCTGTTTACAATCAGTAACAAAGACTAAAGATCTTCGTGGGAATGCTCTCTGTCGATGCGTTCGTGTCTATGAAAAGCGATTTGCAAATAGCAATTAACTCTTTTGGGGGTATTTGTGCAATAGTTTACCTGTATGAGTTTCATATTAGAGTTTTAGAGTTGTTATGAAACAAATTATAAAACTGTTAAGAAAGTTAGCCCTGTGTATGGGTAATTTTTTTGCATTTTTTTTACTTATCTCATTTACCCCGTCCTTCCCTCCGTTCCCCTTCCCAACATTTTGTTGCATGTCTTTCATTTATAGTTTTATAATGTGGCGTTCTTTCTTAATTCATTTCCACATTATTTATTATGCCTATCTCATTTACCCTCCCCTCCGTTCCCTTCCCAATATTTTGTTGCGTATATCTTTCATTTATAGTTTTTATAATGTGGCGTTCTTTCTTAATTCATTTCCACACTTATTTATTATGCTTATCTCATTTACCCCTTCCTTACCCTCCGTTCCCCTTCCCTTCCTTTCATTTATAGTTTTATATATCATTTCTTATTTATTATGCTTATCTCATTTTCTTCTATTCCCCAATATTTTGTCATTTATAGTTTTATCATGTGGCGTTCTTTCTTCATTCATTCCCACACTTCCTTATCTTTTTAAGAAAAAATGGAATAGCGAAGTCTTTAGCCATAAATCTTTTTTACTTTACTTACAGCGCGTTTAATTTCTTACGCCTATAAGAATATCTCCTTCGTCAAAACACCTGTTGTTTTTCCTTTATCAGTTTTTACAATCGTTATCATTGCTTGCCCTACTTAATAACTTTAACATATTTAAATTCCTGCGTTCTGGCTGTTCTTACCGATATTCTACGAGTCGAATCAATGCAGATCTCCAAGGGCCTTGTGACAAATGCTGTCTTGTTTGCAAAACTTTACGTTTAAGTTACTTCTTAAAGTACACTTCTTGCATTCACGTCGACGTTTCTTCTTCCGATCTATTTACACATGCAGCGAATATATGCGTTTTTGTTGAGTTGTCCCAACATGAAAGATGCACATGGGTTTCAAAAAAGCCTGTGATTTTGGGATATGTCAATCTCAACACGGGCGATTAATAAGTTATGTAACAAAGCCCCGTAACAATAATGCTCTATGAAAAATACTATTGTGCATTAATAAAATACAAAGTATGCTGCTGTTTTAGTCACTAGATTAAGAATTTCCAACAGAGAATTACAACTGTCGGTATTAACGTTGTATAAATGAAATTTTGTCATTTTCTAGATTTTAAGGCACCCGCAGTTGCTCCTTTCGTTTGAAATAATAAGACCCGATGTTAAGCTATTTTTAATTAATTTGTTTAATACAAATTCAATTTATCAATTTGCTAAGAGGAGAGGAGCAGATAAAAAATTCTCGAGCATACCTCCCGACAAATGATTGTTAACGTGACAACTTCATTAAAGTCTCATGAACACTCAATTTAGATTCTATCTCAACGATATTTACGACAACAACACCGATGGAAATCATGCAATAATTTCATGTTTCTGTTAAGTTGCAAATAGAACTCGGACTGCGTTGGAATCATCTGGATTGTTTACATTCTCAGCACGACCGTGAACGAATTCATGTGTCTCTCATTTATTTGCTGATGAATTAAAAAAAAATTCACCACGAATGCCGCTGGGCCGTGAGATTAGATTGATTTATTTTCCCGTGTGTTGAACTCGACAAACTAGAATCGTTCTACTTTTTGACGCTAATTTCAGTTTTTAATGCTAATTTTTGCCAATATTTCTTCATTCTTTAAATGAATGAACTGATGTAATGCGTCACAGGCGTTCCTATTTAATGCAGAAATGGCGAAAATCGGGGCAAAAGTCCATTAAGCGTTACATAACAAGCGGCCGATCATTTTTAACAATCATGTTCTATGTATATGTGCAGACATGCTCTGACGACGTATCTCAAAATTCTGTGAAATTTGCAAAATACGTATAAAGTCTAATTTTACCTTCAGCGAGAAACGACTTTTGCATGTATGTCTTAGTGTCTTTTACAGCAAAGAACTTGTGCTGTTGTTAGTTGTCTTCTTAAAAGGTCGCGCGGTCGCACAATGGAATGGCCTTCGTCAGCTTATGCTCGAGCTTTCTTATTTCCTTCGTATCATTTAATCTTAATTGAAATATTTTACCGTGTCAACAGCTATGTCTATAACAGCAATTTTTATTTATCTTAAGAGTGAAAAATCTTTTCCCGATAGTAAAAACAAAAGAGGCCCCTCTTGCACGTGAGTGTTAAGTGTGATCTTCGTCCATGAGTAATGTTCAAATCAAGCGATAATTTGTTGTCATTGGCCTACAACAAAGTTTTTCAAGATGGGCAACAAATCAGAGGAGTGGTCAGGGGGGGAGGGTTGGCATTACCTCTCAGACATTTACAATGACCGTCGGGAAATATTTGAGTATTTGTCTACAGATACTGCGTCGTATGTAATTATCAAACTACTATATGTGTGTTGTGTGCATTTACGTTTCACGACGATCACGTGTTAATCGGTATATCTTCACCCATTCCCTTCCACCCTTGTCAAAAGGTCAAACTACCCCACTGCTCGTCGGATGTTTTCAACAATATGCAAACTCCACATGAAACGGCGTTTTCTATGCATGAAATTTGCCACCGCTTCCCGTTACGTTGCGCGTTGTGTAATCGTGACGATTTTGACCTCTCATGCATGAAGTATTGGGTCGCGCTCTGAACGTTCTCCGTCTTGATTTCTCATTTGATAAGATTTCGACAGCTGTGGCCGTTCTATTGTTCCCCGGATTTCGCCAAAATTGCAAATTTTGTTGATTTACAACTGATTGATTTCATTCGAAAAATCAACGATTCAGATAGCGTGGAATATTCTGGTTCGTTAAGCATTCCATATCTTGCAAACGCTATCATCTAGAACTCAGACTTGCAAGTGTTATCTGGCGTTCTTAATTTAATTGTTAATTTCAACGAATTGAAGCATTTTTGGGGCGTCGTTGATTTGCCGCAAAGTTGCAGCAGATTTACGATTACCTCTTGCAGTATAAATACGTTCATGTTGATTTTAACTTGATAATGGAAGGGCTGGACTGTGAAATTTATAATCTGTGAAATCATCAACGAAGCTTAATGATTGCATAATCGTTTACATGGAAGAAAATATTATGTATCATTCCTGTCTCTTGCCGAAGTGTTAAAAAGCAGTTTCAAAAGCATTTCGGCATCTATATATATATATATACATGAGTTCACAAATAACGTTGGAATTTGTAATGTGCAATAGCTGCAATTCGTATGTCCGGTAAATTGAGTTTTGTCATTTAGTCAACGAAAAATCTATGTGTACGTTTCACTACAGTAATTCGGCACAACAAGTACTCGTTTTTATGTGCTTAGTCCACCCATTCGTAATCAAATTAATTGCCCGCCCAGGTTATTGTAATTCACTCAATTTACGGAATTAGAATGTTCTTTAAAATTCCTAGAGTATAAAAAGCTACATACAGACAATGAAATTGAGTTACTGTGCAAAATATAAGGTTGCAGTTTTATTCATGCACCCCATACTATAATCATCCTCATAAATAAACCAGTAAAAAACACGCTGACAAACTCTAATGACCCAAACCGAAAAAAATTGAGCATGGTGGTTTGCCTGTCACGACTGTTTCAAATATCTTTGGTTGTTCTTATTGAGGTTGTTTATAGAGGACGTCATCCAACAAATGGTTTTCAATCGGCTTTCTAACTGGTTCATAAATGGATGGACTGCAAATGGATGTCAGAAGAAAATCACTACCTGATTTTCTCATCAAACTCGGTGTAATTAGGAAATTTAACAATATGAAGATGATTTTCGACTAAATATGATGGAAACATCCCTTTCTTCTTGTTCCGTCTTGATGTCGCTATGGAGTAGCCATCCCAATGGTTGCCGGCAATTTTCAAACGATCGCCGCGCGTCATGCTAATTTCATTAGAATTCGTAGCGGTGTAATTGTAGACTGCTTGTACGTCGTTCACCGATTGACCACCGAAGTAATAAACGTCATCGAGTGATTGTGCACTATCCGAGGCGTCCGTTGGAGATTTTGCCTGCATCATCTCGTAAGCTAATCTGCAAACCTAAAATATTTTTAATAGCAAACAATCGTGTCAACAGTGTGCAATAAAATTATTTTACTTATTCTGTACTTGAAAAATTCACGAAGTGTAAAAATATGGAATGACGACCCCTTGAAATAAAGACGTTTTGAAATGAAGATTCCCATGAAATGACGACATTTTCACAAGTCGACTCCTTTGTTGAAGGACAACTCTTACGAAATGTTAAAAATGACAATTTTTTGTAATGCTGACTCGTGTTGACTTTTCGTGTGTTTTGTCTTGTGTGTTTTCCAACAAATTGAATGTTGTGATGAACTATAGTTGTTTGTTTTTTTTGTCGTTTTACACCATGCTATAGTTCAGCTATTTTTTTTCTGCAACAAGAAACTGATGACAATTTTTGGACAAGTTTTAAACGACCAAATAAACATTGTGGAGGAAAATCGTCCTCTTAAAAATGAGCAAGTCAACATTGGCTATCATGATGAACGAAATGGAAATCAATTGTACGTCGTTGATTATCATCGTCACGTTCCTAAAATATTTTTAATAGCAAACAATCGTGTCACGTCACGAAGGAACGAAATTGAGCGAAGGAACGAAGTGTCACGTCACGAAGGAACGAAATTGAGAATTTAAACAAAAATTTCCCGATTACAATTTGCCCAACATAACATATGCTCAGTATAGAGAGCTCCACCACCCCCACCCCCCCACACACACACCCCCACTCCGCCGCTAGACGAATCTACAACTGGCTTTTTTCATTTGGAAATCCTATTGAAAATCTTCAAAACGCGTTTTTTGTTTCAACCAATCATCTGACCGGCTTGAGTACATCAGCCATCTTTTGCAAATCTATTGTAAACTATACCATGTTTCTGACAAACTTAATCAGGTAAACAATGATGTCTTTATCTGAAGAAAACAAAAAGTTCAACAACTAAAGATTTTATACCTGGGAGGAAAACGTGCAGACAATATAATCGCATTCCGAAAGCATTTGAATATCAAATATGATACCATGGAGCGATGTATCGGTGTATCGTTGTTGCAGTCGAGCGGATTTGGAGATGTCGTTATCACTAACAAAATTGTACTTGGGAAATCTGCAAACGGAGAAAGAGGATTATAAATTGCTAAGGAAGATTTTTGAGCAAAGTATAATTTAACTAGCGCTTGATCTGCCATTGACTCCAAACTTGCAGTTAAAATAATGCTCAAGTCAATCCGATATTTGTGGGTGTTATATCTCTAATAATTTCAACTTCTTTTTAGCGATAAACTATCTTTTATTCAAGGGTTATTTTAACCCCATCTACAGTTGTCTTGACTCTACCAGATTTTGATTATAAAGTGTTTTTGACACCAAACTTTGCAATAGTGTTTTTTGTTTGCATTGTGAAGGCAATTAAAAATGACTTCATAACTTCTTCAATGGAATTGCAATATTTTATTTCTTTTCGTAGAAATGTAAGTTTTCTTCAACGTGCAAATGACCTCGTGATCACGTGATGAAATCTCGTTGAATAATAATTGAGAAAAAAAGCATCGGGAAGTTGTAGTTTTTGTCAACAGTACTAACACATCTATCATTGGAACCTTTACTAATATTTATCTACACATTTATTGATTAAACTGTTGTATTCGTCCGTAAAGAAATGATGAGGAAATTTGATGCGCTTAAAAATGTTATTATTCTCTGTGATTTAATAACCATGTTCTTTGCATACTAAATAAGTTAAATACCTCAAGAAAGAAGTGAAATAAGTCAATTCTCCTGAAAAACTTGGTTTAACAGCAATTTAGCTGTATATGTTGTTTGCAATACAATCAAATAAATTTGTGATAAAATTTCGTGTCATAAACACTTTAAATCTCATGCAAGACAATTTTAGGTTGAAAATAACTCTCTTACTTAAGCCCCTGCCTGCAGAAAAGGATCAATCAAATGTTCGACGAAGTCGTTTCAACTCTCTGAAAATAACAACGCAAGAAATCTTCACATCAACTTACTTTGTCATTGCTTCAGCCAAAACTGTGTGATCGTCAGTCGCAAGGTAAACGTTTTTCTTTTTCAAAGTTTCTTTTAAAGAAATTTTCTTAAAGTACAAATCGACCCAATACATGTATTCCTCCAGCGAATGAAAAGCAGCTTCGTTATTTATCTTGTCGGAGCGACGAACGTGAATCCTATTGAAAAAAAGTTGGACGGACAGAAAAAAACTGACGAGGAGATCTGTGGAAAGGCCTCTTCTTTCAAAGTTTGACAAAGATATACTCTGTAGAATATTATTTTCAGTAAAAGTTTGACGAACATGATAGCAAACCAGCTGTCAAGTTTTTGTCCTACTATGTAAATTTCAGGACACATTACATTGTTCATTTCTTTAAAAATCTATTGTTTTTGCAGTTAGGCATAAGTGAATTTGTGTGTACCCTCCCGCTCAAGTATCATTAAGTGTGAAACAGTTGTTTTTTCACAGGAAATCATGCATTTTCATGATGTTTATATCTCGAGTCTCGCCAATTTTGCGCATCAATTTACGACTGTGAATCAATTCAATTTTTACGCTGGCGCCTGAAATGAGGAAATGATCATTTCATTAACTAGAGAAAACATGACGGTAGTTTGAAGTTCTAACTAAGTCTGATAAGAAATTCAGAGATGAGAAAAAGTGTTCAACTGACATGAAATGTGATCATGTGATGTCTCTTACGAGAGACTCTACTAACTTTATACAACTTCACATAAGCATGCAGGTCGCGGATAAGTATAGCTAGGCCTCTTTGTAGTGCTTTATATGTGTAAGCAATCTTACATTAAGGAGATGTAAGTCCTGGTTCTTTTTTAATTGAAGGACTCCTTACCATGCAATCTGTTTCACAATAATCGTGCACCGATTAAACACAAAAGGGTAACACAAAAATACATTACCATTCTGTATTGTTATTTGTCAATCGTGCTTTTTTGATTGCATTGCCGATAGCAGGAATCAAAGTGATCCGGCAAAGATTTTTAAAAACGTTAAGAAGAAATCTCCTGTAGCTCTATTATTTGTTCAAAGCCTAATACATACCCTACAATGGGCTTTGCAAACCCTAGCATGGCTTTCTTATTTTCAATAGCCTTCTTCACAGCTGGTTGGTATCGAAAAAGGTATTTTGCAAACTGCCCAACCCACCAGACGAAGGGAAAGCCATGGAACGCTTGAATGCTCTTCGCTAAATCACTAGGAACAGCCATAGGTAAATGTTTCAGATTATGATCGATGGAGTCTATAATAGGAAGGTACACATTCTTTTCTTCAGAATACATTGACCAAGTCGAGATTGGTCCTTTAGCTTCTGTGCAAGTATCGCTTACGGGTAGAAAAACTCTCTCCCATCCTCTTGGCGAATATCGCCAGCCATTTGATTTGACAATTAAAGTACGTTTTGCGCCGTAAGCTGTAATGAAGCAGTATAATAAATGATGAATCTGGCAGCCGTAACCGCATTCTTTGTTTAGATTGCAAATTAGCTTGTCTGCATTTTCGCAATCAGATGGATTTTGCAAAAGCCTTAAGCGGTTCTGAACAATTTTGCTCATTCGAGTCTGTTCATTTCTACGCCAAATGTCCAAAGTTTTGTGGTTGTTTATAAAGTCTAAGTTGTTTCCAAGGGCTCGATGAATATCGGCAAATTTATCCAACATCGCTGTTAGTCTTTGTTTCATATTTCTACCCAAGAGCTTATTGATTTTCGTTACTTCCGCGCTAAGATAATACCACATCTCGCGATACTCCTTCATCGCTCGTCGTCGAGTAATTTCAAGCTGTAAATCATTTGACTTTTGTGCATATTTGATATTTGATAATTGTTGTTTTTTATTTGCGTCGTTTGTTTCAATTGTCGTTTTATCTAAGTGCTTTAATTTATTGTCTTTACGGCTGTTGTCTCCGACCGACCTAGTGTCTTGCGAATTAGGAAGCGACTTACTAATCTGTGGATATACTTTTTATATTTTCTCTTGTAATTTACAATTTTCGCCCGTAAGGATTTCACTTCGTGTTGTAATGCAGATATCGTCATCTTTGATTTATCCAGGACCCGCTTCGCTCTCTCTAATCGTATTGTCTCAAAACCGATGGATTTGCTGCGGTGTGTTACAACAAAATAATAAACCAACGCTGCCAACCAAACAGCCACAAAGATCAGCAAAATTTGTTTTAATTTTCGCAATGCCATCGCAACTTAAAAATTCATGATATTTATGAATGCTAGAAGAAATTAATCAATATACACTTCATAGTGCAAACGTTATTGTTGGCCTTCCACAATTGTTTGCAATTAAAACCTGCTACACTCAACTGGTATCAGTTTTTAATGATTTTGTGCTTTTGATAAATTATTGAACTTTTGAGTGAACAAAGAGGTGTAGTGCATCTTTGTGAACATAGCCACTTTTTAAATATTTTCGTATAAGAAGTTCCTTCATTCCTGAAATGCACGCCCACGTCAGCTTTTCTCATATGATGGATAAATATCGTAATTTTGTTATAAAAGTGTCCAAAATATCAAAATCCTGAAAATTATCGGAAAGTCTTATATTTCCATATTCTGATAAAGCTTCAAACTGATGCCTCACAACGTAAGAATGAATTTATTATAAATAATTGCTGTTGATGGAATTGACGGTATGTGAATTTTTGAATAATATTCCGGACGCCATCATTCGTATGATATTTGTTTTGGAATAATACGTACAAAACAAAACGTTAAACCTTATTGTAAGTTTGGCACTTTTTTTCGGATATTACGATACTCAAACCATTCGCTTTTGCTCTTTTTTGGTCTGCAAAAGTAGCTATTTCGAATAGACGTTTGAACTTGGCCTAATTGATCTCCAATTAAGAAAACTTAAAGCACCTATATCACCCTCAGGGAAAAAATGCATTCAGATAGAGTTGACCATTTTAAGAACATTTGCAATATATTTTAAAAGACGAAAATTAGATCTTCCTTGACTTTTTGTTCTCAAAGTTGGATTTCTTGGCCGTGAGGCGCTGTGACTGGGTCTAGCCGTCTAGTTCACCGGACGAAACTGCTTTATAACGCTGTTTTTTATAGTGATATTTGTACCAAAGTCGAGGTATTTATTTTTGTTAAACTCTTGTTGTATTGCCCACTTAATTATTTAATCACACTATAATTTTACAGCGTTTAAATCAGCGTGTTCACCAATCTACGTCACGTCCGGTGAAATAGACCCAGTCACAACATCTCGCAGTCAAACACGAAAAAAGCCAACTTTGACACCCAAAAAGTGAAGGAAGATCAAATTTTCGTCTTATAAAACATACTGAAAGTTTTCTTAAAATGGTCAACTCTATCTAAAGAGGTAATCACTCTGAGAGTGATATAGGCACTCTAAATGTTAGGCGTTTGCAATGTGCAGTAGCTGAAATATACGTATGTATTCTAGTATTCAAGTGCTTTTATGATCAATTATTGCTAAATCACGCAAATTCTAAGTGTCGCATGTTTTCAAAGATGAGCGCATTATTTCAAAAAACACTGATCATCTTTGAACTGGGCCGACGTTCAGAAATTTTAGAAATAATTGATACGAAACAAGCTGTAAACGCAATCGAAATGAATTCAATGCTTGTAGCCCCTAATGTAAAGTTGACGCAATTTGTACATATTATTGCGTTAAAAGGTCTTTAACTAAGGATAAATTACAGCTGAATCATGAAAATTGTTAAAATTATCATCGTACAACCCTACATCACACAAATTGTTACTCTCTCAAGAGGGAGTAACAATTTTAAAATAATGTTATACGCGAAACGTTTCTGTTCATAAATGCTGTTTCCAGTGCCTGTCTTTGAGTCTATTTACATAGGCTAAATAGTTCGTTGCCATCTCGACAAAAGGACTTCGTGCAATACTTATCCTTGTCCATTTTCATTCAGGCTGCCTTTACACTATACCGGATTCGCTCATCACGACATCTTCATTTGCTTTAAAGTGGTAACTGTACGGAGTAAAAGCTTATTAAGCTGATAGATTTAGTCTATTTGATTGTGCTTCTGACGTTGAACAATTTCACTGCCTTTTAATACAAAGAATAATCAACCTGCTACGATAGCAATTCGGTATAGTGTAAACGGGGCCTCAATGTAACTTCTTCCTGGAGATTACGTCATTTTCGATCTCATACTCTGCAGACATCGCAGGCGCTTGCCCAAATCCCCCATATAATCATTCCCCATCAGAAATTTAACGTGTTTGTGATACGAAATTTTATCCCTTTTATATGAAAATGACATCGTTATGACAGCACAGATCATAATGACCTTTTAAAGATCGCTAATTTTCAACATCGCTATTTTTTGTCAACAACAACAAAAACAGTCCTTCCCAGGACTATACCAACCTGGACGATCTACATTTACAAACGAATAAATGTATAGATGGATATTTGTAAAGATACGATTGAAGGCAAAACTAGTTTTTCCTAATGCTTACTATGCAATGCGATGTCATAACGATGTCATTTGTATATTGAAGAAAGTTTACATAGCTCCAAAACGAAATAAAACAACATAATTCTATTAAACAAGTTATCAAGTCATTTTAAATTGCCTTTACAAAGAAATCAAATGGAACTATGGTAAAATTTGGTATCTTAAACACTTTAAGGCAAGAATCTGCGAAACAGATTTACGAAACATAAAACTGTGTATACCCACGTATTTCAAAAGTATATTTATTTATCTAACTATACGCATTCTTCATTCGTTCCATCTGACGTCGTTGTTTTGCATTTTTCTTCACAACAGACAGTTTCCATAACAACGTCAGAAGAACTTTTTCTTATTCGCTGTAAACCTTTCCATGTACTGAAAACAGAAAAACTTGTTTAATTTGCGACTCAAACTTTTTGTTCGTCAACGACTATCCTACCTCATCATACCCATCTTTGTCGTTCAATTCTTTCGTTCGAAACAAATTGCCATCGACGGCCAAAACACATATTTGGGAAGACTTAAGAAAATCACTCGTTATCGAAGATAACTCCAATAGGTTTTCTTCAACCCGTAGGACCTTCAGTCTTGGACACGAACTCAACGAAACAGGCAAACTGCTCAATTGGTTAGCGTTCATATTCAATTCAATACACTGTAACTTCTCAATGTCTTGCGGCAGTTCCCGGATTTTATTTTCCGACAAATCGACAACATCAAGTTGTTTTAGTTCACATAAACACATTGGAAATGACCGAAAGTCGTTGCTTTGCAAGTAAACGGACTTTAAATTCTTCAATTGTGAAAATGATTTAGGGATCTCTCGAATCCTGTTGAAACCTAATTGCAAGCTCTCCAATTTTTTCATTCCACACATTTCATTCGCTAATTGATCTGAATGAAAGATAAAAAGAAAGAATTTCGTTCAAAGTACATTAAGTTATACTGCGCATGGTTTGAATCCGGGAGTATCATTACATGTTTGTAGATGTAAATCGTCCAGAGGTTAGTAGTGTCCCAAGAGGAACTGTTGGTGTTGTCAGTGAATGAAGTTTCAGCAACCTTAGAGGCAGTCATCTTCAGAGTTCTCTGCCTTAGATTCATCCATAAAGTTATAATGGCAACTTTTGAAATTCTTAGTCAAGTCAATTGACTCTGAAGATGACTACCTCTAAGGTTGTTGAAACATCAGTCAACATCAACACCAACAGTCCTTCTCATGACTCCATTAACCTGGAAAATCTACATCTACAAAGATTTGGTAATGCTATTTATTTGAAAGTTGTAAGACTGGACGATACAGAGGGGAGGTGGGTGGGCATGCATTTGTAGAAAATTACATGTATCAAATTTACAGTGATTTATTGCTTCCTGAAAATTAAAATGTTAAAATATTTCACAGAGGGGCATTGACCCTCTTAAAAAGTGAGATGAATACCCTTGTGAGTGATAAATTTATTTTTGATAGACAAACCTATTTCATTTCTCTCAACATTGAGTTGCTTGAGTTCTGTAAATCTTCCCAGAGCAGGAGGTATTTTTGAAAGCCTGTTTCTTGACAAATCTATGGTTCTCACAGTCGTAGCAAGACTCAATACAACCACTGGAACCTATTTACGTATAAACATAACGCATGCATCAGTTAAACCATAGTCAAGTTGGTTGCACAAAGTTTATGGTCAGCTTACATATTGGAATACGACATAAAGTTGCTTTCTACGTAAAAATGACGTCATCCAACATTGAGAAATGTAATTCTTCGTTAAAAAGGCATTGTATACTTTAAGAATACCTCAACAAGAAGACTTTCAACAACAATCAAGGTAATTTATGATTAAGAATAATGTAAGGATTGGGATAGCCATTAAAGTAAAGTAAGCAATGGAGATGATTCTACCGATACAGCAGTCAGTCTAGGAAACTAGTCTATCATCACAATATACTTTATATAAGCTTGTCAGCTTCTAACCTCTTTAAGTTTTCGCCCAGAGCAATTCAATACTCGGGTTTTTTTAGCTGTTTCCACGTGTGCTGCCATCGTATCCACATTGTTACCCATATCTTAGGAGTTTTAGCAATCACAGAGGCGTAAGTTACGAAAAAACAAGGAAAAGCCACACATATTTTCTTATTATAATGAGAGCTCCAGTGTAGTGTTTATAATAGATCAGCGTGATAAATTTCCATTATCTAGGCAGCTCCTTAAAACACAATAAAATGTGTGAAAATTCTTGGTCAGATTGGTCAGATTCTGTTCAGATGGTCCACCTGTCGAAATAGGGGGTTTTCAAAAAAAATTGAAAGTTGCTACAGCATTATGAAATAGAGGTCATAAGAGAAATCTTTTTTTAAAAAAAAATAGTAAACAGACAACAGACAGGCCATGATGAAATTGAACTATACACAAATGGAAGTTTGACAAAGGTGGAGCATGCGCAGAAGACTCAGATGTTACAGCAAGTCGTAAAAAATTGAAAGTTTACAAACAACTTCAATTTACAACGTGAATTAATCTTTTCACTATGCCTTCAGACGACATTTCGAAGGTCGTAGTTCATCCGCTAGTCCTTCTTAGTGTGGTCGACCATTTTAATCGTGTCAGTAGTGGTGGAAGTCAGCGCAGAGTTGTCGGCGTCTTGCTCGGTGCCAATCGTAAAGGCATTCTAGATGTCTCCAATAGTTTTGCTGGTAAAAATTATGAGAATTTGTTTGTGTACCCTATGTTGTGAAAACTTCCATATTTTCATGTGAAGCTTTATGAAGTCGGCCAGTCAGTCATTTGTGTTATGATTTATGATTGAAAGACATTAGAGTAGATGTTCAAACTGCCTAGGGCTAAGGCAGGGATTTTTAGGGCCTGTTTACATGAAGGTAGGATAACCATAGCAGAAGGTTTACCCTTTAGAGCGAGTTATCTAACCTCAATATGTTTTCTAAGTAGCATCTACATGATGTGCTCAAGGATAACCTGGGGTTAAGGTTTCCTTATCAAATTGACAGGGTCACCCTAGCAGTAGGGCTATGTTTTTCTTTACATAAGCCTTTTAAATGTGTGAGAAAGGGTTACTCTACCAAGTGGGCTATGTTCACATCACATCTCCTGAATATATTTGCATATGTTTAGCAACATTAGGAGAAAATAAATTGCTTGCTACGTAAGCATATAAATACATACAAGATGAATTGCAAGACTCTACATTCTACAGAGTCAAACAATGAAACTAGAGCCCATGTGCCATCGAAAAGGAAGTTTTTGAAATAAAAATGAAGACTTTGATTTCTTTGTATGCAAATTCTTCATTGAAAAAATGCTCAATGGGAATATAATAGAACTGAATTTGAAACAATTTTCAGAGGCTGTATACCAAATTATGGATGTATACATATATGCCTCATAAAAATAGGTTAACCTATTTCATGTAAACTCTTGCCAATTTTGAATGGCTTGTTAGGGTCACCCTTCTGCTAGGGTTACCCTTCTGCTAGGGTTACCCTTCTGCTAGGGTTACCCTTCTGCTAGGGTTACCCTTCTGCTAGGGTTACCCTTCTGCTAGGTTTACCCTTCTGCTAGGGTTACCCTTCTGCTAGGGTCACTTTTCTGCTAAGGCCACCCTTCTGCTAAGGTCACCCTTCTGCTAGGGTTACCCTTCTGCTAGGTTTACCCTTCTGCTAGGGTCACTTTTCTGCTAGGGTCACCCTTCTGCTTGGGTTACCCTAGTGCAATGCAAACAGGCTTGTATTAGTTTCAATTACTATGTGGTATTGATTGTAATTGTACAATAATTATATGTAACACAAATTACTGTCATAGTATGAATTAGCATTAGCAAACACAGCAGTGGTGAACAATTTATTTGTTTAGTGGGTTAAATCTGATGTTTGGTGGCCTGCCCCCCCCCAATGTAAATCCGTCCATTATTTGGACCATAACTGATTAATCAGCCTATGACCATGCTTTTGTTGTTCATGTCTTTAAATGTTTGCTAAAACTTCGTTCTTTCCCAGTTCCTTTGATGAGGACGATAAAGACAATGATGTTTGGTATCTCGATCATGACTACCTTGAGAATATGTACACCATGTTTAAGAAAGTTAATGGTATGAATTTCAAACCTCATCTCTGTCATATCAGAAAGGAAAAAAGTTAAGTTTGTTCAATGTATTTCACAGCACGAGAGAAAATTGTTGGATGGTATCATACAGGTCCAAAACTTCACCCAAATGATATTAAAATAAACAATGTTGTTCAACAGTATTGCAGCAACTCAGTAAGTTCTATCTTGATGTGAATGATTTTAGTGATGTGAAGGAATTGGCTTTTCTTCATTTTCATCTCATAAATTATAAACAAATAGGGTAGACCAAATTCAATTTTCATCTCAATGGAAAAGTTTTTAGGATTCCTACATTTCTTCAAGTCTTTAATATAGGAATCCTAAAAATCTTAACTTACTATGTATAAAGATTGTTTACCAAGGTGCAACTGCATATATGTAGCATTATGACTAAAAGCAATTTAAAAAATTACGCAATTATTTTACATGTGCTTCTGACACCAAATTTAACTATAGTGTTTTTTGATTGTATTATAAAGGCAATTTAAAATGACTTTATAACTTCTGTAAAAGAACAGTGTTATTTTTTTTCTGAAGATATTTAACTTCCTTCAATATGCAATTGACATCGTTACGACATCACATTGCGTAGTTGGCATTTGAAAAAACTAGTTTTTGTTGACAGTTAGCATTAAAATATCCAACTTTGCATCTTTCCATTCACTCATTTATTCGTTGAACTGTTGTGTTATTTATTTATTAAACGCTTTAGCGATGTTGAAAATTGATGATTTTAAAAGGTCATCATGTCTGTGATGTCATTTGCATAAAGAAAAAAGTTAAATTTCGTAAAATAGTTCAATAAGTCTATTCTAACGAAGAGATTATAAACTCATTTTAAACGTTCTTTGCAATAGAATTCGTTTAAATTGTTAATCATGTAATGTGATGATCCCCCCCTGAAAAATGGGTTTCTTTGACAGGTCTTAGATAGAAGAGTATTGTTTATTTATTTCAACATAAAACTAATCAAATTACATTTTAGATTTTAGTTATCATTGATGCTAAACCGAAAGATCTTGGTTTGCCTACTGAAGCATATATTGCCGTGGAAGAAGTTCATGATGTCGGTGTTGTCGATGCTCAACTTATACAATAATGATCTCAGAGATGACTTTGTTTTGCTTGTGTTTTAGGATGGGACTCCAACTAGTAAGACATTTGAACACGTACCAAGTGAAATAGGAGCGGAAGAAGCTGAAGAAGTTGGCGTTGAGCATTTATTAAGGTGACAAACTGAACTTTTCAATCGTAGATTAGGTTTTTTTGATAAGCGTAGTAAATATCCATAAGTTGATGTTTATTGAAATCTTTATAATGTTATTTATGATGACACAAGATGCTAATTGAGTTGAAAAGTAAGACATGCAGTACTCTTAATTCTTGCCTCCAATAAATACGTAGCCTCAAGTTTGGGCTAAGTAAATTATTCCTGACTAAACCAAGGTTGTTTTTTTTCTAAGTTCAAAACTATTATTAGAGCTTCCAAGTGTTGTAGCTGCTCTAAAAACCTGCGTAAACTCAGGTCATACTCACAATTGGCATTCAAATGTAAATCTTTTGGTTTATTCCTGGGTTATAAATATTTTATTGCCAACAGAATTGCAGTTACTGGTACCATACACCTCTGCCTATAAGCCCTGTGCTTATATACAGGGGGCTAACGCATAGAGTATATTGTAGTGCTGTGATCTGTGAACATTATGTACATTATTAAATGCGTTAGTGCTGTTCACCGGAGGCCGGAGCTCCGGTTATTTTTGCTTCCGGAGCAGTTTGTTTATCTCCCGCAGAACTCCGGCAGCAGTTCTTTATGCTGCAAAGTCCTGTCAGACTTTGGTAAACGTATCCGATTAAAACATTTTTGTATCAAAGAACGATAAGTATCGGCTCATATTGAAAAACTTGCACGAAGTGCGTAAATTTAACATCGCATATAAAAATATTACTAATAATACACCTAAAACTATTAAACAGTGATTTGCAAAATTAACCAGCCACAAGCAGATATTCGCGTTGGAAAATAGCCGGAGCAGACAAAGGCTGGAGCCTGAGCTGAAAAACCAGAGTTTACGCAGCACTAAAATATGTGAGCTTATATGCGAGTGGGTTTATTTGAAACCAGTTGAATGTAATGATTGTTGTTGGTTTATTCACTAGGGCTTATGAATACGGGGGAGGGGGTGCTTACGTATAGGCGGAGGTTTATATAATTTTTTGTCAAATTTCAGAGATATAAGGAATCTTACAGCAGGAACATTGTCACAACGTATAACTAGCCAACTGATGTCTTTGAAAGGCTTAAACAAACATCTTCAGGACATTAGGAATTACCTGGAAAAGGTCGCTATGGGTCAACTACCAGTGAATCATTCCATCATCTACCAACTTCAGGATGTGTTCAATCTATTACCAGATCTCAATGTTGTCGAGTTTGTGAAAGCAACTTCAGTGAAAACCAATGATCAAATGCTTGTCATGTATACAGCCTCGATTGTTCGTGTTTTAATAGCCCTACATAATCTCATCAACAATAAGGTGACGAATCGTGATGCAGAACGAGAAGAAAGTGGGAAAAAGGAAGATAAAATTAAGGACAAAGAAAAGGATAAAGACACAAAAGAAGAGGCTAAAGTTAAAAAAGATGAAACATCTAAGATGGAAGATTCAAAATGACCAAGTTGACAGTCATGGGTAACCGATAACATCATAATTTTCTCTAAAAAGATAACTTATTAATAAGATATACCAACTGTATATGTTTATGATAATGGTTCATGACTTTGTGTGAATGAAAATCTTTCATATTTTTAAGTTGAAAAATTCCATTTCAGTTGTGTTCAAAGTGTAATTCATATCACATTTGATTTGAAATCAATTTTCTTTTTAAAGATATAAAATAATTTACTTTTTCTCAGTCAGAATCAGGATCTGAGTCCTCGGCAAGCACTACAGTCTGACTCAATTGTGTATTGTTCATACTATTGTTGTGTAATGCACTGAAAAATATGGACTTAAACTTCTTGTTCGGTGGTGTTCCATGAATGTTCTCTGCTAGGTCATCTTCATTATCACTGACAACTGTCTCATTTTTACTCCTCTGTTGTTTTGTTTTAAACTTTTCTTTCTGTTTTCCTGATCTCACTTCAATACCTGATGGAAAGATTGTTTAGTTATAATCATTGCTTTGTTACGCTAACTTTGAAAGGGAATTAATCAGACAGGCAACAAAATAATGTTCATCCAATCATGAAAAGCAATGTGCGTTGCAAAATACTTGAATACTAAGTATCTGTGGATGAAATTCTCTATGGCAAAAGGATGTAAAATTAATGAATTTTTTAGAAAAAATGTGTGATCCAATATCAGGATTATACATAATGTTCACTGATATAATATTTTATCAAACAAGCTTTTGGCTGTCTGTCTACAGCCATCGACATGGAAAGATTGTTTAGTTATAATCATTGCTATGTTACACTAAATTTGAAAGGGACGTAATCAGTCCATAAAATTGTTTTATAAAGTATTATATCAGTGAACATTTGATTGCATTAAATATATTTTATGTTGTTTGTGGAAACCAACAGTTCCGTGAAGTATGTGGCAGATTTGAGCTGTGTGATAGAAATTTACAGAAAATTTGACAGCTGCAAGGGGTAAAAACAGAATTGATGCATGTTATAACTCTTGAATACCTGGTGACTTTTCAGGGTCCATACGAGAGAAGAGTGAGGATTTCTCTTTCATAAAATCATCGGCAAAATCATTAGATGTTGTGGGTTTCTGCTTGGTGTAATTTTCAGTATTCCTTGACATTTGGGACATTTGCTGTTCGACAGCAATTGCTTCATTTACCCAATCTTCTTCTCCATCCATCGCAAAATCGTCATTCGAATTTGACTGCCTTTGTCTCATGCCCTGCTCATCATTTGTGGTAGACCTTTCTCCATGCATCTGCTCAAGCTGTGAATTAGTAACATCCATCAATGTTGCAAACACAAAGTTTGCTTCAAATGTCAAATCCCCGTTCAAACTAAATACAATTGGCTTTCCAGACGATTCGAAATGAATGCTGACATTTTGGTCAAGAGTTTCGGCAAACAAAATGAGTGCCTTGAGTTCTTTCAAACAAAACGTCACCTCTGTATCAACTCCTATTTGAAACTTCTCAAATTCCTCGCTCACCAAGATCATTTGTGTGCTAATCACCTTGGCTTTGTCCTGATTTTCATCAATGTAGTTTGAAACAACCATTTTCTGTGGAGTGACTGTAAAGGAGATCTCTTCTTGGTTATTCTGAAAGTTGACGACAACATCGTTTAAAATACGCGGTTGCACATTGATTAAGTTTGGCGAAAGATCTTTCGTGAAAATGGCTTGCAAACTCTCGCACTCCTGGTATGAAAGGTTGTAGGTCTTGACAATGCCATGTTTGCAGAGAAGTATGAAGGTCAGTTGTTCTTCAGGGTCGTTTAACTTAATCGTACAACGATCTACGACTCTTGCTATGACACTGGGAGATTTAAAAACAGCCAGGCAAGATTTTGCCGACAGCTTGCATTTAACGCCATCTTCGGATGAACTTTCCGTTATGCCATCGTCAAAAGAGAGAAAGAAGTCTTTGTGGAATATGAAACACGAGTAAGCAGATCTAGCTGAGTTCACCGTTCTCAAAGATAAACCTGTTTTGTGGGGTTCTAGATAAACTTCAAATCCGATCTTAGCCAAGCAATGTATGGCTCTTGCGAACACTTTTACAGATTCTCTTACCATCACACAGCGCATCGTAACTTTCTATGTTGTTGAGACATTCATTCGCGTGAATTTCAAAGATTGATGTAGAGATAAACCAAAAAATTCACTGTTTTTGTTTACAAATTTTACCGCCTAATTGCAGTTTAACAACTTCACAAACTTAGTAACTCGTCTCCTCCGGAATCGTCTTCTTTAAATTCAAAACAATAGTTAAATCCATAACGTACCAGGGGAAAGGCTGATATGGTGAAACAGGCTCAAATACATTGTAACAGCGGTTTTCGAATGTGAAACTATCTGGAAACTAAGAGATTGAAATGGTATGAAAGTTATCTGGCTTCCTAAGCGACGGTAAACATGGGCTCCTAAAGTTATCAAATTTTACAGAAATTTTCTTATTATAGAATGATTAATAGCTCGCGTGGGAAAACTAGAGTGAGTTTCGTATGTCAAAAATGTTCACAGCCCTTACGACTCGATCAAAGTTCGTTCAGTTTAATTGATGATGAAACCCTCACAGAACTTACTCGTAAGTTATTATAACAATGGTTTATTTTGCAGTAGAATAATTGTTATTGTGCTACTTTGTGCAGGCCACTTTACTCGTTGAAGTTTGCATGTCTCGTTCTTCAAAGGACAAAACGATCAAGTAGACGGTTATTCTGTAATTCAGTTGGCAGTTGACAGTTGACACTTGATGAGCTTCATTTTTTGTTGATAGCTAACTAATTTTGTACCATCAATTAGTTAATTGTTGCTTATTTAGTTCCTCTACCAATTTTTCCAAATGTTTCAACTGAAAAGACAGATGCTGATAAAGCCATTAGCGATAAGGTATTAGAAAACGTTGTTGTTTTCTTATGTCCCCCTTTTTTCATATGTTGAATTTTATCTACAGGGGGAAAACTTACCTACAGTGGATGATGATGAGGTAGTTCGGAAAACAATAACATCCAAAAGGTATCAAAAGAGGTTTAAATACATATTTAGATACCTACTGCCATTATTATGTAATTATATGGCAACACAAGCATCACTTCCTTTGATAGCAGGCTTTCGTTGGCTCAGAAACATTTTTCTGGTTGATTACTGTCCTGTAATGGACCATTGCTCCAACACGTGTAAATTTTCCACAGAATGTTAACAAATCTGCTAAAACAAACAGCAAAAGTTTTGTAAAATGCAAAAAGCAAAACATTTGCTACAAAACATTGAAGGTGAGAAAAGAAAGAAAACTTCTTTTCAGGTCAAATGTTACCATATATAAAAAAAAATTATTTACCTTGCTTAAGACGGAAGAGGTCTGATATTTCTCTGTATAAAGGCATCGTGCTTGGTCAATAAAGGCTCAGTAGTAACAGCCCTGGAACATTATTGCATAAGTATTTATGTGTATACATTCAGGTCCGTGGATGGCAATGGATTCATGCTCATTGATGCTCAAAATGTTCATTCGGACAATCTTAGTCATCGATTAAAGGTAGCAATGATTTTCATGTAGTTTGTTTCATGTAGCTGTGATTTTTTGTAGGGGCTGAAGATGCAATCACTGGAGGGGTGTATTCCTCCCCCCCCTGCTTCATGGAATTCCAGTCCAACTCAATAGAAATTATCAGTGATATGCTTGCTGGTTTTCTGCTGTTTTACTTAGGGAAGGGAGTGGTTTCAGTTAAGTATTGCAACCACTGGCACATTGTGCTTATATTCAGTCCTGCTATGCTAAATTTTCTGTGTTCACTTATGGTGAAAACTAGGGAATGCTTCAAAATTTACATAGTCGGACCAAAACTTACTGTTTTTCTAATGCCACTGTTTACAACCCTTTTACCCTGGTACAATCTGTATCCTCCTCTCCCCCCCCCCCGCACCCGGCTCAAGTGGGCTTATGTTAATGAGGTGCACACTACCACTCCCGCCCCCAGTAACCCCCACACCTTCTTTGCTGTGCCTGACTCGATCATTCACAAAAGTTGTGATTATTGCAACAGGTTACCAGTCAACTGTTTGACATTATGTCTGCCCAATCAGACATTGACCACCCGCTGTGCGAGGAATGCACAGATACATTATTGGATCAGTTGGATCATCAACTTAAAGTGACAACGGAGGAACTCAATGATTACAGCAAGCAGTTTACTGAGAAGCTTGACGACACAGCCGAAGAAGATCCAGCAATGCTGGAAAAAGAATTAGATGATTTGAAACTCGAAGAATCACAGTTGATGCAGGTAGACATAAGCATATCACATAGAAAGGTTGCGAAGTGTGAGCCGTTAATTTGTATCCAGGCGACTGCTGGAAAAATTCAGTGTACAGGTTGTAGGACCGAACGTGTATGTACATTTGTGGGAACATGTGGTTAAATGGGTACAAATAACCAGTACGTATCATGGTATGAAGAACATATAGGTATATAGGTTGTTGTGTGAAGTAAACGAAAATCATTACTAAGAAAAGTTTTCATTTAAATCCCAAACGCATTTGGTAGACTGATTTGCAATGATTTGCACTCATTCTACTTCCGTGAATATTTTTAGGAGTTGGAAAAAATCGAAGTGGAAAGTAGCAAAGTGAAGCAATCCATTGCAAAGCAAAAACAGGAATCCGAAAAGTTATTTAAAGAGGAGGAGAAATACTGGAAACAGTACAACGAATATCAAAAACAAATTCTCGATTTCGAAGAAGAGCAACAAAGGTTTGAAGCAGTGTGATCCGTTGTTCTATTTTTTCGTATTGAAGAGTTGTAGATTTTTAAAAGTGTTTTAAGAATTTGCCCTGTCGGAGAAAGTAGAATAGGCAAGACAAAGTTCGTTCTGAAAATTGCATAGTTTGTTTGATTTGTGATTTTTTCATGATTACCGGTCGGGCAAAAGAAATGGTGTCATAAGCATGGCGGATTTTAGATTATAAACCACGCTAATCCTTGCTCATCAAATCCGAAAGATATCCCTTAAAACTCCAATAAAATATTGAAACCTCCTCAGAGAATCAGAATATGAATTCATTTTCTTAGCATCTACAATGTTATGGTTGTGAAATGGTCAACTTTATGAAAACACGCTCTATGATTTCATGTGTTATTTTTATCGATTCTCGTATGTTACAACCGTATGAGCTTTACGCTCCGTGCAATCGAGCTCAATATTTGTATGTAAACCACATTTTTGAGTGCAATTTCTTGTTTTTTATTAGTGTTGAAAACCAGCTCCATTATGCTCAAATGCAGCTTGATAAACTGAAGAAAACGAACGTGTTCAACAGCACATTTAATATTTGGTTTGTGAACTAAATGTTGTCTCTCGTTAATGGTATTTTTTCTTATGGGCAGAAAGGGTGAGGGCGCACTACCCTAGCCGTGTCTAGAAGCACAAACTAGACTGACTGAACCATATCTTATAAAAACTAGATGACCCCCCCTAAGCCTTTGCTGTAGAATCACTTAAAAATACCCACAATCAAGCCACTGAAATCAAATCTAAACTAGACTGACTGAGTTACATGTTATGAAAACAAGAGCACCCCATGTCCTACAAAATCAACCAGGATCCATCCTTGTCTCTTTTTTTTTCTTATCTTGTGCCTAACAGAGTAAGAACATGTTTGTAAATGTAGATCGTCCAGGTTGGTATGGTCCTGAGAAGGACTGTTTTTGTTGTTGTTGACTGACGTTTCGACAACCGTAGCGGTAGTCATCTTCAGAGTCAAATGAGGAGTAAACGTCAGGTTAGCCGTATTTGTTATCTGGTTCTTACGTCATTGTATTGTGTGTACAGGAAATGTGTATTGTCATTGTGAATTAGTGTGAAGTGTAATGTTTTTAGTTGATCGTTTGTTTGTATTGTCAACTACAAACATTACACTTCACACTAATTCACAATGACAATACACAATTGACACCCACACATTACAACTAAAAACATCACACCTAAATCACACACCACAACTAAAAATATTTCACTTCACACTAATTCACAACGACAATACACATTTCCTGTACACACAATACAATGACGTAAGAACCAGATAACAAATACGGCTAACCTGACGTTTACTCCTCATTTGACTCTGAAGATGAGTACCGCTAAGGTTGTCGAAACGTCAGTCAACAACAACAAAAACAGTCCTTCTCATGACTATACCAACCTGGACGATCTACATTTACAAACATGTAACGATACTCCCGGGTTCAAACCATTCACTTTTGAGTAAAAACACGTGTATATTTGTACAGGTATAAAGGACATTTTGGTACAATCAATAATTTCCGTTTGGGACGTCTTCCAAGTGTTCCTGTAAGTGTTGGCTGCATTCAGTGATAATGTTAAAGGGGAACTCCACCCAAAAATAATGTTGGTCTTAAAACTTTGTCTGTCCCGTGAAAATAAATATGCGGCAATTTTTTTGTTTGTTTGATTCAATATTTTCACAAAAAATGAGTTGAAATGCTGCAGCTAGGGCATCCGGTGCGTGGGAGCAGAAATATGTCAGCGGCTTGTATTGACGTCATATCGTCAATTGCTCCTCAAAGCTTTATGTAAAGTCATTGCACAGTCATAATAAACTTGCGTCAAAATGCTTCTCCTAATCACAAAATGTTTCTTTTCGAAACGTCAGAATTTTTTATTTGTAGGTATATACACAAGCAACTTTTATAGCTTACATGCAAGTATTGAGCTGGTTATTTGTATTCTGTTTTAATAAAACGTTTTCACATCCATAAAGGCCATTATCGCACAGTTTCCGCACTACATATAGAACTTGAATGTCGATTAATATTATTTTTTAAAAAATACGAAGGTTTCTTTGTGTGGAAACTGTGCGTAATGCCGTTTGCTTGTCCTCCGAATTCAACCTTTACATTTTACTACCCACCATTCAAGATTGTCGCGCCGAGATTCATCGTCAATATACAAAAATTCCTGTTCTTCGGTCATTATAGATTGTATGTTTGAGGAAATATTTGTCGGGTGATTTAAAAATATATTACAAGTCTTTGTCGTATATATAATGTAGTCATGCAGTGTGGGAAACTTGTGTTTCAAACGATTTCAATCTACGCAATAAAATGTAGGAAAATGCTGCATTTCTTTATATTTTACTGGTTATAATATAGTTTGAGTCGGAGGTTTTACCCAAGCTAGGCTGAATATCTTATGACAGTATCACTTAACCCTACAAGGATCTAAGACTTAGATTCTAAGCGATAGTTGTTAGTTCATGTAATGCTTCATTCAATAAATACCTCACTAATGTCCCTGTGAGGAGATGAGGTCTTTGTTGTCATGGAAATTTTACTAATGTTACTTTTGGGGGAGGGGGGCTTTTCTGTCATAAAACCTTTAATAATGCGATTAAGTTTTGAGGGTATAGAAATCACCCCTGATTACCTACCTCTGACTAGTGAGACAAAAAATTTCGATGCAAAAGTTTGTTCTTTTATTTTTCAATTGCAACGAAAGACGCATCGAAAATGAAAGCAACGCGAGCGAAGTATTGACGGTCATGGGTTTTTAGCCAATCACAATCGACGTCGATATTTCGAATAACACCATTGTATAAATTACACTTTTCAGGTCGAGTGGAGTGAAATCAACGCGGCTTGGGGTCAAACCGTTCTCCTTTTGCATGCTTTAGCACGCAAAATGAATCTAACGTTCAAGAAGTAAGATTTTGTCATTTTTCTTTGCAACTATTGTTGGAGGTTTGTACCAAGCTCTGAAATTATCTTTTTTTGCATTTTCTTCCAGATACCGTCTCGTGCCGTTCGGAAATCATTCATATTTAGAAAGTCTCGAAGATCGATCGAAAGAGTTACCGTTGTAAGTAACTTGCATTCGTCACATCTGCTTTTTGTTCAGTATCAATACCAAAGAACGAAATTTCTGTTTACGTTTAATTTGTATGATATCAATGCCAAAGAACGAAATTTCTGTTTACGTTTAATTTGTATGATATCAATGCCAAAGAACGAAATTTCTGTTTACGTTTACTTTGTATCATATCAATACCAAAGAACGAAATTTCTGTTTACGTTTACTTTGTATGATATCAATACCAAAGAAAAATTTCTGTTTACGTTTACTTTGTATGATATCAATACCAAAAAACGAAATTTCTGTTTACGTTTACTTTGTATGATATCAATACCAAAGAACGAAATTTCTGTTTACTTTTACTTTGTATGATATCAATACCAAAAAACGAAATTTCTGTTTACGTTTACTTTGTATGATATCAATACCAAAAAACGAAATTTCTGTTTACGTTTACTTTGTATGATATCAATACCAAAGAAGGAAATTTCTGTTTACGTTTACTTTGTATGATATCAATACCAAAAACGAAATTTCTGTTTACGTTTACTTTGTATGATATCAATACCAAAAACGAAATTTCTGTTTACGTTTACTTTGTATGATATCAATACCAAAAACGAAATTTCTGTTTACGTTTACTTTGTATGATATCAATACCAAAAAACGAAATTTCTGTTTACGTTTACTTTGTATGATATCAATACCAAAAACGAAATTTCTGTTTACGTTTACTTTGTATGATATCAATACCAAAAGCGAAATTTCTGTTTACGTTTACTTTGTATGATATCAATACCAAAAACGAAATTTCTGTTTACGTTTACTTTGTATGATATCAATGCCAAAAACGAAATTTCTGTTTACGTTTACTTTGTATGATATCAATACCAAATAACGAAATTTCTGTTTACGTTTACTTTGTATGATATCAATACCAAAAAACGAAATTTCTGTTTACGTTTACTTTGTATGATATCAATACCAAAAAACGAAATTTCTGTTTACGTTTACTTTGTATGATATCAATACTAAAAAACGAAATTTCTGTTTACGTTTACTTTGTATGATATCAATACCAAAAAACGAAATTTCTGTTTACGTTTACTTTGTATGATATCAATACCAAATAGCGAAATTTCTGTTTACGTTTACTTTGTATGATATCAATACCAAAAAACGAAATTTCTGTTTACGTTTACTTTGTATGATATCAATGCCAAAGAACGAAATTTCTGTTTACTTTTACTTTGTATGATATCAATACCAAAAAACGAAATTTCTGTTTACGTTTACTTTGTATGATATCAATACCAAAGAACGAAATTTCTGTTTACGTTTACTTTGTATGATATTTGTTGTTGTTTCTTTGAAGATACGCTGCTGGAGGCTTTCGATTTTTCTGGGATACAAAGTAAGTATCATTCTCATTCGGGATGGACACAGGATGATTTTATGTGTTTGTGTGAGGGGGTAGGAACTTGCTAAACAGGATGCACTATGATTGTGTGTTTCATTGTCTATTCTTTTGTGTAGGTTTGACCACGCTATGGTCGCTTTTCTTGAGTGTCTTCAAGAAGTAAGAGATCTTTTTGAAAACGTGAAGCGATATTTTTTATAATGTTTTAGTGATAACCGACGTCTTTATGTTTGTTTAGTTCAAAGAGGAAGTAGAGAAAGTTGATAAACGTTTCTGTTTACCTTACAGGTGCTACATTACACGCTTTTTTAGATACACTAGGGATTAGTATGGACAGTTGGGGGTGTGAACATTTCTGCTTACTTTACAGGTGCTACATTACACGTTTTTTAGATACACTAGGGATTAGTATGGACAGTTGGGGGTGTGAACGTTTCTGTTTACCTTACAGGTGCTACATTACACGCTTTTTAGATACACTAGGGATTAGTATGGACAGTTGGGGTGTGAACGTTTCTGTTTACCTTACAGGTGCTACATTACACGTTGTTTAGATACACTAGGGATTAGTATGGACAGTTGGGGGTGTGAACGTTTCTGTTTACCTTACAGGTGCTACATTACACGTTTTTAGATACACTAGGGATTAGTATGGACAGTTGGGGTGTGAACGTTTCTGTTTACCTTACAGGTGCTACATTACACGTTTTTAGATACACTAGGGATTAGTATGGACAGTTGGGGTGTGAACGTTTCTGTTTACCTTACTGGTGCTACATTACACGTTTTTTAGATACACTAGGGATTAGTATGGACAGTTGGGGTGTGAACGTTTCTGCTTACCTTACAGGTGCTACATTACACGCTTTTTTAGATACACTAGGGATTAGTATGGACAGTTGGGGGTGTGAACGTTTCTGCTTACCTTACAGGTGCTACATTACACGAATTAGTAGGGACATTTAGGGGTATAAATGTTTCTGTTTACCTTACAGGTGTTACATCACAAACTTCTTTAGAAACTCTGGTGATTAGCAGGGACATTTAGTGGCAGGGGCGGACGCCAGGCTCAATGACTCGTTTGAGCTATTACCACGAAACAAAAACAATATTTAACTGCATTTGCGGCGTAGTTTTGTCAAGAAAACATTGAAAAGTTTGCTTTATATTTTTCTCTAATGACGTCAACTTCCAAAGTGCATTTTATTAAAGTGTAGTTTTATGCAAAATTTGCTGATTTAACGAAAGCACATTTGAGAAAATTAATACAAATGAAATTTCTGTATCAATGACTGTATGATTACCGAATGAGATCTTTGGAGTTTTGAGAGTTCATCTTTTTTTTTATGTTTAGAATGGAGAATGGAAAAATGTACGACTCTAGTGGAACGGGAGGATCTTATTCCATCAAGTAAGTTTTGGTCACTTGTGTACGTTCATTCCTATCGCGTCACTATTTCCCAATCTTCTTCTATCTTTACAGAATACAGTTTAATTCCGAAGAACATTGGACTAAAGCTTTGAAGTTCATGTTGACGAACCTGAAGTGGGGATTAGCTTGGCTTAATGCTCAATTCTCTGAGAAATAGCGAGAGACGATGAGTAGTCCTTGTATCCTAATCATTTTCACTTTGCAAACATAGGCGTACGAGAGGGGGAGGCAAATTTTAACCTTATTATGGCGGGAAAAATACGATTCACTTCCACAAACCATTGAACTAAGTATTTAACTGTAGGGCTATCTTTAAACTGTAAACATGCGTGTGCGTACTTACATAAAGCCAAATTTTACCCACAAATGTCATTACTGAATTTTAATTGTGCCACACGTGATAAGATTTCAGCTAGTCTAATTGCTGGCTTAAAAATTTTGGCTGAAAGTAGCGTTCCAGTTATATTAAAGCCAATGGACTAACCTAACCTAGGGGGGGGGAGTGTAAAGTTTATTAAATGGCATTTTAGTGTGTGAAGAGATATCCACACACACACAGAGACACAGACACACACCTTCATAATAGCTGCCTTGCGTCTATGTTTGCGAAGTTCGTTTCAACCACCATAACAACGTAACATATAATTTTGACTCCTTATCCGTAATATACTTTAGAATCTGATTTTTAGCATGTTAATAATATTACAAAACATCCGTCCTTTGCTTCAACTTATATTATTGACATAGTAAGATTAATTCCCTTGAATCGGGATAAGTTAATCCGAATCGCTTTCCTGTCGATCGTCATAATTCGGCCATTCGCTCCAGGCCGACTCGCTTGCCGGTAATCTAAAACAACGAGATACAATTTTTAATTAGTGCAATCCCGACTAGCAACTTTTTTAGTTATAGTTTATTTGCTAAGACCAAAGGAAATGGTCTTTCCACGCATAAGTTTTTTATTAAGTTATTGTCAATTTCTGAATGATTTTTCCAAACTGTGAAACTATATAACAATCTTTGAAACAACGATCCGCTTCAACCACCTGCTACGTTATTCATTGGTCATTTCTTTGTGGTTGCTTGCTAGAACTGACCAATGAGCGTGAATTTGAGCGGATTTTGATCAATTGAAAAACACAAACACTGAACTCATTTTCAACACAGCTTTACAAAAAGGGTCCTCATGGCACGTGGAAATCAGGGAGTCGCGGGTTATGGGAGTGTAAATGTTTAAACGTCTCCATCTTTTTAATTTACATATGTGTAGAAAGTTGGTCCGGAAACTGATAGAGAAAACAAAAAATTGCTCACGATAAAATTGTTGGCTTTATATCAAAAGCAGGAACTACAAAGTCAATTTCAAAACCTTAACACTACCACACATTCTTTTCCGAAATATGTGCCCTTGAAATATGGAGGGCGCCCCCGAGCAAATCGATAACAGCATTTCAAAAGATTCACGAGTTTACGTGCGCGCTCTCACGCGATAGAAACGTGAGAATCGGGATGCAAGCGTGACATTTTTCTTACCCTTTCATAGGTAGCGGGTCGTCGAAATAACTAGTGCTTGCCAATAACATTTGCTGCTCTTCGGTAATCATTCCGTTACCCATCATCGGCTGTGGCAGCGTTTCCTCGTCTTTAGTTTTTTTTCGGCAGCGCCTGCAAGCGAAGAGAATTGTACATTATTTGTATTGTACATTATTTTGGTCTAATCAAATTGTAATTGGATTTTTTCCACATCCAAAGTTGTGATCGAAGAGAATTTTTTAAAAAAGTGGAAAGTTTGCATTCGCCTACACAGAGGCCCAAATATCGTAAATAGTTTAAACTCGCACTTACTGAATGTAACATAAAAGTGTCAGTGTGAGTGTGAGTCTGGGTTTGACTTTGAGTGTCAGTGTCAGTGTGTGTGTGTGTGACTTTGAGTGTGTGTGTGACATAAGTGTCAGTGTGAGTGTGGGTTTGACTTTGAGTGTCAGTGTCAGTGTCAGTGTGTGTGTGACTTTGAGTGTGTGTGTGACATAAGTGTCAGTGTGAGTGTGGGTTTGACTTTGAGTGTCAGTATGAGTGTGAGTGTGTGTGTGACTTTGAGTGACAGTGTCAGTGTGGGTTTGACAGTGAGTGTCAGTGTGAGTGTGGGTTTGACTTTGAGTGTCAGTGTCAGTGTGAGTGTGGGTTTGACTTTGAGTGTCAGTGTCAGTGTGAGTGTGGGTTTGACTTTTGAGTGTCAGTGTGAGTGTGGGTTTGACTTTGAGTGTCAGTTTGTGAGTGTCAGTGTCAGTGTGAGTGTGGGTTTGACTTTGAGTGTCAGTGTGAGTGTGGGTTTGACTTTGAGTGTCAGTGTGGGTTTGACTTTGAGTGTAAGTGTCAGTGTGAGTGTGGGTTTGACTTTGAGTGTCAGTGTGGGTTTGACTTTGAGTGTAAGTGTCAGTGTGAGTGTGGGTATGACTTTGAGTGTCAGTGTCAGTGTGAGTGTGGGTTTGACTTAGAGTGTCAGTGTGAGTGTGGGTTTGACTTTGAATTTCAGTGTCAATGTTGTTAAGCTTTTTGAACACGGGCGATGGTCTTTCATTTGCTAAATTATTTTCTCTTTAACTTGAATAGTGACTGTATATAAATAGTGACTAGTCCATGGCACCTGAAGTAACCACTTCTAAAAAACCAATTCTTACTTCCTGCAGCAGTATAAAACCAGGGCTATCAAAATCATCGCAGGAATCCCGACGATCAAAGCAACCAGAGGAAACTCCTGATTAGCTATGATGATAGTCTTTTTGCAAAGTCTGCCCTCGTTGAATTGCTTGTACCCACTTCTACAGCGACAACTATAACCACCATTTTCGTTAATGCACATTGCGTATTTGTGGCACTTGTTGTCTTTTTTATTAAGACACTCATCTTTATCTGCAAATTTAAACAATGCTCTGTCGTTCGTTCATTCCTACTCTTGTGCAGATTAGGGTATTCTGTTTACAGTTAGACACATCAAAATTGTCAATAAGAAAATGAGCAATAAAGTCAAAGGTTTGAACACGGAAGTATCGTTACATATTTGTAGATGTAGATCGTCCAGGTTAGTAGAGACATGAGTAGGACTGATGCTGTTGATGTTGACTGACGTTTCGAGAACCGTAGCGGTAGTCATCTTCATAGTGGTCGGCTCCTGTTTACCTCTAAGGTTGTTTAAACGTCAGTGAATATCACTACAGACAGTCTTTCTCGTGACTCCACGAACATGAACGATCTACATCTACAAACGTGTGGGAAAAAAACTGCGTATTATTGACATTTATAGCTTGACCATAGAATAATGATTTTACACAAGAGTCACTCAGGTATAAAACGCGTCCTCATGTCGGCCATTAATCCTGCCAGTTTATTAGTGTTTGTCACTTGTTTTCAACCATCTAAATTACATTACTTTATTATTGAATATTGAAATTAAGATTAAGAAATGACTTCGGATCATTTTAAAGGTTGGGAACAAGCCAAAAACCCAAATCAACTGGCTGGAATAATGGCGGCCACCATGCGCGGCATGACATGCGCGAGAACAAAAACACCAAAGGTTCCGACATGAGTGACCCTTCTGTATATTTTTATTCTGTGGCTTGGCATTAGAAAAAAACTATGGAATTAGGAAATCTGTGAATTAGTACGCTGGGGGTCGTGGATTGAGGGGGAGTTGAGAGTTGCAGATCGAGTCTCGTGAAGCAGTTAGCTTTGTTGGAGACCTGGTGCCGATCGTATGAATCCCGGGTGGCGTTGTCTATTTTGCAAACTGGTATTTCCTGTTTTTTCGCCTTTTAGGAGATTTTGTGAAAGTCGAAACATAAATATCCAATGGAAATCGCCATCCAATACACTACTCATTGAGATATTCTTCGAACGTTCCGTATTACACCACGTACCTCGACATACCCGTCCATCTCCAGTGTAACCGGGCTCGCAGACGCATTTGTACGACCCAATTTTGTTGATACATCTTGCGTGTAGGGAACATGTTTTTTGCTCCTGACATGGATCGAATGCTAAGGAGATAGATATGCGGATTGAATGAAAACTGAAGCTTTATTGTAAGATTCGTCGACCTATTTGTTTGATAATATTTATACAGCATTGAGGGCAAATGCCGCTAAAATGGAACCAGTCCGAGCATGCGCTGTCTTGTGTTTTTTGTGAACACAAATGTAAGTTCAACATTCTTATTTTTTTATTACTGAATATGTGGTCTTAGACTTTTTAGTGTATATATAAGAACCCCATCGTTGGTGTGTCTAGGGCAGGTCAAAGAAATGACTGAAACTTATTTTTAATTCAAAATACTTTTATAACAACGTCGTCGGTTATAACTTTCAGAAGAACGTTTCAAAGTAAAATACTCCCGGTAAGATTCGCTCTAAAGTGTTTTAAAATAAAAGTGTATTTCCATTGTTGTATTCTGACATACCCTGGATCGCTACTGAGCAACATCAAATTTTCAACGATGCACTTTCGTTTATTAATCAGAAGTTTTCAACTAAGTTTTCATCCATTTTAAAATTCTGAAAACAAATTTTATGCCGGTAATATTCTTTTGCGATTCATCGATGGAACGATCAACATAAAAAGTGATATTAGTCTAATTGTCCTTTATTTTGTTGATCGTTAGACTTACTTAGGATTTTTCTTGCATTGCGTCACGAAGGCGGTATTTCTCTTTTGCCTAGAATCTCGCGTATCACGAAAACTGAAAGAATGCGTGTCAACCAAGATGTATTGCGGGCTTTTGTTTTGTTTACATCGTTATTTTTGAGCTCGCGGCACATTGAATTCAAATTCGTCAAAAACTCTATTTTACGGTATTTATTATCCTTTGTCAAAGTTGCATTAACTGCAATAACAAAATCCGCCATTTTCTCGACTTACAAAATGGCCGCCACGCTCTGATTAACGCGCAATGCATCTTGGTCGACAGAAATTCTTGAATCATCATAAGTACAACATCATAGACATACATGTACCAAATGTTGTCTACACTTCAGCCAACGATCATTACATAATTCCACGCAAGGGCGACGGAACATTGATAATTGGGGGGGGGCTATATTCATATATTCATATGAAATAATCCGTAAATACAATTGATTTCACTAGAAATTAATAAAGTAAAACATGCATATATGAATAATAGCCCCCATATATCAATGTTCCGTCGCCCTTGCGTGGAATTATGTAATGATCGTTGGCTGAAGTGTAGACAACATTTGGCACATGTATGTCTTGATGTTGTACTTATGTTGTCATGGCTACTATGACGTCGTACTTATGTTGTCATGGCTACTACCTTGACATTGCTCGCTTGTCGACTTTCTTCTGTATCCGGGTTTACAAAAACAGTCGTATCCTTCGCCTTTTCTCTTACAAACTTCTCGCTCCGGATCACATTTGCCGAACTTTTGTAGATTGCACAAAAGTCTAAAGGAGAAATTGACAAAGGATGATTGTTGAGACTTGATACGAGAACTCGTGAATTAAGTGTCATTTTTTACGAATTCTTCCAGTTAACGGTGTAGCCAGCTAGGCATGTTTTGCTCCCGCTATATAAGTTTCAGAACATTGTCAGTGCTCTTTTTTTAAGAAATCAATTGTTTCCACAACGATGAAGGCTATTTCCCGGAAACTAGGTGGAATTCTCAGCGCGTAATAGCTGATATCGCGCGTGCCTGGAAAATAGGCGGGCTGGCCACCTCACTCGTTCTACTTGTCTTTATAATACTTGAGTTGATTTTGATATTAAATAACTTCTGACAAAATGGATTGCATTAATGATTATATAAGTATTGCTTTGAAAACCGAGATCGCCATGGTGAGCTGTCTTAGAATTAGAAAACTAACCCTAGAGTTCTAAAACAACTGTGTTACAATTAGAAAACTTATTAAATAGTTCTGAAAAGAACTCTTTTAAAATTAGAAATCTAACAGGAAAGTTCTAAGACGATCTGTTTTAGACTAAGAACATTGATACAAGAGCTCTTATTCAAAACTCCTGTTTTACAGTTTTGTGTTAGTTTTGTGTTAGTTTTGTGTTAGTTTTCAGAAAATATGGATGGGGGTTCGTCATTCACAAAGATAATTGCGCTTTTCATATTAGTGTTAATATTTGTCACCACGACAAAGCCATAAATGCTTACGTGTTGTTTTCGTACCTGTAAGGTTGGATGCAGACCTTGTTTTACGAAGATTCAATCTCTCAGGTCGCGAGCGACACACAATCTTTCGGTTTAACACCACAATATTCTTGGAACGAAGATTTTGCGGTGATGCGCATTTTATGTCAGGTAAGTCGATCAGACGTCGAACGTTCAAGCTACTTTTTATACTTGTCAAAACCATGATATACTACAGTTACATGCGAAAGGATTACCACCAAGTTTGCTGGAAAAAATAACCAAAAAATATCAACAATTACCTCGCTCATCGCGACAGCATGTGGCGTAAAGCAAGTTCACAAATTTGGTCATGCTTTGTAAATGTTTATTGTTCAATCACAATGAAAACAACGAATTTCTGATGAAAAGAAAGCTGCTAATGATTTGAAATTTCCATCACGCCGAACCGACCAAACTTGCCGTCTCGCTACGCTACTGTACTGTACTGGCAAGCGTGTTACTTTCTACCACATGTTGCGCACATTTTGTCGTATTTTGTCGCGAAAATATCCTCTGGTATTTTCGTAAAGTTCAAATGACTACAGTCAAGTGTTTCGCCGCTGTCGTAAATGCGACATCTCTCCAGGTGACTTGGTGCTAAACTGCGACCTTTTTCTAAAAACACTAATGCAACGAGGATTGCAAGATAACCCGTGAACTCGACCACCATAGCACGATTCTTACCAACACTTGTGACGTCAGATGTTCATTTTTGACGTCATCAATAGGAGTGCCACTGAACATGAAATACAAATATTGTTTAGTCAGCGGTCGATTTGGAAATACTTTTAGAGACGGTATCGAATGAGCGCGTCCCAATGCACATGCGCAGTCAACATGGATTCTTTTGTAGATTGCAAAAACGCGTGACTGTACACAAGGAGCCTGGGCGGAAGTTTCTTTTCTTTCGCAATTTTGGAATTTTAAGATTAAAGCTTAATATCGAAAGCGGTAATACTAAAACCAGTTATTATTGAGGCGATTTTGAGTCTAAAAAAAGTTTTAGACTCCAAAGTGTTTCCAATACATGGCAACTTTTGCTGTTTGCGGTTGAAAAGTAAGCTGAGTTGAAATAGTTGATTGAAAGTTTGGGTTGATCAAAGCCAAGGTTTTTAGTTCCCTCGCATATGACATGAAAGAAGAACAGTCTTGCAAAAAATTGTGATGTGATTGGCCAAGGACTTTGTATCTCCACCGGGCCGTTCAAGAAGGGACGTGGAGCACATACCAATTTTGAGAGGACGATACGTATGAAGTTAAGACTATTGTTAAACTAGTTGAGGCTGTAGTTACACGAAATTGAGACTATAGTTGCAGGAGTTGAGACCATAGTTACACAAGTTGAGACTATAGTTACATGAATTGGGACTATAGTTGCACGAGTTGAGACTATAGTTACACGAATTGAGACTATAGTTGCACGAGTTGAGACTATAGTTACACGAGATAGACTATATTTACGCGAGTTGAGACTAAAGTTAGTTACACGAGTTGAAGCTGTTATTACGTTTGCTTTGCAACTACATATACTGCTGGATGTCAGTTTAAACATCCTTACTCTCGCCGGCCGTCATTTCATTCACCAATGAAACGTAATTAAAAATACAATCGTCATGAATTATGAGCAAAATTAATTGGTGCGCGCAAGTAAAGTTTGCTCTTTAATTAATTGAGATGCGGTAATGATGAAACTGGGGCAGAAATGAATTTTGTATTTTTTTTACTTGTTCTAGGTGTTAGGTGTTTTTTTGTCGTCAGCGCAAATTCAATGTTAATGAATCTTTGTGACCTGAGGAATCGTAGTCCTTGTCCAAAAGGATTGAGTTGCGAAAAACTTCGACATTGGGCTGGTCGAGGTTACTGCGTTGGTGAGTAGTTGTGAAAACAGTAAAATCCTGGCGACAATTATTCGTACTCTATATAAGATTTAATTTTTTCGCCATATCAACACTGTTTACTCAAAAATAAGTAATCCAATGTAAAACTTTATCATATTCCATTGTTATGACTATCCCCTTTCTCCAGTCAATATTCATATATGTTTTCAAGCAGGAGTCACTTTAAGGCCACAGTAACATAGTGAATATACAGTAAAGTGAATATACAGTATATTGAATATACAGTAAAGCCACTCCATTGAATTTTTTGTGAATTTTCAGATCTTATTACGTGTGTGATTATTATAGTGGCAGCCACTCAATTTCTTTTTTGACCAATGGAAATCATAAAATGGTTTACCACAGCCAGTAATCTCATTTTAAATATACAACAGCCAGTGGCAAAGTGAAGTGGATCTACTGTATATTCCCTATACTGTACGTAAAGCCTGGTTCTCATATAGTCGTCCGAGTCGTTTCAGTCGTGCCAAAATTTCACAGCAGACCCGTGCGACTATATGAGAATATTTCAGAGGCGACTGGGATGACCTCAAATGACTGAAACGACTAAGATCGCTTGAATAGAACTTTGCTCCAGGAGCAGAAAAGCTTTTCAAAAGTGCTTGAAACAAAGATAAGCAGTATATGCATATAGCTGAAAATGCTTTATGTACCCGTGGGCGTAGCACAGCGGTATAGACATTGAAATTATTCCATTACGTTTTTTTCAAAAAGCGGGCTTTTTTATTCATAGCGTGTACAAACGTTCAACAGTAATATGGTCATTGTACTATTAAGATTTATGTGATAAATGTGTTAGAATAAAACTCAATGTTGTCTTTCTTTACGAGTTTTCAGACATTGACGAATGTATAAAAGATCATAGTCACAAATGTTCGTATTCTGCTGGTGAAGAATGTTTCAATATAAAGGGAGGATACAAGTGCGTTTGTTTGCCAGGATTGAAGAGAGAAAACGGAAAATGTGTTGGTTTGTATCGGACAAGGAATTTTAAGTCCAAGTGATATTGACAATTAAGCCTAATTTTCTCTAACGTCATAAGCACAAGCTCGAAAACAAAACCAAACATATTTTACAAAAGTTTGATGGAACAACTCAAAGGAATTTGCTGCGCTTGTCCTATGCTTGGTAAACACCAGGCTTTAAACGTGGTTTGCACGATTAAAATAAGCACAAGCGAAGACAAAAGATTATGCCAAAACGATCAACGAAACATGCGAGAAAGCGTAAAGGATTGACATAAGTGTGACATTAAGAAAAACAGTTTAGAACAAAAATGAACATAAGAAGATTTCAATAAAATCCCGAAGTATTGTCTTTATAAACCTCTAGAGCAAAAAAAACGAAACTCTTGTCGCTCATTCTTATTTTTACTCGCGTTTATCGCTCGCAAAGTTCATAATGTTGATGTTTCTGTTAATACACAGCCAAGACTGATAAATGCAAAGTTAAGCCTCCTGTCTGTAATTTGAAATTTGAGAGGTGCATCTCAACGAAGTCCAAATCGTACAAATGTGTAGGTAATGATCTTCTTTATTGTCATTCTCTATCTTCCTTTCCTCAACAAACTTAAGACAAATTTATTCATAGATCTTGATGAATGCAAAACTGGGAGACATGATTGTGATCCCAATGCAAAATGTAAGAATTTACCCAAACGTGGTTATGAATGTCATTGCAAACCTGGTTTCAAGCAATATAACAATGGCAGAGTATGTCAGGGTAGGCAACTTTATTTTTAATGGTACAATATAAGACCATTTTCACTTTTTTGTGTATTTCGGTGCCATGGCTTAAATAAAAGGCCGAAATGTGCTTGCTTAAAGTTGTCATGAAACAGAATTCTTATCAGTTTTCATGAATTAATTTCTTTGAGAGAATCTTACACCATTAAACTTTCTCTCCACCGTCCTAACTCCAGGCCAATGTGTTGTTTTGTTAAAACAATAAAAGCCTTTTCTTGTATTCAAGACATAAATGAATGTTCTAACAGTTCGAAATGCTCGCCCTATGCCAACTGTACGAATCTTCCCGGATCATACGAATGTTCAAGATGTGGTCCAGGTTTCACGGGTGATGGAATAAACTGCAATGGTATAACTTTTGTCTATCATAATTTACCTTGATGCTCATTTATGACCATAAACAATATGTATGTATGATCTTTTAGATATCGATGAATGTGAAGAACTACGTCCATGTTCTATCAATGCAATGTGCAACAACACTTTTGGATCTTATCAATGCACTTGCAATAAAGGATTTTATGGAAATGGCGCAGTGTGCACAGGTATTACTGTCATACCAACTTGGTATTGCTTGTTCTTACTATAACACGTTGTTGTTATACCTAGATATCAACGAATGCTCAATGCGCACCGACGAATGTCCATATACATCAAAATGCATCAATACACCTGGTTCCTATATGTGTAAATGTCCTGAGGGTTACAATATGGTAGACGACGCTTGTGAAGGTATCTTTTTCGTTTAACCTTTTTTCCTTTTTGTCTCAAAAATAACCCATTTTTTCTTTGTGTTGTTTCTTCTTCAATTATAAAATAATGCAAAAAGTCACATATTTGTTTTTCATCCAGAAGATATACATTCTCTACCTTCAATTTTACGTGTGTCTCCTGCTTATAGTTCTCTATACCGAGAAACCCAGATATTTATTTATTATTTTATGTAAAATGCCCAAGAAGTCTCTTTATTTTCATAGATATTGTCTTAAAGTGTTACTAGTTTTGCGTAAAGAACCTCTTTTCCTCGCAGGTTCCCGTGTATTATCATGTGTAAACTTTCCCTCGAAGGTTCCTGTGTATTCTCATATGTAAATATCTACTTTACATCGCAGGTTCCCGTGCATTCCCATGTGTAAATATCCTCTTTACCTCGCAGGTTCCCGTGTATTCTCATATGTAAATATCCTCTTTACCTCCCAGGCTCCTGTGTGTTCTCATACGTACATATACATTTACTTAAAGTTTATATCGTAATGATAAATAATACTATCGCCTGTAAAGCATACTTGCCGTAAGTGTATGACGTCTGTAGCCCACATAGATCCATGGGGACGCACACCATTTGGGAGATCAGTAAATTTGTTAGTATTAATTGCTTGTCAATAAAATAATATTTTATTTCCATATTGTCAGATGAAGCACCCATCCCTAAATAAAATCCTGAACACCCGTGAAAGAAAAGTGGATTTTTACCATGTTGAGTGACGCTAGCCTTGTGAAAATCATCCAACATGGCGGCTATGACGTAATGTGCGCACAATGAATTGAATAACAATTGCTTTATGTATTTTCTCCAGATATCGACGAATGCGAAACGAGCATTAATAAATGTCACAAAAATGCTCGTTGCACAAATTTTATTGGCTCATACAAATGTCGCTGTGAAGATGGCTTCAAACATTTGAGCAATGGCAGATTCTGTTTAAAAGGTAAAACATTTCACTTTGATTGTTGTCAATGGATCATTGATGGATTGCACTGACTACTTTGAATAGATTCCTCCAATAGAGAGATCACTTTTATCATTTCTGTTGTGTCAGCTTTTATATTATTCGTTATTTGGATACTTTGTTGCTTTTGTTTAGTACGGTGAGTCAACATCTTAGTATTCATTCTTTGAACAATTTCGTCACACGTCATGTGATGTGATTTGTTACAATTTCTGATTGCTTTGAATGCAGGAAAACAAAAACTTCGAGTAAAAAAAGGGTAAAAAAAAGTGATGACCGAGAACCACTTATTGATAAATCTCATCGAGCAACACCAGTCTTTATGTTTCATTCAAACGACAGCAGGAACACAAAGTAAGTCATGTTTTTTTCAGCTCTGAATTATGGGATCAAGCGTTTGTCAAAATATACAACAGCAGTTCAACCTTTAATTCGAAATACCTTATTCTTGGTTTTGAACTCTAAAGACGGAAATCATGATTGTTGAATTTCTTTCGATCTAAGTATACTCGAAATTAATTGTTAAACTTTATTTTTCATAAATGCTAGATCCGTCACTACATCACTTTTTCGTGTCAAGTAGTTTGGTTTGTGGTAAACCGTTCATTCAGTTGGTGATTGTTTTTCTTCAACTTAAGATCTACGTACATCTCAATTCATCTCTCGATTTCTTTATCTGTAGTTCTTTGATGTTGGAGTAGCTAATGTTCGTATCAATCATATCGCCCAGAATAGAAATAATTGAATGAAGAAAGATAGCAGACTCCACGATAAATGAATTGATTATTGGTGATCACTTTATTTTTAGTAAAATATGAGTACTATTTCAATTATTGTGCAGCACTATCAATTCTTTCTAGAAAAATAAATACGTCCTCAATAGCAAAAATATATATGATTATGAGTTAATCACATCTAAATTCCGTACACTTTTTCTTCATTTTGTTCGTATATCTACCGTATGAACAGAATTCTTCACTGACCTACAATATGGACAGAACATAACTGACCCGCCAAACTCTATAGTTTCGAGTGAGGCAAGCTGCCATTTTGAAAAGTGAGAAAACTGACGATATTTACGACTAATATCTGCTTTCCCTGAGTTGATATACAGTTGCAAAGTTGATAGTCTAGGTTTAATTTTTAAATTGTTTGACAGGATTGACTGTTTAAACCGTGTTTTAGCTTATTTTTTATTTTGAGTTTTGCTTTTTGCCACCTTTCAAGTTGGAGTCCTTGCCTCACCTTGTCACGGTAATTAGACATCTAGAGGATTGGGTTCTAAATCATTGGAGCATGATCACGTGCGTTTTATTGGATTTAGATTTTCGAGCATGAGATGGAAACTCATTATGGTGAACCCTCTTAGAACGTGGCCAAAGCCACGAGGGTGTTAATTTAACTTAATTAATATTTTCTATTTAGAGAATACTAATAAGGAAATGTACAATAACTAAATAATATCCAAATCATTCTCCATATAGAGATTACTATTGAGATTTAGAGTATACTAATGAGCTATCGTATTCCATTGTTTTCACTTCACCTGTGCATTTTCTTTAAGCTTTGAATTCCACAACACTTGTTAATTTTATTCACTATGAGGTATAGAACATCAAAATACTGGACGCCGATCGGCCGAGTGGCTTTGGCTGTGTTCTAACATGCATCACGTGTAGTATACGTCACTGCATACAACGTATGCAGAAATGTTTACAAATGCAATCTCCATGTTTGACGATAACAAATATTTCTGGAGGCACAAATGTTTTAGTCATAGCGTAGTTATACACTTACTCTACCCTATGAATATGCGTAAACCCCTTTTAACATCCTTACTTTTTGCTGATTGACATTTTAGCAGCTAATTAAACGTAATTAATTTACAGTCGTCGTCATCAATTATGAGCAAAATTAATTGCTGTGCGCAAGTGAAGTATGGTATTTAATATTGAGATGCGCTAATGGTATAACCAAGAGCAAAATGAATTTTGTATTTTTTGTACTTGCTCTAGGAGTTTGGTGTTTTTCTATCAAAAGCTCTGCTTCTTTTAAAACTTGTGACCCCATTAGCCTCAGTGCTTGTCCAAGAGGATGGACTTGCACAAAGCTTCGACGTTCGGCAACTCGTGGTTATTGCGTTGGTGAGTTGAAGACAGTAAAATCCTGGGGACAATTATTCGTACTCTATATAAGATTTACTTTTTTCGCCAGTCTTAACTCTTTACATGCAGGGTCGTAGCTAGAACGTTGATGGAGTGTGTGTGGGGGTATATCATCTAGTCAGTTGTGCTCGACTGATTTCTTTTCAAAAGTAGTCAGTCGGGTACAACTGAATGAGAATATACATATGACAATACACGGCACTTTTTACATGATAATAAGTTCTTAGCTGTGGTTTCATTAGCCTGTGCTAACCGACCTGTGCTCAATCAAAAGAGTATTTGCAAATCAATGATGATTTCATTTTAGAAAAAAAAATTAAAACTTTTTTATAGATTTGTCTGTTTCGCATTATTGTTTTATATAAGAAGTAAAAGATGTTTTTTGGGTGTTGCACTGTTGTATTGAAACCTATCTTTCAGACGTTTGGGAGAACTCTCGAGCAGGTGCAAACCTTTGACGTTCTGTCTCAGACTTACACTGATCAGCTCAAAATTCTCCCAAAGGTCTCCTATTTTGTCATTCAGTGTAAAACTTTATCACATTCCATTGTTATGACTACCCCCTTTCTCCAGTCAATATTCATTTATGTTTTCAAGCAGGAGTCACTTTAAGGCCACAGTATAGTGAATATACAGTAAAGCCACTCTATTGAATTATTTTGTGAATTTTCAGATCTTATTACGCATGTGATTACCTTAGTGGCAGCCAGTCAATTGCTTTTTTTGACCAATGGAAATGATGAAATGGCTTACCGCAGCCAGTAATGTAATGGAAGATACATCAGACAGTTGCACAGCGAAGTGGATTTACTGCATATTCCCTATACTGTACCTAAGGCCTCCCATTTTCCAAAACGGGATTGCAGTTCTACATGGTGTATCAGAAAAAGAATATGATTGGAAACTAACGTATTGTGATAATTTCAATGCCTCTATCACAATATGCTAATCGCACGGGTGTACAAGAGATTGTCGACTACATCCATAAATTACTTTAATCACAAGCACAAAAGCTTTTCTGCTTCTGGAAGTTTCACTGAACTATCAAAGCAAGACAATTGCATAAATGTACCAATGTCATTGTGATCAGGCAATAAAATTTCACAATAGATTGATATCAAATAGAGAGAAAACTTTAAGAAATTGTCTTATTGTGAAATTTTGATGTCTCTATTACTAGCTAATACAACTGCATGATGTTTTTCCATTATGTCAATGTCTAAAAGCAGTTTTCTTTTTTTACACCATGTACTAACTTTCAACAGCAATATGACTACTGTGCTATTAATAAAACTCCATGTCTCTTTACAAATTTTCAGATATCGACGAATGTACACGTCAAACTCATAACTGTTCACATCCTGCTGGCGAAGAATGTTTCAATTTAGAATATGGATTTAAGTGCGTTTGTTTACCGGGTCTAAAGAGAGAAAACGGAAAATGTGTTGGTTTGTATCTGTTAAGGAATATTCAATCCTAAGTGATAATAATAGTTAAGCCTGATTTGCACAATTGAAATAAGCATAAGGACAAGCGCAGACTAAAGATTAAACAAAGACAATCATTGAAGCTTGTGACATACATTAAAATAAATACAAGCGTAAAGAATAGAGTTAAACATTTAAGCCTGGTTTCCACTATTGGTTTAACACGACAAACGCGACAACGATTAACTTTAATCACGATAATCCCATATGAGAACGTGGTAATAATCGCAATAAATGGCGACTAACAATCGCGACAAAATATCAAAAATTGTTGATATTTATTCGCGTTAATTGCCAAAATGACGTCATCTTGAATGAAAATTATAAAATTAAACGAGACTTACCTGGCAGTCGAAGTTAGATTGAAATTCTATCTTGGTCATCAGTCCGGAACGAAGGAGTCACATGAGATGCGCATGCGCATTTGCTAATCCGTTTTCAACGTGAGTAGTGCTGGAAAAAAAATTTACTAAGATATGGGACGGGAGGGTATATTGGACATGTGATTCCTTCGTTCCGGACTGATGACCAAGATAGAATTCCAATCAAACTTCGACTTCTCGGTAAGTCTCGTTAAATTTTATAATTCTATCTTGTCATCAGTCCCTGTCACGAAGAAGTCCCTTGAGATTTCAAAGTCCTGTGCTACGAACCACATAGAATGCCACATTGACCATATTGGTGTCATAAACGTCATTTAATAACATAAACAATTTTAAGTCAACTGACAAAACAAATGTTTCTATTTTAACACATTACTGCCAAAATTCAGGTGTTTATTTTCAGTTGGTTTTGAATAGAATGTTGCAAATGTTCCTGCTCTTGACCAACCTGCTACTGACATTATCACTTTTTGAAAAAGGCCTTTGGCTTTACAGTTTGATGTGGATGCTGCCCAACTGCTATGTGCTGTGTATTCTGAAGTATTAATCCCTGCAGATTTGAGCCATTTTAACCCAACGAGCAATTGTCTCTTTAGAAACGGATTTAAAGGGTATAACTAAGGAGTTGTTGTGAGTGTAAAGACTCAATCTTTTTGTGCTGCAATCTTCTCTGTAGATATACTTTGCAGACTGTTGTGCTGCAATCTTCTCTGTAGATATACTTTCAAGGTCTTCACAACACATATGCTTTCGTCTTCGGGGAATTCAAACAAATCAATTGGTTCCAAGTGTTTGCCAGGTTTGGTTGTCTTGAGCTTTTCACTAATCGTTATTCTGTATCTGTCTGATAATTCTTGTATCTCATGAACATTCATCTTGTGAATTGTTTCTCCTCTTTGTCCAGTCGTCAAACAACAACATCGTCAATTTTAGTGTGAGTTCCTTAATTGTTATTTTGTCAACTTGGTTGTAAGTTTTTAGGTAATTTAACACCACATTAACATCCCTTATTTCTGAATATTTTAGTAACGCAGGCCTTACCTCAAATATTCCTTTCATGTATCGTGTAACGAGGGATGTTCTCCAAACTTTATACCATTTTCTAACGTAAGAATACTTGACAACGCTGATCGTGCCGTGTTAATTGCACTGTATGCATTCCCCTTTTTGTACAGCGTAACTAAAAACTCGATTGCATTCTGCAATCCATGATTGAATACATCCAATTTCTTTTCTCTACAATAACTCTCCCATTTATCTAAACATGTTTTGTATTGTTTTGAAGTGCTTGTCTCCACGATGGCATAATGACGTCTTTAGCATCTTCAGATAGATCATACCTATCTAAGTTCTCCCAGGTAAGAGGCAAAATATGAGCTGAATTTTCTCCCAAATGGGATGAATGTCTTGTAGACTGCTTGGTAGGGGTTGGAGTTCTTTGCTGGCTTTGATATAAATTGGTTCCTTTATCATCATTTGGAGGGCTTTTGCATACCAGAACTGTGTTGACCAGTCCAGTTGAACACATATTCCCAGAGCTCCTTCTCTTTGAATCTTTCACAACATAGCAACTATGACACTAAATGCTGGAAAAGCGTAGAGTCGTATGTCTCCCCGTGATAAGGAAAATGCGTCAATTGCTCAAGCGTTAGGGTCTGGGCAGCATGCCACATATTTGGGGAATTGCTTGTTTACCCTACTGGCAAATAAATCTATCTCCGGAGCATATTCTAGCTTTGCTAGGGACTTCGAGAGCACTGCTTTAATTAGCATCCATTCAGATTCCCTCTTTTGTCGCCTTGATTCGAAATCAGCGACAGTATTTTGTTTCCCTGGTATGTGAGCAAGGCTAATCCAGATGTTTTTATTTATACACAACTCCCAAATGTTTTGTGCCATAGTATTACATATGTCCGAATGACTTGTACCAAATGGGGTTCCTCCCTTGACTTGTTAATAAGAAACCTCAGGGTAATGATTTCCTGTGATGGAATTAGACAGGATTTGGTTGGATGTATGATAAATCCTAGATTCAAAACGTATCAATAATGTTAAGGACACATTTCTCAAATGTTTGACCATGAAGATAGCAGTCATCAATGTGTGCTAACGAAATGTGTCCACTTGAGTGCAAATTTGCTAAAACTGGTTTCAAAACCTTAGTGAATATCCTAGATGCACATGAAAGCCCATTTGGCAAGCGTGTAAATTGATAAATTTCTTCACGCCATGAAAATCGTAAAAAATTATTAATTCGATGCCTTTATCGGTATAGAGTAATACGCATCTTTTAAGTCCAATGATGCCATAAAGCAATTTTTTGTAACTAGCTTGGTGACCCATAGAGTCCATCTTAAAATGATGATAGACCACTGACTCATTAAAAGCTTTCAAATTCTGAATTAGTCGGTGTGACCAATCTAATTTAGGTCCTAACAATATACTAGAGAGGATTTGTCCAGCTTCATAATGTACTTTGTGTATTACACCCTTTTTAATTAACTTTAGTATCTCCTCATCAAGCAAGGAGCATTCCCGTGGGGAAAGTTTTTGGAGGGTATAGCTTATGTTGTGCTGGTTCCTCAGCGCATTCGATTATAACTCCTGTTATGTGTGACAAGATTTCCTTGTCATTAGATATTTCAGTCCATGCGGAGAAGTGCTGTGCAACTCTCCCTGCACTGAAATTTTTGCATAAACTCTGTAGGTAATTTTGAATTTCAAGTACAAATTCCTCAATCTTATTTACCGATTTTTTGATTTGATTTAAAGTCTCTAATATTTTGTCTGTTGTCTCCCTTTCCATTGAGGTTTCTTCCTTCTTTGCGGGTTCGTCTGCTGGCTTTGCCATAAAAAATTTTTGTTGCTAGAAGAATGTCCCTGTTTGTAAGAAGGCATTGGTTTTTTGGCAGTAAAGTACGTTCTGTGATTTCCACTTCTCATAGAAGAGCTGAATGACTCGCCTCTTTTGCCTCTTTTAAATTTTCAGCCTAATCATTTCCAAACAATAATTTGCTGTCTGCTTGGTCCTCGAGTGCACATATTGCTGCATATTCCTGTTTAATTGCAGGTTTGATCTGCTCTTTTCGCGCCAATGATATCTTACTGTGTACATGGGCCATCAACGCTATGGCATCAACTAAGTTGGAAAATACCTGAGAGTTTTCTCTGCTACAGCCTGTAACAACCAACGAGTGTGTTAATTGTAAAATTGCCAACGTGGCTTTGAGTACTGTTTTTTGTATGTTGAACATTTGTAGATCTGCCTTCTTTTTCTTTGAATTTAACAGTTTCAATATCTCTTGGTTAATCTTCTTGCACCACATTCCTGGGCAGTTTTTCGGACGTGTGTATTTCTCTAGGATTAGCTTTAATTTTTCGGGGTTCATCGTTTGCCCCATCGTTTTAGCACTATATCGGCCAACTTTTTTGTAATATTAGGGCCTGTGCTTTCCTCGTCTGACAAACCTTTAGCGAGTCGTCTAAGAAGTCATGCTCTTACGCGTTGGGTTCATTTCCACGCGTTTTTGTTATCTCACCGTCGGTATTTTTGCCAGCAGTGCCCACAAGTTTTGCTAACTCGTCCTCGCTATCGCCAGAAAAAATGTTTATAGTATCAGGAGACTTCTTGCGACGTTGTCGTTTGCCTCTTCTCCTCCCAGAAGATGTTTCTAACTCTAGCTCGCTGTCAGAGTCATTGTTGTGCTCAGTTGATTGTCGTTTCCGACTGCCTGTTGGGCTTTTACCTTGTGAAGGCTTTTTAGCGAGTATATGTTCAAATAATTGGGCCATTTTGCCCATCGTAACTTCAATGTTGGCTATAGACTTATGGATGTCTGGCGTAGCCTCTTTAGCTCCGTCTCTTGGCTGTCTATTTGGCGGTTCAGATGTCTCTTCGAGCTGAATGCCCGCTTCGTTCGCCACATGTTCATATTTTATGTCTGCTGAAATCCGATAAAATTTTGTGAAATATCAACCCAATTTCGGTCCTAGATAAAAAATAATCTTACAATTTGTGATACTTACTTTTCCGTTTTGCTTTTATTTCCATTTATACACTCTATTTAAATGGATGTATTGCATTTAAAAGGATTTTTACTCCATTAACTTACCCGTTGTAACTTTTCAGCAAACTGCTTGAACTGATCAGTAAATGCGCATGCGCATCTCATGGGACTTCTTCGTGACAAGGACCGATGACAAGATAGAATTTAGGAATTTAAGATGGCGAATCCAAAAACGTTGTTTTCTTTCCTACGATGCTTTTCTACGGCGTCTCCGTCGCCTCCATAAAACATAAGCTACTGCAATTACTACCAGATCGTGTTTTTTACAGACGCCATTTCACAAAATAATCGACATCCGACATAATGTAAACAACACGTCTGATCGCGCAACCATTGCGAATAAAAGTTATCGCTATCGCTTTTATCGTGATAAACCAATAGTGGAAACCAGGCTTTATGAGAGAAGAACAATAGAAGATTCAAATGTCTTTTTTTTGTAAACCTCTAAAGCAAAAGAAACAAAAAGATTGTCGTTAATGCTTATTTTCACTCTTTTTAAGCAGGCATTATATTCGTCACATTCATAATGTTTATTTTCTGTTAATACACAGCCAAGTTTGATAAATGCAAAGTTAGGCCTCCTGTCTGTAATATGAAATTTGAAAGATGCATTTCAAAAAACTCCAAATCATATAAACGTGTAGGTAATGATCATCTTTATTGTCATTCTCTATCTTCCTTTCCTCAACAAACTTAAGACAAATTTATTCATAGATCTTGATGAATGCAAAACTGGGAGACATGATTGTGATCCAAATGCAAAATGCAAGAATTTACCCAAACGTGGTTATGAATGTCACTGCAAACCTGGTTTTAAGCAATTTAACAGTGGCAGAGTATGTCAGGGTAAGTATCTTTGTTCTTAATGTTACAGTATGAGGAATAAGCGAAAGGACCACTTTAATTTTGTTGTGCGATTCAGTGCCATGGCTCAAATAAAAGGACGAAATGTACGTGCTTAAATTTATCATGAAGCAGAAGTTGATCAGCTTTCTGTTTGTATTGCATTAAACGTGTAAGATGGCCAAAAACTTTTTCTATTCTATGTCTATTCACGAGTTGCGCATTCCAAGTTGTTTTTTGTCATAGAGAATAAGTAATTAACCAATTGATTAATTTCTCCGAGAGAACCTTACACCATTAAACTTTCTCTTCACCCTCCTACCTCCAGGCCAATGTGTTATTTTTTCAAACCAATAAAAGTCTTTTCTTGTATTCAAGACATTAATGAATGTTCTGACAGTTCGAAATGCTCACCCAATGCCAACTGTACGAATCTTCCTGGATCATACAACTGCCACGGATGTGATCCAGGTTTCACGGGCGATGGAATAAACTGCAAAGGTATAAGGTTATGCTGGTGTGTATTCATAATGTACCTCGATGTTAATTTATTACCATAAACATGCAATGTGTATGTATGATCTTGTAGATGTTGACGAATGTAAGAAACTAAGTCCATGTTCTATCAATGCAATGTGCAAAAACACTTTTGGATCTTATCAATGCACTTGTAATAAAAGATTTTACGGAAATGGAACAGTGTGCACAGGTACTACTGTCATACCAACTTGGCATTGCTTGTTCTTACTATAACACATTGTTGTTGTTATACCTAGATATCAACGAATGCTCAATGCGCATCCATGAATGTCCATATACATCAAAATGCATTAATACACCTGGTTCCTATATGTGTAAATGTCCTGAGGGTTACAATATGGTAGACGACGTTTGTGAAGGTATCTTTTTTGTTTAACCTTTTTTCCTTTTTGTCTCAAAAATAACCCATTTTTTCTTTGTGTTGTTTCTTCTTCAATTATAAAATAATGTAAAAAGTCACATATTTGTTTTTCATCCAGAAGATATACATTCTCTACCTTCTCATGGTAAATATCCTCATTACTATCACTGAATGAAATTCTAGACCCCCCTGAAGGAAAGTGGATTTTTCCTTCAGGGGGGTCTAGAATTTCATTCAGTGATAGTTGTGTGACGCTTGCATTGTTAAAATCGTCCAAATTGTGTTAAAACACAATTCTCACACCATGAATTGAATGAAAATTGTTTTACTCTCTCCAGATATCGACGAATGCGATGAAAACACTCATAAATGTCACAGAAATGCACGTTGCAAAAACGTTATTGGCTCATACAAATGTCGCTGTGAAGAAAGCTTCAAACATATGAGCAATGGCAGACTTTGCTTAAAAGGTGAAACATTTGAAATTGATTGTTGTCAGTGGATCATTAATGGATTACGATGGTCATTTTTTAATAGATTTCTCGCATGGAGAGATCACTTTCATCATTTCTGCTATATTATTTTTCGCTTGTATACTTTCCTTGCTTTGTTTTGTACGGTGAGTCAACATCTTACTATTCGTCCTTTGTACATGTATACGTCACACGTCACGTGATGTGATTCGTGACAATTTTTGATTGCTTTAAATGCAGAATCACAAGAACTTCGAGTAAAAAGACGATCAAAAGTGATGATCAAACGCCACTAATGAATAAATCTCCGTAAGCAAAATGAGTCTTTACGTTTCGTCCGGGCAAGAACAGGAAGACAAAGTAAGATTTGGTTTTTGTTATCCTTTTGTGTGATCCAGCGTTTGTCAAAATAAATTAAATCAGGTCATATTCAAATTGAAAATATCTTTGTATCTTTATCGGTTTTAAAATCTTGGTTTTAAAAGGAAATTATAATTAGTTAATTCTGTTCTATCTAAGTATGTTTGAGATAAGGTGTTGAAGTTCAGTTTGATGAACGTTAGGTCCACCAATTTATATCTTCATTTCTTTATGTGTAGTAAATGAAGAAGGATGGCAGTCTCGACGATGAACGAATTCATGATTGGCGATCGCTTTATCTTATGTAAAATATGATTATTTTGTGACGTTAACGAAGATTATTCCAAACATTATGCACAGCACTAAAAAGTTCTTTTAAGAACATAAAAACGCCTTCCATTACAAAAATGTAAGATGATGGATTATTTCATCGAAGTATTTTGTTGTTAACGTCACTAGTGGTTCCGTGGACTTTTCAGTTTGTTCTTATATGTACATGTACAGAAAACGTGAATCACTGACATTCAATATGCACAGAATATATTATATAATATACTGGCAAAACGACAGCATTTTGCAGACACAATCACCACGTTCAACAATTACAAAATTTTTATGCGTCTTCAAGTGGCTTTTGCGATTTCCAAAACCTAAAGAACTTTTGGCATTTGAGAGGCATAAATCTTTACTTGTAAAAATTACGTTTCCATTCTAACATCTTCATTTTAGCTGGTTGCCATTTCAGCTGATAATGAAACGTAATTAATACTGCAATCGTCATCAATTATGGTCAACATTAATTGGCTTGCGCAAGGAAAGTTTGGTCTTTCGTGGAGATGCGCTAATGGTGAAAGAAAGGGAAAAATGAATTTTGCATTTTTTGTACTTGTTCTAGGTGTTTGGTGTTTTTCTATCAAAAAGTCAGTTTCACTCAAAACTTGTGACCTGAAAAATCCCAGTACTTGTCCAAAAGGATGGACATGCAAACGGCTTTATTCATGGACAAAGCAGACTTATTGCGTTGGTAAGTAATAAACACATGACGTTTACCAGTTAAAGGGGCAGTAACACGAGAATTTTTGCTTCATAAATAACATTTTCTTAGAAGAAAATACTCAAAATGTCCGAAACAATTTATTTGATATGTTTTTTCATTCTTGGGATATTGAAGTTTTTGTAGCTAATACTTGCATGCATGATTTACTCAACCAGTGACCTCACATTGCATAACAAGTCAAGGAAAATTTATAAATGTATAATAAATTTTTGCAAAACAAATTTTTTGAATGAAATACTTATGGCGGGCTTTTTTACATCATGAGCATTTTACAACGACAGGAACTCAGTTTAGTTGAAGCAACATACCATCAACGATATCTGATATTTCAAGTTCATTTTGCAAAGTGTCGTCTCTCAGTAATTGTGTCAATCAGACATTACAAAATTTCATTATCATGTTAAGAAAAAGGGACACGAATAAAGTGTTGTAGAAAGTTCACTGCTTGTTATTTTAAGAGTTCTCTTGAATGAATTTATCATTTAAATGAGCAAAATTTTGGTTTTACTGTCCCTTTTACTTGAGAAATAAGCAAACTAGTAGGAAACTTAATCACATTACTTTTTTATGATTGTTCCTTTCTCCAGACACTATTCATATCTGTGGTCAGATAAGGATTATTCTATATTGCTTCTTTCATTTGAGCATAATACGCACGAACTACAAGTCTTGTTTCTTTTTCTCTAGACGTTTACAAAGACATTGTATTCGTGATTAGTATTCAAAATATTTTTTGTTTCTTCTTTCAGCACATGCTTAACTTTTTATTCTTGTGCTTTTGCAGCCTTGCACTTATGTCAATGGTTTTGACACAAGCTTGGATGATTGTTTTTCTTTAATCTTATGTCTTCGCTTGTGCTTATGCTTATTTTACTCTTGTAAACCAGGTTTAAAGTCTCTTATTTTTCAAAACAATATGCAGCTCTGGAGTGTGTAAAAAGTGAATCGAACTTTAATAAGCAGTTCTGGAGTGTGTAAAAAGTGAATCGCACTTTAATAAGCAGTCCTGAAGTGTGTAAAACGTGAATCGAATTTTAATAGGCAGTTCTAAAGTGTATAAAAAGTGAATCGAACTTTAATAAGCAGTTCTGGAGTGTGTAAAAACTGAATCGGACTTTAATAAGCAGTTCTGGAGTGTGTAAAAAGTGAATCGAACTTTAATAAGCAGTTCTGGAGTGTGTAAAAAGTGAATCGAACTTTAATGAGCAGTTCTGGAGTGTGTAAAAAGTGAATCGAACTTTAATGAGCAGTTCTGGTGTGTGTAAAAAGTGAATCGAACTTTAATAAGCAATCGTGAGTGTGAAGTGGTGTATTGCGCTTGAATATAAGTATTCAGATGATAGAGCTCTTTATCTTTCCAATTATATGTTTTTATTTCATAAAAATCAGTAATGATGAAGTACTACTTAAACAAAAATTGCGAGTCCAATTTGTATTTTTCCAAAGTTGAGAATTGAGTACAATAATTAAAAATTCTCAAGCGTATTTTACAACACTGAGGGAACAACCGTGTGTTGTATTTCATTCGTGTTTGGTTTTGTTTTTGGCAGTGAAACCTCAATGATTGCGCTCAATTACGAACAGTCGAAAAAAATCTTATTTTTCGACTGACAATTTTTATTCGAGGAGATTCGATCATTTCCGATTGTTATGAAATGCATGAAATTCATAAACGTAAAGCTAAAGAGCTCCGCTTTTTACCAGGTAGAAATCAAAGCATTAAACACAATGTCAAAAACACAATAGCATACTTTGATAAAGTTTTGATACTCAATGTAGTTGAGAAATGGCCAGTGCCGTAGCCTGCTGGATGATGGCAGGGAGTCATAGTGAAACATTCATGCTCTTCGAAATCAACTGTTTTTTTCCGTATTGTAACATGCGTATATGAGTACTTTTCCTCGCTCCCCCCCCCCAATTATCGAATCTAGCTACGTCTTTGAAAAAAAAAAAAAGGAAGTTTTCCAGAAAACATGTTGGGCTACCCAAACGTAATAATTTCCAAGCATTCAATATTTATGATATTTTTTTTAACTACGAAAAATTGCGGGGGGGTTTTGACTTCTTCCTCCTTTAGAAAAAAAATTACATTTTGTGTTTAATTTTGTCTATACTTATTGTCACAAGTTGTGTGTTGGTAAAAATGGTATCTTAAAGACTATATTAATACACTATTAATGTTTATGATTAATTTGTTCTAAAAGAAAAACTCATATTCTCTTACTTTACAAATTTTCAGATATAGACGAATGTGCGGAGTATCGCCATACTTGTTTCTCGCGTAGCGAAGAATGTTTCAATAAAAAAAACGGATTCAAGTGCGTTTGTTCACCAGGATACAAGAAAGAAAACGGAAAATGTATTGGTTTGTATCAGTTATAAGGAATTCGAATGATGTATGTTTTTCGTTTACATGAGGGAAATAGGCTCAAGAACAAGAGAAGACAATAGATTGAACAAAAACAATCAACAAAGTATGTGACATAAGCATTAACATAAGTGCAAGCGTTAGAAAAAGAGTTAAGAACAAAAGAAGAACGAAGGAGATTTCGATGTCTTTGTCGTTGTAAACATCTAGAGCAAAAGAAACTAAAGTCTTTTCGTTCATGCTTATTTTTATACTCGTGTAAACCAGGCATTATATGGCTGATGTATATAATGCTGATGTTTCTGTTGATACACAGAGAACACTGATAAATGCAAAGTAACACCTCCTCTCTGTGACTTGGAATTTGAGACGTGCATTTCAACGAACTCCAAATCGTACAAATGTGTAGGTAATGATCTTCTTTGTTGTCATTCCTTGTCTTCCTTTCGTCAACAAACTTAAGACAAATTTATTCATAGATCTTGATGAATGCAAAACTGGGCGACATTATTGTGACCGAAATGCAAAATGCGAGAATTTACCCGACGGGGAGGGTTATAAATGTCACTGCAGACCAGGATACGTGGATTATAATAATCATGGAAGATTATGTCAGGGTTGGTAACTTTATTTTCAATATTAATGCATAAATAATAAACAGTAGAGCCACTTTTATTTTGTTGTGCAATAGGTTTAGTGCAACCACTTCCCTGGGAGTGAAAAACAATGTTGGGGTCCCCAGCATTCGCCATGTTGGAGGACTTTTGCATTTTAAACACAGTATAGAGAACATATAGTAGGGCCACTCCATTGAATTTTTCGTGCCACGCATATCTTATTACACATGTGATTACCATATTGGCAGCCAGTAAATTGCATTTGGTGACCAATAGGATTGACGATATGGCAAACGGCAGCCCGTAAACTAATTAAATATACAGCAGCTAGTTGCACAGTGAAGTGTCCATACTGTATATTTCTAAACTGTGTTGTAAATAGGAAAATCGTTTGTCGAAATCATCCAACATGGCGGCCATGATATAATTTGTCCATCAAGATCACTGATCAAGATTCGGTGCCGTCATGGCTTAAATTAGCGCCCGAATTCTGTTTCGCAAACACTTTTGTAACGGAATTTCATCAGTTTATTTTATTGTACTTCATTGAACATTTCAAATGGCTGAAAACTTTGAATTGTGTCAGTTAAATTTTTTCAGGAGATACGTAACTTCGTTCATTTCAAATATCCTTCATTTTCAGCAGTAAACACACGTACATTTTCTTCGCACGTACAACAGCTAAACCCATGTGCAGATGTGTCTAGATGCAAAAGTTAGTTATTTTACGACACACTGTGGACAAAAAAGTTGATATCCCAAGTTGATATACCTCCAGAAAGAAGGAAACTAACCTAATTCTACTGAAATCGTCATTAAATCGTTTTATATGGTCTTTGCATGACAATGAAAAACTACGTGGAAAGTTTAGTTTCATAAGCACTTTAAGAAGACCGGTGAACGTCATTTTTGTCGGTCAAAGTCGGGTTTTGATATGTCTAGTTTCAACGTACTTTGCATAAAACGACGTAAAAAATAATTTCTTTTGAAACGGGCATCTTGGAAATGAAATTGCATGGCAAGTAAATTGGTTTTAATTCGAAAATAAGCAGTTCAATTTTGTCCAGATGTCGCTATGTTCTGTGGCCGACCAATAACAATCCTGTAATATTCTTACCTCCATATCTAAATGACGCACTCCTTGTGTTTTTTTATCCAAGAAAACAATTGATGAACTCATTTATTTATTTAAATGATGGGGGAGAACAAGACTCCCTTAAACCACCACCCATGTTTTCTCCTCTATGTAGCGTTTTTCTACTGCTGTTCCGTCGAAGAGAAAATTAAAATCAACCACTGTAAAGACTGATTGGTTACAATAACCATATGATTGGTTAAAGTAACCATAAAAATATTGGTTAAAGTGGTTAAATGCGTCTGAGGTAACGAATTTTTATCGCTATTTTAACCAATCAGTTTTTACATTGCAATTAACTAATTAATCTTTCACTCCGCCCTCCTACCTTGTTTTGTTAAAGCATTTAAAGTCTTTACTTGTATTCAAGACATAAATGAATGTTCCGACAGTTCAAAATGCTCACCCAATGCCAACTGTACGAATCTACCTGGATCATACAATTGCCACGGATGTGATCCAGGTTTCACGGGTGATGGAATAAACTGCAATGGTATAACTTTTGTCTATCCATAATTTATCTCGATGTTCATTTATGACCATAAACAATATGTATGTATGATTTTGTAGATATGGATGAATGTGAAGAACTACGTCCATGTTCTATCAATGCAATGTGCAACAACACTTTTGGATCTTATCAATGCACATGTAATAAAGGATTTTACGGAAATGGAGCAGTGTGCACAGGTATCAATGTCATACCAACTTGCATGGTATCGCTTGCTCTCACTATAATATATTATTATTAATATATACCTAGATATCAACGAATGTTCAGTGCGTATCCATGAATGTCCATATAGATCGAAATGCATCAATACATTTGGTTCTTATACGTGTAGATGTCCTAAGGGTTACAAAATGAAAGACAATGCTTGTGAAGGTATCTTTTTTGTTCAACTTTTTGTCTTTATTTTTATAGTTTTGTCTTTGACTTTAGGTGTAACTGTTGATGTGAAAATCCCGTTGTATTTTAATATGTAAATATCCTCTTTTCCTCCCAGGTTCCCGTGTATTCACATTTGTAAATATCCTCTACACCTCCCAGGTTCTCGGGTATTCTCATATGTAAATATCGTCTTTACCTTCCAAGTTCCCGGGTATTGTCATGTGTTAATATTGTCTCTCCTTCTTTCGATGTATGTGTAGTGCCAGCCCGGTCTATATTACAAAACAGAGTTTTTTTCGCAACAACAAATTCAGTCATTTTCCCTGTGAAAAAGGGACTTAAGGGTCTGGGTCCAAGCAGTTCTGAAAATAGTTGTTGAAACTCAACAGATAAACAGTTTAACAGCTTAATATTTCTTTTCACGACGGTCTATGCTTTTGGGATGATTCAATAGGTCAAATACGCTTTTCAAGGCAGTATCAATATCAAAAAGCTTAAGTCCTCACTTGAATCCGAAACAATTATACCCATCAATTCCCTTATGCATATTTCGAGCTATCCTATGTAGTCTTTGTTTACATCTTGTGTTTTCAAAGTATCCATCGGCTGTGAATTCCACGTATCTAGTCTTTACCTTTAAAGTATCCATAATATCGTTCACGACATCTTTTGACTTAACTGTGTTTTTTTATCTTTCATCCAAATGAGTCTAGCACCAATCAGAGCAAGAGACAGAGAGGGGTCTAGAGGGTTTCGGGGAGATCAGATAATTCATTCAAACGATAGCTCGTCAATAAAGATGATATTAGATTTCGTTATTTTCTGATAAGGCACTCATCCATGGTGGAAATCCTCCCCCCCGTCCCATATGAATGAAAAGTGGAAATTTTCCATTCGCTTGCACTGTGAAAATCATCCAACATGGCTGCTATGGCGTAGCGTGCTCGCAATGAATTGAATAAAAATCGTTTTACTTTCTCCAGATATCGACGAATGCGAAACGAGTACTCATAAATGTCACGAAAATGCACGTTGCACAAACTTTATTGGCACGTACAAATGTCGCTGTAAAGATGGCTTTGAGCACATGAGCAATGGAAGATACTGTTTAAAAGGTGAAGCATTTGACACTGATTGTTGTCAGTGGATCATTGATGGATTACGATGGTCATTTTTTAATAGAATCCTTGAATGGAGAGACCACTTTTATCATTTCTGCCGTGTCAGCTGCTATATTCTTTGTTGCTTGGATACTTTGTTGCCTTTATTTTGTACGGTAAGTCAACATCTTACTATTCGTTCTTGTACATGTTTACGTCTTACATCACGTGATGTGATTTGGGACAATTTTTGATTGCTTTAAATGCAGGAAAACAAAAATGTCGAGTGAAAAAATGGTCAAAGGGGATTATCAAAAACCATCCGAAGCAACACCAGCTTTTACATTTCAGCCGGGCGACAGCAAGAAGACAATGTAAGATGTGTTTTTTCATTTTTTGTGTGATCCAGCGTGGATCAAATAAACAACATTTGGTCAACTTTTTATTCAATTAAGAAATAAAAGATGTTTACTGTGTTTGCACAGGCTTATGCAAACTGAGGAGCCCTTGGGAGAATTCGAGAGCAGATCAGTGCAAGCCCGATACCGAAGGTCGAGGGTTGCACCTGCTCGAGAGCTCTCACAAACGTCTCCGAGGCTTGCAAAAGCCAGTGCAAATACGAAAAATATCTTTTATTTCTTTATAAAATAACAGTAATGTGAAAAGACAAACATTTCAATTTTTCCTCTAAAAAGTATTCATGATCACTTTGCAAATTCTATTTGATTCGTTTTGATTGATTTGATTGGTTAAGCCCAGATGTGTTCTGCACAAGCTAATGCAAACACGGCTCTAGACCAATCACAGCACGCGTTTTATTGTTTTTGTTTTATAAAATCTTTTCATAACTCCAATGGTTTTGAACTCTCAAGGCAAAATCATAATTATTTAATTCTATTCATACCTGAATTTATATTTATATTTCTTTATCTGTAGGTCTTTCAATTCGTCTACATCACAAACGTATTATGCAAAGAATAAAAATAAGTTAACGGAGAAAAAGTATGGGAAACATTACTATTAATTGACTATTGGTGGTCACTCTTTCTGTAAAATATGAGTCATTTTCTGGCGTTAAACGAGGATTATAAAAATGTAAACCTCTTCAATAAAAAAATATATAATTGTGAATTATTTTGTAGTATTTCGTCATTAATTTTATGTCGAAGTTCAGTTTTTCAGTATACTTGCATGTACAGAATACGTTACTGACACTCACTGTCATACAACATGTAAAGAAATGCTTAAATAATTAGTTCCAATGTACAGAATGCGTTACTGACATTCACTGTCATACAACATGTACAGAAATGCTTAAATAATTAGTTCCAATGTACAGAATGCGTTACTGACACTCACTGACATACAACATTTACAGAAATGCTTAAATAATTAGTTCCAATGTACAGAATGCGTTACTGACATTCACTGTCATACAACATGTAAAGAAATGCTTAAATAATTAGTTCCAATGTACAGAATGCGTTACTGACATTCACTGTCATACAACATGTACAGAAATGCTTAAATAATTAGTTCCAATGTACAGAATGCGTTACTGACACTAACTGTCATACAACATGTACAGAAATGCTTAAATAATTAGTTCCAATGTACAGAATGCGTTACTGACATTCACTGACTATTTGACTAAACGCTTTCTATGGGGAGAAATGACGTCAGCATTATATAGATTCAATCTTCATGTTGGACTATTGCAGATATGTCTTCATACTTAGCATTAACAAAAATTCCTTAACTGTTCAAATACGTACGGAGGCTTAGCCCTTTATGCGTCTTCAAGTGGCTTTTGTGATTTCCAAAACTGACAGAATCTTTGGCATCTGAGAAACTTTAATTTTTTAGTCATACCGTAATCATACGTTTCTTATGGAAACTACGTCACCATTTTAAAATCTTTACTTTTTCTTGTTGTCGATAAGGAAACGTAATTAATACTGCCGTCGTCATCAATTATTGGCAAAGTTAATTGGTTGCGTGCAAACGGAGTTTGGTCTTTAATGGAGATGCGTTTGTAATATAACTGGCAAAAATGAATTTTATATTTTTTGTAGTTGTTATAGGTTTTGGGTCTTTTTTTGTTGTATGTTCTGGTTTGACAGTGAAATTTTGTCTTTGGCGTCGCTGTTCAAAAGGATACGAATGCAGAAGAATTGAGATCCGTAGAAAAATGAGAAGGGTCTGTCTTGGTAAGTTGTAAACACTGGGAAATCCAACAAACGATTGTTCATACTCTACAGGATGTATGACAAAACTGCTCAACTTTGAAATCATCCAACATTTAAATTCTGCATGATTTTCAAATAACACAAAGACGTGGAAATGTATTTGAAAACAACAATATTCACATACGTATATTGCAACTACTGCACATTGCATATCACTAGTAAGAAACTCAGTTCAATTTGCGTTGAAAGTCTTCTGAATCCAATGGCGTGTACTCAAGGAGTGTTTACATGAATCTGGGATGAGTTTCGTCCGGAATGAACTCATTCCACTTTAAAAGAAATCCTTCTGCATGTTTACATGAATCCGGAATGAGTTTCGATCCGGAATGAGCTCATTCCACTTTAAAAGAAATCCTTCTGCATATTTACATGAATCCGGAATGAGTTTTGATCCGGAATGAAGTCATTCCACTTTAAAAGAAATCCTTCTGCATGTTTACATGAATCCGGAATGAGTTTCGATCCGGAATGAACTCATTCCACTTTAAAAGAAATCCTACTGCATGTTTACATGAATCCGGAATGAGTCACAACTCGATCCGGATCGAGTTCATTCCTGTTTTCATTACGAATCGAAATTTACTTTTAATCTCATGTAAACGCGAATTGAGTTTCATTCTGGAATGATATTGTGATTAATGACGAAGCACGCATGTGCCATGGGTATTGCCTTCTGGCAAATTAAAGCTCGTAAGTAAATAAAGCGGCTAAATGGACTAAAATGAGTGCGAAGAAAAACAACAATTAGTTTCACGCAAGCATTATTAACGCAGGAGCAACAGAAAAAAAGGGTTGCTATAATGTTTATGTTCGCCATCTTCAAATTTCAATATTCCCGCAAAATGTCAATCGTTCTGTTGATTTCCCATGTAAACACGGATTGACATCACGTTTCGATCTGGATTGAAAGTCATTCAGGATTCATGTAAACACCCCCTTAGTAGGCTTAGTAGACTGAAGACTACAGGCCAGGGCTTTTTAGAGGCTTGTTGTATCTAAACATTATTAGTTTTTAGTTATTGCCATTCCAGACTATTTAAATGTTTTTAAATTTTAAATACCTTTATGCAGTTAAGAAGCATACGATCTATCTACTGTTCAAATGCACGATGCTCAGAACTCATGAAGTACTTGGTTTTCCAAGTTTGAACTTTAAATTTATTTCTTATTTTGATGCTATGAGTTACAAAAAGAAGATGGAAAATGCAAAGGTAAAGGAGCGTAAGGAGCGCTAATGTCATCAAGAGACTCAACTTAGTGAGAGGAATAGATATCCGACTTAAAAAGTCCAACAACTTTTTCTTAGCCTACAGGCACCGTAATTAGTAGTCCGCCACTGTCTAAATCATGCAAATTTCTAAATATCGCCTGATTTCAAAGATTTAAATTTTTTTGAGACACCCTGTTTTACATATCTTTTTTCAAGCCCAAGTCAAAAGCGTTTCTGCTCCTGGCAATGTAACATAACTTCTAAAATAGACAATAATAAACTTGTGTTGTTACCATAGTAATCTGGCAAAGAAATTTCACCATAGGTTACTTTCTGAAGATGTTTTATTTTCACCTTGTATTCACTTATAAGATTGCTTTTCTTACCATTCTAATAAGTCTTGGCACAAACTCTCTCAACATGTTCAGAGCATTTTCACTCTATGTTAAGACATAGTTTAGGAAATACATTAGGCCTGCTTCGTGTGAAGGGGTGGTGCCAGAGGGGGGGCTGGGGGGCTACAGCCGCTCGTCGGGAAATCCTAGTCCCCTGGCGGGGGAAAATTTAACGATTTGTCGAGGAATGAATAACGAAAAAATATAATTTCCAATGTTGATTATTGCCGCTTGTTTAAAATAGTGTGAGCACTTTGCATCGGCAACAATCTTCATACACGCCAGCTATCCGACACCATCTTTAAAAAAATAGTAAAGTTACTCTGAAATACTTATTTTTGATTGCTCATTAGAGAATAGATATGCAAATACAACATGAGATATATTTGCATATGCAATCGCACGCCTGCCAACTATTAGTTTTCAGTCGTTTGTTTTTTGCAACCCGACTTTCGAATTTTGAAAGGAAGTTTTTTGTAAAAGACCTAAAAAACTCTGCTGTTTTAGTTTCAAATCAGCAATGAGCATCAGATTCTGACAGTTTTACAAGTATTGCGGCTATTGCCTTTGATAAATCACCATCAAGCGTCTGGACAGCTAATGTTGTTAGGAATTCATTGTGGTCGAGGGAGCAAACTGGATTTGGTTACCTTAGTGAACAAGTTCAACGCTAGGTTTCCCAACTGTAGAATTGCTCTCTTAACATCAAACAATCAAATCAATTGATTCAAACAATCGAAGTTATATCTTACTCGTGAATTATTAGTATTGCCTCTTATGTTTATAAATTATTTCTTAGTACACCACTGACTCATTATATACATGCAGTAAAAAAAACTGCTCACCAGCAAATAATTTGAACAGGATAACATTGAGATAAAGTGCAAAAAAATAAAATTTAAGTTAAACAAGAGAAAATGTTAGTATCTCTAATAACTAATGGATCCTCGTTATGCTTTCATTACAGCTTTGTGTAGGTTAAAAAAGATGTTCAATATATTTATAAAGCTTTCACGGCGATAATTATTATTTCGTTATTACTATCCAAAATTACTAAAAAACCCAATGAATTCTTTTTACTAACTGTGTAGCTTTGTTATAGCCAATCATATATAAATCCAGTGGCGGATTTCTAATTACGTGGCCTGTAGGCTAAGATGAATTTGTGGGCGTTTAAGCGATATCTATTTCCTCCCACTAAGTTCAGTTTTCCTTTGCTTTGCATTTTCTGTTTGTAACTCCATCGGGTAAAAAAATGGGAAAAGTTCATTTAAAAGTTCAAATGAAATTTCGAAACTCATTGACATGGTCAGGGAAATGGGTAAAGCCAATACTCCATGAGTTCGATACTTCTGAGCAAACAAGACAGAGACACAACACCAAATCAAACAACAACAAAAACTTGAACGTTTAAAACAAACTAAAACACGTACAAGACATAAACATGACGATAACTGGGTGAGGAATATTTCTTCCCGCTCATTAGACGAAACTGAAACGCGACTACTATCTTACGGACTAAAACATTCCATAACACCTAGACAAATCCCGACTGAGACGATAGTATCAAGTGTCGAGGCTGTCCTAGCGTATCAAAGAGACTTGTCAGAGACAACCAAAGACGAGATCAGAAGCAGGATAGCCTCCACTTTACAATCGTCCTCTATACGTGACAACAACTTGACAAAAGACGAACAACAAGCATTCAAACGACTAAAACACGACAACAACATCGTCATTTTACCAGCAGACAAAGGACGCGTGACTGTGGTCATGGACAGGAATGATTACTTTAACAAAATGGACACCCTTGTTAACGACAGACAAACGTACGAACAACTCAAACGAGACCCAACACCATCACTAGTACGCAAACTTAACAGCAAGATCTTCTATGAGAAAATCTAACATTATATCTGAACGTATTTACTATCGACTCAGATGTTCAGTACCACGACCACCCAGACTATACGGACTACCAAAACTTCACAAACCACAAATACCCATGCGACCAATTGTATCATTCTGTGGTTCGCCTACTTACGAACTTTCAAAGTACTTGACTAACATACTGCAACCACTTACAAACAAATCAAAACACAAGCTACAATCCACTGAAACTTTCATTAAAAAACTGTGCACTATACAAATACCGGACAACTATATACTAGTGTCTTTTGATGTGAAATCACTGTTCACCAGTATTCCACTTAATCTGGCACTTACTTGTACAAAAACCCTTATTACAAACACCACGGACGTACTGCCATTACCGACAGAAGACATTATGGAGTTACTAGAGCTCTGCCTCACCTCGACTTACTTCCAATACAAAGGAACACACTACAAACAATTACATGGGACAGCAATGGGCTCGCCCGTTTCTGTTGTAGTTGCTGAAATTGTAATGCAATCTATAGAGGAACGGGCACTCATGACTTACAAACATGCACTACCTTTTTGGTTTCGCTACGTAGATGACACAATCACAGCACTACATGCAGACGAGATTGATGACTTCCATACTCACATCAACAAACAGAACAGCCACATACAATTTACCAAAGATGTTGAAGAAAACGGAACTCTTCCTTTTCTCGACTGTTTGGTAAAACATGACAATCAAAAACTAGGAACAACAGTTTATCGCAAGCCAACACATACTGACCGACTACTAGACCAATCATCTTACAACCCTACATCACACAAAGCCACCACAATCAGAACATTAACAAGACGTGCACAAATCATATGTGATTCACCGGACGCTCTACAAAACGAAAACAACTATCTCAAACGTGTTTTGACAAAACAACTATAACTCTGACTTTATCAAACGCAACACTTACAAACCCAACGAACCCAACGAAACGAACAACTCAGTGACAACAGCAACGATACCTTACATCAAAGGTACGTCTGAGACTATCTCGCGTATCTTACGACCATACAACATACGTGTCGCACATAAACCAATCACAACGTTACGACAAGTACTAACGAACATAAAGGACAAAGAACAACCCAACGAACGACAAGGTGCAGTTTACAAAATAAATTGCTCCGACTGCCACGCCTCCTATATCGGGGAAACTGGCAGGAACTTAAACATAAGACTTACTGAGCACAAACGAGCTACTAAGAAACAAGACAAAACTAATCACATTGCCGAACATCACCGAATCACAAAGCACAACATTGACTGGGACTCGGCAAAATGCATCACTTACAGTACTGACTATAGACAACGGCTTACATTAGAAAGTTGGTATACCAACTTGGAACAAACCCCCCTGAACAGATCACAGCAATTACCGGCACCTTACAAACGACTTATTCACAATACAAACAAACGATCAACTAAAAACATTACACTTCAAACTAATTCACAATGACAATACACAATTGACACCCACACATTACAACTAAAAACGTCACACCTAAATCACACATCACAATAAAATATTTCACTTCACACTAATCCACAATGACAATACACATTTCCTGTACACACAATACAATGACGTAGGAACCAGATAACAAATACGGCTAACCTGACGTTTACTCCTCATTTGACTCTGAAGATGACTACCGCTAAGGTTGTCGAAACGTCAGTCTACAACAACAAAAACAGTCCTTCTCAGGACTTTATTAACCTGGACGATCATCAATTACAAACATATACTTTTGAGCATTACGCATTTAAACAGTAGATAGTACGAAAGCCATTTTTTCTCTGCATTTAATTGCACGTAAGGTTTTTAAGGGCATAAATGATCTAAGTTAAGCTCATTTAGCTAGCCCATAGTAGCAAAAACGCCCAACCAAGTTCTAAAAATTTCTTCACGCAACGGGCCTCTCGAAAACCCAGGCCTGTAGTCTTAAGCCTACTTAGCCTACTGGATAATCCGTCCTTGTGTATATCCTCGGATTGCATGCACGACTAGCAGGGCTGTTAGTACAACGGTGATTGCTGAGGATATTCATATAATCTGTTGTGTCAGACTGACCTTTTTTAAAGTTAAATTTCTTTTCAAAACTGTCTTTAATATAAAATTTCAACAGTAATATGGCCATTAGCGCTATGTACAATTTGGATGAAACTCCATACTCTCTTGCTTGACAAATTTTCAGATATCGATGAATGTGTGCGTAATAGACATAATTGTTTACCGGCTGCTGGAGAAGAATGTTTTAATATAAAGGGAGGATTCAAGTGCGTTTGTTTGCCTGGTCTAAAAAGAGAAAACGGAACATGTGTTGGTTTGTATCATTTAATTAATAAAGAATTCTTAAATTCGAGTGACATTAGTAATTAAGCCTGGTTTACACGAGAGAAATAAGCATAAGAGCAAGAAAAGGCGAGAAAATGAATAAAAAGCATTTAACGAAGCTTGTGACATCACCATTTAAATAAGAGCAAGAATAAAGAAAAAGAGTTAAGAACAGAAGAAGATTTCAGTGTCTTTGTTTTTTCAACTAAAAGAAATGGAAGATTTGTGATTCGTGCTTATTTTTACTCGTGCTAAGCAGGCATTACATTCCCAATGTTTATAATATTAATATTTTTTTCATGTATAGCCATTAATAAATGCAAAGTTAAGCCTCCTGTCTGTAATATGAAATTTGAGAGATGCATTTCAACAAACTCCAAATCATATAAATGTGTAGGTAATGATCTTCTTTGTTGTCATTCTCTATCTTCCTTTCTTCAACAAATTTAAGACAAATTTATTCATAGATCTTGATGAATGCAAAACTGGGAGACATGATTGTGATCCAAATGCAAAATGCAAGAATTTACCCAAACGTGGTTATGAATGTCACTGCAAACCTGGTTTCAAGCAATATAACAATGGCAGAGTATGTCAGGGTAGGCAACTTTATTTTCATCACAAAAGTATAAGAAAATGGTGTTTTTCATGTTATCCAGTTTGGAAGTGTGATACAAAAGAATATTTCATCAACGATATTGCGTTGACTCCAAAACCACCGATGATATAAGTTTATTTTTTAATAACTTTTAAAAGATTTCTTGCAAAATTCATGAAGAACGAACGAAGGAAATATTTTCATTTTCCTGTGCCTTTCGGTACCATAGTACCCTTCCTATACTACTGACTAATGTGCTGTTCTGTCAAAGCAATACAGGTCTTTTCTTATATTCAAGACATAAATGAATGTTCCGACAATTCAAAATGCTCATACTATGCAAACTGTACAAATCTACCTGGATCATACAATTGCCACGGATGTGACCCAGGTTTCACGGGTGATGGAATAAACTGCAATGGTAAGACTTTTGTCTATCCATAATTTTTCTCGATGTCCATTTATGACCATAAATAATATGTAACTATAATCGTGTAGATATCGATGAATGTGAAGAACTACGTCCATGCTCTATCAATGCATTGTGCAACAACACTTTTGGATCTTATCAATGCACTTGCAATAAAGGATTTTATGGAAATGGAGCAGTGTGCACAGGTATTACTGTCATACCAACTTGGTATTGCTTGTTATGACTATAACATACTGTTGTTAACTTGTTATTATACCTAGATATCAACGAATGCTCAATGCGCACCCACAGATGTCCATATCAATCAAAATGCATCAATACACCTGGTTCTTATACGTGCAAATGTCCCAAGGGTTACGAAATGGAAGACAACGTTTGTGAAGGTATCTTTTATGTTTAACTTTCATCATTTTGTCTAAAACAATCTATCTTTTATTTGTATCTTTCCCAATTGTAAAATAATATAGCATCTCAAGTATTTGTTCTTTATCCAAGATCGATCTTCTCTATCGTCAATTTTATGTGTTTTGTTTATAATTGTTTGAACTGAGAAACTCAGATATTTATGTATTATATTATGCTAAGTATATCTTTTTTATATCTTTTTTATGTTTTTCTTTAATGCTGTTACTAAGTTTGTGTAAATATTCTCTTTACCTCGCAGGCTGCTGTAAATTGCGATACGTAAATGTCTTTTGTACTTGCTGAGATGTATGTTTACTGCTGACCATTTTCATTATACAAAACAAAAATTTTATTGTGATGTAAAATGCAATGATCGCCCTATAAAGCATATATGAGAAGAAAAATATCGCCGGTAGCTTAGGTAGTTCTGAATTGTTATTTTACAACATAAGAATTTGACAGTTTAACTCGTTAACATTTCTTTTAGCAAACTACCTAGGTTTTATTGGATTTTCACCATTGCAAATAAAATTTCCAAGCACTATCCTTATGATGAGTCCATATCTCAATTGGCAACAATTATCCCTAACAATTTCATTATACATAATTAGTATATCGTATGTAGCTATTTGTGCATTGTATTTATGTACAAAGTATCCAAGTTTTCTGTCATCCTATGTAATCTTTATACTCTCGTGTCATCCTCCCAAGTCCCTGGTAACCCCCATATTCTGTAGTACATCATTCTACTTGTAATACGTTTTCATGTTTTTTATACTTAGGTGTCCCATTTTACTATCATATGCCGTAGATGATATACTGCTACATCTATGAGAGCAAATGAAGAGCAAAAATTTCGCCATGTTGGATGACCTTAGAAAGAAAAATTTTCTGACAAAATCATCCAACATGGCGGATATGACGTAAAATATACACACCATGAATTGAATGTCAATCTTTTTACTTTCTCCAGATATCGACGAATGCGATGAAAACACTCATAAATGCCACAAAAATGCACGTTGCACAAACTTTGTTGGCACATACAAATGTCGCTGTAAAGATGGCTTCAAACACATGAGCAATGGAAGATACTGTTTTAAAGGTAAAATATTGAAATCTGATTGTTGTCAATGGACCGATGATGGATTACGATGGTCATTTTTCTATAGAAATCTCGAATGGAGAGATCAGTCAGTTGACTTTAATCATTTCTGGCGCGTCAGCTTTTATATTATTCGTTATTTGGATACTTTGTTGCCTTTGTTTAGCACGGTGAGTCAACATCTTATTATTCGTTCTTCGTACATGTCGGTCAAACAAAAAAATAAAAGAAAATATCCATTGCATGCATAAACTTTATATATTTAATATTTTTATTTTTAAATAACTCATACTTTGTTGTTTTTTTTGTTTATTATTTTTTATTTTATACCTAGATGCAGTATCCTTTTTAATTTTATTTTATCACACGGCTATCAACTTTTTTATTTTTTATATGTAGTTGTATTTTAGGATCCAAATTGAGATACTACCGTCTTTAAATAAATGTAAATAAATAAAAAACATCACGTGATGTGATTTGTGACAATTTCCGATTACTTTGAATGCAGGAACACAAAAACTTCGAGTAAAAAAAAAGTAAAAAGTGATGATCAAGAACCACTAATTGAGAAATCTTCTCAAGGAAAACAAGTCTTTATGTATTATCCAGAAGACAGCAGGAACACAAAGTAAGATATGTTTCTTTCATTTCCAAATTGTGGGATTCAGCGTTTTTCAAAATAAGCTACGTCAGGTCACATTTAAATAGAAAATCTTTTGTAAATCCTTGTAAAATTATTAAAATCTTTTACAATTAGAACTGCAGAATTTAGAAAATGAGAGGCCTTTGTATGACCCTTGTTTAGTTTGATCAACGCTAGTTCAGTCTCAGCAAGATCACTTTATCTCGTTAATAGTGCGTGGTTTGATCAAAATTTTTAAGTCAGCTGGCGTTTTCATTTTTCTTCAATGTGGAATCTATGTATGTCTTAATTAATATTTCAATCTCTATATCTGTAGTTCTTTGATGATGAAATCAAGACCATAAAGCATAGAATAGAAATAAGTTAATGAAGAAGGATGGGGAACTCGGCAATGAATGAATTTGTGATGGTATTTTCTGGCGTCAAACGAGGATTATTCCAATTACTGTGCTGCACTGAAAGTTCTTTTATGAAAAATAAAAACGTCTTCAATAACAAGATTACATGATTATGAAATAATTTAGAAGTACATTGTTGTTAACCTTATACTTCTGGTTCCGTACACTTTTAGATGTTTGCACGTACAGAAAACATCACTGACGTGAAAACGTTGCAATTAACTTTAGTTAATATTGACTTTGCATCTTTATTAGCATAAACGCCAGCATTATGAAGATTCAATTTCCATGATTGCATTGTGAAGATACGATCTTCATGTTTGGCAATAGCAAAAATTTATTGACAAATTAAATACGTACGGAGGTTTAGCTCTAGCGTCTTTAAGTTTTTGTTGCGATTACCAAAACTGACAGAATAATTCGCATCTGAGAGGCATACATTTTTTACTCATACCGTAGTCATGCGTTACGTATGGAGACCACGTCACCATTTTGACATCTTACTTTTGCTTTAGCTGATAATGAAACGTAATTAATACTGCCGTCGTCATCAATTATGGGCAAAGTTAATTGGTTGCGTGCAAATAAAGTTTGGTCTTTAATGGAGATGCGTTCTTGATACAAACTAGCAAAAATGAATTTTAAATTTTTATTAATTGTTCTATGTTTTGAGTCTTTCTTTGTTGTATGTTCTGTTTTGCGAGTGAGATCTTGTGTTTGGGGCCTTATTTGTTTCAAAGGATACAAATGCAAAGAAATTCTGATCAATAAAAAGAAGAAAAAGGTCTGTCTTGGTAAGTTGTAAACACGGGAAATCCACTAAACGACTGTTTATACTCTACGGGGTGCATGACAAAACTGCTCAACTTTGAAATCAGCCAACATTAAATTCTACATGATTTTTAAATAACACAAAGACGTGCAAATATATTTGAAAACAACAATGTTCACATACGTATATTGCAACTACTGCAAATTACAAATCACAGGTATAAGAAACTCGGTTCAATTTGTGTTTACCGGTAGTCTTCTGAATCCAGTGATGGATTACTCAGTAGGCTAACTAGACTGAAGCCTACAGGCCCGTGCTTTTGTTAGGCTTGTTAAATCTAGACATTATTAGTTTCTAGTTATTGCCATTCCGGACTTTTTAAATATTTTCATTTAGATCATTTATGCCATTAAGTAGCATACGATCTATCTACTGTTGAAATGCACGATGCTCAGAACTCATGAAGTGCTTGGTTTTCCAAGTTTGAACTTTAAATTCGTTCCTTATTTTTTATGCTGTATGAGTTAGAAAAACAAGATGGGAAATTCTAAGGTAAAGGAGCGTAAGGAACGCAAATGTCACCAAGACACTCGACTTAGTGAGAGGAATAGATATCCCACTTAAAATCAAACAACTTTTTCTTAGCCTACAGACAAATTAGTAATCCGCCAATATCTAAATATGCAAATTTCTAAATATCGGCTGATTTCAAAGATGTGAAGTTTTTTGAGACACCCTGTTTTACATATCTTTTTTTCAAGCCCAAGTCAATAGCTTTACTGCTCCTAAGATTGTAACATAACTATAACATAGACAATAATGAACCTATGTTGTTACCATAGTAATCTGGTAAAGAAATTTTACCACTTTCTATGCATTTATAAGATTGCTTTTCTTACCATTCTAATAAGGCTTAGCACAAACTCTCTCAACGTGTTCAGAGCATTTTCACAATCTGTTGGGGCATAGTATAGGAAATATGCAATAGGCCCACTTCGTGTGCAGCTGGCTGCTGTGCATTTAATAAGATTACTGGCAATACTTAGCCATTTCATTATTCCTATTTGTGAAAAAAGCAATTGAATGGCTGCCAATATGGTAATCATATGCGTAATAAGAAATGCATGGCTCAAAAACTTCAATGCAGTGGCTTTACTGTACATCCACTATACTGTGGTTGAAAAGTGGTAAAAGGTATCGAACTGTGTTGACTGGTATTGAGCAGTGTTGGGCGTTGTTGAGAGAAGTTTGAACTTGTTTAAACGTTCTTCGTAAGCTAGCCTACGTGCAAACGCTCTCAATGTATTGACTAAACATGTTCTCAACAATGTATACTCAACATGTTGAGTTCGTTTGAATGAAGCTTTAATGGCGATTAAGATTAACTTTGTTCTGTTGTAACCAAAGCTTATACCTCAACATTGATTAGTGCATTGAACAGTAGATGCAGCATACTCGACAATGCTCAGCTAAAGCATGCGCTCTGTGCAATGCATTTTGTTGTAATTTAGCTGGTCACTGAGCCGTATATGTAACTGTATAAACAGAGGTTATTATAATAATGGCTCAACATCTTAAGAACTTATGTACACATCGCTAATGTAACTAAAAAAAAGGCAAAAACAATGCTTACTTGTTAATTTCAAAATGCTTTTTCTTGCATTCCATCATTATGACTGTCTCTTTTCCAGACACAGGTCATATCTCTTGTCAAGTTTTTTTATAAGTGTTGTTACATTTCGTTTTATATTTCGAAAATATCGCCATGAAACAACTCGCCGTATATTTTTAAACGAATAGGCTACATAAACTGTCTTTAATATAAAATTTCAACAGTAATATGGCAATTAACGCTATGTACATTTTAGATAAAACTCCATACTCTCTTGCTTTAATAATTTTCAGATATCGATGAATGTGGTCGTAATAAACATAATTGTTTACCAGCTGCTGGAGAAGAATGTTTTAACAAAAAGGGAGGATTCAAGTGTGTTTGTTTTCCTGGTCTAAAAAGAGAAAAGGGAAAATGTGTTGGTTTGTATCATTTAATTAAAGAATTCTTAAATTCTAATGACATTAGTAATTAAGCCTGGTTTACACGAGAGAAATAAGCATAAGTACAAGAAAAGAGGAAAGATTGAAAAAAAGCAATTAACGAAGCTTGTGACATCACCATTGAAATAAGAGCAAGAATAAAGAAAAAGAGTTAAGAACAGAAGAAGATTTCAGTGTCTTTGTTTTTTTAACTAAAAGAAATGGAAGATTTGTGATTCGGGCTTATTTTTACTCGTGCTAAGAAGCAGGCATTACATTCCCAATGTTTATAATATTAATATTTTTTTCATGTATAGCCATTGATAAATGCAAAGTTAAGCCTCCTGTCTGTAATATGAAATTTGAGAGATGCATTTCAACGAACTCCAAACATATAAATGTGTAGGTAATGATCTTCTTTGTTGTCATTCTCTATCTTCCTTTCCTCAACAAAGTTAAGACAACTTTATTCATAGATCTTGATGAATGCAAAACTGGGAGACATGATTGTGATCCCAATGCAAAATGCAAGAATTTACCAAAACGTGGTTATGAATGTCACTGCAATCCTGGATTCAAGCAATATAACAATGGCAGAGTATGTCAGGGTAGGCAACTTTATTTTCATCACAACAGTATAAGAAAATGGTGTTTTTCATGTCATCCAGTTTGGAGGTGTGATACAAAAGAATATTTCATCAACGCTATTGCGTTGACTCCAAAACCACCGATGATTTAAGTTTATTGTTTGATAACTTCTAAAACATTCTTGCAAAATTCATGAAGAACAAACGAAGGGAACATTTTCATTTTCTTGTGCCTTTCGGTACCATGCTCAAATTAATGGCCGAATTATGCTCGAAAAAGCTTAATATGACCTAAGTAACCTCCATCCTCCATACTCAGGAGGCACGTTCCTTATAGTATTTGTTTAAAAGAACATTTAATTATAATTAATTAATTTGACGGAAAGAACGTACCACCTTATTAGTTGTTTAATTTTCTGCAAGAAAACATGACATGTCCTTAAACCTTTAGACACTCCCTCTTTCTCCTGGCCAATATGTTCTGAGCATTAATTGACTTATTAATTATTTAATAATTAATTTATTTGAAAGAGCACTACAATATTCAACTTTCCTCTCACCCTTCCAATCCTACTGTCCGATTATTTATTCTGTCAAAGCAATGAAAGTCTTTCCTTATATTCAAGACATAAATGAATGTTCCGACAATTCAAAATGCTCAATCTATGCCAACTGTACGAATCTACCTGGATCATACAATTGCCACGGATGTGACCCAGGATTCACGGGCGATGGAATAAACTGCAATGGTAAAACTTTTGTCTATTCATAATTTTTCTCGATGTTCATTTATGACCATAAACAAGATGTATGTATGATCTTGTAGATATCGATGAATGTGAAGAACTACGTCCATGTTCTATCAATGCAATGTGCAACAACACTTTTGGATCTTATCAATGCACTTGCAATAAAGGATTTTATGGAAATGGAGCAGTGTGCACAGGTATTACTGTCATACCAACTTGGTATTGCTTGTTCTTACTATAACATATTGTTGTTGTTATACCTAGATATCAACGAATGCTCAATGCACACCCACGGATGTCCATATCTATCAAAATGCATCAATACACCTGGTTCTTATACGTGCAAATGTCCCAAGGGTTACGAAATGGAAGACAACGTTTGTGAAGGTATCTTTTATGTTTAACTTTCATCATTTTGTCTAAAACAATCTATCTTTTATTTGTATCTTTCCTAGTTGTTAAATAAAATAGCATCTGAGGTATTTGTTCTTTATCCAAGATCGATCTTCTCTGTCCTCAATTTTAAAAGTTTGTGTAAATATTCTCTTTACCTCGCAGGCTCCTGTGTATTGTAATACGTAAATGCCTTTTGTACTTGATTCGATGTATGTTTACTGCTGACCATTTCCATTATACAAAACAAAATTTTTATTGCGATGAAAAATGTAATTATCGCCCTCTAAAGCATATATGAGAAGAAAACTTTCACCCGTAGCTTAGGTAGTTCTGAATTGTTATTTTACAACACAAGAATTTGGCAGTTTAACTCGTTAACTGTTCTTTTAACAACTACCTAGAGTTTATTGGTTTTTCACCATTGCAAATAAAATTTCCAGGCACTATCCTTATTATGAGTCCATATCTCAATTGGCAACAATCATCCCTAACAATTGTATTATACGTAATTAGTATATCGTATGTAGCTATTTGTGCATTGTATTTATGTTCAAAGGATCCAAGTTTTCTGTCATCCTATGTAATCTTTATACTCTCGTGTCATCCTCCCAAGTCCCTGCTAACCCCCATATTCTTTAGTTTATCATTCTTCTTATAATGCGTTTTCGTGTTATTTATACTTAGGTGTCCCATTTTACTATCATATGCTATAGGTGATGTACTGCTGCATCCATGAGAGCAAATGAAGAGCATAAATTTCGCCATGTTGGATGACATTAGCCAGAAAATTTTTTGACAAATTCATCCAACATGAAGGCTATGGCGTAGCGTGCTCGCAATGAATAGAATGACAATCGTCTTACTTTCTCCAGATATCAACGAATGCTATGAAGAAATTCATAAATGTCACAAAAATGCACGTTGCACAAATTTTGTTGGCACATACAAATGTCGCTGTAAAGATGGCTTCAAACACATGAGCAATGGAAGATACTGTTTTAAAGGTAAAATATTGAAATCTGATTGTTGTCAATGGATCGTTGATGGATTACGATGGTCATTTTTCTACAGAAATCTCGAATGGAGAGATCGGTCAGGGGACTTTAATCATTTCTGGCGCGTCAGCTTTTATATTATTCGTTATTTGGATACTTTGTTGCCTTTGTTTAGCACGGTGAGTTAACATCTTATTATCCGTTCTTCGTTCATGTCGGTCACACAAAAAAAATAAAAGAAAATATCCATTGCAGCATAAACTTTATATATTTAATATTTTTATTTTTAAATAACTCATACTTTGTTGTTTTTTTTGTTTATTACTTTTTATTTTATACCTAGATGTAGTATCCTTTTTAATTTTATTTTATCACACGGCTATCAACTTTTTTATTTTTTATATGTAGTTGTATTTTAGGATCCAAATTGAGATACTACCGTCTTTAAATAAAAGTAAATAAATAAAAAACATCACGTGATGTGATTTGTGACAATTTCCGATTACTTTGAATGCAGGAACACAAAAACTTCGAGTAAAAAAAAAGTAAAAAGTGATGATCAAGACCCACTAATTGAGAAATCTTTTCAAGCAAAACAAGTCTTTATGGATTATCCAGACGACAGCAGGATTACAAAGTAAGAGATGTTTCTTTCATTTCCAAATTGTGAGATTCTGCGTTTTTCAAAATAGGCTACGTCAGGTCACATTTAAATTGAAAATCTTTTGTAAATCCTTGTAAAATTATTAAAATCTTTTACAATTAGAACTGCAGATTTTTGAAAATGAGAGGCCTTTGTATGACCCTAGTTTAGTTTGATGAACGCCAGTTTCTCAGACAGATCACTTTATCGCGTTAATAGTGTGTGGTTTGCTCTAAATTGTTAAGTTAGCTGGTGTTTTTATTTTTCTTCAATATGGAATCTATGTATGTCTTAATTAATATTTAATCTTTATATATGTAGTTCTTTGATGATGAAATCACGACCATAATGCATAGAATAGAAATAAGTTAATGAAGAAGGATGGGGTACTCTGCAATGAATGAATTTGTGATGGTGATCAAATTATTTTAATTAACGAGTATTTCCTGGCGTCAAACGAGGATTATTCCAATTATTGTGCTGCACTGAAAGTTCTTTTATGAAAAATAAAAACGTCTTTAATAACAAGCATACATGATTATGAATTGATTTAGAAGTACATTGTTGTTAACCTTATACTTCTGGTTCCGTACACTTTTAGATATTTGCACGTACAGAAAACATCACTGACGTGAATATGTTGCAATTAACTTCAGTTAAATGTGACTTTACACCTTTTTAGCATAAACACCATCATCATAAAGATTCAATCTTTATGTTTGCGTTATGTAGATAGAATTGCGTTATGTTGTCGTAGACAGATAAGTTTATAGTATGCTGATAATTCTTTCTAATAGCTTTCTTTAACTTAATAATAATATAAAAGTAGTTGGAGTCTTGTGTTCTTAAATCTTTCTTGTTACGGTGGACACTAAAGATAAAGAACTCTTTATTCAGAGCTACACAGGTGAACAGCCCTACAAAGAATGCATCTGTAAACAGGAATGTTTTACAAGACAATGGTCACAGATTAGGTATTTTAACAGAACGTCGACTGGTGTTGGAATCTTTGACGTTCGTGTCCCCCAATTTTTTTGAAGCAAATTCTAAACAGACACGCTTTCCAGCAAGATACTTTCGCTAGATCGCAATAGAAAATATGTTTTCACAAATATATCGTTTTGCAAAAGCTTGGAACCTTATCTTCTTCGCATGATGATAACTCTTTGTAAAAAGTTCGGTTAAATATTGCTTTAAGCCTAAATTGTTAGTAAACTATTATTCTCGTACAATACTATTCCATATTGATTATGTGAAAGTATCTTGCTGGGAAGTCACGCATGCATAGTGAAAAATATGGCACGATTTTAGCCGAGTGGGCCTTCTGTTAAATGTCTATTCTGTGCAATGGTCTTAAGTTGAACTGAGTTTCTTACATTTGATTTCTGATGTGCAGTCACTGCAATATCCGTTTGTGTATTATTGTTTTCAAATGCGTAGTTTTCTTTGAGACTTTGTATGACATGTCGTTGTTTCAGGCACAAAAAATGTTTGTGCATACATTAATACTATGCCTGTAATACATTAATACTACGCCAGTAATTTATATTTACAATAAATACATTTGAACAAAATTCCATTCTCTTTCTTTACAAATTTCCAGATGTCGACGAATGTATGCGTCAACTTCATAACTGTTCACATCCTGCTGGCGAAGAATGTTTCAATTTAAAATATGGATTTAAGTGCGTTTGTTTACCGGCTCTAAAGAGGGATAACGGAAAATGTGTTGGTTTGTATCTGTTAAGGAATTGTCAAGTACGATTGATTTTGGTAATTAAGCCTGTTTTACACAAACGAAATAAGCATAATGAAAGCAAAGACGATCGAAAGATTGAATAAAAAGCAATCAAGGAAGCTTGTGACATAACCATTGAATTGAAATAAGAGCAAGAATAAAGAAAAAGAGTTAAGAACAAAAGAAGATTTCCGACATTTCAAAATGCTCACCCATAGCCAACTGTACAAATCTACCTGGATCATACAAATGTCACGGATGTAATCCAGGTTTCACGGGTGATGGAATAAACTGCAATTGTAAAACTTTTGTCTATTCATAATTTACCTCGATGTTCATTTATGACCATAAACAATATGAATGTATGATCTTGTAGATATCGATGAATGTGAAGAATTACGTCCATGTTCTATCAATGCAATGTGCAACAACACTTTTGGATCTTATCAATGCACCTTTGATAAAGGATTTTACGGAAATGGAACAGTGTGCACAGGTATTACTGTCATACCAACTTGGTATTGCTCATCCTGAGGTTAATATATCAATTTTTTTAAACTTAGATATCAACGAATGTTTAATGGGCATATATGGATGTCCATTTCGGTCAAAATGCATCAATACACCTTATTTGTGTGAATGTCCTAAGGGTTATGAAATGAAGACAACGTTTGTGAAGGTATCTTTTTTGTTTAACTTTTTTCATTTTTGTCTCAAAATAATTATACCCAATTGTAAATAACATATTTTCTCGTTTATTTGTTATACAAGATCAATCTTCTCTACCATCAATGTTATGTGTCCTGCTTATAGTTCTCAGCACTGAGAACCTTAGATACTTATTTATAATTTTTTGTGAAAATCATCCAACATGGCGGCTATGACGCAAACTGCACACCAAGAATTGAATAAAAATCTTTTTACTTTCTCCAGATATCGACGAATGCGATGAAAACACTCATAAATGTCACAAAAATGCACGTTGCACAAACTTTGTTGGCTCATACAAATGTCGCTGTGAAGAGGGCTTCAAACATTTGAGCAATGGCAGATTCTGCTTAAAAGGTAAAACATTTCACTTTGATTGTTGTCAATGGATCATTGATGGATTACGATGCTTCTTTTCAAAAGACACCTCACATGGAGAGCTCACTCTTATCGTTTCTGGTGCGTCAGCTTCTGTGTTATTCGTTACTTGGATACTTTGTTGCCTGTGTTTTGCACGGTGGGTACATATCTAATTCATTCTACTATTAGTTCTTTGTGCATGTCCGTCTTATGTCACGTGATTTGTTACAATTTCTGATTGCTTTGAATGCAGGAAAACAAAAACCTCGAGTAAAAAAAGGGTGAAAAAAAGTAATGATCGCGAACCATTAATTGATAAATCCCCGCAAGCAACACCAGTTTTTATGTTTCATTCAGCAAGCATATTAATTATTTCACTTACAAGCATATCGGACATTGAAAGGGCAAGCATTCTACTAGCCTTTCCTCAACCATAGAAAGGTGGACTTTATGCCCACAGCTTGGTGGGCAAATCAACCATAGATGGCAGTGTTCACACTGGCCTAAAACAATGAACAAAATCACAACTTAAATTTTCTAAAGTTATATCTAACATTGAAATTGTATTCCAATTCAACTTACTCAAAATTGGCGTGATTGTGTTTTGTGTAGCCATTCTAGATGGTATAGATTCGCCGTTTCCTGAGACTTTGCCTGAATACAAAGGCTCTTTTGTTAGCAGTAATTTTCCAATGGATCGATTATTTCCTTGGCATGCGTGGGTTTCAGATTGAATGACGGCATTAAAGTATCAAAACAGTAATTTGCATCGTATGTCTGCAGGCCTAATGTATTTCAAGCACCATCAATTAAGATTGTGAAATAACGTTCAAGGTCATTGTCAGTTTTGGTTTGGAAAAAATATTATGCATCATAACTGTCTTAAAAATTATAGCTATGAGTCTTAACAATTATTATCTCTGCTATTTTTGACTTGTCATTATACTATGAAAACAAGCAAGAAGAAATTTTTCATCATTCGTGTGGAGAAAGAATTTTGGAAAAAATTGTGGAAAAAATTGATAAATCTGTACCTGGAGAATGGTTGTCCCAGGATCCACCAAAACCTTTTGATCATCTATGAAGACATCAATTTTTTCTGGGGCAGCTTCAGCACTGTAGCTGCGAGCTAGAAGTATTTGAAAATTATAAAAAAATCATGTGCAATGATTATGGATAAAACAGACAATAACAATCACCAAAACTGCTAATATACACATGACTGCAAAATTCAAGTACTTGAACAACATTTCAATAAGTTAAAAGAGTCCATAACATGAATTTTGCTTGAAATTAAAAGTTCTCTCAAAACTTTAATAAAACTTTCCTTACAACATAAGTGCTTGCATGCCTACTTTTGATACTAGTGAAGTCTTTGTGAGATGTAATTTTGAGAATTTATGGCGAGTCTATTATGATCACCATATTCAAGATTCAATGTAGCTTATAATAAACAAACTTTCTTTCACATCATATTTGTGATTACGCCCATAACAATAGTATAGCAGTGAAAATTAATAGAGTTGTAAGATATGTAATGTTGATTAAAAAGCAACTGACCACAAATTCTATAATTTATGTATTACAAAAACTTCACAAGTTCCAAGAGTAAGTCATAAGTGTTGAAAAAAATGCAGTCAATAATGTTGAAAAAAACTCCATTGCAGTTTTAAGAGAAGTTTAATAAAAAAGAATTAAAACTTTGAGTCATTGGCACTTTAAAATCCTGTTTTTTGATACAATTTCCATATAGTTAAGTTGCAAACATTTAGCCAACATAAGCTCAAATATCCTAAACAACAATGAACTATTTAGTAAAAAAGATTTGTACCATTTTGCCCATTCATGTATTTCTGTAATTATCATTTAAAAAGAATGCACTTTTTTATGCAACTGCAATTCCTGATGTTAGAGTGTTATTTATATAGTATATAGTATAAGCTGTTCTAAAATAATTTCAAAAATGGTTTGTGATTTGTTTACAACTTGGCCTGTTGGCAGTACAATACATGAAAGTCCAGTGACCACAAAGCCTGTTCAAAAGTAACACAAGGCAGGCGAGAGGAGGGCAGAATATCAGGAGAATATAATTTATATAGGGAAATGCTGATTTTTACCCAATAAAATTACATGTCCATGGAAAAGAGCAGGAGGCAGTAGCTTAACAGCCAGCAAATATAGGGGCTGGAAGCGCAGTGCAACAAAAGTAAGTTTCAGGAGCACCAAAATATTTAGTATGAACAAACTTGTGGGATTGCTATATTAGTGGTGGGAGGCCATGCCTCTCTACAGTCTGCAACCTAGCTGCATGGTCTCACAAATCCCAAAAATTTAACAAAATCTAAGTTTCAATTACAAAATTGAAAATTCATGCCAATTACTTTAATCAGAACATACATCGATGCACTATGATTTGGGGCAGTGTACAAATTAGTTGAGAAAAAATGATGTGCACTTTTTTCGACAAAAATGTTTCCCCAGAGGCATGATCAAATCAATACTATATTAATTAATATGCAGTGCCATTTACTAAATTAATATTTTTAAACATGCATAAATTCATATGATTTTAGCATTGATCCAGTAATAAATGTACAAAAGAAATTTTTGGCAAATGTTATTCTCTCCTCTTTGTTTCAGCAAACTTTACAGCAAAATAAATTCATCACTTGGCCATCATCCTCATACTCAAACTAGTCAGCATTTAATGTTTCCATCAATGTTTTTCCTGTATTACCTTTGCTGTTAGCTACAACCTTTCGATGAAGATGGCAAGAAAGACAAAAGTGAAATAAGAAGTTTACACCAAATATACTATTGCCTTCTGATTACTTACAGTAACATCCTTATGCTTTTATTAATGTTTCTTATTACAAAAAATATTATATTGATGTCATATTACAAACAATGTGTAAAAGCAAAAAGTATGGTTGATCAAGATTGCCAATTTAACTTAATATTTGGAGCCAAATATGGCTTCTTTTTCTGACATTTGGCTTATTTAAAATGAAAATTCCTCATGGCTTATTTTTCAAATTTGGCTTATTTAAGATTTTCTAAGAATCTTTTAAGAAAGTCGTATGAATGTTTTATGCAGTGCGGTATTTGAAATTAAATGAAGAAATGATCTTCGCACTTTTGCTGGACAATTTAAGCAATCGTCTCACCTGATTTTTTCAGGTCCTGAGACGATTGCTTAAATTGTCCAGCAAAAGTGCGAAGATCATTTCTTCATTTAATCTTTTAAGAATCAAAATGAAAACGTTTCCCAATTTTATCAAAAATAGTCAAAATAGCTATGATGCCAAAAACAGTACGAAATAGTGTACAAAACAATGCAAAGCAAAAATTAACATTAATAAATGTATTACATTCTTATAGTCATAAGCATATAAGCAACATGTATGTCGACTATTGACAGACTTCTCAGTCTCAGAGTGACCATGTCTTTGAAGTTGATGACATTGTGTTAACATGGTTTAAGATTTTAATGTCGTGCAGCGAACTAGTTTATAAAGCAAAATATCAGTAAAGACTAAGCTTGAAAACTTTCTATTTATGTGGTAGTAATCAATAAAGATTTTTTTTTTGCATATCGTTTGAAAAAAAAAGGTGTGCATTGTTTTCATTTTAGCCAAAACCATGTGCAAATAGCACATTGCACACCGTTAATTCGCACTGATTTGGGTGAAGCATTGCCAAATTGAGTTTTCATTATTCAACAAATCTTAAAACAAATAAGTCATTATGATTGCTTAATAAACATAAACGACAATGAAGTATGTGTGTGTTGGAAACATTAAAATCAATTCCTGCTGGCCATCCAAGGCTCATTTCACCTAATCTAACCGCAATATTTATTATAAGTACATTGAAGAAAGAGATCTCCACGCCGGTGGCGGTGTCATTTCTTCTACTGGCCTTCAAATGCTATAACTAACATACCTGCGATTTCATTCATGCAGGCTATGTATATGAAACGACTAAAATATGTCTTACCTGATGTTATTTTAGGTACACTACGTGAAGAGGAGATGAGCATCGACCATGATCTGATCGACGATGACGAACGGAACATTGGCCGACGATGACTTAGAATGAAGAAAAATCCGTGGGTAATTTAATGAAGATTTATTTTATGTTAAGTGATCAGGTAATACACAAGAAAAAACTCTCAACAGACAAGACAGTATGATTGATTATGAAGACAGTTCAAGTCACAATCAGTCGTTTTGTGTTGTCGTTAGTTATCGCCGTGACGGCTTCCTACGACAAGCAACGAAAAATGCACGACGAATAATTGAATGAATTATTTTCAACACACACAAAACAACAGCCAAATAGCGTTGATTGTTCAATCTTTGCTTTAACCGTCACTGATGAAAACCTGAACGGTGCTACCAAGCAACATTTTTCAACGCTTGAAACAATTTTTTAGAATTGGAATTTTCGTCGTGCATTTTTCGTTGCTTGTCGTAGGAAGCCGTCACGGCGATAACAAACGACAACACAAAACGACTGATTGTGACTTGAACTGTCTTCATAATCAATCATACTGTCTTGTCTGTTGAGAGTTTTTTCTTGTGTATTACAAGATCACTTAACATAAAATAATTTTCATTAAATTACCCACGGATTTTTCTTCATTCTAAGTCATCGTCGGACAATGTTCCGTTCGTCATCGTTGATCAGATCATGGTCGATGCTCATCTCTTCAGGGATGGATTAAAGGTGTATTTGAAAATTTTTTTCTTTATTCTTTAATTCAATTAAAGACAATTAAAGAAAACTTTTCGAGAAAACCATTAAAACTTAACAAATTTCAAACTAACTGAATGGATAACAAAGGATCCCAATAACAAAACATCTCAAAATGTTCCAAATTTAAATGTCCCCTTTACACAAGTGTTTTTTTATTTTAACTAGATAAGATCCTTAGTGCCTTGCTAGACCTCTAATCTTCCAAAATAACTTCTTCGTCTGAGTCGTAGTCGTCGTACATTTCCTTGACCATCACATCTGACATCT